TCAAGACTCAGTTCGTAAAGCTGATCTGCCTTGTCGATTTCGTACGTTGGTTCAATAACCTGCGGTTTCGTCTTCTATCCCCCATCCGTATATTTGCCACGCCACTGATAATACGAGCCCGAGTCCGAGAACTGTCCCTGGGTCGCCATTTCGGCTACACGGCGTCCGGCCTCATCATTGGGAAAGTATTGCCGAGTGATGTACTTCTGAAGAATCGGGAAGAATACGTAGCGGAACCAGCCACGCTTTTCGCGGAAGAGGTTGCTGTCGGCGACACATCCCGGGAAAATCGCCACAGAGGTCACCCCGTCGCGGCCGTATCGATCACTGAGCGCCTTCATTGTCAACACGTTCTCGGCTTTGGCGTCTTTGAAAGCTTTTGTGGGCTCAAACGGGCCACTTTCTACCATGTCCGTCGTCTGCGGACCAAGCCCCGCGGCTAGACTAGACGAATCCCCGAGACGAGCCAGCGGGGGATCTTTCCCGGCAACGAATTCGGCGAGTGTGTCTGAGTCGTCAGAAACACAATGCGCCTGCGCGATTTTTTCAGCTTCGGCAACAGCTCCCCACAGAGAAGCAAATGGCTCAGATGGCAAACCTGCATGGTTTCCTCGATGCCGCCCACCGTGAAACGCGGTTTCTTGTCCTGCGGATGCCATATTGCGGCATTGCAGATCAGGGCATCCAGGTGATCGATGCGCGCCACACTCGATAGCGCTCTCACAAACTTCAACACAGAGGCGAAATCTGCCAGATCACAATGCAGCACTGTATAGGCGTCCTTTGGAAGGTTCACGCTGTTTGCTGCACGTTCCGCCCGGTCGACGTCACGACATGCCATGACGATGTTCCAGTTGCCCTTGTTGATCAGAGCGCGAGCTGCATACAGACCGACCCCAGAGGACGAGCCAGTGATCACGGCGATCTGCGACTGTTTCGGGCCCATACGAAGATGCGGCATACGATGCCGGCGCACTACAGGCGAACGCTGCACCCCCACGGGCAGCGGATGGTGACAGCGGTGACGGTATCGAGCTGCGAAGCACCTGTCATGTTCGGTACACAGCGGGAACGGTGCTCGAGTTGCAGCGCGCGCGCAAACAATATGTCTTTCCTGGTACAGCGGAACAGAAACGAATAGGGCTTGCATTTTCTTGGATTAGATTTTCTCCGGTGCAAAGCTGCCGATCACGTCACCGGCTAGAATCGCTCGCATAGGTGTGCGTATCCAGCAAAAAACTTCTTTTGCGTAGCTGCACGAGTGATCGCCCGTCAATTGTCCAGAGTCCGACCTAAATCTCCCGTAGACTGTCTAGCGTTGAGCACATCTAGCACAAGCGCTCAGTGTCTTTTTCAGAAACTAGACAGAACTCCTATGCTTCCCATCAACAACCTCATCAGTAATTGGTGCCAAGGGTTCCGCAGTGCTGCGCTCAGAGATCACAACAATCGTAGACGAACTTCCACGTAGCTCGCCGACGAATACCGTAGAGGAGGTATAAGGAAATTTCCTGAGGTGGTATCTTATTTTGGATGCGTCTGCACGTCAGTTGCAGACGTCATTTCTAGGGCGGGCCACTCGCCACTACTGTACACCGCTGGCGCCGTTCGACTTTCGAAAGGCGTTTCTTTCCAGGGGTGCCTCGTTCGGGCTCGATGTACGGGTTAGGCTCTTGAAAATAATCTGATAGAGTAGACCAGAATACAGTATGCGCTTTTGTCAAGTGCCACGATCGTGCCAGGCGAGATGCAAGGCTCAAACCTCGTGGCAGACTTGGACGCTACCTACGTGCTCTGCCTCTGCCAAGATCGCCGGATCCGGAGGACGAAGCAGGCACCATTACTTGGACAACCACGGCAGGATGGCAATGACTTGAACGGGTATCAGTTCCAGCCCATGACGCCGGATAGATGCAAATTTCAGTTCAGGTCCTTATTCCAGTGTCGGTGCGGCATGCATAACAAGCATATTGATTAAACGAATATCCTTGGTCAGGAATCATTCCGTGTCTTGTTTATATACGATCAATAAAATTAACGAAATTTCTATTGAGTACAGTGTTGTGTACCTTATCCACACAAGTGTAAGCCGCAGAGAACGCGATGCTTTTGTTAGAAGCATCGCGAGGTATCGTGCCAGGCCCCTACATCTCCACGTATGTCAGGGCGGTACTGCAATGGGCACCAGCGACAGAGCCTGTAGCAAGAGATCATTCTACGTGAGTTTGCGATCTACGATACTTTATTTTGGCTGCAGTGGGATGCGAACACGCATGTGCCAAGGCGGGGTATCGGACACGTGTCCTTCATCGATCGGAGTAGCGTCGCGCGCAGTGGATGCATTGCGCTAAATGAGCGCAACTGGGAGATCAGTCAGTCAACTGACACGATGCGCATGCCTTCGTCGAAGGGGAACGCCATCCTGATCAGTAGCGTGTTGTTCTACCGAAAAAAGTTGGATTTCCGTTCAGGTCGTAGCCAAGTACAGTCTTTCAGTTCGTTTTTGTTTCACACCTCAAACATATCTAGTCAAGTGTTTTTCGTGGTTTATAGTAGACACGTAAGAAACGCGTCCGTCTTCAAAAAAAAACTAAAAAACGGAAAAGCTAGTAAATAGCAAGTCGACGATCCTGGAGGCCCAGTGTCGCCGGCTGCCAAAAAAACCCAAATATAGTGCCGAGTCCAGAACAAAAAGAAGAGAAGAAGGACCGAAACGGTAAGGCCCTACGTCGAAGGCGGCAAGGAAGACGGCTGTACGACGAGATGGTGGTGAAAACCTTTCTTCTTGGACATATCAAGCATCCCTACAAGGAAAAGTTGCGGGACGCTATCAAAAAACGTGTCGACTCGTACTCCAAGAGTATTGTCAAGACGTCGTCAGGACTGATGCATTTGGCGAGGGAGATGTATCGCGATGTGGCGCACATGGAAACGGTCTAGATTCCAGACGAGTTTTTCCACAAGACCTTTATTCGTCACCTGATGCTTGGTACAGGGGAAGCGCGGAAGGAAAATGTGCTAGTGCACGCTCTCCACGAAAACTACGCCGAATACCGCTTCGAGCGTACCCGATACAGGGTTGACTCGTGTATTTACGCCTACGGGCCGAAGAAGTACCTCACGAATCTGAAGAACCATTTAACTATGTACCCGGAACGTTTCATGATATGCGCCGTGTTTGCACTCTACCCGGGCATCTCTCGCAAAGGATTCTGGGCAATTATCAATGGCATCACGAACGATCGCATGCATGAAGATGAGATCGAATTTGTCGACAAGTAGGCGTCACGCAGGAGCACAAATGGAGCTTCCGTAATCCGCGCGACTATTCAAGAGCACCGTGCGGTCTTGGGGCTACTCAGTCCAACAGGAAAATTACCTAATTTGAAAAAAGACGAAGAGAGATTTTATCAACTAATCCTGCGCTGTTTCATGTTTCTGAACCGAAAGCACGGACGCAAGGCCGACATGGAGCCGGGTGTGGAAAAAACGAATAGTCGGAGAGAGGGAAGGCTGCGCTTCTGGAGAATCGCTCCCACGCTGATCCGTTGTCCAGGATCAATTCAAGTTTTGTGACTATCGACTCCGGCGTCCTTTACGGCATCTTTAAGGAGATCAGTCCGGTGTTCAGTGTCAGCAGGGAGGAATTCTCCGGTGAAAACCGGAAGACGTACTGGAAGAATATCTTCGATTTCAAGAGCCTCAAAACGAGCAAAAAATGGCATTCACGGGGACGATCGATTACAATGGGAAATCCATATGTGTACACTATCAGCGCTTGAAGGCAGATCGTCCTACCTCATCTACATTGTCGCCCTTGCCGAAGCACGAACACAAGAAGACGGGCCCTGGCACGTATAATCCCCAGGATAACGATCTTGTCGTCGGCCTTAACCTCGGGACCACGAATGTAATAACCATCGTAGCACCCAAACGTTTGGAAGATGGCGCTGACGACAACTTATGCCAGAGCGACATGCGTCGTTTAAAGTTCTCGAGAGAGAGTTAGTACAGAGAACAAGCAATGATGAATGCGAGGAATCAAAGTGAGAAATGGAACGCAAGAGTGAAGGAGAATCTGGAAGCGATCAGGCACGTGACGAGCCGTCGATTGAACTTTCTTTTTTTCTTCCGAAATTCATGAAAATTCGCGTTTCTCATGACGAGGAGGTGTGTGAAGAGTACGCGAAGCTCAGGTGGGCTCGTCTGCATATGAATCTGTACTGCGGAAAACAGCGTGCATTTGCCAACTTTTTCAATGAGTCGGGCACCCTCAAAGGGGACGAGCCAATGGCTTGTAGTAGCGTATGGAGCAGGGCTCTGGGTACCCGGAAAAGGGAGCACGCCAGTTCCAACGACAAGAACGTACAAGGAGTGCGCAAGGCGTTTCGTTACGATACGAATAGATGAGTTCCGAACATCGTTTACACACCATGAACTGGGGTGCACACTTCAAAGGGTTGAGATGGAAAAGCGTCGGAGGAGCCCTGAGTATATAATAAAGTACGGACCGCTGACGGAAGAGCAAATGGAAAGGAGGGCGAAAGTTCGGGGATTACTCGCACTGGTGAGTACAACGAACGATGGCAAGAAACGTATGGAATTCGTGAACCGAGACTTTAACGCTGCAATCAATATACGGAGATGTGCGATGCTGGAGAAAAGACCTCCAGAGTGGACACGAGAGAACTTTGTTGGACAACCTCTCAAAGTCGAACTATACGAGAAAAAGTTGGAAGCAGTAGTAGGTGGCCGGTCCAAAAAGACTGGGAAGCGTCTGCACGTCCGTTGGAGACGTTTCGTCTAGGGCGCGTTGGTAGCCACTTTTGTACTGATAGCGGCAGCGTTTTTGTTTTGAAAGGGGCTCGCTAGCAGCGGCGTCACGTATCTATCTTTTAAGAATCCGCAAATTTCCTGTCCATGTAACCAACGGAGCGCAGCAGAGCTACATCCCCGACAGCATTCGCAAGCAGCACTGATATCTCCCGATTTCAAATCGTTCAGGCATTCCCCAAACAGGTCTCATTAAAGACGACACCCACAGTCGATTCCGCTCTGAAAAACGATCCGTACTGCGACGCGGTAACATTAAACAGACTGCTACCGACCTCGGATGGCACGTTCGCGAATAGATTCCCAGCACCAGCCAGGAAATAAACCTGTGGCTCTCCGCTGGTGAATGTCGAGACAAAGACCAGCGGCGTCGTGGACGTCTCGGACCCGGTGAAAAAGTGCGGCCAGCCGGCTGGAATAATCGCCACGTCGCCAGGCTTCAAGGGGGCCTTCAACAATACCACCGAGCCGTTAGACGACCACAGCGTGAAAGTGCCCTCACCCTCAACAACGTACGCGTACTCGATCGCGTCCGTCTGCACGTGCAGCTCCTGGATACCGCACTTGTTCAACGTGGATATCAGGGTAGAGAGGCCCACGCTCGTTAACAACGAGTTCTGTGTAACGTCAAACAACTGAATACTTCCGGCTGAGTTATTCACGAGAAACGCACCGCTTGTGAGCGCGTTCTGCAGGTACGAGCTTGGAGACGCAGCGAGCAGCTCGGCAATCGTGCTGCTCTGAGAGAGCCCACGCACCGGCTTCGACACAACTGCAGCGAGCACGTAGAGCAGGGTCACCAGGAACACTAAGGATACTTTGCGCAACATTTCCGATCGTTTCGAATCACACCTGGTCAAACGTTTTACAGTAGAGTCTTCTGCAAACACAGTTGATAGAAGAACGACAATATGTTTTAAAAGAGTGGCTGACGACGAGCGCTGCAGAAGCCGCCACACACTTCATCGCACGACTGTCGCGTCTCACAACCTATTTCTGTTGTTTACTGCCGCGTGGTGCACCATATTTGCCTTCAACTACAGCCACACACTTTTCGACTTGCGGTCTCTGAACCGCAGCAGGATCCAGCCGGGAGATGCGGCGGATCGAGTTCCGAAAGCGCCGCGTCGCCGTTAAAGGGAAACTCGATTGGTATCAATAGCGTGGTGTTCAGCTGTAAAAAGTTGGTTTTCTGTTGAGGTCTTAGCCAGGTACAGTCTTTCAGTTCGTTTTTGTTCCAGCCCTCAAACAAGTCTAGTCAAGTGTTTATTCGTAGAATATAAAAGAAGCGTTCAAAGAGTGTTCTTTTTCAAAAAAAAACTAAAAAACGGAAAAGCTAGTAAATAGCAAGTCGACGATCCTGGAGGCCCAGTGTCGCCGGCTGCCAAAAAAACCCAAATATAGTGCCGAGTCCAGAACAAAAAGAAGAGAAGAAGGACCGAAACGGTAAGGCCCTACGTCGAAGGCGGCAAGGAAGACGGCTGTACGACGAGATGGTGGTGAAAACCTTTCTTCTTGGACATATCAAGCATCCCTACAAGGAAAAGTTGCGGGACGCTATCAAAAAACGTGTCGACTCGTACTCCAAGAGTATTGTCAAGACGTCGTCAGGACTGATGCATTTGGCGAGGGAGATGTATCGCGATGTGGCGCACATGGAAACGGTCTAGATTCCAGACGAGTTTTTCCACAAGACCTTTATTCGTCACCTGATGCTTGGTACAGGGGAAGCGCGGAAGGAAAATGTGCTAGTGCACGCTCTCCACGAAAACTACGCCGAATACCGCTTCGAGCGTACCCGATACAGGGTTGACTCGTGTATTTACGCCTACGGGCCGAAGAAGTACCTCACGAATCTGAAGAACCATTTAACTATGTACCCGGAACGTTTCATGATATGCGCCGTGTTTGCACTCTACCCGGGCATCTCTCGCAAAGGAATATGGGGGATGATCAACGGCATCACGAACGATCGAAAGTATGAAGATGAGATCGAATTTGTCGATAAGAAGACATCACGCAGGAGCACAAATGGAGCTTCCGTAATCCGCGCGACTATTCAAGAGCACCGTGCGGTCTTGGGGCTACTCAGTCCAACAGGAAAATTACCTAATATGAAAAAACACGAAGAGAGATTTTATCAACTAATCCTGCGCTGTTTCATGTTTCTGAACCGAAAGCACGGACGCAAGGCCGACATGGAGCCGGGTGTGGAAAAAACGAATAGTCGGAGAGAGGGAAGGCTGCGCTTCTGGAGAATCGCTCCCACGCTGATCCGTTGTCCAGGATCAATTCAAGTTTTGAGACTATCGACTCCGGCGTCCTTTACGGCATCTTTAAGGAGATCAGTCCGGGGTTCAGTGTCAGCAGGGAGGAATTCTCCGGTGAAAACCGGAAGACGTACTGGAAGAACATCTTCGATTTCAAACGCCTGAGAGTGAGCAAGCAAAAGTTGTTCACTGGGATGATCGAAACCGATGGAGTAGCCTTGTGTGCACACTATCGGCGGTTGAAGAGAGATCGGCCAGTCCCTCACTCGGCTGCACCCGTGACGAAGGATCAAGAAAACAAAGAGGTGTATCCTGCGACGCAGGAGGTGGAGGATAATGACTTTCTCGTTGACGTGGCGAAGGATGGAGATGAGAAGGAGGCGGAACCTGCGACGCAGGAGGTGGAGGATAACAAGCTTGTCGTTGACGCGGCGAAGCATGAAGAAAACAAAGAGGAGCATCCTGTGGCGCAGGAGATTGAGGGTAACGACTTTATCGTTGATGTGACGAAGGATGAAGTTGGGAAGGAGGCGGATCCTGTGATGCAGGAGGTGCAGGATAACGCCTTTATGCTTGACGCGACGAAGCATGAAGAAAAGAACGAGGCGGGTCCTGCGGCGCAGAAAGTGCAGGATAACGACTTTGTCATTGGCATGGACCCTGGGAACACGAATATCATTACCATCGCAGCACCAAAGTGTGCGGAAGATTGCATTGACGGCAACTTACGTCTGAAAGACATGCATTTGTTGAGGTTCTCGAGAGCAAGATACTATCGAGAGTCCGGTATAATGAATGCAAGGAAGAAAATTGCTGCATGGAATGCAGGAATGAAGGATCACCTGGAATCTTCGAGCGAGGTGACGAGCCGAGGCGCGGACTTTGAAGCTTTTCGGAAATTCATGGAAGTTCGTGTTGCCCATTGGGATGCGCTGTGGGAGGGGTATATCAAGCCCCGGTGGGCTCGTTTGCGAATGAATCTATTCGGTGGGACGCAGCGGGCATTCGCGAACTTTTTCAATAAGTTGAGCGCCCTCAAAGAAGACAAGACTCAAAGGCTCGTAATAGCGTATGGAGCAGGGCGCTGGAAGACCCAAAAAGGAACTACGCCAGCTCCAACGACAAGAACGTACAAGGAGTGCGCAAGGCGTTTTGTTACAATACCTGTAGATGAGTTTCGAACGTCCTGCACACACCATGAGCTGGGTTGTACACTTCAGAGAGTGGATATGGAAAATTTCCAGAGGAGCCCTGAGGATATGAAAAAGTATGGACCGCTGACGGAGGAGCAAATGGAAAGTAGAGCGAAAGTGCGAGGACTAGGTGCACTAGTAAGTACAACTACCAATGGGAAGAAACGTATGGAATTTGTGAACCGAGACTTTAATGCCGCTATCAATATACGGAGATGTGCGGTGCTGGAGAAAACACCTCCAAAGTCATGAAGAGGGAACTTTATTGGACAACCTCTCAAAGTCGAACTATACGAGAAAAAGTTGGAAGCAGTAGTAGGTGGCCGGTCCAAAAAGGCGGGGAGGCGTCTGCACGTCAGTTGGAGACGTTTCGTCTAGGGCGCCGGTCGCCACTACTGTATACCGTTGGCGTCGTTCGACTTAGAACGGCGGTGGTGGCTTGTCCATCCCCTAAAGCGCAGGAAGTGGCCCTTCCCGTGCATCGTCCAAGTCGAGAATCAGACTGGCCTCCTGTTGCAGCTCAAAACGGATCCGTTCTAGTAAATTCTGGGGCATTTTCGGGCGCAGCCGTGCCGCTAACTCATCAAAGCGATCAGCATTCGCGGCGATGTAGTCCTGTGCACATCGAATCATTTCCATGAGCTTGCCGGGACGAACCTCATCAATATTCATCACGCTGATCTCTGGATTGCATCGAAAATAAACATCTGCAGGCAACACATCTTCCAGGATGTGATGCACACTCTCGGTGCCGACTGCAGAGTCCACAATCGAGTTGATCACGTCGTTCCAGCTCATTCGGCTCGGGACGGCAGCAGCTGCGGCATCTGCACCATCACCACCACTTGCGGAAATCGCCGAAGTCGTGGCAGCTTCACGAAGCGCACTCGCAGCTTCGCTCTCGGTTGAGGCACCGCCGTCGCCACCGCTGCCCTCTCTGGTGCCCGTGGACACACCACTGTCCGTGGTGCTTAGCGGCGATAGAGGGCTAGTCTTCTCGGCGACTCCGGTTCCCACGCTCACCAAGAGCTCGATAGGCACATTCGGGAACAAGCGGCGTGCCTCGTGCGCTGCCACCCCTGCGGGATTATTCGCAACCAGAGCTCCATCTGCGTGAATGAGTCCATTCAATACAATTTCCGAAAAAAACGTCGGAGCCGCCGACGAGGCCCGCATACCCTGCCATAGGGTTGCATCCACAGTCCCTGGGTATCTGGACTCCTGGCCTGGTGCGTGGCAATAGTTTCGAAACAGATGCAGCTGGTGCGGACGTCGATTCATCACGGAGCTTACGAAGAACACGTAGTTCATATCCCGGTCCATGGTGGAATCAATCATCCGCAATGAGCCTGCCTCACGTTTCAGAATGCTCTCAAACAAGTCCGTATCGTAGTAGGCCCGAGTGAGCAACATTTTCGGCGCACTGCTCAGCTTTTTGGCGAAAATTTTGCCGATTAGTTCACGGTAGAGGCTCTCGACCTCCTCAACTGGACGCCGGCGAATCCCCAACGAGCCGGCAATAATCGCCCCCGTCGAGGTTCCGCAAATGATATCGAACATTTCATGCAACTGGCAGCCAGTCAATTTGGTTAGGTGCTTCAGAATCTCGAAAGACATGAGCGCCCGAGTGCCACCTCCGTCAAGTGCAAGGATGCGCAAACCGCGCTGGCCTCGAACGCGCGGCCTCCAGTGATGCACGCCCAGACAAGCGAGCGCCCGACGCGATGCCCGTGCAACATCCTCCGGGTAGCCGACCCGTGTGCCGCCTGCCATGGACTCGAGCACGCGAACCAGTCGACGATTCCGGAAGAAGAGGGCACGATCGCTCGTGGCAGCATCCATCATCAGGGTGCCGATGAGCATACATGCGCTCCACTTGCCTTGCATCTCCCATGACTCTCCGGCTACCGGTGCTTCCAAGATACGCAACAGACCATCCAAGAGGCCTGGATAACGAAGGATTTGCGGTTTGCAGCGAGGCAAGACGTTGGTCAGATTTGCGAGTGCAGCCACAGCTAGGGATACCGTGAAGGCGGCTTCACGTTGCTGTTCTTGTTGTGGGCGCTTTCTCTGTGATGCGGTTTCATCGTCTAGGTTGGTGTTGCTGTTGCTGTTCCTGCGGCGTCCAGCATCCGGCCTCGAGAGCTGCAGCGAGTCCGTCATGCTCAGTGCATTCAACAACGGTGCCACACCTACCTCTTCCAGAAATGCAATGGCTTGTTTTCGCGTGCGAATCGCCATGGCCGCTTCTGCTGCAGCGCGAAGCGTCAGCTGCTCCACTCGATCGACGAGCTCATCGAAGACGGCAGCATCCACAGGGCCATGGCCAGCGCCTGCCCCGTAATGTCGTGAAAGCAACAGGCGCTGGATGGATTCAATTGCATGATCCTCCGAGTTAGTCGCAGTCGCAGATCCCGAGTCGACAGCGTTCCGCGGGCGTGGCCAAGTAAACGAGAAAAGCGTCGACCACCAGTTTCTCGTCTTGTCTTTCGACAGAGGACTTTCTGCTGCATCCGCTGCAGCTACTTCTGTACTGGTAGCTGCAGCGGATGCAGCAGACGCTGATGACGGGTTCACTGGTGCGCTCTGCTTCGCACCCGTCCCCTCTTTCGACTCCGTGCGATCTCGCTTCTGCTGATTGCCCAAGTTGGCAGCCGATGCCTGCGGTCTGCTCAATACCTCGATTGATTCCACGGATCCATTTGTTGGACGCGAGGCCTTCTGTTCCGTTTCGCGCGTACTAGCGGTAGTTCCAGCCTCGGCGCCCTGCACGGGTATCGATGGCGATCGCGTCGGTGTGCTCGCCATAATGGCGCTCGCTGTTGCAAATGCCGAGGCCATGGTGCTTCCACCGTCTGCGCCAGCGAGACCCGCCATAACGGCATCCTCGCGAGCCATAGCGTCGGCGGCATTCGAGTACGTACGAATACGTTGCGCCTCCTCGCGCCGTTTGCGTCCGCCCGCACTCATTGCCGAGATGGCTTGCCACAAGCTCCCGAGCGCCGATATCGGGATGTACAGCATGCTGCCCCTGCGGGCGGAAGAATCCACGGATACTTGCCCTGCTGCTGCTGCCGCTGCTGCTGCTGCTGCAGGTACCATATCGTCCAGGTTGGAAGTAGATGCCGGCGACTCGCCCTGGACCCCGACTCGAGGCGCTGTCGCAGTTTGACTCCAATCATTCGGCGAATTTGCCGCCTTTGGTGCGCTCCCCGGACTCCCAGTGCCGGCGCTCCAGGGTGCCACAGCCGCCACCAGCGAATCCATGATATGAACGGGAACCGGCACAGCGACCTCGGGTGCTCTCGGGGTGGACGCCGCTGAGCCGTCTGTAGCTCGCAACGTGTGTTTGGCGCCGAGCGGAATGGATGTATTGCTGCTCTGAAACAGATCGCGGTCAGCGTCAGAGGCGGCAAAATCTGGCGTCAAAATTTCGTCGAAAATAATGCGCTGCAGCTCATACGGGATATAGCAGGCTCGCTGCCCTAAAAGCGACATATTTGATGGAGTCTCCTCTGGTAGCGCAAATTGCTTTCGCATTTCACATTCGGCGACAAGGTCAAAGAGTACAACTTCCGGAATGCTCCCAAACGATCGAAGGTACTTTCTCCGCAGTCGAGCTGACATCTCGTCTGCTTGCTCTGGAGCATTCGCTCCCGATGGTGGACCTGAACGTGGCCCCCGTTTCTTATGATTAGATCGCCGCTGAGCACGATCCGCACCAACGGCTGTGTCGTTAGGCCGCGCCCGCGCTGCCTCGTCCGCTTCAGATGCAACGTACGGCTTATGATGCGGTTCTGGCTGTGATTGGACCCCCACTGAGGTGAACGCGCGACTGGAATGGTCTTGCACAAGCGTTGACAGCTGGCTAAACGCCGAGCGAGCCATCGGCACACATACACGCACCGCTTGCCGAGCAATCCAGTAGAGGCCGAGGCCCACCCCCTGCGCGCCCTGTAGGAGCGCTCGAGACACTCGGGCTCGCGTCTCCGTCGATACAGAGTCGCTTGCCTGGCGCTGTTCCGCTGCGTTCCGCGCATAGCGCTCATCACGGCTGCTGGCGCTGCTACTGCTGCCCCGCTTCTGTCCCTGCTCTCGTCGCACCGAGTCGGATGACTGTCGTTCAGCAACGCTGCAGAGCTTCAGCAGACATCTTCGAGACACTTTACGCGAGAATCTTCGCCGTCGACACCGCACCGATCGGCTTGTCTTTCTTGGGTGCTGATTCAAGAACGCCGGTGACCTGTCAGCTAGCGGTTGCCGCCCGGTGCCTCCAGACACGACCCCGAAAGTAACGAACGCCATTGCCACCGCGAACGACACCGCACTAACCTTGGTCTTCGCTACAAACTCGTTCCGGTTCTATCAGTGGCACTCACAGTCACGAATCGTAGTGACAGCCTCCCAAGTGCGGTTTATGGTACACGTTTGCCGCGTACCGGCAACGTTCGGGGAGATAACGCGAACGAATCCGAACCCGGGTGCCATCTGGGCGCGCAGCGCAGCGCATCGCGCGTGCGTACACCGCGCTTCAAAGCTATTCTGTATAGACGCTGTGCCTTCGAGCGTACAGCAGCAAATCGACGAAGACGTGGAAACGTACGTTATATTCCTTGGACTCTCTAGTATGACAGGAAACTTTGGAGTATCTACATGGAATATCATATAGATGTTTCGGCAAACGGTGGCGTTCGAGCAGCAGGCGACTTCTAGAGCGAGGCCGTACGGTGAACTCTGTTATCGTCAGAGCCAGTTATGATTATCGAACGTGAGCCTTTGCTGACGCTGTATCTCGTTTCTCGTGAACCTGAACGAACCAACAATGCGATGGACGTATCGACACCGTGGAGGGCGACCAGTAGCCTGGCCTCTCCAGTGAGGCAAAGCGGTGAGATCAGAAACACTGGCAGCCGCAAGCGACATTGCGCAGTTTGCTAACCGTGCACTGCTCCAAGGCTGTGGTGCGCGTCGGGATCAACACGAACACCGAGACGGAACCGTTTTGGCGTCGTGGCTGCTTTCTAACGTTGGAGCTTGCAGTCGGCTGGAGAGGTCGAGTGAACGCAGCGCGGGCCGAGCGGTGCACTAGGTTCCTGTCGTGGTTCAGCGTGCGGACGTGTTGAGGCTGTTGTTCAAGTACGATGGAGCTTGAACCACTCAAGTTTAGGACTCACGAGCGTTCGTTACTGCTACAGATACCCTGCCCCCCGTCGGCTACTTGAGATTGTGCTCTGTTCTAACGCTACCGGGTGCCGAGACCTTGCGATGACGCGGGGTCGCTCTGGAGGGCGTCTGCTCGCTAGCGATCCCCTAGAATAGAGGTTCTGTCCCGTACCTACGCCTGTGAGTGCCTGCTTTAGGTTAGGCGGCCTCGCTAGACCTTTGCGATCGCCCAGTGCCGTAGCTCGACAAGTTTCCTATTTTGTTTTCCTGATGGTACGCCTTCGGGGGATATGTACAGCCCATCTGGATATAGGAACGCATATGTCAGCGAACTTTATGCAAGCAGCGAAACTCGCGTCACAGGCTGCTGGGGCGAGTTCAGTTGGAGCTCATTTCCCTGAATTCCTGACAGCGATAGCGCAATTCACTGGCAGGAGCATGAATGGTGTAGTTCTTCGCGGGTGCCAGTCGTAGTTGACGAATCGTCGATGGTATCCCTGCAGGTAACGTTTTCGTTTAGGATAGAAACGTTTTCAATGCTCTTTGAGGTGACGAGCCACACCCGTGTCGCAGTGAATGAGAACACCGAACTTCTCGTTCCGTTCCTGTATTTCGATTTTTCCCTGAAGTTTTCCTTCGGTATGTCGCCTTGAAAATAGAAGAGTAACAAGGAGGGTCAACTTATTTAGACTTATTTTCATGGTTCTCGGTCGTCTTTTCGGAGTTGGTCCCTCATATCGTTGCCGCCGAAGCTCATTTGGGTACAGGAATCAAGATGATCCGGGATGCCATCGAACATGCGTTTGAGGAAAAACTGATAGTGTTATCTAGTCCATGTGTACATGCCTCCTTCCCTCTCCTGCCCTTAGGCGGTGTATGCCTAGATCACGCATTCTTAAAATTCTCGATCTTCCCGTTTCGAGACGAGTTGTGAGCGCGCCTACTCGAGCCACTGAACTTAAGGCTTTTCACAAGCGTACACTGAAAATCCATTGTAGTTGTCACGTCAAAGTATCAATGCTGATCGAAATACAAATCCACCGCCCTTTGTATCCATCAAAGAAACGCCATTCGACAGCAGCATAGCATTTGCGACGGGATATGCTTACAGATGCTCCCATCTCTTCTGCTCTTTTTGCATGGAAAAGATTCTTGGAGCCAAACTCTGGTCATCGTAGAGATCGCGTCATGTGAAGCGCGTGTCGCTCCGTCTTAGAAAAGGAATGTGCACGAATGACAGTTTCTAGATTTGTTCTCTGGCCTGGATTTTCCTGCCGATATTTTTTTCATCTCGGACAAGACTGCGTTCCACAAATTCTCTTTCGAATGGAAATCGCGCGCTTCTCCGTGCAGCCGTCAGCGTACGCATTGAGAAGATCTCAAAGAAGGAGCCCGTGATCTTAGGGTGCCGAACCGGATGCGGAAATGGAGAAAAGCATCAAGGGTTGCCATCTGTCCTCGACAAGGGCATAAACCTAGCGCTATCGCAAGCGATCACGCGCCACAGAGTGGCCCTCGGAAGACGAGCTGTGATGGTCACGTTGGGGCACCTAACCACGGCCGAGTGCTACCGTGCGAAAGGCGCATCGATGCACGACACAAAGAAGATGGGCACGGCCACCGAAGCGTGCGTCAACACCACAGGGTTTGCATAAAATGCGTTGGAAGCCTCGGGAAACAGCATCAGTGGGACCTTAATGCTGCCGTCAAGGTCCTTCCACAGCAAACAAGTGATCTGGAAGGAGAGACTGGCATATTCAAAGCTGGATACAAATGGGAGGAAAAGGAAGCTGTCAAACAAAAAGCCTGCAGCTGCTGGTGTTGATTACATTGGAAAGAGACATGAACCTCAGCGTGCACGGTCGCGTTCAGTGAGGGGACCGCTTTCATTTCATTCTCACTTAGGTGTCCGACTTCGATGCGGACGCCAAGTCGGCCTTTGGACTCTCTTGCCTCTGAGCGTTAAAAGCATCTCTAATCTTGATGAATCTTATTTGAGGAAGTACTCGCCGCCTATAGCTCAACAACCGGAGGATACTACAAATAATGAAGAAGCACCAATTGGAATCCATTTGTAGAGCTGCAGTTCTCCCTTTTCGGGTAGATTGCACTCACCGCTCTACGCTTTGTAAGTTTGAGGGTATATCTTTTAAGGCTGGTTGTAAAGTAGCCTTTGCACAAGTGCCTGAGAGATATTTGGATGACAAGACGTGAGTCGAGATGGCGTGTATGCTATCGCGGGGAATCGCCTTTCGTATTTCCTTAGGTTTCGACGTAAAAAGCCGCGCGGACGGCATCTTCGAATCCTCGACGCTGCGTTGTGCGAACACACATAGGTCCACGTTATCTAATGATATACAGCTCGCAGCGGATCGATCCTGCAGCGATCCAGGTACCGCCCCGCTGCATAAGTACGCCTTTTTGACTAATTGTCTATCTATGGCCCTCTCGTGAGAAATCAATCCGGCAGCGCTGCGGGCGCCGTCCTACGTCATAAAAACCCTTTTATACATATTTATCTATCTATGTCCCTCTCGTGAGAAATCTATCCGGCAGCGCTGCAGCAGCGACGCCGGTGTGTCCGGCCATGAAACCGTTGCGCAATTTGAATGCCTCATTGGAAGTCGCTGGGGTTCAGCGACACGTTGTTCTGCATACAGCGCACCACAAAGCAGGCCTCCAAAACGACGCAGACACAGTCCGCGCTTTTTCGCGTCATATAGTTACTTCTTGGTGACATTTACAGACACAAATCTGGCTACTTGTGCAAAAGTTTCTTGTTAAAGCCGCAAGGCAAAGGTCTCGTCACAAGTGCGCCTGCGCAATGATTCGAGACAGGGTTCCAGCCTCGCGACTGCGCCCACCAACCCCGATCAACACTTCGCTGGAGGGCGTAGGCAGCCTGCTTTTGACTCGCACTGGTGCTGCGAGCACTGTGGTAGAGCGTGAGAATAAGGCCCCCGGAAACAGTGACGGCGAAGGTGGCTGCAAGGCAGCCGGGTCGGCACCGGCCGCGTCTAAGGAGCCAGTCGGGCAAACGGTTGAGTCTCGATCAGAAACGCCTGTGACGGAAGACACGGGTAAGGGTGCCGGCCCTGCGGCCTCCGGTTTGCAACTAACGTCTCAGTTTCCCGCCAGTCTCCCTCACACGTCGCTCCCGAGTGAATCGGGGCCATCGCAGCTGTCGACGTTTATAGAGGAGACACGGCGGCGAATGGAAGAGCAGGAACGACGTCTGCAAGCCATGATCCGTCTACACCAGAAGCAGCTTTCGAGCAGTGCTGCGCCAGCGGGATATAACCGCGGCCAAGGCGCTGCAGCGGCGGAGATGGAGGCGTTGCATACCATGATCTCGTCGCAGAAGCACCTCATCGATTCGTTACAGCTCGAAAAGGCTCAGGTTGTGAACGCTTTGCAAACAGAGCGTCTGGCAAAACAAATGATAGAGCGGGAAGTCATGGAGCTTAAAAATGCTCTGCAGGAGACTGAAAGGCGCATGCGGCAACTAGCAAAGGAACTCGAGGAAGCCCGCTCGCAACAGCAGCACCTCAGCGAGAAAGAGCTGGGGAAACTGCGTGCGCTAGAGCGCGACTGTGCCGAGCTGGAGGAGGCTCTTGCGGCAGAAAAACGGCAGCGGTTGCGAATCGTTGAGGAAAAAGACGCTGAAATTGCTCGAGTGCGTCTGCAATTAGAGGAGGAGTCTGCCGAAAAAATCCGCCAATCCATCCATAAGGAGCGAGTCCATGCGGATGAAGTGCGTCAAGAATGCGAACGTCTACGGTTGCACTTGGCTGAGAAAGAATCGGAAGCCAACGCGTTCCGTGATCGCGTTCGTCTCTTAGAGACTCAAATGCGGGAGAATCTGGAGCGTCAAAGCGAGCACGAGCAAAAATGCAGGCAGCTTGACAGTGATCTGCTGTGTTTGCGCAACGAACTTCGCAGCGCAGAGGAGGCCAAACAAGCGATCGAGCAAGCGCTCGAACGGTGCCGTCAAGATAATGCTGCGTTGAAAGCGGCTTGTCAAAGTCTCGAGACTGCGTTGCAAACTATACGAGCAGAGAAGCTCTCTATGGAAGCCATGCTGGGTTCGCATGAACAACGTTTCGAACAGAATGACAACGAGATCATGGAACTTCGCGCAAAGCTTGCGGATCGGGAACAAATGGTCCGGGAGCTTGAGGAGCAAGCTCGGGAAGATGAAAAGGTTCGACGAGAACTCCACAACATGGTTCAAGAACTGAAGGGAAATATACGAGTTTTCTGTCGAATACGTCCATTGTTGTCTGAAGAACGCCAATGCAACCCCGATGTACTCTTCCAACCGGTTGCGCGCTCTTCCGGTAGAGGCCTCGAAGTGTATGCGCCTTGTGATCAGAAGCGTGGCAGCTGCTTCCGGACTGATCGCCCGTCGTCCGGCGGAGAGGTAGCATCCACTGCTGCAACGCACGATCGACCAAGATGGGTATTCCAGTTTGATCGAGTTTTCGATGCTTCTTCCACTCAAGTCCAGGTATTTGAAGAGATATCTCAACTTGTTCAGAGTGCTCTGGACGGTTACAAAGTCTGCATTTTCGCGTACGGGCAAACGGGGAGCGGGAAGACGTTCACGATGATCGGTGATCGGCAAAATCCGGGCATGATTCCGCTCTCGGTGCGCCAGGTTTTCGCCCATGCTGCTAGGCTCTCCGAGCAAGGCTTCACGTTCTCCTTCGAGGCTTGCTTTTTGGAGATCTATAACGAGCATATTCGGGATTTGCTTGCGAAAGACAACGGCTCCGCGTCGACGGAGACTTCCGAAACGAACAAATACACCATTAAGGTGGATCGAGCCACTGGCAGTACCTATGTTAGTGATTTGCAAATGGTGCAAGTCCGCAATGCTGACGACGTAGAACGCCTCTTGACGATCAGCGCCCGCAACCGTATGACCGCCTCAACAAATATGAACGAGCGCTCATCGCGTTCGCATTCCGTCTTTCGCCTGTACATTCGGGGAGAGAATCGCGAAATGCAGCAGAAAATCCACGGTCTACTGAACTTGATCGATCTAGCCGGAAGCGAACGGCTTGCGCGCAGCGGCAGCGAGGGCGAACGTCTTCGCGAGACCCAGCACATCAACAAGTCACTGAGCGCCTTGGGAGATGTGATCGCCGCCTTGGCGAACAAGGACAAACACGTACCATTTCGCAACAGCAAGCTGACTTTTTTGCTCCAAGACTCGCTTGGCGGTGACTCAAAGACACTCATGTTTGTGAATATAAGCCCAACAGCGGAGAGTTTCCCCGAGTCGCTCTGCAGTCTGCGATTCGCTGCCAAGGTGAACGCCTGTGATATTGGAACGGCTCGACGCAGCCAACGAGTCTCTTTCCAGGAGCCATAGGACATTCCTCGCCTCTATAAACCGGAGCGCAACCGACTCTCCTTGCAGAGACGACGCGGCACTTGGCAAATCCACGCGTGCACGGCACGCGCTACCGGGCTGCTCGCAAAAGTCCAGATGGCTCGATGAATGAGCCTAGGAGTATAGGCTAAAAACTGGAAGCGGCCTGATCGCAAACAGGAAGAAAATGCCGCGGTGCGCATCAAATGAAGTCTAGATTAGGGTAAGTTTTGGCAGGTCGTGGACATCGAACCCCTTCGCTGGTATCCATCTGCGAGCGCGCTCGAAGCAGCACGTAAGCGGACTGGGGGGATTGTGGGCCCTTGCGTCGACGCTTTTTAGCTAACTACAAGACTCTGCTGGGATGCATACTATGTCCGTCAGTTGAAGGTAGATATGGTTGGACTCTTCGAAGATGGTGCTCTTGCACTGGAGGAAGGGGTTCAGCGGAGGTCGCGCTCGCTTCGAAATCGCATTCGGGCACTTGAGCGTCTCCTACGCTGGGAGAACCTTGCTACCGGTGCGCGGGCAGCCAAAATCCAAGAACTTGAAAGTCTGCAGCGTCTACTTCATAGAAGAAAACGCCAGTCCGAAAAGGATGCTATTACGCGTAAGTACCTTCCTATTCGTAAGCGAGAGGAGCGCAAGCTCTGCAACGAGCTTCAGCGCCTGCTGGAAGAACGACCGGAGGACGTTCCGGACTATGACTCGAAAAAGGCGCAGCTGGAGCGAGACCTAGAATACGTGCGGCACTTTCCGGCGGGCGTGAAATACGTGGCACTCTTTCCGAAAGGTGGTCACTCACCGCGCGCTCTGAAACTGATCAGGCGTTTTCGTGCCCGCATAGCGCGACAGCTTCGGGAACAAGTGTCCAGTGGTGCCGCTGATATTCCAGACAAGAGCCCAGAGAAACTCACAGAGGCACTGGAGGGACCCAGGCATGCTTTTTCCGCCCCGCATAACGTTGCAAGCAGCGGCATGCGCAAACGCTCCCATGCGGTTGGTGCTGTCCTTCCACCAGACGCTGTGTCGTCGCTTCGAAGTGACATACGCAGTCGGATGCATCAGAGAACGAATGATTTGCAGCGTGCGTCTCGTATGGAGATGTCCGGGGACCACGAAAAGCTTCAAGATACGGTTCAAGCACGCGCAAGGCAGACGCTGCGGTCGCGATCGATTGATGATCATCTGCCCAGGGTGCCTGGTAGGAGGCAAGCCCAACGCAAGGCCGATGAAAAATCGTCTTTGGAGCAACCAGAGCCACCGACAAGACGATGCGAACCCCGGGCGGTTGCTACGTTGCCCCGAGTCAGCTACACTGATCCATTGCTGGAGCCCGACACGGACTCGGAGACTCGGGACTCGACGCGAATATACAGGCAAAGCGGTGATGACGAAGATGATGCCCTAGAACGCCACGTATTCCTTGCCCGATTGCGATGTCCAGACGATCGACCAGATCGAGCAGCGACAACGCGTCGCTCGCGAGGCCGTGGCCGTATACTGGGTAGCGTCGAACCCGGCGCTTATGACAGTGCCGCAGTTCCGACGGGAACCGTGTAACGGCCTGCACTGACGCGCAGTGAATGTATCTTGCAGAGTCCGTGAACCGGATGCCGGTGCGTATTCCACGGTTAGTGCTGCCTTGCGAAGCCGGTTAATGTTGTGCGGGATGCTCACGTGGATGATGATACAGGGCTATCGACCGCATCGGGTGCCGTGAACGGGGCTCTCGCCTCGCAACGCTGCGCAAGGTGTTCGATACTGCTGAAACACATCCGACCAGCAGCGCTGTTGTACGCATAGGAAGACCTTTGGCTTACAGAATCCTCTATTTTGTAAATGGAAACCGGGGCCGGCTCCAAGGCACACCGGAAATTTTTCAGAGGACTACGCAGAACAAACGTGAAAGCCTTGATGAGATGTGCGAAGCTCGGAAACATGCATCGCGGTTTCCGTGTTTCACTGGCACACTGGGCGGAACCGTGGCGTTGTGACAGGGCTTCCTCCGTGTCAAAAATGGCTAAACGGGGGCTGTTTACGTTCGTGAGATCTTCCGCCCGTGATATCAGCATCGATACCGCCTTGCTGCCACTGACCTTCGTCGGCTCTGTGGAGCGAAGAAGCGCGCTGGTGCCTTCCATGAGGGTTTCTTGAGTAGGCACGTGCTGCTTGGACGCTCCAGAATCGATTTTTCGAATCGAGTGGGATCGTTGAACCGAGCCTGGGAACCCCAACGGTGCGATGACGATCAGTATCAAGACCAGCATTCGTCATGCTGCACAAGTCCACAGGTCGTGCGACTAGCCGCTCAGACTTGCTTTCAGGAATCATAGTGCGTTCAAACAAATAGGCGCTGCCATTGCCGTACCCATGTAGACGCATCGACAACATGCTCGCATCCAACAAACAATATGCGGCGATCAGCCAACGCTTTGCGCAATCTTTCGTGCAGCCGCTGTCATTTTTTCAGATGACGAAACGTTTATCGTGACCATGGATCCCTTGCTGCGGGACGGGTATTGATGATCTGGAAAGCGTCCATCATGAAGCATCTACCTTCAAGCTCCATTACTTATGCATTCTTTCGGACGCACCGGTCGTTTCTTGCGTTCTATCGTAAGCCAAGTGCCTGTCCTGGGAACCTACCATAGCGCCTATATCGCTGGAGCGGGTGCTGCACGGAGACAAAACGGCTTCGCCATACCACTGAGGGTGTCGACTCGAATAACGCAACACCTGACACGGGATCAGGGCTAATGATCATGCTGGGAGCCTGCAAGCTGCGCAGACGGACCTACTGCCTGCGACAGCGCGAATCGATATCTAAGGAGACCAGGGCGACGCGCAGGCGCGTACTACCCGCTTCGAATCCCAGAATGAATTGCGCTCGATACGAGCTGCTCAGATCGCTCTAAAGCACCTGCTATTGGGGGTATGGAGCACGAGCCCGGCGCACTCTTCCGGGTCGCTGGACCTTCCGCCTATACGGTAGACTTTTGAACGTGTGGAAACGTTTTCCTCCTTTTAACGTTTATCGTAGAGACGGAAAGGAATCCCAATCTCGTTGCTAGTTATTGGATAATTTCTGTTCTATTTTCTATATAGTGCAGTCGATACTCGCAGCATCATATCTGGCAGGCGTGAGATAGGAAGCGCATCTCGTGATTGAAGGGAAATGCGATCCTTACACTTAGCGTGTTTATCTAACGTACAAGGTGCATACGCGTTAAAGTCATATCGAAGCATAGTTTTTCATCTCCATTGTACTTTAATCTCCAGTATAGTCTACTCAAGTGATTTTCCGGGGTCTATAGCAGAAGTGTCTAAAGTGCGTTCTTTTTCAAAAGTAAAAAGGCAAGCTATGGACATGGAAGTGGAGGATCCTGGAGGACCACTGTCGCCGGCTGACGGAAAGAAACGAAAACAGAGCCGATCCCGGATGAACGAGACAACACGAAGAAGCTAAGGCAGGAGGCCAGACGTCAATGGCTGCAAGAAAGACGACAGTGCATCGAGATGGTAGTGAAACCCTGTCTTCTTGGACATTGCAAGGATCCGTACGAGACAAGGATGGACGAGACTATCAGAAAGCGTGTGGCGTCCTACTCCAGTAGCATTCGAAACGGTTCTTCAGGACTCGTGCATTTGGTGTGGGAGACGAATCGCGACGTGACGCATATGGAAACAACCGAGATTCCGAAGGAATTTTTCAACAAGACCTTCATTCGCCACTTGATACTGGGCACATATGAAATGTCGAGGAGAAATGAGCGAGTGCAGGGCCTCCACGAAAATTACGCCAAATTCCGCTCCAACAGTACTCGATACAGGGGTCACGATAATATGTATGAATACGGGTCTAAAAAGTGTCTCACGAATCTGAAAAACCATTTGAACATGAACCTCGAACGTTTCATGATACGTTCCATGTTTGGACTCTACCCGCGCCTCTCTCGCAAAAGGATACGGACCATCATCAATGGCATTTCGGACGATCGCCAGCATGAACAGAAGATCGAATTCGTCGACAGGAAGACGTCACGCAGGAGAAGGAATGAAGCTTCTCTACTCCATGTGGCCATCCAAGAGCGCCGCACGGTCCTAGGGTTTGTCAACTGAGCACAAAAAGATGCCAGCGTTGAAAAAAGATGAAGAAAGATGCTATCGCCTAATCCTGCGCCCTTTCGTGTTTTTGGACCGAGAACTCGAACGCAAGGCGGAGATGGAACCAGGTGTGCAAGCAAATGAAGAGTCGGAGAAACGAATGGCTGCGTTTCCGGGTAAGCGCTTCCATGTCGTTCCGTTATGCGAGATCAATGCACATTTTGTGACAATCGACTCCGCAGCCCTTTACGGCATCATGAAAGAGATCAGTCCGAAGTTCGATGTAAGCAGGGAGGAGTTCAGCAAAATGACGAGTCGCGGAGCGAACTTTCGAGCCCTCTGAGAATTCATACCACTTCGCGCTGCTCATGACGAGGAGCTGTGAAAGGAGTATACCAAGCCGCCCGGTGGGCTCGTCAGCACATGAACTTATACTATGGGAAGCAGCGTGCATTTGCCAACTTTTTCAACCAGTTGAGTGCCCTGAACGAAGACGAGAGACAAAGGCTTATAGTAGCGTACGGATCAGGGCACTGGGCGTCCGAAAAAGAGTCTACGCCCGCTCCGTCGACACGAGCGTACAACGAGTACGCACACCGTTTTCTCACAATACCGATAGATGAGTTCCGAACGTCATACATACACACCACGAGCCGAGGTGTACAATCCAAAGGGTCGAGATGCAAAAGTGCCAGTGGAACTCTGAGGATATAAAAAAGTACGGAGCGCTGACCAAACAGCAAATGGAAAGCAGGGCAAAAGTTCCTGGACTACTCGCACTGGTGAGTACAACTACCGACGGCAATCAACGTATAGAGTTTGTGAACCGAGACTTTAACGCCGCTATCAATATAGAAAGATGCGTGTTGATGATTAAGCGACCCCCGGAGCTAATGAGAGCCAGCTTTGTCGGGCAACCTCTTAAGGTGATATCATATAAGCAGAAAACAAAATCAGCAGCAGGTGCCTAGTCCAAGTAGACCGGGAGGCGTACCGCCAGAAATCCTGGCAACGGCGGGCGGCCGCAGCCGCCACCACCTCCGAATATCGCCCGTGGCGGCGTCGGATTCGCGGCCTTCTCGTTGCCGGTAGCGTTGTGCTTGCTCAGGGTCCCGGGTTTTGCGCAATCCTTGTGTTGCTGCGGTCGTTATTGCTAACAAGTACCTTACAAGCCGCAACGAACACTCGTCCGTTATTGCTGGGGGCGGAGCTGCTCGCTGGTAAGCGGCGGACGCCACCGAAACTTCTTCGTTTCGTGCGAAGCTGGGCTCGCTTCGGCCGTTGCCGTACCGCGTGCGATCAAAACGAAGCGTTTGTTTGAGTCTGTGCGTGTACGGCGGCTATGGTTTCGAACAGTTTGCGTTGCATATCGTGCTCGACGAACGACACGCCCCTGTGGCGGGCGGGACCTACGGGTGCCAAGACACTGTGCAACGCTTGTGGGGTCAAGTGGAAGAAGGGGAAGCTTGCGCTTGTGATCGACGGGGTGACCTACTCCTACGGAGATTTGGCGGTGAACGCAACCCGTGGCAGTGCGGCACCCCGGGGTTTCGGAAAAGGCTTCGCGCAGGGTGCGTCCACGAACCGGCGACCGATCGTGGACGGGGAAGAAACGTCTTCAGCACCGACAACAGATGAGGTGCGCAAAGCAGCCGATCGTGGATCCGCTGCTGGGAGAAGTCGCCAGTTCGGCACTGGCGCTCAAAACAGTCGTAGTCGTGCGACACCTGCAACACTGAACCGCCGCATCACGCAGCCTCAAGGGCGCGAGCGCTCGCTGGCCCGTAGCCGAAGCCAGACTAGGGTATCTGTTCGCGGTGCGACGCATACGCTTCCACGGAGCGCTTCCTGGGCACAGTTTGGAGATGCTTCATGGTCTCTCAGCGGCGTGGGTAAGCCGGGTCGCGGTCGGCGTCGCAGGGGCCCCATCGTCAGCGGCGAGCAAGCTCGATTCGGGAGACTCCAGCGCTCCGCATCGGCAGTCAGTCTCGCACCGTTACACGAGTATCAGCAGGCGGTACCGGGAGGGGACCAATCAGAAACAACGTACGCATCTGCGAGACTCCCAGCCAATCTCTGGACTTGTTTTCCTTCAGAAGGGGACGATGCCGATGAAGGTGAGCACTCATCGCCAAGGGATCGCTGCCACAGCGTTGTCGTGGATGACCAGGCGAATACCACGAACTCTGGGGTGTCGAGCGAGCATCGTCTGATGGCGGATCAGACGCTATACGACAATGTTGAGGATGCCTGGCTGGGGGAGCGGATGCCAATGCTTTCAGCATGGCCCCTGGCCAGCTCGGGTTACGGTGAAGTGAGCCATCGCACGATCGCCGCCGAAGATAACGAAGACGAGCGGGTTGCGTCCACGGACGCAAACTTTGTGCTTGGCGAATACCCCGGATGGGAAAGCACGCACCGCATGGATCAAGATTTATCGCGCATCTATGCCGGAAACGTCGGGGATCCTGCCTGTTCCGTTTTTTCGGTATCGCATGGAACGCATCCACGCGAACAGGGGTTGATGAGCGCTTCTGAAGAGGCTTTCATGGTCGCCGCCGTCCACGGATTCTGTGTTCAAGAGAACGATCGTTCATTCTGTACAAATGCGTCCAATCTGGAATCGAGCGTTGTTGACATGACGGACCCGTATTCGCGGGTATGCCTCAAGACAAGCGCGACGGCAACGGTTGATCGGCGGTGCTCGCGAACCGATTCTCAGGGCACTGAACCAGAGGAGGCCTGGTCACCTTTGTTTATGGCGCCGGCAGCGCGCTCAGCAGCGCGGAATCGCAGCGGCGAGCGCATGCTCCAAGGAAATCATCTGGAATGCACCGAGGCTGAGCAGAAGAGGGGATCGCTGACGCATTGCCAGCAGTTTGCGCAGCAAACACCCGGAATACAAAAGGTTGTAGGGAGGACCAATGCTTCTGCATCCGCTGCATCCGAAGCGTCGCATCACCAGGGGGATTTACCTCATGCGCCGTCTGCATTGTCAGTTGCAGATGCTGTTGCTCACCCGCTGGCGGACGGCAGTGCGCCTGCCGCGTCGCTGTGGACGCACCCGTCCCTGCGGACCAACGGTGAGCGCCCCGTGTTGACCGATCTTAAGGAGCTTGCGCCAACCGTTCGGGAAATCAAACATGCTGGACAGTTGCTTGCTTCGATACCGCCACTTCCGCTGACGCGTGAAATTCCGAGCATCAGCAGAATCATTGCGCTGGTGCGCAATGCGCATCAGTCGCTGTCAAAGCTGTACGCCCTTGGTGTCTATCGACTGGCTGCGTTAATGGCTCGATTTCCACCGGATGTGTGCTGCGGCATCGGCGAGGAGGCCTACATTCGTGCCTTTGTGGCAGACCAGGCTTCATGCTCAATCTGCTCCGCACAGACTGCTGCTGCCGTGCACGGTAGGCTGGATATGCAACGAGCCCACTCCTTGGCCTTGCAGGGATTCTACTATGACCCGTGCGCTTACCGTCGGGCCGTTGCTGCGTTTCGGAACATGTACGCTCTCAACGAACTGAATACTTTTGCGATCGACGAGTTCGTTCGTGTGTTCGCATATGATACGCGGGTAGCGCTCGCGAAGCATCGAACCGTGTGCCAACTGCACCCGGTACATTCCTGCCACAGAGACTCTACGGCAACAGTCTCTATGCATCAGGAACGCAGCGTGGGCGCGAGCACTTCGGAATCGTCATCCTCATCTGCACTGCGGACGCGGGCGTGAGCCGCACATACACGCGCGCACACGAATCCGATCGCATGGATAAGGTCGAGCGGCACGCACGCACGCACGCACATAGGATCGCATGGACAAAATAGAACAATATGGGAGTGCACCAGGGCCTGTTTCGCGCGATCCGGCAAACGAGGCGCTGCTGCGGGCATCCGATGCCGTTGCCGCACGGGCGATGCGTGGCTATCGTGCGTGCAGGACGTGTGCGCGTTGCGAATGGACCCGCTTTGCTGCTGTATCATACCTTGGGGACGGCCAATACGTTGTTGCAATGTCACTGATGAAAAGTAGTTTCGGTCGGGGTGCCTCTGGCAGCCGTCATCGTCGTTGTATGCAATTGAGGTGGTGGGTGTTAGGCTCCAGACTGCCACTGGATGGTCCGCATCTTCTTTTCCGGACGGTTCATACGCGCCTACCGTGGCACTCGCGCGTTCTCTTTGTCGATAGAGGTATCACGGACGTATCCGACCCGCTGGAACGTTGTGCCTTCGGGTGAGATAGAAGGAAAAGACGCGGCATAGATCTCGGTTTCGTGGGAACAGGACGTAAATGCGCGCTATCTCTGGCATTTAGCAGCCTCTACATTCCCATTTCTCTTGAAGCGTGCCCAGATGGACGACGTGTTTCTGTGGCGGCTCGACGGGTGCCCGGTATCATCTGGACATGACGCGCAGCTGAACGAGAACGTTTCCGGATGCGCAGGCAGACCGTTTCAGACACAAGTGCGCCATACGGGAGCTTCGTCCCGACCCGGTCCGGATTTGGCTAGGGTCCAGTGTGCCCGGCATGCCGAAACCCGACAGACAGCTCTTGCCGCAGAGAAATCACGCCGTGCCTTTGCGTCAACGGTCCAAGACCTGGTGCTACGAGGCGCTCGCGGGAGTCGGACGGCGGCTCCCAAAACCAGCAACACCTGCTCCTGCTTCTGCATTCAATGTAGGTACTTGCGACGACTTCCTAAATCAACTGTTGATTCCAAACGCACGGAACTGGAAAATGCTCTACCATACCCATGCGCCGGTGTGGGAGTGCGAGCACGCAGACGTCGGTCTGAACGCAACAGCGACAACAACTTGCTTGCCATTTGCGCAACCAGTATCCCTAACCATGCAGCACAGAGGCACACCTGGTCGCGCAGATACCGCCTCTTGCCATCGGCGATGTGCGATCAGGGCTGCGCTCCATGTCGAAGAACTGGCAAAAACAAACAGAACCGAACTACTACCTAGCAACGAGAGAGCAATTTCTTCCCAGCTCTGCAGCAAGCGTTGCAGGGAAGAAAAGGATCCCGTATTGTCGAAGATTCACCTTTTAAATGGAAAGTCCCGCGAGCCGCACGAGTCTGTCTGTGGAGTGCTTCATGCTCCACAAATGGCGGGTACTTTGGTGGTATCTCAGCAACTCGTCTGAAATGCACTTCTTTCTGCGACTAGGAGCGGGTAGCTTGCGTCTGGACGTCGCCCCGGTCGCAGTTGAGTCCTAGTATCTCGCTTCGCGCTGTCGCATAAAGTACTTCTGTCTGCGCAACTTGCAGGCCCCCAGAATCATAATGAATTCTGACTCCGTATCGGGTCTAACATTCCTCGAGCGGAAGCCCTCATCGGCACGCCAATCCCGTTCTGTCTCCGTACTGCATCCGCACCAACGGTATACGCGCCAAGGCGCGTGCAGCAAGGCAGGTACACGGTGCACGATAGAACGTACGAAACGACCAGTATATCCTAGAGGAAGTGTTGGTCATGGAACTTGGACGTAGAATGCAGCATTTTCCCTCATTTTCCGAATACCAATACGCATCCCGCAATCTGGAATCCCTGATCCATGGAAACGTTCCGTGAAACAAAAAAAAATTCGCCCAGTTGCATCGTACCTCGCGCATGTCCATGCCAAAGCGATGATGCGTGTGTACGGACACGTGTCACACGCTGGGCGCACGACGCCTCGCCCCGAATAACACGCATCCGAAACTGTTTGTAGCGCGGCAAGGCAGCACAACGCGTACAGGTTTTGTTTTCGTTTGGTATCGACTCAGGAACCGAGCGTTTTCATCTCGCGCATCGTCGAGTTGTCAGGTGAAGCAGTGCCTGATCCAGTTTTGGACTGTGCTCGCGCTTGCTCAAACGCCTTCGTGTGGTGTAAGTACTCCGGGGCATAGCGCTGGTGCTGTGCAGAACGCTCTGAAACGCAAACGCTCGTGAAGGAATTCATCAACGTGCCAAAGCCTCGTTGCAGAGGTATTCTGTCTGTTTTGGAGGGCGAAACTTTACGTTGCTTGGAGAGACGAAAACGCGAGCTTGGCTGCTCGTCGAGACGGTCTTCAGGGGGAACACGAACCTCGCGGTGGACCACGTTCGTAGCGGTAACGCCGCAGCGCCTCTTCTGAGCGCTCACCGAGTTAGCGAAGCGCTGAGGTGAAAGTAACCTCAGACTTTTCAACGCAGGTACTTCGGACCCTATTCTGAGACACGGGATCCCGCGGTAGAGGGGCAATTGGTGCCGTGCGAACCGACGGCAGTACACGCTCACAGGGCGCTCTTGAGGTGGCACCCAGCCGAGCCTGGTTGAACGAGCTTTTGAGGGTGTTTCTTGCGGATATAATTGCTACAGCGCTGGGCCAGATACTTGGCGCGGATCTTGCGCTGGTGATAGAGTTCTGCGTGGTCGCTCACAGACGCCTAGTCCAGCACAATGTGTCCTTTGCTGGAGAGCGGCGAGCACGCGAAACATTTCGGGCTGCCGAAAACGCCGGACGCCCATGCACGACCCTGTCATTCTTGCTCGCAACGCGGGACTGGCCCACAGCTAGGCCACGGGAGTGAGGTGCGCTTCTCCGCCGAATATGCAAAGCCAGATACCCTCGTAATTCCGACGACACCGATAAGAGCTTCACACGCAGAGGACTTGAACAGCGCGCGCTCACTGGGGAGTCGAACCTCAACACCCACAAGCCTGCCTAGTTTGGATCTCAGCACGGTGGCGACATGTCCGATTTATCGTTCGGAACTCGCCGCGACCTGCAGCCGATCGTGTGCTGCAAACGAAGATGGGCTCGCACGCTTTGCAATACCGGCCGCAGAAGATCAGCAGCAGCAGCAACAACAACAACAACAACAGCAATCCAAACATTTTCTCTCTGAACTGGGCTGGAGTATTGAGGGCAACATGACACGAAGGCGGTTCCGAAGCCGTTCTCGATCCAATGGCGAACGAGACGATTGGTGGCAAGATTTGGCTTCGCAGGTAGAAGCCGAGACTCGGAAAACCAAGTGCAGCACGGGATCCGAGAGTCCCGATTGCCCGGCAGCGCAGCGCGCGAACGCTGACTGCAGCACTGAACGTCGCACGGATGCAGCCCAACCGTTGTCACCTCCGGGAACGAGCTCGGGTCAGCCTCGGTCATCCCAGACTGGAAATCGGTCTGTTTACGGTACTGAAAATGGTGTCGGCCATCGGTCGCGTGCTGGATCCTTGGGCTGGGTGAGCCGCCTTCGCAGTCGGTCGCCGCTTCGGCTGCACGCGACCGCAGCGTCGGGGCGACCGGAATCGCTCACACCGGACGCGTCCACAACTTCAGGGAAAGCTGCAGGCTATACGGAGGCAACGTTACCACCCGTAACGCCCGTATCCGGGCAGGACGTATCGAGCCTTGTGCAGCACCTGTCGGAGAGCATTTCGTTCGTTCGCAGTTATCTAGGCGTCAGTGGGCGAAAACCAGCTGCCAATGCGGCTCTGCTTCAGCACCACGGCATCACGCATATTGTGAACGCCTCGGGACTCGAAGTGCCGAATTTCTTTGAAAACGAATTCCGTTATCTGCCGCTCTTCATCCAGGATCGGGATGAACGCTTCGCAACCGAAGAAATGATGCAACTCTTTTATCCAGTTTGCGACTTCATAGACGCTGCTCGAGTAGCAGGCGGGCGAGTTCTCATTCATTGCTATCAAGGCATCTCACGGTCGAGTGCACTCGCTCTCGCTTACCTGCTGATTAGGGAAAGTATCTGGCCTTTGGAGGAGGCCGTCCGCCAGCTGCTGCGGGTTCGACCAACCGCCTGCCCGAACGCGGCTTTTCTGGATGCACTGTCTGAGATCGAACTTCGCATTCTTATTGGGCGCTACCGCGCCGCAATGCGCAACGCCCTCCTTGGCCAGACCGGAGACTTTGCCTACGCTGCGATGACCGCGCGCAACGCTCTCTTCCAGAACACGTTCGCGGCGACGCATCACCAGAATCGGGCACTGGAGCCTTCGATGCCCACGTCTGCAGCGTCGCCAACAGCGAGTGATGGCGCTGCCTCTACCGGAGAAGCTGCGAAACACAAAGTCAGAGAGCGCTCCATTGCGACGAACTGCGGTTATGCACAACGAATGCCATCGGGAGAGAGAGCCTCATCTGGCCGCGCTTCGAGTACGGTAGCAAACGCAGCACCATTTCGCTGCATCTCCCAGTTTTCCACGAGCCGACTAACGAACCTGCTTTCGATGTGGACTCTGGGTTCATCAACAGAGTGTCCTGCAGATACGCAACCACATACATCGGATAAGTGCACGCTGCTGCGTCCCGAGGAGGTTGATGAACTGCTCAAGCTACGGCTGTTTCGCCTCGAAAAATACCGCGGCATGCCGAGTCCCACAGGTCACCGCGGAATGCGATACCTGTTGCTGTTGCGCTCGTTCCGATCACCGCTTTCCCCGGGGCATGAAACAGAGCGCTCCGGGGAACCGCACAGCGTCGGTGCTCTGGATGCTGGCAGTGGCGCCCAGCAGGACGCCGCCACTACGCAGCGTAGCGTACGACGAGCGTCGGGATGCCACAGCTTCTACACCGGCAAACTGCAGCGACGAATTCGCATCGCCTCCGATCGATGCTACGTGCTGCATACACCGTTCAGCGCTACCTTCTTAGGGCGTCTGGCGGACTCCATTCTGGAGCGGTATCCCACGGGTTCAGCTCCAGAGCCCGCCGCTGAACCAGTCAATCGGGTACGACATCGCCGTTCGGTCTCGGTCGGTACCCAATCGATGGTGCACGATCCACCGAGTCATGCACTGGCTGCCGTGCGTCCCGAGGAGAACGAATGGCTCGGCGATACGCGTCTCTTCATCTGGTGTGGCTCGCGTGCCCCGGTGGAGCTTTTGTATGCCAGCTTGCGCCTGGCGTGGAACATTGCCATAACCGAGTGCCTCTATGTGGACTCGATCCACGAGAAAATTGCCATGTGGGAGACGCTTGAACGAGAGCTGGAACTTGCTCTGAAGACACGACAAGCGACAAACTCCTTTGAAATGCTGACACTGTACACGATCCCGAACCTGCCTTTGCACGTTGTATTCGAATACCACGAACCCGAGGAGTTTACAGCGCATCTGCATCGCAGTCGTTCGGTTCTCAGTCGCTGGTTTGCTTTCGCCATCTAGTGGGTATCGATGCACGGAGGCAACTGCGAGGACGTTAGTAAGGCATGCGCTCGATATTCGAAACCTCAGTATTGCGGCTACAACCGTGTCAGAGAAAGAAACCGGGTAGTGAAGTGTTCGGTATGGTCCTGGCTTGCGATATCTGTTTTCGAAGTATTTTCCTAATTGTAAAGTGCCGAAAATCGGCATTTGAAAATCAAATTCTACGGATTCCTTGAGAGTTGTTTCCGGAGTGGCTGCTTAGATGCTCGGCAGCTGGAAATCGTGATGCGATTGAAATCAGGATGATTTACGACGCTCTCAATGAAGCTTTCGTAAGGTATGCGATCTATGAATATCGAATACATTCGGAATGGGTTTAAGACTTGTCCTTTCCATTCGGGTAGCACGCTTGTTTCAGGCATTCTCCAAGTTTTTTATCGTTCTTTTTCGAAATAAACTTGTGGTTGCATCAGTACTCGCCGCGCAATGCACGATGGAAAGCACGAGCCATTGTCCCTCGACGACTTGTTCACAGGTTCGTGCGGAAAGTTCAATGAACTTGCGAAACAATCGCTTCTGGTGGTAAAACTCGTCTCCATCGGGATCTACGCTTTGACGAGACGCCATTCGACTCCAGCATGCAACGTATCACGGGATATGCTCCGAGACGTGCCCAGCTCTTGGGTGTGCATGGGAGCGTGTCTGGCAGTCATTCGGGCTTGAGTCATAACGGCAATCGCTTCAAGGTGGCGAAGACAGTTCGAACTTTTGGGACTGCTCTCCAGAATGGATTGTGCTTCCAGTTCTTCTTTCATCACGGACGGGTTCCGTTCCACAAATCCTTTCACGAACGGAAACGCGTGCGCGTGTGTGCGGCAGACGGAGTACTCGCGCGGAGAGCATCGCCCAGAAGAAGCCGGTGATCGAAGCGTACACCACGGGCGCGGAAAACGGACGACAGCGTCGAAGGGGCACCCTCTGTACCCGTCACAGGCACGTAACGAGCGACGAGGCAAGCTTTTACGCACCAACTATGACGGCCGGCGAGAGACCAGGTCAGGTGGACGCCTGCGAATACCGGACCGCAGCAAAGTGTCACTGCTGCGAAGCGTGCACCGAGGCTGTCTGCAAACAGAATGAAACCGTCAAGCAAAGCGAAGATCTCCTCATGCGCCTGTTCATAAAAAGCGTCGACAAGAGGCAATGGCGGTGCATTCGGGACTTGCACGCGACCATCAACGTCCTTCGACTGACGGCAACACATCTGGCGTCAAAAGACAGACCAATGTTTTCACAGTCGGATATAAGAGTGGGGAAAACGACACGGTTACAAAAGCGTCGCAAACATGCTGATGTTCACAACGATGTCAATAGGTCCAAACTCGAGCGTGCACGCCAGAGTCAGCCACGTGAACCTAGTCCAGTCCCTCTTTCGATATGGACGTAGCTGGCTCGCTCGCTCGCTCGCTCGCTCTTCCAAAGCGTTGGCGATCCGCTGCACACGTCGTTGCTTGACCAGAACGTCGTGATCATTTCAAACGGTACCGAGCGGTGCAGGTTCGCGAAGCGGTCGCGCATCCAGACCCCTAAAGCACAGCGATAGGAATCATCAACATGAAGTGCCCTGCGCACCAGGATGCTTCTGATGCCCGTCGAGTGAGGTGAACGTCTCAGAGATGGAGTCACGGCCTGGGGAATGAGGTCAGCGTCTGAGACTCGTATCCTCGAATTGCTGGATAACCGAGGACCATTCTAGGGCCGCACTATGGTCGGTAGGCTGCAGCTCCCACGGCACACGCTCCGCAACCCAGGCGTAATGGGCATGCACACAGTGCTCCTCGGAATGCAGCGGCATCTCCGCAGAGCGCTCCACGTCCTCGTTGCGTCCTAACGAACACGGATCCGATAGCCATGCCGTCGCTGCTGAAACCGAGAAACGCTTCGCCTGATCAAGTTTCTCCAGAGCATCCGCAAGATCTTCCACTTGCACACTGCAGAGGGCGCTGTTGTTGTAGGCAACTCGAACCCAGTCCCGAATAGGTGCAGTACGGAATAGGCCGCTGGGCACCGCTGCCGACGGCAGCATCGCTTCGGATTCTGGGGTTAACGCCCAGTCGCCATGATCGAGCGATTCACACAGAATCACTGCCGCATCGAAGGCATCAATGCTGTCCTCGTGGGCACCGCGCATACCGTCCAGAAGGCCGCGATGAAACAACAGCAATGCCCGCAACGCTTGCACGGTCATTTCCAGAGCGGGTTGCGCTATTCGACTTTGCCCCTGGACGATATCGGAGGTCATTGCAGGGACAGCTTCGAACGACGTGCGCTCTGGCAGCGCTTCCCCCGTGGACGCACTGGACGGCATTTCGGGAGCCACTGGAATGGGCAGCGTTTCGCGTGGACGCTCTTGACTCTGGATCATCGACTCTGGTGTTTCGTCGGGTACCTGGAAAATCTCCGCACGCGGGGCGGTGTCGGCGGTGTCGGGTGCGCGTATACCGGTTTCTCCGGCCAGCAACTGCAGTCGCTTGAGAATTTGCTCGCAAAGCTGCAGTGTCGCTACGGCGCACTCGATGGCTAACAGGGAAAGGAACCCTCGCATGATACAAAGCAGAAGCTGAACGAGCTGCGTCGTCTCCCAGAGATTGAGCGCGTTTGGTACCATATCGAGTAGCGGTTGCCAGCCGTGTATCCGGTGGTGCGTTGTGGTGGCCTGTTTCGCCAGGCATGCGCTGCAGACGCTCTGTTGAAAGTAGCCAGTGCGGGTCAGGAAGGAGGTTAGGTAATCGAGGACCAGCGCGTGGCCATCGATAGCGACTGCATGCTGGATCGCAGCCGCCAGAAGAACTCCGAAACATGTTCGCCAGGTATACAGGGCTATGTCGAGCGGTGATGGCTTGCAAGTTTCCGTGAATATGCCCTGCCAGTTCAGGAGGGAGTCGGCAAAACACGCTGGAATATCGGGAATAACGAGCGGTTCTTCGCGGGTTGCTGACTGCTCCGGTGAAGCACAGTCGGATGCGAGGCGTGCGGCTTCGCGACGAAGGGCGAGCTCGTGTACCCAGCACTCGATGAAGTGGAGCTCCTCGAGTAGGTCTGCGAGGGCTGCAAGCTTTCCTCTATGCACCTGAAGCCCAGAGGTTATGGAGGAGATCGACTCCGCTGTCGTAAGTTTGTGTAGTGCTTTGCATACTCGTCTGCGCCAGTTGTCCAGGGCTTCTGAAGCCGAAACAGCGGACTCTGGTCCAGCAGTCTCCGGGTGCAGCGCTGCTGGTGCCGTACCCGGAGACGCGGTTTCCGCAGACAGGTTCGACGACAGCGGTGTACGGGTTGCCGTTGCATCTGTTGCTACGTCCCCTGCTGGTCGCTGGTTGGCGCTCTCCATTCTGGTGACTGACAGCGTCCTGTGAACCGCTTGAAACGACGCACTGTTTCGATGCAGGAAATTTACAGAGCGAGTCGTAGCGTGATACGATCCTGGGCACACGACTTCGCTGCAGCGAGCAGGAGGCTGGGGTCGTGCCTTGCTCGCTTCCCCGAAACGAAGCGCTGAGCGAGTTCCCAGATTCCGTACCAGAAGTCTCCCGTGGCGTGCTCAGTTGTTTCCGTCCACACAATGATAAGCGATTCCGCCTTTGATCTCGAAGGAATACCTAGCTAGCTACCAGTTGCAGTGGCGGTGAGGCGCTTGTCGAGCGAACGTCCCTGCGACGCCCTAGTCCAATGAACGTGGTATTCGAACCTGATCGATTCGTTCGTGCGTTTCGGTTTTTTTCCGAACTTTTTTCGAGACTGAGCATTGAACATCTGTTTGCAGTCACAATCAATTTTGGATTCATACGTGGGTTACAAGAATTCTCAGTCGTCCTTTCCAGGGCGTTCCTTAGACGCTCTGCCGCTGCAACATGTTCGATCGATGGAGTCAGGATCAATCGCGACGCTCTTGAACACGGGCTCGTAGCCTCTCCCATGTCCTTATCCAATGCGTACCTGCAGGTCTCTTTTCTTCTGCTTGCCTTGCGTGCAGCATGCTTCAAAATCTGGCATTCTCCAAGTTTTAGATTTTTGTGCATCAACGTAAGCGAATGGTGCAACGATGAGCGCCTCTGGATCGACAAGGAGAAGTACGCTAGGTCGTGCGTTGGTGATTCTCGCGCAAGCTCCTACACAATGTTCAAAGAAACTGTCAAGTAAAACATGCCATTCCAAACACAAAAACTGCTCTCTTTGCGGTCATGGAGGCGACGGCATTCCGCGTCTGCATGAGTCCTCTATCTGGATATGCTTCCAGAGACTCCCGGTGCTTCCGTTTGCATGGATAATGGTGTTGGATTCGGATTCGAGTCATCGTAGCGATCTCGACAAGTGGAGCGACTGTCACCGCCTTGCTTGAAGGAATCGCAGATGGATCAGACGCTCTCCACTTCTCCATCCTGGAATTTTCCTTTTTGATTCCTGTTTCATCAGGGACAACAACGCGCCTTCCACAAATCCTCGATCGATTGGAACATCGTGCACCGGCGGGCGCTCTATAACGTAAACTCGCAGACAAGACCACGAAGAAGAAGCCGCTGATCCCAGGACACGATACCGAGTGCGGAGTCTGATGCGAACGTCAGAGGCATCCCTCGGAGCTCGTCAAGGACATGTGACCGGCGATGATGCGAACGTTCACACAAGCCATAGGGCGACCTCACTAAGCGAAGCTGCAGTTGGCATACAGGTATCCCAGAACACAACCAAGTGTCACCGTTGCAACTGGCGTACAGGACGGTCTACCAAGCGGATGAAAGTGGCAAGCCAAGCGCATTTCGTATCGACCGCTTGTGCATGAAATGCGTCGGCAACAATCCAAAGCACCGATATCGGGATTTGAACGCCATCATCAATATCCAATGACTGCTGATCACCGATCTCGAAGCACAGAAGAGGCAGGCGTCGTTCAAGGCGGAAATCAGAGACACAGGAAACGGAAGCAGTCGCACAAGCAAAAACAGGCTGCAGATTCCAACGCTCATGACACTGGGAAGAGACGCGAACTTTCGTGTGTAGCCTCGTGTTTGGTTTGGGAACCCATTCCCATCTAGTCGAAAATCGACATAGAACGAACGCACGAACGATGCACCAGTTCTGAGTAGCATCCACAGGATGTAGACGATGTCGTCGTAGACGAGCGCAATAGCAGCTGTGCTCGTGACTCGGCATACCACGCGGCTTGGTACGGGCCTAACTGCTCGGTATTGGTGTTCGTGTACAGCGGTTATACGTCAGTCCGGACCTTGATGACGACGGAAACCATTCGTGGTACCGTTGAAGTGTCGGATCCGTTTGTTGGTGTGCACGAAGCGGTGCTGGCAGGCGTTGACGCAAACACAGGAACTGCAACACATGACGCCGCGTCGACGTTGAACGAAGACCTCTGGGTAGCGCGCTCGATACGCGTACGTCAGGTACTCTTACCGACTTTCCGGCGTACGCTGGGGCCACCTGATCTATGTGTCGTTTACAAAAGCTGGAGGACTGTGCTTGCGAGCGGAAGCGACGGGCGTGCAAACAGCACCAAAGTGAACATTTCTAGCGGTGCCGGTGCCGAAGTGCCGGCAACGAGCACCCCAGACTCCCTAGCCATGGAGGTAACGTCCGGAGATCTCAAAAGTCGTGGAGCACAGCTGGCTGCTTGGTTTCACTTCGTTCGCGGGATATGGCATCGAACACCTGCGGACGCAGCGAGCTATCTGGGCTCCCTCGTGAAGCACGGTCTCGAGGGCGCCTCGTGGTACGCTACTGGAAGCTATCGGATCGATCGAGCTGCCTGCCTGGCTTACAACTGTTTCACCAACGAAGATACCGTTGTCGAGGCACGCTTTCCTGGGTGTACGCAGGTTAAACGACTGAGAGGTCCGGAGCCGTTCCACCAAAGCGTTGCAAACGAGAATGGGCAACCTGCTACGCGACAAGTCGCCGACACTCAAGATGACGAGAACCAATGGGCACAGCTCTTCGTCAGTGCTGTTCTCCGCTCTGTGAAAGCAACTGGTGAGCATCCCCTCTATCCAGCTCTCAAAGTTGTTGCTACGTTGGATGTAGCGTGGAACGCGGAACAACTCTTCCTCGACGCTGCGGCGCGTACTTTGCCACAATGGAAGCTGGCAGGCTCTCGCTTTGTTGACGCTGCCCAGGCGACGGCGACCTGCTCTATCATCGCTGAGGGCGTTTGGGAGTATTTCGCACGTTACGCTCGTTATCAGGCCGCTCAGGATTTCTTCCAGACGCTCGCGACGTCATGCCACGAGCCGGCACTCGTGCTCTACGTCGCTCGATCGTTGATGGGCCAGCGCCAACATCAGATTGCTCAGAAAAAGCTGGAAGAGCTGCTTTTGGATCAGGCAGCTTGCGCCGAACTTCCTGGTATCGATCGACTGCTGCTCGAACTGACGCTCGCGGAATGTGAGCTCGAGCTTGGCAACCTGATCGAAGCTACGGATCGCATCCAGGGTACGGTGATTCCGGAGTGCTTCGGTACGCACACGTCTCCAGAATCATCGGCTACTGGAGCAGCTGCTCAAGAGGAACGCACCAAGCACCTGAATACGACTGATGCCGTCGAAGCAAGCGACGAAGAGAGCGCCAACGTTCGGATCGCTGCACCAGGTGAACTTGGACGTCTCGCCTGTTTCCTGCTCGCGCGCCTCTATGTACAAACTGGGGAGTATGAGTCCGCGCTCCGCTCGTTGAATATAGCAGATGTGGAACCGCCGCAGATGGACTGGTTTCTGAGGCAGGTGACAGCACCCGATTCAAGCCCTGGGATTGAGGGGAAAACAAGCAAGATGCGGCAGTTGACACAGCCTCGTCCGGGCTTTGCAGCCGGAACCGACGGTGTTCGAGTACTGGCGCGTCGCCTCTCGGAGGAACGTATAGGAGCAGGCGCCTTTGGCAAGGGTCGTGAGCAACACCACGCCGATCGCCTGCTGGGTGATCTCACAGCGAGTGTACTCAGCCCGGAGGAGCGGGAAGCATTCGATATCCTGGTGAAGATCGTCAACCAAATCGGTTGGGATGAGTTCCTTCTCATTCGCAATCGAGTCTTTATCATGGAGTCGGATGTATTGCCTTTGGAGTCGGCTGGTACTGGAGCTCTCGAGTTGTCGACGGCATCTGCCGAGGCTCGCCCCGCACCGCCACACGAATCCCCTCCGCAGCACTCAAGTACGGACAACGCTGAAGAGCCGTCCCTGCAGACGATCTCGTTGTCTTCAAGACGCGAACCAGCAACCGAAACACAAGTACACAGCACGGGCACTGGACCGCTTGGCGCTACCCAAAGCGACCTGGACGGCCACCAACAAGGCGAACCCAAAGCAACCCTGACACTGGCGGACGCGCGGCGTCAGGTGCACCCTGCTGCGCTCAGCAAAGCGCTCTGCACGGCGTGGTTGGATATGCTGATTCATTGCTTGTATGAGGACCTGAGAGCCTGGTCGATTTGGCAACACGAAGAATCCACGCTCTATGAGTCTCTGCATTCGAACGAAACGACGGCTGCGGAGAATGCCGAGCGTGCTGCATCTCCAGCGCTGGTCTCTGAATCATTGTTGATTACCGAAACACGACGTGCACCAGTGGATTGGCTTCGACGTGGTGAACTGGCCGAGCGACTCGGTCGACCAGAGATGGCAGAGCGCGCCTACCGTATCTGCCTCGGTGTTGCAGAGCGGGCTCAGACGCCAACGCTTACCGTCTGGTTTCGTTTGGCGGCCTTGCAGACAGAGCACGGCGAGGCGCCTGCCGTTGTGCAAGCCCTGGATCACATCTGGCAATACTTGGTTGAGCATACCGATGATTCCGGTAAGAGTACATTGACGACGAGAACGGAGCGCTTGCTTCCAGAGACCATGCAGGCAGTGCTTTGTCATGCGGTTGCTCGTTTCGGCTTTCAGACGGTGCGGGCGGCAGTGTCGACGCTGCGACAGCACCAGGAGCGCATGCGTTCTCTGCTGTTGGATGCGGTGGCGGCACAGGTGCACGGCTACGATCGATAACGCTCTGAAACGCGCATGCCGTATGAGCGGAAGCAGCGGGACACATCATGCTGGTCGTACGCATTCGTAAAACATCTCTGGACACAGACACACATTCATACACATGCTTTTGCTTTGCAGTCGCGTGGGAGCAAGGCTCTGCGACGCAGCGACGCCCTGCTTGGCTACCTGTGGGCGCCATACAGCCGCAAAGATACCGTGCGGGTGGCGGCATCGACATCGACAAGGTCGATACAGTGTATGCAGAGGGCCACTGGCCCCGTTTCTCTCGATACACGCGTTGCAGGTCCGCTTGAACTGCTGTAACGCGGTAGAGTGCAGCCAGGCCGTAATCGTTGCCAACGGAAAAACCGATCTCCAGCATGATGATGTACAAAGATCATGCTGGATGAACGAACGAACGAATGAATGAATGAATGAATGAATGATGGGCATCGGTGTCGAGCGAGGCTATCGAGCACGCCTTGTGCACAACGTATGCAAAGGCGCGGCGCTGCCTATGGAAGAAGCGCACCAGAGGAGGCAGGGTTATCGTGAACGCACTGGTGTGCGGCAGCATTGCATGTTCGACGAGCACTGGGCTCCACGCCTTCTCCTCTATCACTGATGAGCAGTCTAGATGCGTTTTGGTGTTCTACCAATGCGTCCGTCGGCGCTCCAGGCGATGCACTTCGCCTTGGCGCTTGCCCCGAAGCGATCCATCGATAGACAGGTAGAGCGGTGGAGACGGATCAATGCATAGATTGATCAGTAGTGTGGATGCCTCATAGATTCTCCGTATCCACAATTGATAGTCATGGACAATTATTCCACAGCTCAATGTTCTTTAGCATGAAACATGCAAGCCGCCGACTCGAATTCACCACACCGTGCTCCCAGACGAACCCAGAGCAACGTATCGTGGGTAAACACCGGTTGGTTACAGGCCTGCTGCCCTAGACGACAGCGTCAGGAATGGACGTCGTCTCGGAAACCTGTATCGCTTCCATCTCCGATGCGGATGCAGTCCTTCGTGCACCAACCGTCGACGCGGTACTCTGATGTCCAGGTACGCGTCCCTCGAGTCGGAGGAACCGGTTCATGGTCACCAAGTGCGACAATGCACAACCCAGCACTGCTCCTCCTAGCACGTCAACCACGTCATGGTGATGATCGAGAACGCGTGAGGCCGCAACCAGGGTCGCCCCGGTCCACGGCAGCAAGCGTAAAAGCAAATGAACCATGGTTACGCTGGGCAATGCCTCGAACCAGGGCAGCGGTATGCCGAGATACCAGATGCAGCACTGCCAGTGCATGACACCACTGAAAGCTAAAGCGGCATGTCCAGACGGGAACGACTTGCGCGCTTCACGTACCTGCCACGGGTCACCGGCACACTCGTGACGCAGGACGGGGTCCAGGTACTGCCCACAGACTTGTGCAAAGTAGGGACGCGGTTTTCCGATCAGCAGCTTCAGTACGACGGTAGCGAGCAGTGTCAGGCCATTGGCCTCGATAACGCCCGTTAAAAGATCCAGCAAGGTGCCGCCCTTCGATCTGAAGCCGTTTCCAAACGACTCGCGCAGCCGCTGCTGCTGCTGCTGCTGCTGCCACCAAAGCATCCCCACTGGAGCCACGTAGGCAAAAAGGAGCAGCAGCGGCGCCGGGACCAGCTCTGCCCGTTTCGGAAGTTGAACGCTGGGATCTTCCAACGCTACTGCAGTGACCCGAGGCGGTATGTATCGATCGAGGACAAGGGGGAGCACCCATCCGACAAGCACCGCCAGGCTGCAGTCCACCAGTTCCGAACGCTTCATCCAACGACGCTCACTGTCAAGCGCTTCCAGAGCGTAACTGCCGTTCATCGCATCGATGTCGGTTACGCAGTGACTCTCGTCTTGCAGAGAATACACCCCGAAATACTTGTTAGGGCTCGAAAGTAACGATGGTAGCCTTGTGCATGAAGCGTTTAGCGTTCAGCGTCGTAACCGGGCAGGGGAGCATCGGCCGCTGCAGCGAAGCCCCGGTACCGGTACCGCGGGGACTGCGTTACAGGCGAAAAAGTCACAGTGCTTCTCAGACGTAAAACAAGAACACTGACAGGGAGTAGCCTGATCAGTTTCGGTTCAGTGAGGGACTGCCTTGGGACACGAGTCACGATACCTACGGGTCAACGGTTCCCGACTTGTGAGCGCGTAGCTTGTCTTGTCGTAGCGGAGCGGAGCGTGAAAGGCTAATCGAGGAGGTGTTGGCGCTCGAGCGTTGGACCAGCCTGAACAGTGACTGGTGTCGTAGGGTTGCCTGCTACGACACGCGTTCTTGCTGGTAGAATCGCACGATTTGTGCGCTTTCGCCGAGAGTGACTCGACTGACTGGCTCGGGAAACGGTGCGGCGGTGGAGCCCCCAGGTACAGACGAGCCCTCTACGGAACGTACCTCGACACCTGGTGAACTATCAGTACTGCTGCTGCCGCTGTGTCACTACGGATTTCCACAACGCTACGAGCGCTGTGTAGTACGCTGTTCCGGTACCCGTACAGGGTCTTGGGCCCTGACTGAGTTGCTCCTGGTTGTGGAACCAGGTGTCCTCTGGTGCAGCGTCTGGCAGCTACTGTCAACGCTGCGCTGTCTGTCTGTCTGTCTGTCTGTGTGCTCGACGCTGTCTCGCTTGGAGTTTACGAGCCGTTCTTCGAATTCCTTGTTACGAGGCGGGTCTCTTTTCAACTGTACGCTCTACGCGTACATGATCTGGTACAGAGAGCAAAACGCGAGTGGCAAAGCTGGGCTGGGGGCGCTCCACCGTGTGAGAAACGCCGTGCCCGCACGCTCCTCGCATCACGGTGGTGAATGCCGGCTTCCTCGTCGACGGTGGTAACGTATCCTGATGGAGCCTTTGCGTTGGTAAACCGTCGCGGTCGGCCGGTTTGGCTCACCTCCCATCGCCTGAGGGTGCCGAACCTCGGCCTGGTGGTGTTCGAGGCTGCCGGCGACCACGACATTGTTTGTCTGCTCTGTCACCGCTCAACTGGTGTCGATGCGGACTCGCGGGTCGAGACACAGGCACAAGGCTCGCGAGCCTGCTTCGAGATATCCTTTCAAAGCCATCGACGGACGCGAACGCTTCTTCGGGAGCATGGCGTTGTCCGCCAAGAGTACATATATGAGCGTCCTGCACTGGGACGCAATGCGAGCCAGGAGTCACATGCTGGACCCCGTGGAGCTGCTTTGCCTTTTCCCGGGCATTCTGTAGCGACTGGTGGCCCGTTCACCAATGCAGGAAGAGATATCGCCCCGCTCTCACAAGAGTTCCTCAATGGACAAAGTCGGCAACGCTACTGGGTCGCGCTCTCGCCGGAATATGTTGCCGCTGGTCTCGGTTGGCCGGGCGAGTCGTCTCACCTCCATTACCGGCGAATGCGGCGTGAGCAAACGACAACAGTTGCTACGGGAAGCGTGCTGGACGCTTTCACCGAATCATGCCCCATTCAATGGATTGGCTTCTCTTGCTGGGACACCGCGGTCATCTTCTATCGAGTCGATGTCCTGCATCTGCCGCAGGTTCGGCTGCTACCGTGGATAGCTGCTGCTGCTGCTGCTGCTGCTGCTGCTGAACAAGAGGAAGAAGAAGGCTCTACAACAGCGCTCGGAGACGGCGTTCATGGCAGTGCGCAGGCTCGGGTGCGCTGCGAGCACGCGACGAGCCCGCTGCCTTCACGTGCACAAGACGCGAGCCTTCGTCGGCAGGCTGGACCCCTGCGCTCAACAACACGCCCGCCAATACCTGATCAGGGAGATGCAGAGAACGGCACGGGCCAGAAAGCATCCCAGCATCGATCGAGCAGCGACCTGGTGCTCTTCTGGTGTGCCAAGGATGCCGTGTACGTGCCTGCGTGGACGACGGGTGCTGTGCCCGCTCCAGCAAATCGATCACCGAGAAAATTGTCAGTGGAGCTCGAAGCACTCGCACTGAGAAACACAGATGAAAGCATTAAGAATCGTAAGAACAGTAACAGCAGCACTAGCAGTCACCACGGAACGAAGCAGCACATCAACACCAACACCAGTGACGTGCCTGGCGAGTGGGTACCCGTATGGGCGCCACGGCAGCAGCTCATCGCCGTGTCGCCGGTATTTCGGGCACTTCTCGAGACCTCGGGCATGCGAGAGAGCCGATCACTCACCAGCACATGCCCCGGTGCTGGGGCACCACCCGAATCGGAAACGGTGGTAAAGCAGCCGGACCCTCTGTGTGGCATCATGCTACCTAGCGTGTCGGCAGGGTGTCTGCGCACCGCGCTGCAGTTCCTCGAACGATACCCCGGAGAAGCGAAAACCCCGTATCGAGAGCACTGGACTCCGGAACAGGCCCTAGCGCTGCTCTGTTTCGCTGATACTTTTCAATGGGATCACCTTGAATGCGAAGCAGCCCGAGCACTGGTGCACCATATGCGCACATTGAGTGAGCATCACTTGCCGTGGACTGCAGCTGTCGCGGAGACAGCTCTGCGACTGAGTCGTTCGGATATGCTCCTCACCGCCTGGGAAGCGATGGCGCGTTCACTGGATCACTGCTGGGACCTGATGCAAACCGACATGACGGGCAGCAGTAGCAGCAGCAGCGGCAGCAGCAGCGAGAGCAGTTGCGATACCAGTCACTGTTGTGCGAGTACGGCAGACGCGCGCCCGTCGGTACCAAGTGCCGAACAAAACGTGTCACCACAGTGGCATTCTCCTGCGTCGCCCGACGAACAGGAAGCGAGCGTGCCAGTACCTCCCTGGGTACCCGCGGAGGTGCAGACCGGCATCCTCGAAGGCCAGAGTAGAGGTGCAGCGTGCGCTTCGGCCTCGAGCACCTCGACACCGCCAGAGGATCCCAACGCCCTTGTCGAGGCGACACTGCAGCGTCTGGACTTGTACTGCCTCCTTGGTATGCTTTCGTTCTGGAATCGACCTGAGGCATCGCTCGTGCTACTGCAGCAGTGGCTCGACACGCGCGCCCAGGCACCAACGTGCACGAAAGTCGACACACCCGAGCAGCTGGTACTCATGGGATCACCGGGGACAGCAGCATCTGCGGTAGGGCCTGCTGCCGACGCCGCTGCAAAGCGAGCGAATATGCTTTTGGAATGGGCTTGTGCATTCGCAGCAGCTGCCGATGTTTCGAGTCTGGAGCACCATATCGAACGACACGAAATCGACGAGCATTGCTTGCCGAGCCTCGAACTCATTGACGAGGATCATCTGTTCTATAGGCCGAGAGTTTGTGTGCCGCCGCAGCTGGACACATTCGTGGACGAACACGTGTCGCTAGCCGTGGCTTGTTCAGTACTCCAACCGTCGCCATGGAGTCGCGATCCAGTGAATATGCCACCAGACGGACGAAACTGGCAGCACGTCTTTGTGCGATATCTACCGGGAACAGAAGCCAATGGTATCCTGTCGTTTCTCGGGACGCTTCCCCAGGGACGCGTGTGGAGAAATCCGCATCGAACTGGTATGGTGCGCATCACCGCTTCCTCGTTACTGAACCTGAACTGCGAACTACTCTGCGATCATCTGGGGCGTGCTGCCCATAGCTTTGTCGCTCCGAGGCGGACCAAGGAGCCAGCCAGACGTTCGTTGCCTGTATACGACGACAACGACGACGACGTGGATCGTGCGACGCTTTCTTCTGGGCGTGCTGCGCGACAGCACAGCGGTTCGATAACACAGACGGGACCAGTGACCGCTCTGCAAGAGTCGAACGACAATGACAATGACAATGACACTGCATGGGTCTCTATTGACTTGGGTGCTTTGCGTCGCGTTCGCTTGACGCATTACGCTTTACGTCATGATGAGCGCGATGGTGAATACCTGCGTGAATGGATTCTTGAAGGCAGACCCGACGACAACGATCATGTCGATTTCGAGAATCAGAAGCTTGACAAGGCGCACACTCAAGCCGGTGGACCTACGCAGGTCGCCTGCGCTTGCTCAGCACCGTCGACATCGTCGCAGCGGATACGGCAAACGAACGCCACCCATGGGTTGCCCTGGGTAGTGCTCCAGCACCAGCACCACGATGAACGGCTGACAAGTCCACATGCGTTCGCTGTCTGGTCGCTGGGCGCAGTGCCGAACAAGCCAAGCAGAGCGTGGACTGGTGTGCATCCGCATGACAAGCGGGGCGCTGCTGCTGGTGCTTCTGAAGCTGCCGTTGCTGGTGCTGCTGCTGCTGGTGCTGTTGGTGCTGCTGGTGCTTCTGATGCTGCCGGTGCTGCTGCTCAGGCACCATTGCTGCGCTACATTCGCTTACGAGCTCTGCGAAATAGTTCAGGTACAGATCGACTGGTACTGGCGTCATGGGAGTTTTACGGGCAAGTATGGTGGCGCAGCAGCGACGTGAGTGAACGTCTAAACCTCTGAACCAACACCAGAGGCGGCATGCTACGACTGCGTTCAGCGCCTTTCTTTCTCGAGGATGTCGCTCCTAACCAGGCATCGCCGAGTGCATGACGTTTTTCGGTATCGCTGGGAGCAGCTGTCATGCTGCACCGAGCGGGAGAATACGCACGACGCTGGGTCACGCGTGTCGATACTCGGTTCAAGACGTGCGGGATGCTTCGTAAGCGCGCTTTGGCATCTCGTTTCGCTCTGCACTCCCGTGAGGTTTCCGCCGGCCTCGTGTGTCACGTCGAGCGCTACCGCAAGCGCGCAAATGACCAGGAGCTCAGGGTATCAGGGCGTAACGTTCTGCTCCCGACTCGTGGATCGCTTGTGTATGTGTGTGCGCGGTACACGATCAATGCTGTGAAACGACGTATGCTTCGTGAATACGCCACTCCTGTTCTGAATTCCGGGTAGCGACCGGTGCTCGTGCTTACCGATACGCATCCGATGCGTTCCAGCGTGCCAGCATCGTTACGAGGACGACAATAGCGGTTGCCTGGGTGCGTCCTCCGCGAGCCGTGCGACAGCGGTTGACTCGCCGTCCATGCCCCAGCATCACGACACCAGTTTCAGCTTGAACTGGAACACTGGACAGCTAGATCTGGACCTGTTCGTCGACGTTCTCCGAGGTGTTCCCTCGTATATGCATTGTGCCGAATTTCGAAGCGCAGCAGAAGAGCAAGGCCTTGCGGACTCGCATGTCGCTTCAGGATGCACGGTCTTCTTTTCGATGTGGCTTCGTAGACTGTTTGGCGCTAGAGTTCCCGTCGTCGTCAACAGAATCAACATGATCCGGAACGCAACGGAAGAAGCATTCGCAAGGTAATCGATACCGGGATCCAGTGCAGGCGCAGAATCCCCTGTTCCTCTCATCTCCGTCCGTATGGCATGCTGAAATCAGACATTTTTCACGTTTTCGTTTTTCCTGATTCAAGGCAACTCGCGGGCACACCAGTTCGCACTACTCGAAAGACGAGCATAGCACGTCGACGACGTCGTGCTTTCGACGACTTGCTCACCAGCGTATACCGAATGGTCACGGAGCTTGTCACGTCAAATGATCGATTTCGCTAGAACGAAAGATCGCCTTCTTTTTATGGACATCAACGAAACGACACTCCACGGCAACATGAACCGTTCACGAGCAATTGTGGTCCCAGCGAGGCCCCGGTCTCTTCTGGTCCTAGGCAAAAAAAAAACTTCTTGGACGCGAGCGGTCTCGCAACGTTCGCTTCCAGTGGAGCGCGCGTGACTCCTCCGCCCGACCAGAGCCCCAACGGATCGAGCTGATATCTCGACTGCGGCACCGGTCTGGGTTTTTCGTATGGTACTCGAGTCATACTGGACAGTACCGCACTCCACAAGTCGTTTCGAGCGATCGGCATAGCGTGCGCTTGCACCTGCAGCACCCAGCGTACTCGTCAAGTCGATCGCCAAACCGCGGTCCGTGATCGACTGGTACAGCACCTGGCGCAGATGATGAAGCAGGAGATCGAAAGGAGCCCTCTGTACCGGTTCACGATACGTGCCGAGCGATGAAACAGAGAACGTTCCTGCGTCGCTGTACCGGCTTTAGAAGATGAGCGATGCTGGATAGACGGAAACACCTGACCATAGCCAAGCGACGACGCTGCCTCAAGCGCACCGAGCTTGTATGGTAACCCCACGAACACATGCGTAGCGAAAGCGATGTATGGATTGCGTTTTTCAAGAGTCCTTCGTTCCTCTGATGTAGGTGTCTAGGGCGAACGTATCGAGGCCCCTGGGCTGCCCGCACAACGACGACGACGACGACGACGACTTGTCGAGCGACCTCGCTCAGGCGTCACTTGATCAAACGAGGGCGAACGCTCCAGCTTGGTGCTGTTCTGTTGTTGCTTACGAGAATGACTACGATGGTTATGATTATGACGGTGATGAAGGTGCTCTTGGAGTAGTTGCTGCATTGCAGTGCGAGCACGCGCTCGTGCAAGTTGCCGCGCACTTGCCGGTGTTCGCCAGCCGCTGCCTGGTGTGCACAGTGCAGCGCTCCCAGGCACACCAGCCGCGTTTTTCGGAGTCGATGTAGACGCTGATATTGCCCTTGTCGTTGCTGTAGGTGCTCCTGGTGTCCAGAGTACGGGCGAGTCCGCGTCTGGAGACCTGAGCATCGACAACCTACTGCTGTTGCTGTTGCTGAGGTGCTGGGGCACGCGTGCGGGTGTCGTCATCGTCGCTGCTGCTGCTGCTGCTGCTGCTGCTGCTGCTGTGCCACCCTTGTCATCATCGTCGTCATTGTCGCCAGTGCTGATCCCGTGACAACCAACGCCCTGATCAACATGTGCGCCGCGTGCGAGGCACTGTGCGAACGCTTGGACGAGTTCGCGTTGCTCTGGGCGCTTGGCGGCTCGTTGCACCCGAGCCAGCACATGGGACAGAGCCTCCGCTACGACACCGTCTGCTAGCCAGTGCGTGTAGCACTTGCTGAGCTCCACGAGACGGCGGAGACAACGCTCGCTGGTGCAGTGCAACAGCGGCAGGCACAGCGCCAAACGTTGTGCAGTATGCACATCGGCGGCACCCCGCAGACGGTAACAGAAACGTTCCAGCAGGTGCTCTGTCAGACGCTCCTGGCGCACAAACGATAAGAGGAATTGCATCATATCCAGGAATGCTTCCGTGGATATGGACGGTTGCAGAGCTTTCGGTTTTGTGAGCCGGCTCGGTGCGTGCCCGCTAACCAGCGTTGCCGCCTCCTCCTCCGCCTCCTCCTCCTGGGACAGACTGCAAACCAGGTCCGGAAGCAGCAGCATGAACGTTTGTGCTGCACTGACGCGCTTACGCTGCATTTCAGTGAAAAGTGTTCGAGCGAGTCGCGCGACGCTAGCGTCAGAATCCTGCAGACAGCGCACCAGGTCGACCCAGTGTCCCTTAATTTTGATCATTTCGTTAAGAATGAGGTGCGTCAGCACCATGAGCATATAGCGACGCACCCGAGCGTCTTGATCCTGGCGCAGTACCGTATACAGTTGATCTGTCCACGGCTCGAGCCGGTTGGGAAAGCGGGCAACCAGGTCACCCAGTGCGACCACAATGTTGATGCGCACTACAGCGCTGGATGCTTGTTGCAGGGCGGTGAAGAGCACACGCAGGAAGCGCTCGGCAACGGACTCGTGGAGACAGGCGAGTCGTCCCAGGCACAGGGCGGCAGCAGCCCCGAGTGTATTGTCCGCGCTAGACCGAGGCTGGACTCGGGCGCCATGCACAGGCGTCTGCGCTGCGGTAACGCTGGAGTCGTCCTCGAGAGATGCAGCAGGCTGCGACTGCGACTGCGACTGCGACTGCGACTGCGGTGTCCAAGCACAAGCGCGTAACAGCACATGGGCAGCGAGTGGTGCCAGCGCCGCCAGAGGTGCCTCCGGTGCCGTCAGCTCCGTCTCCAGCACGCTGCACAGCTGATCCAGACGACTTTCCAGGTACTGGAGGCGCTCGGGATCGATACCAACGTGCGCGACGCTAGCTTCCGTAACGGACGCGGCCGCTTTCGAGTGCGACTGACGAGCACGTCGCGCTTGGCCCGTTGCCGGTGTCGTCAAAGTTGCCTCCACCTGCTTTGACGCATCGTCGAGTTGCAGCTGCGCAACTGCCTCGGCGAGACAGGTCTCGACCGGGTTCGTCGACGACTCGGAGCGCAGACAAGCGCGTACACTCTTCACGGCAAAGTGCAGTTGGTGCACAGCAAAAGCGCTGCCCACGGTGAAGAGGCGGCTTAGCCAAGAGCTGGCGCAACGAACCTGCGGTTTGTCTTGGTGCACGTCGCCATGAGCCGTGCTGCCTTGCGAGCCTCTCGCCTGTTGCTGTGCAACCTGGTGCCGCTCCACAAGGCGCTGCAGAACCCGATGAACGCTCTGCGAAGGATCCCGGCTGCAATGGAAGAGGCATGTGACAGCGGCCTGAGCGGCTGCTGGCCAGTACACACTCCTGGTGTCGTCGACGAGCAGCGCCTCGACCTTGCCGACAAGCAGTCCATCTTCGGAGTCTAACGACTGGGCTGCTAGACCGTGGGTAAGTGCCGCGCAGGCCCAACGGGCAGTCACCAGATCAGTAAACGCGTGCTCTCGCAGCAGCTCGCATTGCGACTTGGTGAGTGGCTTTGCGGATACGACGCACTGAATGAGGAAGGTGCATCCACGGATGAGTTCCAAGTTCGCACCGGGAATTCGACCGGCGAGCACGTCCCACCAGCACTGCAGGACCGAAGGAGCGAGGCGCTCACTGCGATACAATGCTGGCAAGAGTCGCTCGAAGCAGGTCAGTTCGCCAACAGTAGCCCGAGCGACCAGCGACACCAGGGATCTGGTGATGGCCAAGACACCCATGGTCTGCAGCGCTTCTGTCGCGAGTGCCATATCTTGTTGCTGCTTTGTCGAGCGCAAGACCTGTTCCAGCGGCAGAACGAAGCACATGGTGTAAAAGGCATCGAGCGCTGCTGTCTGAACGCTTTCCTCCCGGGATAAACCCAGACGTAAAGTCTGCTTGGGTGCCTCAGCCACAGCAGCTGGCACCTCGAACTGGTAAGCTGTGCACAAGACACGAATGGCATCGAGCACGTCACCGTTCTGACGGGAACGACACAGCCTGCTGACCAGCGGGATAGCTTTGTTGAGAATTTCCGCAAAAGTAGCTGCGCCCGCATAGAAAGAAGCACCTTCTTGCGCTAACGCGAAGGGCATCTCGAACGTTGAGGCGGGGTCATCGGGCGCTATACGGAGGCACTGAGCTTGGCGCTGTATAAACAATGCCGGCTGCAGACGATCAGCAAACGGGTTCAACCGGATGGCAACGGCAATAAGTTGCAGGGCAGCACGGCGTACGTGCATCGACTTGTCTTGCAGCCGCTGCGCGACCTGAGCAGCCAGGGTAGCATACAAGCTGACGGGTACACAACGAGCCTCGATGAGCTGTTGCCAGACCTGGAGCGTCCGCGAGCGCGCCAAAGCATGCACGTCATCCAGGCGTCGCAAGAGCAACTGCAGCAGGCGCTCTTGGAGCGTCATGGACTCGTCGTGTGGCTCCTGGTGAGGCGCCTGTACAGCCTCAGGGCTCCTGTGTTCTGCCAGATGCTTCAGGACACATCCAAAGGCTTGCACAAGCGCGTTACGAACGGAGTATGCCTCACCATCGAAATGCGGAATCCATGCAGCAAAATAGGGAACCAGCGTCCCAGGAGAGCGCTCTGCAAGCTCCGTGAGAAACCGTGCAACATGACGCGCACAGGTATTGTCACGAGCGAGTTCACTAATAGGAATCTGGGTCACTTGCGTCATCAGGTCTCGAATGCAGTCATCGCGTCCGGCTTGGCTGACGGAGAGCGCTGGTACATCGCCACGAGTCAACGATTCCTGGAGCGCGTCCCTGGTATTAGAGCCGCTGCGGCGCTGCGTGTTGCCGCTGTCAGCGTCATCTTGACACAGCACCACCACGATATCGACGAGAACCGGGGCTACATGCTCATACCGTTGCAAACTGTGAACGAGAATGGGACACAATCGACCAGCTTGTCCGTAGCGCGAGAGGCACTCTACGATGAGATCAACGAGCAGCGCTCGTGCTCGCTCCTTGCGACATACCAGACGCGACTCGAGCAAGGCACAGGACGTGCGCACAAACAGGTAGAGGTATGCGTCTTCGGGAATTGCTGAGGGAAAGGCGAGTTTGATGATGCCTTCTTGGCGCAGGAGCTCACCGAATGCCTCTAGGAGACGCTCGCGCTCGCCCTCGTAGAGCTCAGCCCATGAATTCTCTGGACCAGCATGCTCGCGTTCTCCAGGCAAGTCCCCGGTGCATACCGTTGCCTGGTCTTCTGCGTATGCTGGCGATTCCTCATCGGAAGCATCCGACTCGACGATGAAACGAGACGTCTTCTTGCGAAGGTTGGGGCGCTTCGCCCGACAGCGCGCCGGTGTGCCGCCTTGATTGGTGCCTGTGCGCGCCGAGCTGCTCTCAAGACGAGTTACCCTGCTGCCACCAGAGGTACCGGCAAGCGGCAGACTTAAGGCGACAGCGTCCTCAGCAAGTTCACGCTCCACGGCCTGCAGCCAGTGGGCGCTAACGAACGCCACCAAGCGAAGAATAGAGCGCCAGGTATCCGTACCGGTTCGGTTTGCGGGGTCTGCACTGAGCTCAGCGCGGGCTGCGTTCCGCATGACGTGTAGTGCTTGCTTGATCCCGTGTTGAACACAAGTAAAAAGCTGTGCCCGGATGCTGAAGTCATTCAGTCCGCACCAGTGATGAATGCACCAAAGAAGAGCGCGCAGTTGCGCTGCTGCTCGGTCGCTCAGAGGAGCGAGCCACCAGGACAGGGACTGGTCGCCATCGACACCGGCAAGCGAGTCCAAACATTGGATGGTTTCGTTTTCCGCAACGTCTTCGGGTATGAGCAGCGCGTTGGCAGCATGGTCGGAAACGTGACCGGAGGCGAGCGCCACAGCGCTCTGTACCATATCAGGGTCGGAGAGGTCGAATGCGTCCACGGAAACGGCGTAGCGCGGAGCAACCGGCCCTCTCGCGGGGTGCTTGCTCCTGAGGTCCGGATCCAGAACCACATCTTCCCAATGGAACGGGAGCAGAAACGCTTCCGCAGACGTCATTGCTTGAAGTGTTTTGTGAACTAGAGCGATAGGGTGTTTTGGAGCGGGAGCGCGCTGCAGCTGCGCAGTGTGCCCGGCCGACGGGCGCATCCGTTCCGAGGCGTTTGCATTTGAAATCCCGAAACGCTCGGCGGACTATTGTCCTAAATATATATGATTGTTCCAAAATATCCTCTCCAGCGCATCGTTGTCGTATACTGTACAAATAGGACACTCCACATGAAGCCGCATCCACGCAGGTGTTCCCTCGTTTGAACCAGGTACTAGGCGATGCACCGACGCTGCTTGGACCCGAGGACCAGACCTCGACTCCGATACGGACGCGTCCACGTTACGCTGCAACCAGAACAGTGCTGTCGTTTTAGCGTCAAGTCTGATTTGATGGAACGGTTTCGCAGACGCCTTTGAGTGTCTGGGCGGCTTTGCGCGAGCCGTGCGTGCGTCCGTACGCGGCACCTGTCAGCGGTGCATGAGCTATGCATGGAAAGAAGCAACCTGCTCCTTGAACAGCACATCAGGATGCATTCGTGGATCATGGATAAGCTTCCTGATGGACGGTATCGTTCGGAAAGCCTCAACCTGATAGGATCTCGATGCGCGGACCCCAGTGCAGCCGGCACCCCAGCCGCTGGGAAGCAGAGACTGCACAGAACGCTCAACTGACCTATGCAGCAGCAGCAGCAGCAGCAGCAGATGCAGATGCGAGCGAAGCGCAACCGTGTAGTGCGATGAACTCCTTGGATAGTGCATCTTGCAACCACAAACCGGTGATCTTTTGAGGTCACTCTCTCGGCGGGGCTCTGGCAAGCATCGCTGCCCTCGATATGACGTGTTTTGAGAATTCACAGTCGTTGCGTCTGTCATCGGATCTGGTGATGAGTGTGACTTTTGGGTCGCCTCGAGTCGGGAATCGCGCTTTCGCTGCAGCGTTCCAGCGACATGTGCCGTTTTCATTCCGATGGGCAGCGGTCGGCGATATCGGGACGAAACTGCCTTTCTGGGGTTATGAGCATGTTCCGGTCAAGGTGATGCTGGATCCGTTGTCGGGGAGCATTCTCATGGATCCCTCGATCATCGAGGAGTCCATGGTGGCGTTCCGGAACGCTTTGGATGCGCACCTGCGACCCGCATATATCCAGGGGTTTGAGCGCTGGTGTCGGCGCTACCACCCCCGCTGGAATGTGCAGTTCTGGGATTTCCACGACGTGTTTGATGACCACGCCCTGGGTGCTGCTTTGGAAAGCATCACATGATGAATGCATGACCTATGCAAGCGCATGGCTGCTGGAGCGTGCCATTTGTCCTCAAGGTCCGCTACGCTTCGCAAACGGGCGCAAGTGCGCTACCCACAGAAGCACACCAGCATCACGAAGGTGAGCAACGACATGTCGGGTACGCGAGGCACGCTTGAGCATCAGCCGAATGGTGACTTGGATCACGCCCGGTGCGAGGTCGCTCAAATATGTGGCTCTCGCCACACGCTCCACCTCGACGACCCGCAAAAAAGTACACCTCTGCGAATCATGCTCCAGAGGTATGCATCAAAGATTCCGCCCGATGTTCTTCGAATCGTCATGCAGACTGGTCGGTCGATGAATGCAGCACCTTCATCACCAAAGTGAAACGCGTTGACGTCCGAGTGGAGAGCGTGAACCGTCCCCGGTCGACTGGACGCGGAATCCGTCCGAATTCCCGGTAGCGAAATAGACGCGATCCGCCACTGGCTACCCTGAAAAGCGTCTCTGGCGGGTACTTCTGCGAAATCCAGAACGAGGCATGCTGCGCTCTGTCCACTAGTCTGCAGGTCTGGCTCTGACACTGCCGCATCGCTGCTGGAGTTTAAGCTGCGCCCCAGTGATCGACGCATGCTGCGGTTGCTGAGATTGGTCTCTCGATAGTCAGTCGCAGTGCCTCAACCAGCGCCAATATTCCTGCTGAATTCATGCTTGTCGCGAGTACGCCTTTGAGCGCGTTTGCCGACAGAGGCCGGCGGCGTGGTGCTCGCAGCACAGCAAGCGATCATGTGCTCTTTGAGGAGCTGCAGACAAGCACCACTTTTGCAGCGCATGGTACACGCGATGGACGCGAGCGTAGCTTCCAACGATCCGCGATCTAGTCCTGAGGTATTCCGGCGGGGATAATCACCACCCAGGATCATGACTGAAACGCTGTAAACGATGCATCATGCGATATCCACTGGGCCAGGGCACGGCGATGATTCGGCAGCAATCTCGCTCAAATGCTAGCTTACTGAGGATTCTCCAGGGTTTCGTTTTTGTTGGATGATCGTCGCCGATGATGTCGTCTTTTCTTTCTCGCGGAAGACGCGTTCTTGGCCGCTGGGTGCACGTGATCCTCGTGCTCTGGCTCTAACGACGACGACGACGACGACGACGAAACGGATGCAGACCTCCCGTGGTCGCGCTTTGCAGAGGCGCCATCCTGCGCTCCACCAGGTGCCCTCTTCCTCGAGCGCATGCGTTCGGGTTCAAGTCTCGCATCAGAGGTATCCAATGCTAGCATCAAACGCCGCTCGTCGCGTGTGCAGAGCTCCTCACCAAGCTCTAGTTTCGTGAGCAAGAGTCGAAACCGACTTTCTGGGCGACGTAAGATACGTGACATCGACCGCGACTGCGAACCGAATACACCATCTGCAGTTGCCGCATCTGCGAGCTCTTCCAGATGCTCCCAGGCAACGACCTGGCGGTATCCCGGAGTCTTGGATGCCTGGTCCGCGATCTTCGCGACTTGCCTCACAAGAGGACTGCCTTCAGCCTGCAGTTCATGCTCGCCTTTCCGCCAGTACGACCTAGCGACTGATGCGACGCCAAATACTGAGTTGGGTGAGTCGACGCGTGCTGCCAGTCTGCTTTAGCTGTTCGAGATCGGCAAGGAATCGTCTCGCAACACGGTCCATGGCATCGTCCGATTCTATTTCCCAGTCACAAGACTCGTTCTCTATGTCTTGCTCTAAAGATGTAAGCGACTTGTCGAGTACCTCAAGTGCCTTGGCTGCCAGCCCTGCACACTGCATCCCAAAACGCACTTGCTCCTCGGGTGTCAGTTTCGCTTGGACGAGTGCTCGCAGCTCTGCAGGTGATGCAAGCTTGCTCAGATAACCAGCTTCATTGGCTTTCCGCCACCTTTGATGCAGCTTTCCACTCTCTCGATGCCCGGGTTCAGCTTTGGCTGCCATGAGAGCTGCTGCGCGTGCCGTTGCAACAGAGATCCGAGCGTGGTGGTTAGGAGGAGGTCAGAAAACTGAAACCATCGATATGATGGTCTCTCCAAAGCGTCAAAGTCTTCAAGGCAGTAACCGGACTCGTCGCTTCCGCTGTCAATCAGCAGAAAAGCGCATAGCGTACGCCCCGTGCCGCACAGAGGAAGCAGCACGTTGGTTTCGAAGATCGATAGAAGACGTTTTTGGTAAACAATTCGTCTCTGGAAACACCACCAAACGCCTTGCAAAAGAGAAACGCTGGAAAGCCAGTGTACAATGGTGGCGTTTCTCACACCGTCCGCCGTAGACCGATTGTCTACCCAATGATGTGCAGACGACTGTGCTGGCGTTCAGCAACTGGCCACCTACTACTGGTTTCAACTTCTTCTCGTATCACTCCATTTTAAGAGGTTGCCCCGCAAAGTTGGCTCTCGCCAACTCCGGGGGTCTTCTTTCCAGTACTGCACATTTCCTTATACTGATGGCGGCGTTAAAGTCTCAGTCCAGGAACTCTATTCGTTTCTTCCTATCATTAGTTTTACGAACCAAAGCGAGTAGTCCTCGAAGTTTCGCCCTCCTTGCTATTTGCATTTCCGTCAGCGAGCCGCTGGCTTTTCTCCATCGCGACCCTCTGAAGTGTACAACACAGCTCGTGGTGTGTATGAGATGTTCGAAACTCATCTAAAGGTATTTCGACATAACGATGTGCGCACTCCTTGTACGTTCTTGTCGTTGGAGCTGGTGTACACCCTTTTTGGGTCATCCAGCGCCCTGCCCCGTATGCTACTCCGAGCCTTTGGCTCATGTCCTCCTTGAGGGCGCTCAATTGATTGAAAAAGCTGGCGTATGCTCGCTGCTTCCTACAGTACAGGTTCATACGCAGACGAGCCCACCTGAACTTTGTGCATTCTTTCCAAAAGCTCTCGTCATCAGCTGCGTGAATGCTCATAACCTCTCGAAACGCTTCAATGTCGGCTCCGCGGCTCGTCACCCGGCTGATCGCTTCCAAATTCCCTTCACTCTTGAGTTCGATGTCTCACTTTTCTCCGTCGCATTCATTATACCGGATTCTTGGTAATATCTCGCTCATGAGAGCTTCAACAGACTTATGTCTTTCTGACGTAAGTTGCCGACAGAGCCATCTTCCTCACGCTTGGGTGCTGCGATGGTAACGATGTGGGTGTTCCCGGGATCCACGCCAACGACAAACGCGTTCTTCTGCACCTCCAGCGCCGTCGGGCCCGCTTCCTGGTCCGTCCTCGGCTTCGCCCCTGGCGAAGGATGTAGATGAGAATGATGCGGATCCTGCGATGCAGGAGGTGCAGGATAACGACTTTGTCGTTGGCGCGGACCCTGGGAATACGAGCATCATAACCATCTCTGTACCAAAGTGTGCGGAAGATGGGACTGATGGTAACTTACGTCAGAAAGACATGCGTCTTTTGAGGCTCTCGAGAGCAAGATACTATCGAGAATCCGGTATAATGAATGCGAGGAAGAAAATCGAGACTTGGAACTCAGGAATGAAAGAGCACCTGGAAGCTTTGAGCGAGGTGACTAGACGAGGCGCGGACTTTGCAGCTTTTCGGAAATTCATGAAAGTTCGCGTTGCCCATTGGGATGCGCTGTGGGAGGAGTATACCAAGCCCCGGCGGGCTCGTTTGCGAATGAATTTGTATTGTGGGGAGCAGCGGGCGTTCGCGAATTTTTTCAATCAGTTGAGTGACCTGAAGGAGGATGGAAATCAGAGGCTCGTCGTAGCGTACGGAGCAAGGCGATGGAAGACCCAAAAAGGGACTACGCCAGCTCCAACGACAAGAACGTACAAGGAGGGCGCACGGCGTTTCGTTACGATACCTGTAGATGAGTTCCGAACCTCGTATACACACCATGAACAGGGGTGTACACTTCAGACAGTGGAGATGGAAAAGTGTCAGCGGAGCCCTGAAGATATAAAAAAGTATGGACCGCTGACGGAGGAGCAAATGGAAAGGAGAGCGAGACTTCGAGGGCTACTCGCATGAGTACGTACAACCAATGATTGCAAGAAACGTATGGAGTTTGTGAACCGAGACCTTAATGCCGCTACCAATATAAGGAGATGTGCGGTGATAGAGACGAGACCTCCAGAGTTGACACGGGAGAACTTTGTGGAACAACCTCCAAAAGTCGAACTATATGAGAAGAAGTTGGGAGCAGTAGTCGTAGGTGGCCGGTCGAGAAAGATCGGATGGCGTCTGCACGTCACTTGGAGACGTCTTGTCTAGGGCGGGTCACTCGCCACTACTGTACACCGTTGGCGTCGTTCGACTTTCGAACGGCGTTTGGTGGCGGTATTCCAGAATCGATGCAAGTCGTGCTCTGCAATAGACGACCTGGTACGCTATCGCGGTCGAGTGCTTCATCGGAATCCAGGCTCGCTGGGCTGCAAACCTGGTATGTACAAAAGACTACAGATGATCCGTCAGGCTAGCGAGCGTGAACCATCGAACTGCTTCCATCTGGCAGGATGCATGCTGCGCCAGTTCGGCAAGCTTATGCACCGGGAACTTGACACTCGCTGAAGGAGCATAAGTCACTCACTTGGGTATCTGGATCTGGAGAGAGTGTCACTGGCGTTTCATAGCGACCTGGTGACACTGACGCGCTTCGGCATGTGCTTCGAATCTGAACTGGCGGGCGCCGACCAGTGCGGCACTCGTTGCAGACCTAGGCGGACCCCTGCCTGCACTGTCCGCACTTGAGTACCGTAACCCGGGTTCCGATAACAGCGGCTCTGGGCAGAGAAGCCCACGACAAGCTCGCGTTGACAGCTACCAGCGGGAACGCGCCAGCGAGGCGTGTCGCGCTTGCGGGCCCTGCGGCCGTCCCGGAACTGCAGCGCCGACACGCAGTATTCGCGTCCACGACAAGCGGATACGCGCTTTGGAGAATGCCGCAGCGGACGATAGCAGGCATCTTGAGGGTATTCACTTTACGTGTCTAAAATGCGCCGTTTTCGTGAGCGCGCACGTGACTGCGATCCCCGGCTCCACCTCTGTACCGCGAGCCGCCCCCCGAGGCACCGTAGCCTGCTGCTGAGCCCCGACGTCGAGTCGAGCGAGCGCCATTGCGCGCATAACCACGTCCAAAGCTATGCTCGTACGTCCGCTTTCGATTCCGACGATTGACGAATTGGTTCAGCTCCGCTGGCACCTCATTCTGGGACTCCTCGAGTATCTGCACCAGTTCAGATGCGAGGCGCGCATTTGCCGGTGTGAAGAAGGAGTAGGCGGTTCCGGTTGAGCCGGCGCGCCCTGTCCGTCCAATACGGTGCACATAATCCTCTATGGTTCCCGGAAAATCATAGTTCACAACATAGGAAATGTTCTTGATGTCGAGGCCGCGAGCCGCAACATCGGTCGCAACCAGCAAGCGCGCCTGCCCCGAACGGAAAGATCCAATCGCCCGATCGCGCTCCATCTGCGTCTTGTCGCCGTGCAGGGCAAGCGCTGCAAGTCCCCAGTGCTGCAACCGACGGCTTAGCTGATCCGCTTTGCGCTTTGTATCTGTGAAGACGAGGACCTTGGCGTTCGAATCGGTGTCGGCGGAAGCGTTCAGCAACGTCTTCAACAAAGACTGGAGCCGTTCGGGTTTCTCGTCCTCATCGAGCACCTGCACCACCTGCCGAATGCTCTTGTTGGCACTGAGGTCGAGCCCACCGATGTTGATTTGAATCCAGTCGCCCGCGGTCAAAAACTCACGGGCGATGACTTGGACCTGGCGGGGCCACGTGGCCGTAAACATCAGTGTTTGGCGGTCAGGACGAATCTGGCCAACGATCTTGCGTAACTGGGGTTCAAAGCCCATGTCCAGCATGCGATCCGCTTCATCGAGCACCAGGTAGGTCACGCGCCTGAGGTTGGTGCGGCCGCTCTCCAGAAAATCGATGAGGCGCCCCGGCGTGGCAATGAGGATCTCAATACCCCGCGACAGCTCACGTGCCTGCGGACCGCGACTCACCCCGCCATAGACGCAGGCGTTGCGGATGCGAGACGCCGTGCCGAACTTGGTCGCTTCTGTTTGGATCTGGACAGCGAGTTCACGCGTCGGCGCGAGCACCAGGCAGATGGGTCCATCGCCACGGCGCAGTGGCGGCTGGCCGTGAATATGTACAAGCGCCGGAAGCAGGTACGCGCAGGTCTTGCCGCTGCCAGTTTCCGCTATGCCTATGAGATCGCGTCCTTTCAAGGCGACTGGCCATGCCTGGGCCTGGATAGCAGTCGGTGCTGTGAACCCGGCCCGCTGGATACATTGGACGATCGCAGGCGGGAAGCCTGCCTCGAGAAAGGACTCACAAGGATTCGGTACATTTTTACCCCGAACAGTGATCTCCATTCGTTGCCGAAACGATGCGACGTGCTCCGGTGAACGGCCTGCCACCTCGGGGTGCTCCTGATAAAAATTCCGCTCAAAAGGTACAAGATTGTCTAGATTATTTGCCTGGGTCCAGTCAATGTCTGAGAGGTTCGCCCCCAAGCTGCCCATTCGATCACGTGTTTCGCCCCGGCTGGCGAACCGTGCCCGGCTCTGAGGCTGAGCACCTCGCCAGTTGTTCGGGCGAGTGCCCTTCTGCGCGTACGAGTCATGCCCGTGCACGTCCTGGGTTGCAGTGCGCCCGCGATACGGCGCAGTGCTGTGGCCCCAGTCTCCGTTTCCATATGAGTTTGATGCGTCTGGGTAACGAGCCCCCGGCGCTTGCGGTATCGTCGCTGACCAGCCAACCGGCGCTGCGTGAAACGATGGAGCCTGGCCTTCAAGCGAGTGATCGTTTCCGTGCCAGGTCTTCGGCCCGCTCTGTGAGCCGTTGCTTGCGTAATCAAAGGACGGAGCGGTGTAGTCGTTTCCGTTGAACCATTTGATGTGTGTCGGCTGACCCATTGAAGAACAAAGCACCCAAAATGCAGAGTATTAGGGATCGGTGCCCGATGAAGTTTGCGTGTGCACGACTTGCACGCTCAAAAGAGAGCGCTGGAGTGTATACAGGTTGGTACCGTCGCTGATCAAGTCGTGGTACGCTGTACGTCTCTGCGTTCGTTCGTAGTAATTTCCGTCGGTTCTCAAGGTTCGTAAGCGCAAGGTTTGTTGATCTGCACCACAGTATCTATAGGGCCCTGCGAAACCCTGCGAGTTTGTTCTGTATGTGAGGGATACCCCGAAAACAACTATAAGAACAGTAGCTACAGGTTCGTAGGCGCTGGATTTGACGGCGGCGGCGGCGGCGGCGGCGGCAATCCTTCGATTCTGCGCTCGGCGGCAGCGGTGCGCAGCTGTCGGGCGCGCTATCGATGCCGCCACCGCCGCCGCTGCTGCTGCTGCTTCGTCGGGCATTGATGATGCCGGCACTCGCCGCCGGCATCTTCAGTCGGGCCACGGAGCGGCGACACGGATCGATTCTGGACATTGCTGTACCTGCGCGTTCATTGCTGGCGTTGCGATGCGGTTGCGGCACTGGAACACACGCATGCATGCATGCGTGCGTGCGTGCGTGCGTGCGTGAGGACACGAAAAGCGCTTCAGAGGCGACTTTTGATGGTGCAAATTTGCTGAGTCGATTGCGTACTTGGGGCGTCCATGAGCGGGAAAGAGACAGACTCCATGAAGAGAAAGTCTGCTGGATGGTTGCTGATCGCTTTTTGGCTTTTCTTCGAGAGGACGGCGTCTATACTACTGGATGCATCGGGGAATAGCACGCTGACAGCACGAGCTCGCAGCTCCGAACGCTCACCCAAGTCTGTGGCAAACGCACCGCTTTGATGAGTGAATCCTTGCTGCCCGAACGTATCGCCACAAAAGCGCTAAGAAAGCGCTATGGAGTCGTGCACGAGCTGCGCCGGATACGGGCGCGATTATGTCGACGCCAGCGCACCCATCGAATGATACTCACGCACATCGAACTGACGCCCGTAGTGGTAGCGCAAATCGACGTAATAGAGTTGGTACTCGGAGAGTCTCTGAAACGCACCCACATACCCATCGGAACTACTGACCTTGTGCTGATAGTACGGTGCAAGATTCGAAGCGGAGTTGTGTGCTCTTCCCTGATTGCCATCACCGATTCCGCATTCGTCGAAACCTGGGCAGACGCTTCAGTCGCACAGCATAGAACACGTCGTGCATGCATCTTGTCTTCGTGCGGCATTGGCGGCGACACGCCCAGCGTCATGGCAAGCGCCCCATATAGGCCTGGGCACCCAGAGTGCCCTGTGCATCGCGTACAGGAAAGAGGAGGATCATATGCTGGCCCTTCAGTGTTAGCAGCTTGGTGCAGGCAGCACGATGGCCGGGTTCTCTGGAATGCACCCGATGCTCGCAATACGCCACGGGAGCCGGTGTCGTTGCCAATATGCCGTGCCAGGATGCCGAGTCTTTCCTCGTGGACCGGGAGACGATAGGTCACCCCGCATCCAGCATCAAAAGCCTCATCGGGGATACACAGAGATCAAACGATTTTTGGTCGAGCTTGCTTACGCTTTTAACTAGACTGAGCGATGCACATGATGCAGCAGCGCAGCCGGTCCATGAACTGCAGCGGAGCCTGATCGCCGGCATAAACCGAGTCCCGTGGTGCTGCGATCGTCGGCAGCTTCACGACGGTGCCGAAGGCACGGGACGATCGCAATAACTTACTTGAATAGTGTTGGATCGATGAGACTGGGGTGGAAGTGCCCATTGCGTGATGATCATCGGCATCCAGGGAAGGGACCACCATTCCGTTCCGTTCTAGGACCCCAGAAAGTAGTTATTGATGTAGGAGAAGTGATAGAGGTGGGAGTAGTCATGGATCGCCCTGGCTAGCGCGTGTATCCGGCGTTGCAAACGCCGCGCGAGCGCGAAACGTTCCGTGTTTGCGTCTCGTGAGCGCCTTGCTGGACCGGCTGGGCAGCAACCAGTCTTTAAACTGCTAACCTACTTGGATCAAGGTGAAACAAAATAGGAGCGATAACTCTTGAGGTAGGACGTACAGTACGGTGAAGATCAGTACCTAAGCCGCCAGCCGAGGCGTGCTCCGTAGGGGAATATCCTGGTCGTGCGATGAGCGACGCAACACCGCAGCGTACTGCAAAAGCAGAGCCAGATGCGGGCCAAGCTACAACGGAAAGCATTCGGGGAGGGAAACAAGATGCAAACACCGCCGCTAACCAGCCGGGGGTGTTTTACGCTCACTACCGGGCCTCAACAATTGGCCTGACTCTTGAGGACACCCTCGACGAGTTATTGAGCGCGGGACACTTGCAGGAGTCAGAGGCTGCTTTGGTGTGGACCCAGTTTGACCAAGCAGTTGCTCGCTATCTACGACGGAAAGTCCGCCAGCGTTCCGTGCTCAGGGGACGCCTCGCACACTACAACTTGCGAGATAACGTGTGGACTTTTCTCGTCCGACATGCACTGCTTCGACTCGAGCGCAAACCGGAAACCTACGCTGCTGTGGAGCGACTGCCACGGACCAGTGACCTAGGTGGCGCCACGGATGCCAGTATACGCGTTGAACCGGCAGTTCCCGCGAGCGGGAGCCTGAAACTCGAGGGCCCGCGACTTGCTTCCCATTTACCGCCTCGGCCGGACTGCCTGGACGGACGCGCTGTTCCCGCTGTGACCAGTCATGCACGCTCCGCTGGAGACGCGACTACCGAGGCCTACGTTTACGCTGATCGTTTGCGTCTTATCTGCACGGCCGCCGACGCGAACATCGTGAAAGCCACCTCGGGCTCGAGTCGCCGAAAGCGTAGCGCTGCACCGCTGCGCTTTCGGCCTCGCTCTCGACCGGCGTCATCGGCGTCCGCTGAGGAATGAATGATGCGGTCAAGAAATGAATACCTGTACGGGGCATGACTGGGCATTGGACAGGAGAACGCTGCGCTCCGCATGTCAACGAGGATGCGTCGGTGCCTAGCGGCTACATATATTCGATGCGTCGACTACATGAAATCGCTTATCATTAGGATTGGGCCTGTATATGCTTCTTCTCAAAATTATGTCGTTTCCTGGCGCAACGATCGCGCGGTGGTCGTGGCATCTGGAGCGTTTCTCACCTGTACGCATCGTTGCCCGCCCATCACTGAAACCGTTGGTATTTCGCTTATGGAGAGCGCTCGAAGGCGAAGCTCCGAAATAAACCCCCGAAGGTGCCGCTCGGAAGCACGCCAAGCACGCCTTTGAACGTATCCTGTGTTGCTGCTCTGTGCTGCCCCTGGAAACCTGCCTCTCGTTACAGAATGCCTCGCAACGCACTGCAGCGAAAAGAGCGCAGCAGCATTCCCGCCAGCTCTCCATCTGGACTCGGGATCGACGCCATCAATCCCGCCAGCAAAACGAGCAAACGAACGCACACACATCAAGCCGATAGCGTTGATGTATATACGCCAGCGTGCAGAATTCTCCCAGGGTTTTTGGACCGGCCATTTACTACTGGCTTCAGCTTCTTCTCGTACAGCGCCATCTGCAGAGGTTGCCCCAGAAAGTTGGCTCTGGTCAACTCTGGGGGCCTCTTCTCCAGCACCGCCTATCTGCTTATACTGTTGGCGGCATTGAAGTCTCGGTTCACGAATTTCATATGTTTCTTGGCATTGGTTGTACTCACCAACGGAAGTAGACCTCGAACTCGCACCCTCCATGCCGTTAGGTGCTCTGTCAGCGCTCCGTAGTTTGCTACATCCTCAGTGCTCTGCTGGCACTTTTCCATCTCGACACTCTCAAGTACACACCCTAGCTCATGGTGGATGTATACGACGTTCGGAACCCATCTATCGACATCATGACGAAGCACAGTGTGCACTCCTTATACGCTCGTGTCGATGGAGCTGGTGTGCTACCTTTCCGTGTCATCCAATGCCCTGCTCCGTATACCACCACGAGTCTCTGAATTTTGTCCTCTTTGAGAGCGCTCAACTCATTGAAGAAGTTGGCAAATGCGTGCTGCTTCCCAAAGTACAAGATTCTAAGCAGACGAGCCCACCGGGGCTTTGTAGATTCTTTCGACAGCGGCTCGTCAAGAGCAGCGCGGACTTTCATGAACTCTCGAAAAGCTTCAAAGTCCGCTCCTCGGCTCGTCACCTGGCTGATCGCTGCCTTGTGCTCTTTCACTCCTGCATTCCACGTCTCATTTCTTTTCCTTGCATTCAGTTTTCCTGATTCTCGGTAAGATGTAGCTGTCGTGAGCTTTCAAAGACGGATGTCCTTCTGACGTAAGTTGCCGTCGATATCATCTTCCGCACGCTTGGGTACTGCGATGGTTACGATATTCGTGTTCCCAGGGTCCGTGCCAACAACAAAATCGTTCTCCTGTACCTCCTGCGTTGTAAGGCCAGCCTCCTTGTTTTCTTCATGCTTCGCCACGGGCGCAGTCGAGGACGGAACTGGACGATCTGCCTTCAAGCGCCGAGAGTGTACACACATGGCTACTCCATCGGTTTCGATGATGCCAGTGAATACCTTTTGCTTGCACGTATTGAGACGTTTGAAATTGAAGATATTCTTCCAGTACGTCTCCCGGTTTTCACTGGTGAACTCTATCTTCCTTACATCGAACTCCAGACAGACCTCCTTCATGATGCCGTTGAGGACTCTGGAGTCGATTGTTACAAAATGGAACTTGGTGATGCATAACGCAACAACGCTAAAGCGCTTACCCGTTAGGATACCCTTCCGTTTCTCTGACTCTACATTTTGTTCCACACCCAGCTCCATATTGGCCTTGGGATCGAGTTCGCGGTCCAAACACACGAAATAGCGCAGGATTAGGGGATAACATCTTTGCTTTTCTTTTTCCATACCTGATACATTTCCTGCTGGATTGACCAGCTCCGAGACCGGACGGTGCTCTTGAATTGCCGTACGGATTGCAGAAGCTTCATTCGTTCTCCTGTGTGATGTCTTCTCGTCGAGGAATTCGATCTCCTGTTCATTCTTACTATCGTTCCTGACGCCATTGATGATGGCCCGTATCCCTTTGCGAGAGAGGCCCGGGTAGCGCGCAACGATGGAGCGTGTCATGAAACGTTCGAGCTTCATGATCATATGGTTGTTCAGGTTCGTGAGATACTTTTTTGCCCTGTATTCGAAAATACGCGAGTCACCCCTGTAACGAGTACCTTTGAGACCCTAGTAGGGGTATTTTTCATGGAGGACGCACATGCGCTCATTTTCCCTCGACGTCCCCCTGTGCCAAGCATCAAGTGGCGGCTGAGGGTCTTGTTAAAAAAAACGCTTCCGGAACCTCGACTGTTTTCGTGTCGGTAAGGTCATCGTATATCTCCTTCACCGTATGCTTCAGTCCAAAAAGAAGTGTTACGCACGCTCCTGGAGTAGGAATCGACACGGCTTCTGGTGGTCTCTCGCATCTTCTGCTCGTACGGATCCTTGATACATCCAAGAAGGCAGGCGTTCACTATCATCTCGTCATGCTGTCGCCTTTCTTGCAGCCGTTGAGGTCTGGCTCTCGCTTCTTCTTCTTCTTCTCCTGTTCATCTTTGCTCGGCACTATTTTTCGTTCTTTTCGCCACCTGGCGACACCGTGCCTCCAGGATCCTCCACTTCTTCGTCCAGAACTTTCCTTTTTTATTTTCGAAAAAGAACACACTTTGAACGCTTCTGCTATAAACCACGAAAAATCGCTCGTATATACTTGCTTTGGGGTTGGAACACAACTGAACTGAAGACTAAACGTTGCTACGACTTCAACGCAAATACACCTTGTACGGTATACAACATGCTAATGATCAGGATCGCGTTTCTCTTCAATGGCGATATCCACGTCGTACCTCGTGCCTGGCAGATCTCCTGGGTGCGCCTATCGACTGTACTCTATAGAACGAAGAGCAGAGACTCACTACTGACTGGCAGCGAGATAACAATTGCCTTCCCTGTCAATGATAAAAATTCATGGGGAGCAAAGATTTCCATATTGACGAAAGTTTACCTTCTGGGCGGAATGTCCCGCGAGTCGGACGATTCTCCCAGGCTCGTGCTTCATAGACCTCTCGGAGCCTGGTCATGCAGAGAGATCTGAGCAACTCGTCCGCAATGCAGTTTATTCTGGGACTCAGAGCGGTATGCTGCGTCTGGGCGTCGCGCTGGTCGTGGTGTCCTCGAAGAATATCGCTCTGCGCTGCCGCAGGCAGTACGCCTGCCTGCGCAGCTTCCAGACTCCCAGAATGATAAGTAGCCCTGATCCCGTGTCAGGTGTAGCATTCCTCGAGCCGACGCCCTCAGTGGTATGACAAAGCTACTCTGTCTCCGTGTAGCATCCGCACAAGCGGTTTAGGCGCTGCGGTGGGTGCTCACTGCAGGCACTTGGCATACGATAGAACAAAGGAAAAGACCAGTATACCTGAGAGGAAATATGGGTAATGGAACTTGGAGATAGGTTGCGTCATGATGGAGAATTACATGAATCGTAGTACCCATCCCGCTATTGGGGATTCATGGTCAATGGAAACGCTCTGTCATCGAAAAAAACTCGATGCAGCAACGACTCCTGCCGGCTTACGCGCCTGCGCGGATCAGAAGCGCGACACTACCGCGGGTGAGCGTCCTTCGTTCCGATGCAGGATAGTAGCTCATGCAGCCTGAGCAAACTGTGCCGCGGCTACAGAGCACGAGGTCTGTTTCGAGTGCGTTCACTTGTGCCATCTCATTGGCTAGGGGCTTCGAGGGCGCAGGATCCGCTCGAACGGAAACCGCCTTTTCTGTGACGCTGTGGCGACGCCCTTCTGCTGACCCCAGTTATGGGCGGCGGTCTGTGAGGCGGAAGGTTCCACCTACGCACGCACGATTGTCTGGGCAGAGCCAAGAGGAAGCTCGACACGTAGCGATCTGTGGCGGCGGCTCTTTTGGGAGCGCTATGGCGTTTGCCTTGGCTAACAATGGTCACCAGGTTGTGCTGCTTGTTCGTCGAGCGGAGGTCGCAGAGACGATCAACAAGGAGCGCACAAACCCTCGCTACACTGCGTTAGTTCCAGGCTTCCGGTTTCCAAAGCTTGTTCGAGCGACCACGGACCCCGAAGATGCTCTGAAAGGCTGCTGGTTATGTGTTCATGCTGTGCCGGTCCAAGCGAGCAGAGCTTTTCTCGTGGAGAGCGTTCGCCCGAATTTGGCGCCCGGAACACCGATTCTGTCCACAAGCAAGGGTATTGAGGTTAGCACAGGCAACTTTATGTACGAGATTTTCGACGACGTATTCGGTAAAGAGCGTCCGGTGCCATGCATGTTTCTCTCGGGACCCTCTTTCGCCCATGAGATGTTGGCCGATCTTCCGGCAGCCGTCGTCCTGGCCTCGCATGACGCTGCTGCATGTGCGAGTATTGCAGCCGCTATTAGCTCACCAGCACTGAAAGTATTTCGCTCGAGCGACGTTGTTGGCGTTGAAATTTGTGGCGCTGTGAAGAACGTTATCGCCCTTGCTGCCGGCATCTGCGAGGGACTTGGTCTCGGTATGAACGCGACAGCTGCGCTGGTGACTCGCGGCTGCTCGGAGATGCGGCGCCTTGCGCGGAGTTTTGGTGCTCGTCCGGTGACTGTGGCCGGCCTCAGTGGCGTAGGCGATACGTTTATGACCTGCTTCGGCACGAGCAGTCGGAACAGAACGGTTGGCTACCGCCTGGGTCAGGGTGAAACCCTTGCTCATATTTTAGAGACTTCGAGTCAGGTCGCTGAAGGCGTGCCGACGGCAAAGGCAGTTGCGAGTCTCATTGAAAGGCAGTTTCCGCACTTGAACCCCATGAGACGAGCGTTGAAGTTTCCGATTCTGTTAGGCGTCATCGACGTCCTAGAAAATCGTCAAAGTCCGAGAGAGAAGCTCGAGGAATGGATGGATCGGAAAGCACGAATCGAAGACTGAGCGTCTACGAGCACTGCACGACTGTTCTCTGTGCGTTCGATGCTATCGTATTCTGCACAGCGCAAACGTTTCCATCTGTTTGTGGATGTGAGTGCTTATATCTAGCCTAGTCTTCATCTACGCGCCGCCTCCAGCATTCTGAATTCTACATGGAATGCTGATCCTCTGAGGTTCGCGTGCTGGACTGTTGGGCAACGAGCGATTGCGAGCCCCCGCTCTGGAGTACAGTTCCTTAGCCGATGAAGACGCTTTGCCTGATCGCCTTGACGTATGCCGAAGCTCATCAGAATTCGGAACGAAGAGCGCGGTTGAGGCGTATCCAGTGTTGACAGATTAGCTAGTCATCGGTGGAGCTGTTAAGGACTCGCAACCAGTTCACCATTTGCAAACGCGCCTCGCTCGGTCCGTGGTACTTGACGAAGGTGACACTCAGGCATTTTCCAGGCGAGGCATTTGACATGGTTCGCGTCCAGTCTATATCGGATCCGGGGCCCGAGTTAAAAACTTCCTGTAGACTGACCGCGCAGCATTCGTCGTAGAATCGGAGGTAGCGGAGATACCGGACGTCAAATAGCGGGAGTCTCGCACATGGAGCCTTCCAGGCATTGATGCCCGTGTATCCAGTTTTTGCGGGCGCAGGATACGTCTGGCTCGACATTTATTCGATTGATGCGCACCTCGTCTTGTCCACGGATGACGTTCATGAAGGTCTCGGGGTTTAGGAAAGCGCCAGGTCTCATGCGCGAACAGCCTAGCGCTGGTCGCTCTGCTGAACAGGGCTTGCGGAATGCTACCGCGCCGTCGTTTGGCGCAGTTGCACGTCCATGCCGCTGTATTGCGAAGCTTGTATCGATGCCCACATACCTGAATAACGCAACAGTGCCTGTGTCCGAGAGACTCAGTGGTGGAGGCGCACAACGTGTAACGTGCCCGCTTGCAGCTTGAGAGGTCTGTTGGCAGGCCTCCGCGAATCCACTCAAATTGAATAGAAATGAAAATGACGGAGGATAGAGCGCCCAACTCAGGCTGGTTCGCCTGAGCGGTGCTTGTGCTGGCTTTCCCAGCATAAAATCCTCATGAGGACGCACGATCGAACGCTAGACGGTACGTGAGCAACCTCGTATTTGCGCCAACAGCCAATCGGGTATCGAACTACGAGATATATGGGCATTTCTCTCGGATCGAGGAGCGTCTATGAGCTGGGAGTCCCATTGCGGCAACCACTTTCATCGACTTTGCAGCTTGTTCACGGATATGAATACCCGTATGCGGTCTGAAATGCCGCAGGATTCCAGCAGAAAGCGTAATGATCCGCAAATCTGCATATACTGTGGATCTTGTTAGATGACATGATGGCACAATCATCTCGAAGACCCCTCGTGTCCATGAGCTCGAACCGCGTCGCTCTACGCTCCCCAGAGTACATGCCGTATGGCGCTCGTACTTTGCACCGCGACCACGTTCCGCACGACCTACTCTGATAGTGGCGTCTTAGATGAGCCTAGGATCCCCAAAGTTTGGATCCAATGGCGTCCCCGAGAGACATTAGTATGTGCCATCGTACCAATACTCCATCAAAACATTCGCAGTCTTCTTACGGGATTTCTCGTCACCAAAGTTTCGGCGTGTCTTTGTTTGGCATCGCGGTATAACTAAACAGGAGAGGTCATCTAACAGGGGCATCCACGCTCAAGTTCGGTTCTCGTTCCACTGACATCAACAACAAGCTTTGCGCGTTTGTTTAGCGACTGCTTCATTTACTCTCTCGTATCTCCCGCTTTCAATACGCCGGTCTCTCCGTTCGCCCCAGCCCTGTTCTCAACAGTCAAAGGAGGCTGATTGGCGCCTTCAAGTCTCAGTTTCGCAGCTTCCGGCTCCTAGTGCCGCATTTCATGCACAGGCGGTAGTTGGAGTGTACCCTTCGCGTGCCACTTTCAGTTTCATTTTATCCAGCTGCTGTGCGCCCTCTGCAGCGGTCACGTATGGTTGAGGTCGAATCTTCCCATATGCAAACCAAATGACCTCCTCCTAGGGCCGTCCTGTGGCGCGTAATGGTTGCCTCATCGCCCCGTAGATGCCCTGGACGGATGCAGAGGGCTTTCACAGACTCTCTTACCCGATTGCGCGCTCGCTACCGTAACCTACAGCTATGGGCTCCTTCGGGGCGACCCCGTCAGCGAGTACTCTGTTCGCTGCAAACACAAGCGGACAACATTTCATTCGATAGAATCCCCGGAATGTGATGTTGCCCACGATGAACCAGGAAACGGAAGGGAGTCCAGGGTGAAGGTTCGCTTGCGTAATTTCGATCCCTCGACGTCTGCTCCATGCCAAGCGATAAAGCATGCTCCGCTGGAAGCATTCACAGCGATGAATCAGTTCTGAATCCAAGACCCTTTTACCTGCAAACAAAATAGACGGGAGCCTCTGGGAGCATATCCCGTGAGAGATATCATGTTGCTGCCGAATGCAGCTTCGTTACTTGCCGCAAAAAATAATTTGGCCTTCGAAACGAATCAAGTATCTAATATGAGAATTTCGGTGAACTTTCAGCATGTACATGTGCACAAGGCGTCAAAAGGAAGACGTTCGGGTGTTTTTCCCCATCAATCCAGCGGTGCGAATGGCAGCGCCCACGAGCTGCTCTGTAAGATAGACACCTAAAGGTTCAGGAGTATTTGATTGGAGCATACCCAACTTTTCGAAAGGAGAAGTGTCGAAATTTGTGCGATTGAACTGGATAGTGATACGGGTTATATGACGAATTCTTGGTGAATAACGTGGCGAGTCACCTTGGTAAAGGTCACGTGCAACCAATGGCAGCAGCAAAGCGTCGAAGGTGCCACTCGGAAATGACGACGAAGAATCCTAAAACTGTGTGTGCGCCCAAAGGCTCCCATTGCTGCCCATCGAATGTCGAGTCTGTACGTCCAAGCAAAATTTCGGAATGCACTGCAAGGAAGCAACAGAGCGAACAGTTCGGCGTTCCAGTTCTGAACCTGATACTGGTTTAGGGGCGATTGCATTCATTCCTAGCGCATGCGTATATCGACTTCGCTGAGTTTCACTGGTCGATTCTCCTTGACACTTCGGGCTGCGGCCAGCGCAGCGAGCACCGGCGCGCGACCGTCTAACCCCGAGACAGGGGGGTCTGTGCCGCGCTCGATCATCTGCACAAATGCGGTCATGATGTTCCCGTACGCCTCCAGATAGCGATCCATAAAGAAATCAAAAGGTCGTCCATGATGATACCCATCTTGACCGGCGGCTACTACGGAGTGCTTGCTCTTGTTTTGACCGATTAACGAACCGTCGGAGCCAAACACCTCGATACGCTGGTCGTAGCCGTATGCGCAACGACGAGAGTTGTCGATGGTGCCCATGACCCCGCCCGACATCCGCAGTACCGTTATGTGGGTGTCGAGATCATTTGCGGCCTGTGCCTCGGGATCGAAGGCCTTGCCAACCACGTAAACCTCCTCGATTTCCTGGCCCGTCACAAAACGCGCCATATCGTAATCATGGGAACACATGTCGAGGAAAATACCTCCGCTTTTCGCCAAGTATTCCGCCGGAGGTGGCGCCGGATCTCTTGAATGGATGTGAAACATACGCACTTGCCCAATGGTGCCACGCTCAATCTGGTCACGTACGTAGCTAAAGTTACTATCGAAGCGCCGCTGGAACCCCACCAGGAGTTTGACGCCGCTGGTGCGTACCACCTCTAAACAACGGTCGATCGTCGCGAGATCGTTGCTGATAGGCTTTTCACAAAATATATGCTTGCCGGCTTCGGCTGCAGCTATCATTTGTTCCGCGTGAAACGGCGTTGGCGAGCCGATGACGACACCCTGTACATCGGGGTCCTCTAGCAGCGTACGATAGTCTGGAAAGTACGCTGTCTGGAAACTCTCGGCCACCTTACGCCCAGCTGCTTCAATTGGATCAGCAATACCTCGTAGCTCTGCATTCATCAGACGAGCTATCGTTGCTGCATGTACCTGTCCTATGCGGCCTGCACCGATGACGCCGATCCCGACCCGGGCGACGAGAATGGGTCGGCGGCGGCCCCGAAACTGTTGCCGTGACCCGCTCACGCGCAACTGGAACTTGCGATCTAGGCACAAGGGTTGTAGTTTGCCACTCAGAAACGCTGCTGGCTGTTCCATACGCATCGTAGGCTGTGCCAGAACCTTAGAAGCTGCTGTGGAGCACCTCGGACGCGCAGCTCGAGTGCCGATCTTCGGATAGTGCGATGCTCGCGAGGCAACGCCGAATCCCGCCGCGCCCTGGTACAACTCACGTCGATGCTGGATGAAAGTGTGTATATATAGGAGAGAAGATTGCCAAGATCAAGAAACGCTCAGCTCGTGCATGCACACTGGATGAAAGTGTGTATATATAGGAGAGCAGATTGCCAAGATCAAGAATCGCTCAGCTCGTGCATGCACACTGGATGAAAGTGTGTATATATAGGAGAGCAGATTGCCAAGATCAAGAAACGCTCAGCTCGTGCATGCACACTGGATGAAAGTGTGTATATATAGGAGAGGAGATTGCCAAGATCAAGAAACGCTCAGCTCGTGCATGCAGGTTCTTATCGGACCCATAGGGATGTCGCTGGGAGTCTGCATCGGGTCAATTAGGATGTGCATCATCAAGGCGGTCACCTGGGGCGTCGAATGGTGGGGCATGAGCCTCGCACTCGCTTCGCGAATGCAGACCCCAGTCAACAGGTCGATGCGAATCGTGTCGGGATGCTCGGCAGAGCACCCAGCACGGAAGCTCTCGGATGTAAATCCTATACACCCCCGTTGGAAGTCATTGCAGCAGACTGCAGCGCGTCGTACAAGGGCCAAGAGGCCCAGCACGCGCCCCCGGCTCAACCGGATGATGGCGTGCATCCCAAGGTATCGAAAAAGCGTTTGGGTCTAGTGGAGGCAGATTTTCCTCAAGTATGGCTTTGGAGTGGATATATACCAGTTGGTTTCTGGGACTGACTCTTTTCTCGACATCTCTAACGAACGGTTCAAGGCAAAGAATGCAAATGCCGATTTCGAAAGAACAGGATCTTCAACGTTGGCCTCGCATCCCATTAGAAGAACCACCGAGTAGAGACATGAAACGTTTGGCGGGAGTCATTGGGGTGGTCAGAGGTTCCCATGGGAACCGTCTGGCTCGCTAAAGAGCGAATCGGTGAAGTCTAGCACGTCCGGGCCTTGTGTTGCATCGAAAAATTACATGCTCGCAGGGAATCATACTGCTTCTGCAGGGGAGACGTAACTCCCAATGCTCGGCGAGACTCGCTTTTGCAGTGTTCGCGTTCGGACACAGGAACGAAGCTGGCTGTTCGAGCAATCACACCTCGTGGATGTCACTATAGATGCTCATGAGCGTTCGCTTATTTTGGGTGCAGAACTGACAATTGGAGGCCCACTGGTTGGACCAAAATGCGCGCTATCTGGCACCAAACTCTTATTCGTCTTTCTAGGCGAAAAAGAGCCGCGAACTGCATGAACATGCGCGCCCGGCGTTTCGTGCATCTCCTGGCTGCTGAGTGCAGCGCAATGGCCCCCGAGTCGCAAGACCGCATTGCATGCCTCCCAATACAGGGAAGCGAAGACTCGGGGTTTTCAGGATTCCTCCTGACAGCTTCTTTTCTGCAACGCATCTTGATGTAAAGTCAGGTCCGCATACAGTGACTGTCAGGGCACGACATGAGGGAGATACCTGACGACGCGTCAAATAAACCACATTTAGAGCCGACGTTCTCACGGGTATGGCGAAGCCGCTTTGCCTCCGTGCAGCATCCGCTGCGGCACCGTGTACGTCCTCGTCGGCGCTCAGGGTAGGCAGTCGGCACCACACAGCATCACACGAACTGGCGGACTAGTATACGTGAAGAGAAGCAAAGGTGGTGATTGGTGACGCCTCACAGTGCGATGCGCAATGATGGACGCGGATATCAATCGCTTCATCGGGGATTCGCAGTCAGCGTCGACGATCCGAAATCCCTGAACGACATCTCTGCGCGCTTGCCTACGAGTAAGAATGGTCACTTCCGCTGTTGCATCCAGGAGTGTTTTTCTCATGCTGTGGGGTTGATGCATCAATTGCGGCCTCCTGCATATGCCCGCACAGCCAGCAAGCACGAAACCAGATCAACTAGTCCCTCCGGATGACTTGACGTTCCAAGAGACACAGACACACACACACACACACCCGTCTTTTCGTCGGAATAAAACGAGAAGCGCGCTTGCCCATGAGCTCTCGGGTATTGCGATGGAAATCTTCAACCATGCCTCCCAGAAATGCTCTGTAAAGGGTAGAGATACTATCTCAAACTCGTTTACCCAACGCGTTATGCTCGCTTTCCCATGAGCGCTCAGGGGTTCCGATGGAAATCCTCAAGCATGCCTCCCAAAAAAAGCTCCGTGAAAGGCAGATCAGGCATTTCAGCCAACGACTAGGTAGCATCCATTTCTGTGTCAGCTTACGCCAAGTGCCCAATACCATCGAAGTAAACGTCGTCCAGTATCAGATGCCGATTGTGTCGTCTTGCCTCCTGAGCGAGCACGCGACACCACAAGCAAGCGTACGGGTGCGCTCTGCAACTCGCACTGCCACCGCATTGGGATCTCGTATCGGCAGCTGGTAACGTTGTGAGCAAGCGCTCTACGTACTGCGCCCGCTAACAGAACGTCTGATAAAGTGAAACAAGTGTCGTTACCAGCTTTGCAATCGTTTCCGCCAGAAACGTACACAACGCAGCTGCCGGTGGTAAACGGTGCCGCGCAAGGCGCTCCACATACGCTGAACGCGTGCTCGTAAACAACGCGCTTTTTTGAACTGCTGAGACTGGACGAGCTGTGCGCTTCGCACAGCAGCGCACTGTACGGACTCGGACACTTGTACTGGCTATAGAGGGAAGTTCTTGAGGTTTTGGCGCTCTGAGGCTGTGCCAAAGACGCTGTGCGGGCGTGCCTTCACGGCTGCCGTGCGCGTTGCCGGAAGACGAAGCGTTAGCTACGCGGTGCGACAGAGCGCACCTCGTCTTCCCTGACATTGCAGAGCGCACGCAAGACGTCATGTGGCCGGTGTTTTTGATGGAAACAATTCCGCGAGCGTCTGAACCTCAGCGGTTGCGTGGACGTTGCTCGCTGCGCCACGAGCGTCTGCTGACCTACGCGGGTCCACCACCGGCCGCTGGTGTGTCTTCGTGGACTTGGTGTATTTTCCACGACGACGCCAAGGTCCCCTGTCGACACAGACGACCTAGTGGCGCTTTCACCGAAAATCGGCGCTCATTTTCCGCTGCTGGCGTCCGCTGGGGAGCGCGCAACCTTCGTCAAAACGGGACGCTTCACAACTGTCTCCTGCTTCCGCGGAGTCCAAGCAACCGCCAGCTCCGAAACAGGCTGCATCGTGGATGTTTCCAGCTAAGGTTATGTCAAAAACTGGAGAATTCGGAGCATGCAACGTCTTCAGATTGTATCACAACTGGTCCCGTGGCCGCTGACTATCCAACGAAGGAGCCTCCCAAGGTAGCCGGTCAAACAGACATGGAACGCATACGTGATCATTTGGTTGAGAAGCTCAAGTTACCGACTCATATAGGCATCATTATGGATGGGAATGGGCGCTGGGGGCTCCGCGTCCGCGGAAGTCGTTCCGCGGGTCACGAGTACGGCACCCAGACATTGCGTCGAATCGTCGAGGACTGCCTCTGGCTGCATATTCCATTCTTAACAGTATTTGCATTCAGCACCGAGAACTGGCGACGTCCTGCTGCTGAAATATCGAGTTTGCTCTCGCTTTTTCAACATGTTGTGGATACAGAGCTCGAAAAGCTGCAATCGCGTAGTGTGCGTGTGAGCTTTGTCGGCGACCGTAGTGCACTTCCAGACTCGCTTCGCGAACGAATGCACGATGCAGAAGAGCGCACGCGGTCGAATCGAGCTCTGTGTCTCCAGGTAGCGCTCAACTATAGTGGTCGACAAGATATCCTACAGGCTGTACGTTGCGTCGCTCGCGATGTAGAAAGAGGCGTGCTCGACCCCGACAGTGTCAACGAATCCGTGTTTGAGACCTACCTGGCGCAGTGCTGGGGAATCGACGTTCCCGATCCGGACTTGATCATTCGCACTGGCGGCGAGCAACGGCTCAGCAACTTTATGCTCTGGCAGGCTGCTTACGCGGAAATCTATACAACCGATATCCTGTGGCCAGAATTTACGTCTCGTGACTTTTTCCGGGCATTAGAGGCATTCCACGAACGAAGACGGCAGTTCGGCGGTCTTCCTAACTGCGAAAACGACGCTTACTCGACTAGAAAGGTCCCAGAACATCCGAGTCTCTAGGCGGGTGTTCCTGACCGAATGGCGCAGTGTACACCAGCTTGCCAGCTGATCGAGCGCGCCTCATGCAGGTGGCTTTTGAAGTATAGGTCGAAATCGATACCCCTGCGTCATCATGCCCCGAGTCGTGCTGTGGCTCGTATGAAGCCGTGATTTCGACAGGTAACCTCGCGATGCCAACGATCATTGCGAGGTACGATCGACTACGCCAGCGATGCTGCGTGTGTTAGCGAGACGCCCAACTCGTTTTCAATCAGCGGTTTGTCCAGTGCTACCGCATTTCGCCCGATCATCGCGATAAGGCTGTGCTGTGCTGTGCTGTGCTTATCAGCATTTGCCGGAACATTCTTGCGTGCACGAACGCGCCAGACGGGCAAGCGCGCGATGCCGGACACGACCAAGCTGGAAATTGTCGCTCGCTAACTGAGGATCTCGTTAGCACTGTTGACATACAGGGCCGAAACATCGGTGAGGTGCCTCTCGATATCGCGTTCCGACATGCGTTACCCAGCGCGATGCTTATTCGTTATCGGCTAGGGATGGCAGTTGCATACCATCGCGGACAATGATGTCCTTATAATATCCGCGATCTTTGGGATCCTTCATGACTTTTCGAAGCTCCAGGTCGAAAACCAATAGCTCGCCCTCCTCCAATTTCTTCGCCAAGCGCAAGCGTGTCCAAGTCCGGTCCGGTACTGGTCCGAGGTCAGCGTGCACGTAGGCAAGACGAGGAGGCACAATGACTCGACGTCGTCCATGCTCTCGCATAGTGTGAATCGCTTCTTCGATTCCAGCAATCGTCCGACCATCACCGTGTTTGATCAAGTATCCACGGCCTCCGGTAGAGTACCACGGTCGCAACCTTATTGCTGGCGCCGCTGAAGATCCCGGCGCGGCGCGTGGCCTCGGGACACTGTACAGCACAAACTCGACAACGCAGAGATCGCCCCAGTCGGGCGAGGTGCCGTCGCCCTCGACAAAGTCATAGTACCGGAGCCCAGTGGCAGTCACCTTGCCCAGCGGGGCACCAGCTGCCTGCTGCTCCGTAGCCGAGCCACTTGCATGCGTCGTCTCGGCTGCAGCAGCCGCTGCTAGTGTAACTCGTGCCGAGAGCACCTGCGCCACCACAAGCGTCACAAGTGCACAAGCACCGTGCCGCAGCAACGTTCGGCGACTCACCGGGGGTTCCTCGGAGAGAGCCGCTCGCCAACACGGCCCGGCGGCAGCGAGCACACGGCGTCTTGGCCTACAAAACTGCACAACTCGTTCATCAGACACAATTCGATGAAATGCACTGCCACAACAGCCGGTACCGGCAATAAAACACAGTTTTCGGCAAACAAAGGTACTGCTCAGTGCACCTCGCGTGGTACACGCCCCCATGTGCTCAACATCACCGTGGCTGGAGGAGGATGCGCAGCTCCGGCGTACGCACGCGCACGCACGCACGGTGTCGTGCGTCTCACGCAATGCGTCCATTTTGTACAGATATGGGCGTTCCAAAGTGCCGGCTCCGTGACCCGTGACAGATCCGGGCCACCACTGCGTTGCACGCAGCGTCTTTCGCGCCTAACCACGTTTCGCCGTACGCGGAGACGCGCATGGACTCCAGGGGATATGAGCGAAGACTCACGCACTGAAACTTCTTCCACAGAGACTGAAGAAGAGATCGTTCGTGGGGCGAATACACATGCATCAGGTGGACGTGTTCCTTTGGTGGCAAGTGGTGCGCAAAGTTTATCGACAGTCGGGAGCAGTTTGCGTGCTGCGTGCGCGGGGCCGGCTGTTCCACCTTCGCTCGCACAACCGCTGCCTTCAAAGCGAAATGTACGCGACAACGAAAATATAAAGCGACGGCGGTTGGGAACTGAAGCTGCGGATGTAGAAGTGGTACCGCGGAACGGCCAGCGTAGGCGTCGTGGCGCTGCGAAGACTGAAGCGCGTGTGGCGTTGCCTACAGTTGCGTCGCTCGAGAGCAGGCCAGGTTCAACGAGTGAATGGCGGCGACAACGGATGTCGCTGCACTCTCTCAGCCACGGTGTGGTGATAGATCTGAATCGAGTGACGATACCGGAACGATACCGGCGGTGCCGAACCCCGTTATCGAACCACGCGATAGCGGCTATTGCGCACGGCTGGGCGCCGGACGATGTGTGCTCGATTTGCGGTCTGGGTGGCGATATTGTCTGCTGCGACGAGTGTCCCATGGGGTATCACTTGCAGTGCATCGGGTTGCCATCGATTCCAAGCGGAGAATGGTTCTGCCCCGCTTGTGTACTGCGCATCAAAGTCGAGGAGCGGATGCGACAGGAGCTGGGTCTCGCATCCTCACTAGGAGAACATGCCAGTTCCATACCAACGGGATGGTCCCAGGGCTGGACTCGGCCGCCGACAATGAAGGCACTACGAGAGGAAAGCACGACACAGGAGCCTAGACGGACATCGCCAGGAATAGCGGGCATCAGAGGAACAGATGAGCGCTTCCCCGGTTGCGGTGACGGCATGAGCGAACCGCATCCACCCCGGCCTGGTCCGATAGCTGGCGCAGACATTGGAAGCGAGCATTGCGGACTCGCGTCTGCAGCGACCAAAGAAAGAAACGAGTCCGCGGTGCTGAACCACGAAGTCGTACAGACCATCCAGGCTCCGGTGGAAGACGCTGCGAAACTGAGTCCCTTGGAAAGCGCGTTCACGGGCTCAAATGCGGCCCAGCAACCGGGAAACGCTGCGCCTGGTTGGACGTCGAGCATCGACGAGAAACAGCAGACAACCGCAAATGTAATGAGGTCGTTCGTGACGCACGCTGCAACGCATCTGGCGGCCGTGCAAACAAACGTTTCCGCGGGGTCTATGTCGAGGGATGTGCGCCTGCCGCCACTGGTGCCCCCGTTGGATACAGAACAAAGCATGGAGTCGATGCGGGGAAGATACGCCTCGCGAGATATGACGAGAGCGGACGTCGCGTCTTCGACATACTTGGCGACGAAAGCGCAGTTGGCAGACACCCCTGCTTCCCTACCGCCGAGCACGAGTACGGATTCGAGAGGCGTTGCCTGGTCCGTGCTAGGTGCGATTGCAGCCTTGAAACTTGCACCTTGGAAGGAAACGCAGCTTGTACAGATGGCTTTGCGACAGGATGAGCGCCTCATTGGGCTCTATCGTAGCTTCGGCGCCGAAAAAGATCGATTTCGCGACTATGCGATGCTTCTGCTGGAGGACGTGCGAGCTCGCCCCAAATAACATCCCAAATAGGTCCAAAGAGGAAAAGAAGACGTGTTGTTGCGCGAGATGCATCCCGCTTTTTAGTTCAGTTGCAACCAGGAACTAGACACTTCCTGATGACACAGCGCATGCGCTTCTTGTCCGGCGCGTATCCTCTCGCCGATTTGTGGACCACTCGGGAATGCTTTGGCAGTTCCGCATGAGCACAAACCCGGAACACTTATCTGTTTGCGTCTTCATTACCCAGGCGTATGTGCTCCGTGTGTGCCATAGCACTCCGTGTTCGCTTGGTTCACGCTCAAGTCAGTAACAGATTCCATCTAGGTCATTGGAACAGAGGCCATACGGCACTTGGTGCACTCCCCGTCCTTTAAAGTGAGAACAGGAGATCACTTGCCGGACGCCGCAGCGCCGAGACGGCAAGCCCTTCTTTCTTTATTCATGATACCACACATAAGCGCCTAACTCGAGACCAGATCGTTTGCACGAAACCTTCGTCTCTATCGCCCACGAGTTACCAGGGACATGATCGAGTTGCGACCGATCCCGATGAAAAACGCCCTACGGTGACGCGCTGTCGCATGTGGGATGTTTGGGTCAACCAAGCGTCCTTGGAAACCGACCTTGATCGCCACTGCCCAGGAACGTAGCTCTTGACGAAAGGCAGCAGCAGTCCAAAGTGCCAAATCCCGTCGCTCAGGTGAGCGACGCCTTCGTCTAGCTTCCCTGGATTCAGATGTGTACCGCTTGGATGGAGGCCGTTCGCTCCTCTCCAGACCTGGGATGTTTCCAGTGCTCTTCCAGTGCGACAATCCATGACTGCGCCAGTACGCTTCCGTTCTCCGCAGCCTCTGTCAGATATCGTTGCGCTTGCATTAGGTCGTGATCCGTACGCGCTGCTTCAGTTGCGTGCAGCCACCGGCGAGCGTAGAGCACGCCCAGCACCGCTATGGTGTCTGCGTGTCCCTCACGAGGAGCTGCATTTTCATACCATTGCTCCAGGAACGTTAGCGCGTCATTGAACGCACCACGGGTTAGACAGACAAGACCTATTTTCGGGAGCACAGCAGCGTTCATGCCCGCTGAGCGCTGTCCTGCCATCAACCGTACCATGCGCTTCAGGAGCGCATAGGCGAGCTCGTGATCCGCATCGTCACCGTTGCGCCGAAGCTCCTCTACCAGGGCTAGTTGGGCCGGAAGCACGTCAGCACGAGCCGCTGCATAGCGGTATCTGTCGGCGAGGAAGCGATCAAGCGCGAGCACCGGCTCCGTGAACAGCGAGTGCCACCGATATCGCGCTGAGGACCACCAGCGAGCGATGAGACCACCTCCACGAGGCCGAGTCTTGCGGCGCAGCTGCCACTGCACGTGAAACCCGCGTTCATAGAACTGCGACAGCAACCAGAGTGCCTGTCCGTCAGTCGAGCGCAGCGTGCAGCGCAGCAGTACCTGGTGCGCTTCGTGAAGTTCGCTCCACGCCAGCGTAGCTGCGTCCCGTTCGAGGAGTCTCGCGATCCGCGACAAAGGTGCTGCCGATCCCATGAACGGGCTTGCCAGAGGCAAGCACTCTAGCCCTATCACGAGGCAGACGCAACCCCGTCACTTGGACGCTGGAAGTACGTTGATGAACGCAAACAGAAATGCAGGTAGGATATGACTCGCAGCAAACAAGGAGCAGCGACGGCAGATCGCAGCACCCGTATGAACATAAAATGGAGCTCTGAACTGCTCGCTTTGTTCTTGCATTTCGAACTAGTCTTCCGAAGTATGTTTTTAGATGATCAGCAGCGATATTCGCAGTGCATCACTAGGGGATCAAGGATTGCTGGTTGTGTTTCCAGGAATGGCTTCTCTGGCGGTTTCCCACTGGAATTCGTTACGTCACCGGGATCAAGAGGATTCACGACGCCCTGGAACACGGGTTCGTGACAATAACCGATATCATCCATCCAATGCATACATGGAAGACTGCACGCTTCGTCTTTATGAACCAGTTGAATGCCTAGATCACGTATTCTTCAAATCTTGAAATTTTTCTGTCCCAAAGCAACCATGACGGCTGGTTCACGAGCTCATACCAAGAGCTCTCTGAACTTGTCACGTCAAATAATCGATTCCGTTGAGAGGGGAATCCACTTCTCTTTTTAGCTCTCGACGAAACAGCAATCGACAGGAGCATGTCACCTGGCGCTGGGTACGCTCCGAGAGATGCTCGTTTCTCTTTTTTGCATGAACACGGGTCCTGGACTCGGTCTTGAGGCATCGCAGCGATCGATGAACAGTGGCGCGTGCGTCACCGCTTTGCACCCAGAGGGCGTAGACGGAGTGATATCGATCAAAACGATGCCCTGCTGGAATTTTTCTTCCAGTACTTGATTTGTCAAGAAGAAAATCTCGTTCCACAAGTGCTCGATCGAACGGAACAGCCTGTTCTGGCATGTGCAGCTGGCAGCGCACTCGCCGACAGGATAATCCCATGAGGAAGCCTCTGGTGGTGAGGTGCCGCGTCTGGCATGGAAAACGAATAGGGCGTCCAGAATAGTTCTCTGAACCCATCAAGAGTGTGTACCGGGCGATGAAGCTTGGCTTCATACGCTATGGGGGCAGCGTTCCAAGGAGCGCCTCAGCTGGATGGATAGATCAGCGTGCCTGTGTATAGCAAATAGTCATCGCCAGAAAAGCCCACCGAGGCTGTGTACAACGAAGATGAATGTGGTAAGCGAAATATAGATCGCAATTTTGGCCTGTACATGAAATACGCAGACCTTCACCGGAAACGGAGAAATCGGTAGTTTAAAGATGCCATCAACATTCCTCGACTGCTGACAACCGTAAACATGGGAAAGAAAGCATACTACCGTGTTGAAAGCCGGAGATGTATGGGAGGAAAAGGAGGCATTCACAGAAAAAGCTTGCGCACACACGTGTTGATGACATCGATAAGCGACACATCCATGAGTGTCTGCGCCGGTATTCGTCGACTTGTTCCCGTTTTTACACTGACAAGGGCGTATGGGCTAGCGTGAGACAGGATTTCCCAGGAGACACCGGTGGACGACCTCGCCTCCGTGCCGTAACACCGGGGACCCAAGCCTGGCAGTCGGGGATTCGTGCCTTGACGCTGCGGACGAGCACAGGTCTAAATTTACAAGGTGTTGGTGTTGCTGGTAGAACCTGGAAGCGGCTCCGGAGGTGCAGCGTTCCGTTGCCCGAAAACTGGTAGCGCGAGTGCTACTGGACGCATCTCGTTCGAGTTGCGTTTGTTTCTCAGCAAGCTCAGACCAGTACGTTTCTAGATTTTCTCGCTGCGTCTTCGGACAAGATTCTTTCTGCACTGTAGGTCACTGTTGCCCAGGCCGTACACTGCAACGGCCAATACTCGTCCTCTAACGCGGCTGTGTGGTGCTCCAGGGGAGAGTTCGCGGCTGTACCGCCTCGGCGATGACAACGCTGGCGTCTCAGTTAGCGGGCAACTGGACAGACGCCTCGTACTTGGACGATGCGAACACAGACTGGGCACTTTTACGACTCCAGCTTGAACAGGGCAACGCACAGGTTCGCAGGGAAGCGCTGAAGAGAGTGCTAGCGCTCAGCGTTCAGGGCCAGCCCGTAGCCAAGTTGCTACCCGCCGTGGTGAGCAATCTGCTGCAAGCAGACTATGAACTGAAACGACTGGTGTGCATATTCCTGCAGCAGCATGCGGACGACGAACCGCATTTGGTCCTCTTGGCGGTTAACGCGTTGTTTAAGGACCTGCAGCACAATGACCCTTGGGTGCGGAGTCAGGCGCTCCGCCTACTGACTTCGCTACGTGTTCCCGCTCTACGCCAGGTTATGTGGTTGGCGATTCACCGCGGTGTGCGGGACCGTCATCCGCAAGTGCGACTCACCGCAGCCCTGAGTATCCCACCAGTGCTAACGTGGAACGAGCCCGACGGTGCGGAGCCTGCGCAAAGCCTCCACCAGCTGCCTGTTGAGCAGATTGCTTCGGCGTTGACGGCACCTCTGTGGCAGTTGTTGTTAAATGACCGGGAAGCACCCGTACTGGTTGCAACTGCTGCAGCACTGGGCATGCTAGATCGAGATGCAATGCTCAACATTCCCGTGTCGCTGGTCGAGCGACTAGATGAAGAGTACCAGACGATTCCGGGGAACCTGCTCCCGATAGCACTGCATCAGCTGCTGCGCTACGTCCTACTGCGTACTACAACGCGGCCCGAGCGAATGACAGAGACACTCTGCGGTGAAGAGCTTACCCGCTTTGTGCAAGCCGTCGACCGACTCGCCAGGAAAGCTGTAGAGTCCCTGTCGGCAGCGGTCGCTGTGAGCGGTGCGCTAACGCTGTACCATTTGAGGCGCTCCAGCGATAACGACGTCACGGAGACGGTGGTGCGAACGCTGCTTCGCTACGCGCTGGATCACGAGAGCGGCCTGAAAGTGTTGGCCCTGCGAATGCTGCACGTGCTCGCGTGGCGTGAACCAGCGTGTTTGACAAGGTACGCGCCCCTGTTTGTGCCGACGATCGGCACTGATGAACCGGCAGTGTATCGCCATCAGCTGGGCATCCTGGTGAAACTTGTCGAATTCGAGGAGACGCTGTGCATCACGATTATGGATCGGCTAGTGCCGCTGTTGAAGTGCCGTGGCGAAGAGCTTGCTATTATGGCAGCACGTGCGTTGGCTTTAATGGCAGCAGTGCATCCGGTAAGCAGTGCTGCCGCTATTCCGCAACTCATCGACATTTGGCGCAGCCGAAGCGTCGTATCGCCGTCAGTCTATGGTGCTGTTGGCCTTCTGCTGCTGCGCATGACAGTGGGAGCGCTACGGACGACGCCTCGGGAACGCATAAGTCAAGCAGAAAATCTCTTAAAAGAGATTGTGCTCAATGCGGCATGGATCGAGTCCGACTCGCCGACACAAAGTCGTTTTCTCTGGATCGTAGGCACGATGATCGATCATATTGGGACTGTCGCCGACGAGGTGCTGCGAAGATGGATGCAGCAGCAGCAGCAACAGCAGCAGCATCGATTGCTCTTGGCTGCACCAGTGCGCCTCGAGTTGCTACGTCTTGCTCGAACGCTCGCGGCGCGAAGGACATCCACGGATCGAGCTTGGCGCGCACTCAATAGCCTGCTGGTCGCTGGCCTCGAAGATGACGATGTAGATGTTCTGAGCTACGCGGTGGAGTGCGCACAATCGCTCGATAAGATTTCGGTTCGTCCAGAGAGCGTAATGGATACCATGGAAGCGCGCGTAGCGCAGAGTACGACCCTCATTGACACCGACCCAACGCCTCGAGCAGGTACTGCGGAAGCCGCCGCAGCACATCCGCAGTGTGCCCCACTGAGAACCTCCTCAATAGTGGATGACGTTCGCACAGACGCCATAGATGCACTGAGAAACCGAGATGCGGTAGCATTCGCTGTGCCCAGTGCATGGACGAACGGCTGTCTGCTCTGCGCATGGAGTGCGTGCACTTCCGCGGGAGCGACGTTTTCCTCATGTCTGCCGGAAAATGCGAACCTTTTACATGTGTCGCTGCCTTTGGTACCGTCAACCGAGGCATCGAAGCACCAGGCTGCTGAAAAGCACCAAGACACAAGCACCGAGCTGCAAGCGCCAGTGGCAACGAATCCGGTACCCGCAGCGGACTCGTTAGCTCTGTTTTTCGGTGAAACAACGGCATCAGCAACGACGACAGCTCCAGTGGCTGCAGCACCCGCTGACAAGCACGAGGACGCCAGCGAGCCACTTATTGCGATCTCTTCGCCTGAGCAGACGTCGCCCGATGCCCCAGTGGACTCGACGTTACATATGTCTGTCTTCGATGCACTGCTCACTGCCGGACTGGTGTCCTCGGAGCGCGTCGAACAACTACGACCCCGCATGCTGGCTGAAAACAGCCTGGATGCGTTGTTTCAGGAACTCATCGCAGCAGCGTCAGGTGCGCTTCAGCCTTCGTCAGAGGCAGAGTCGCTCGATGCGCTCGCAGCGGAGTCAGCAGGACTCCTGCCAACCGGCGCTGCGCAGAGTATGTACGAGGCGCCCGTATCGTTGACCCAAGTTCCCGAAGCGACTCAACAATCGCGAGACAAGCGTCGCAATGCTGCATCAGAGCATCCGCATTTGTGACTGTATTCGCCGCGCAGGTCATAGCAACGAGATATCTCGTCGATACTGTGTGTGGCGCTGTTTCTTTCAAAGAGTGTGGTATAATAGAGCCTGTCAAAGCGTGATGCTTGGGAGTCTTTAGGTGTGCGCCAAGTGAGCTTGTTCATTACGTCGCCGGCAACGGGGCGGGTAACTCGAGCATACGTACATGCACGCGGATAGAAGCGCGACAGTGGCAAGTGTCTCGTGTTACACCGGTGTCAGCATAAAATGGAGCAGGTCCACGAATACTGGCTAGCTCTCTAAAAAATGGGCCTCTTCTCCTGGCCGTCAGCGCCAGCCACTGTGGGATTTTTCCGTGACTGCTTCTTGTTTTATGTTTCTTGTATCTGAAATGAAAAACCGCGGTCTGTCCTTTTACTCTAGATCGGTTGTCACTAGTCGATGGATATTGGGGAACACGTCCAAGCGCCGATGTGGCCGATTCAAGCTGTTATCGACGAATATCATAGACACTCGATCGTTGTGAGCTACGCTTCACTCGCCATTTTCATGTTATTTATACAGAGCCGCAGTGCGTCCTTCGCGGCGGTGGCGCTTAACTCTTTTCAGATGTTCCTATACGCGCACCAAACATCCGCGGGCTTCTCCTCCTTCTTCTTCGAGCACCGCCACGTGACACGGGAACGCTTGCTTCGTCCCTAACCACACGCCCTTGACGGGTAGCGTGGGGTTCCTTCGATGTCTCACTCCGTTTCCGCGCCTCAGTGCTGTACCCTAGGATGACGGGCGTCGTCGTCGGCAATCTCCTCGGCGAGTGTGCTGTTCGCAGGACACGAAAGCGTAGGCTGCCCCATTCGGCTGCGGATTTGTAGAACGCGATATTGACCATGACGAAACAGTGTCTGGAAGGAAACCCGGGCCTGACGAAGCACTCGAGAGATCCAGTTCCATCTACGCTCCGTTCGTGCAGCGCGGTGAAGCAGCCTCCGATAGAAGCGATCGCTGCGAGAACGCAAGTCCGAGTCCAAGACACTTCTCCATGCAAACCGAAGACACGCGGGCCTCTACGAGCATACCCCGTGCAGCGTCGCACGCTGTTGCTGGCTCGCGCTCCACCGATAGCGTCAAAACGCGTAGGAATTGTTGTTCGGTCGATTTCAGCTAATGGAGGCGACTAGGTCAGTGAGCTTACGTCATGAGCTTGTACATATGACGTTCAGGGACAGCATCGACTTTTTCGTTTCCACGTCAATCCACCAGCGCCAACGCCTGCACCAACGAGTTGCTTTGAACGAGAACGATCGAAAACTTGAGCAGTGTCTGTGCTGCGAGCCTGCTATACGTCGGGCAAGGACAGGTGCGGCGGCTTGTACGCATGCATCGAATAACGATATCCGTTATTTGAGGAAGCCTTGTCTGAGGGCGTCGCGAATCGTCTCGACCCCAGTGCCGTCACGAATTCCAGCAACGACGAATTGAACGGGAGACACTGCAACAGAGACCGACCGAGACTCCTACAACTGCGTATCGGTTCGTATGCTCTTATTGCTGAACTTCAAATGTTGAGGCCGTGCTTCTAAAAAATCTTCGGAAAACTATCGAATGGTTAGAATGGAGCGAGCGGCTGCATCTTCCATCTGAGTGTGTCTAGCGTTCCACGTGCGCGTCACAGTGACGGTGCGTCACGGACCCTCCGGCCCTGCTGGAGACTCGGCATCGGGCGAAGGCGCTCATGTCCATTACTGTCCCTAGATATACATTCATGTACGATTTCCTCTACGGCTCCTGCGAAGATGGAACGCGAGCGGCGCTGACATCGATTGCAGCACTCGCTGATCTCCATTTGGACTGCGATCAACTCCAGCGATGTTTGTCACTGGCTTGAATAGGCTGAGGCTTGAAGAACGCACAAGATCTAGTGGGTGCACACATACTGCACTACATTGTGCGGCAGTGTACCGTGATCTCGTTCATGGGACGCGTTTGCTGCCCTGGAACAGCGCGTCGCTGGCTGCCGCACGCCCTGTTCGAAGGCGTGCGCGCACGGGAAGCGTTGTGCGCATGGCAACGCAAGCTCCCGGACGGTTGACGGTTGACCAAGCTGCAGGAAAGTTTCCTCGTCTTGTGGAGTTTTTGGAAGCATGCAAGGAGTTAGGCGAATTGCGTTTTATCGCGACGAACGCGGCGGTTGTGCTTGAGTCGACCGCAACCCTCGAGAAACTCTTCTACGCTGAGGTGCCACGCCGAGGCCTCTACGCCAACGTCGTCGACTTATCGATCAACATGGATCTACACATTCTTCTCAGCGGCGTTCGTGCGGCGCGTTTTGAACAGGGCGTCAGTCGGGGTGATCCCTCGACACCGACATACATCATTCGCTTGCTCGGGCACGAGAAGGCAGGCGAGGAGGTGGTACTGAGTATGTTTCTCAGTCCGGTTGGTGATGTCTCATCGGAAAGAGCGGCAGTATGGGAACAACTTCGGACGCGCTTTGCCTCGGCCGATGGTACAGCAGCAGCTAATACGTGCGTCTTTTAGAGTCGTTTCGGCGTAATAGAGAGCATTGAGCCGCTCGCTCCATTCTAACCATTCGATAGTTTTCCGAAGATTTTTTAGAAGCACGGCCTCAACATTTGAAGTTCAGCAATAAGAGCATACGAACCGATACGCAGTTGTAGGAGTCTCGGTCGGTCTCTGTTGCAGTGTCTCCCGTTCAATTCGTCGTTGCTGGAATTCGTGACGGCACTGGGGTCGAGACGATTCGCGACGCCCTCAGACAAGGCTTCCTCAAATAACGGATATCGTTATTCGATGCATGCGTACAAGCCGCCGCACCTGTCCTTGCCCGACGTATAGCAGGCTCGCAGCACAGACACTGCTCAAGTTTTCGATCGTTCTCGTTCAAAGCAACTCGTTGGTGCAGGCGTTGGCGCTGGTGGATTGACGTGGAAACGAAAAAGTCGATGCTGTCCCTGAACGTCGTATGTACAAGCTCATAACGTAAGCTCACTGACCTTGTCGCCTCCATTAGCTGAAATCGACCGAACAACAATTCCTACCCGTTTTGACGCTATCGGTGGAGCGCGAGCCAACAACAGCGTGCGACGCTGCACGGGGTATGCTCGTAGAGGCCCGCGTGTCTTCGGTTTGCATGGAGAAGTGTCTTGGACTCGGACTTGCGTTATCGCAGCGATCGCTTCTATCGGAGGCTGCTTCACCGCGCTGCACGAACGGAGCGTAGATGGAACTGGATCTCTCGAGTGCTTCGTCAGGCCTGGGTTTCCTTCCAGGCACTGTTTCGTCATGGTCAATATCGCGTTCCACAAATCCGCTGCACGAACGGAGCGTAGATGGAACTGGATCTCTCGAGTGCTTCGTCAGGCCCGGGTTTCCTTCCAGACACTGTTTCGTCATGGTCAGTATCGCGTTCCACAAATCCGCTGCACGAACGGAGCGTAGATGGAACTGGATCTCTCGAGTGCTTCGTCAGGCCCGGGTTTCCTTCCAGACACTGTTTCGTCATGGTCAATATCGCGTTCCACAAATCCGCAGCCGAATGGGGCAGCCTACGCTTTCGTGTCCTGCGAACAGCACACTCGCCGAGGAGATTGCCGACGACGACGCCCGTCATCCTAGGGTACAGCACTGAGGCGCGGAAACGGAGTGAGACATCGAAGGAACCCCACGCTACCCGTCAAGTTCGTGTGGTTAGGGACGAAGCAAGCGTTCCCGTGTCACGTGGCGGTGCTCGAAGAAGAAGGAGGAGAAGCCCGCGGATGTTTGGTGCGCGTATAGGAACATCTGAAAAGAGTTAAGCGCCACCGCCGCGAAGGACGCACTGGGGCTCTGTATAAATAACATGAAAATGGCGAGTGAAGCGTAGCTCACAACGATCGAGTGTCTATGATATTCGTCGATAACAGCTTGAATCGGCCACATCGGCGCTTGGACGTGTTCCTCAATATCCATCGACTAGTGACAACCGATCTAGAGTAAAAGGACAGACCGCGGTTTTTCATTTCAGATACAAGAAACATAAAACAAGAAGCAGTCACGGAAAAATCCCACAGTGGCTGGCGCTGACGGCCAGGAGAAGAGGCCCATTTTTTAGAGAGCTAGCCAGTATTCGTGGACCTGCTCCATTTTATGCTGACACCAATCTAGACCCCGACGCTGAAACGATTCGGATACGCATCATCGGTACCAGGCGCATTACCAGGCATGTGACGCTCGATGTGAACCGGGAGCGCATCACGGTAATCGCTCGCTTGCGGCCGCTTCTACGAAACCGCGCACGGGTGCATCGTTTGGTATGACCATTGCCAGCTAATGCCATCGTTAGATTAGCGTATGTTCTCAATGCCGAGTAGAATCGGGGCGCTGCACACAACGAAAGAGACCGAGTGCGGCAGTGCAGCTACCGTCAAGCGTTGCGTGTCGTCGAGACGCACTCCTCGCGTTGCCATCCAGTGGATCGTTCGGATACCACCGGCGGCTGACGGTCCCGACGAGATACGCCCATCTCTGGGATACAGATGCCCTAGGTATGCTCCAGACGGACGCAGACTCGGTGACGCTCGGCAGGCACGTTGCCTCGTGCAAGTCCTCAGGATGCGGACAGCCGCCCGTGGCGCTCCCATACGGGGACTCAGTGATTCAAAAACATGAACTTGAGCGAGCAACTGACGCCAAAGCTAATGCTGTAACAGCTGCGCCGTTCGCTCGGACACTGCTGCTGTCGGCGACGCGAAGCTGGGAAACGCATCTCGTTGACGTTCCGAACGAGCCCGCGCGCCCACCTGCGCCCTGGCGCGCTATGGCGAAAATCGATGCAGCCACGAACACCCAAAGGGGAAACATTGTAGCGCAGCATACGAAGCATAACATGTGAATAGCGGGTATATACTCAAAGGGAACGGCAAGGAACACGAGTCGCAAACCAGATGATCCTCTCGAGGATCGAGGCGGCTTGGATACATATCTCTATGGGACACGCGGAGTCGCTCACGCGTGCCCATGTGTGCGAGTCCCAGGTCAAGTATCTCAACGCACATAGCGATGTCGAACGCTCTAGGTGCTGATGGCATCAGCTGTTCGCTGCTGACGCTGCATTTGCAGCTGTCTCCGCAGCGCTCGGATGCGTTCATACGTTCGCGTCCGAGATTGCAGATAACAGGATCTGGACTCATTGAGGAAAGTCGCTTTGTACGCCCCTGGTCTGTGTAGAAGCATGGAGCCATGGAGCGCTGCATTTGGATGAGCTCCTTCTGAGCTGATTTGGCCAAAATCAGTCTCAGAAAGACCTCGTAATGCCGGCGCGCCCGCTTCACCCGCTTTCGAGGCCGGTGGTGGACACTGCGTCCCGTCATCCACCTGACCCGCGAATGCACAAGCACCGTCATCACCATCATCATCATCATCACGATTCGTGTGCGTTGTGGAGTTGCGGACACCCGCATGGAATGCGGTGACGAGGGTCTGCCACCAGCCGCTCGCACGCGAGCGCTGAACCCCCACCGCCGACCGTGGTGCCTGCGACGGCAGCAGTACCGATGATGACGGCCCCAGAGCGGCTCCGTATCGGCACGAGCGCGGCATGCGCACGATCTCATCCGCTGCGTACATTTGCCTGATGGCTGCTTCGTCTGCGGAGCACCACGCATATGGAAATCGCTCTGGTTCCATTTTCGGTGCAAGCAAACGAGGAAACCGAGCTTCTTTCATGGATTCTAATTCCGTCACAGACATAACATGCACCGCTCTGGAACGTGCGTCAACAACTGCACTTGACTGTGCGTGCTCTGGCTCAGTGTCCAACACATGATCGCTGTCGGGCTCCTTGCCAAGTTCGAAACGCTCAACAACGCGACCAGACGCTCCAGCCGGTGAACCAGGTGTCCATTGCTTCGAAGTTCCCCGATATATGGCTCCATCACGGACATTCGCCTCGGAGTCCCCAGCATGAACCCGTGTAGCGCGCTCAGCAGACGACAAGCGCTGCCTCGAGCGGGCATCGCCTCCGTGCACTTCCCGCGTATCAGCATGCGTGCACCGCTCACGCACAGCAGCAGCATCAGTACCATCAGCAGCAGCAGCAGCAGCAGCGGCACCGGTGACATGCATCCCTTCAACGGCATGCCGTGCGTACACGTGTCCGCGTCGATCTCGATATTCACCTCGATACAGCGCCTCGAGATGGTGATCCCGTTCGAGCCACGCAGCAGCGACACGGCGAACGCGCGCTAGCCGCTCCGCAAGGCCGATCTGGGCTCCGTGCAGGGCAGCGTTCCCGAGCATGGCGGCCTCTGCTGCGTTGCCGCTACGGGCGAGCATCCACGCCAAAGCGAAACAGAGCAACTCTTTGAACGCAAGCCGTGACTGGCGTAGCTGTGCCTGCACACGCCCTAGAAAAAGGTCTATTTCTGGTTCCCAGGTTTCCAGGTTTGGTAGTAACAAGTTTTGGTACACCAAGGCCGCGCACTCGAAGAGCGGCGATGCGGCTGACGCCCAGTACCCCGATCGGTGACGAAGGCGACTTGCACGCGGAAACCAGCTTCGATTTCGAAAGGAGGTTCCTTCAACGTTGCCAACGCTATGCGACCGTGCACCGGGGCTGTTCGTTGCGGACGTATGCGCGGAAAGCGGCGATGCGCGTGTTTCCGCTCCACTGTTCGCTCGACGCGCGGGTTCAACTTGGTAAGTGCCGCCAAAAAAGAGCAAAGGTGCCAATGTATCTGCTAACCCGCGGTGCAGCGGGAAAACGAGAAACATCAGAATAAGCGCTTCGAGCCAGGAATGCGCTCGGACCAGGCGACGAACGAGCAGGTCACTTCCCGACAAGTGAGCGGTGTTCGAGCCCCAGGTCGTCACGAGCCACAAGATTCGAAAGAGCTCACGAATTGCTCCGGTGCACAACTTACTGAAGCCGTAAACGATCCAAAACTGAAACACCCGTCGGTACCGTAAGGTCGAGCAGCCGCGCCCCGTCAGCAACATCCCGAGCAACACCAGCGTGTGGTACGCTGCAAATGACAGCACACACAGCTGGAGCCAAACAGGCACGGGTGCAACCCGCAACGCGCTAATGAGGTGCAGTCCATTCGTACCGGGGTCAGTCAGCGGCATAGCGTCAACGTCCAAGTGTCCGTGCTGCAGTGCTGGGACCAGCGCGTCCTGCTGGACTCGGTGACTCAAGACGATGCGCGCTCAGCGATGCAGGAAAAGTCTCCAAGTGCCTCAAGTTGTGAAAGTCGTCTCCACGGAGCGTCTCGACAAAAGGTGCGCACAAAAGAGTCGAAGCGGGGTTGCGTTTATGCGCTGTCAAACGGCTCACCGTAGACCCCAACGATTCAAGAACGCCGCCGCAGCCCGAACGGATGCAGCGCTTGCGGCTCTGACTGCCGTGCGAGCGAGGTTCCCCTGAACGGGCAGGTGTGTTTCTTTGCGTACTGGTTTTGAATAGGAAAGAGCGTTGAGCGTTTAGGACGTAGACCCAGTTCCTCCATAAGATGGTTCGGTAAGGGTTTATGTGTCATCATGGACGCTGCAAGCTCCCAAGAACACGGTTCGCGAGTCGAACGCGGACGCTTCGTGAGGTGTTATGGACCGGATTGGCAACGATGCCAAGAGGCGCAGCATCATTGCTGCAGACGTGCTGCTTGCGTCATCTAGACACCCGCGATTCACGATATACCGGCCCGTAACCACACAGCGCAAAGCCCTTGGTGAAACAGGGGCCACTCGAGCGACGCTTGGCTGGAGTCGCGACGGACGGTGCGGGTTCACGGGTACCTGCCGCGTGCCGTCCCAGCAGCGGTGCAGGGGTCAGGGCGCCCCGCAGCCTCGAGTCTATAGTCTGTTGCGACCGAGAAATCGTTGTTTGCTGGCCCTTGACGAAACGCGTTGGACCTTTAACGGGGCGAGCACGCCAAATTGCCCTCGACGAAGTGTTTGCCTGTCTCCGCTGCTGATAGCGAACCTACTCCCGAGTGCAGCGCTCGACTGCTGCTCACTGGTGAACTGCTGGGGTCACGTTCTCCAAGCAAGCCGTTCGCAAGTCGACGGATGCTAAAAGTCGCCTGGGTTGAGACGTGCGGCATGCGGCGTTCCTTGTTGAGGTCAGCGTTGCTGCTTGATGGATTCTTTCTTGACATGTTGCTGACGTATTTCAGGTGCTAGTGCTGACTTTGCAGCAAGTTCCTCGATCATGTTTCGCCGAACCGGACGTAACTTTCGTCTCGCGCGCTGTATCAAGGAATCTTTGCGAGCGGTAACCAACACTTTAGGTCATACGAGGCCTCTGCTGTCGTCGTCGCCTGTGCGAGCGCCGCGAAGCGACGTTTGCCTGCACGTATCGAATGCGCACGCCTCGAATCGGGCGGTAGACGCTGGGGCGGAAGCTTATTTGCATCCGCAAACAGAATGCCGAGCAGGCGATGTGAAAGAACGCTATCCGATCCAAATCCGACGAGCTGAGGAAGATGCTCAAGAACATGATACCTTGCCGCCGCCGAGCAACATGATTTCGGGGAGAACACCGCCCCTGCATCAGAATGCTCGTCGCCCTGGGTCCGAATAACGTACAAGCGCTGGCGAGGCAGTAGCTTCGCGACGCTCTACCCTGGGCGCGCAGAAGAGTGCATCTCAGACCGTCTCGCCTATGCCCCGAAATTTTGGTACGGAAAAGTTTTGCGCAGTGGTGGAGTCCCTGGTCTATCTTTCAGATGTTATACTCGGCCTCGTCCACCTCGAAGGAGCGTTCCCCGAAGAACTTAACATGCACGAGGTCGCCGGGATACAAATCGCCCAGCTCTTTGTAGCGCGTTGTGAGCATGATGGATTGAAGAATTTGGCCGTCTTGGAGCTCGACATCAACACGCACACTCCAACCTAAGAAAAACACGTCGACAACACGAGCCGGAGCCGTGGTGCTATCGGGGCTGCGATGCAAGTGAACGTCATGAGGACGCAGCATCAAGTACTGGGCGGCGTTATCGCTCTTACGGACATTGGTCGTTGTCTCAGACTCGCGCGGTATTGTCGGCGGACGCTCGGGGTCCGACCAAATGGAGTCTTTTTTGGATGTCTCCACGGAGCGCGCTCGAGTAGCATTCGTGAAGGTGCGCCCGTTTGCCTGCTCTGCGGGGAGCGCATCACGACTCACGACGCTCACATCGCCCATGAAGCTCATGACAAACGGCGACGCTGGATGCTCATAGATCTCAAGCGGTGTGCCGACCTGCTCGATCTGGCCCTTGTTCATGACCACCACGGAGCTGGCTATCTCTAAAGCCTCCTGTTGATCATGCGTCACGAAGATCGTCGTTGTGCCGACCTCATCGTGCAAGCGCCGAAGCCATGCACGCAGACTCCGCCGCACTCGCGTATCCAACGCACCAAACGGCTCATCGAGGAGGAGGACGCGCGGTTCGGGAGCTAGGGCTCGAGCCAGCGCAACCCGTTGGCGCTGTCCGCCGCTCAGTTGATGTGGGTAGCGGTCACCGAGTCCCTCAAGACCCATGAGCTTCAGAAGCTCCAAGACGCGCCGTTCTATTTCTGAGCGAGGCGTCTTGCGAATCTCCAATCCAAATGCAATGTTCTTCCACACGGTCATGTGCTTCCACAATGCATAATGCTGGAATACAAAGCCAATCCGTCGTTCCTGAACACTCATCTCCTCGGTATCTCGCCCATGGAGGAAGATACGCCCCGAGGTCGGATTCTCAAGCCCCGCAATACAACGAAGCAGTGTCGACTTGCCGCTACCGCTGGGGCCAACCAAAGCCACTAGCGAGCCGTCCTCGATATCGAGCAAAATATCACAAAGGGCGTAAAATTGTCCTCCTGGTGCATGTGAGTCGGGAAAAACCTTGTGTACATGGCGTATCGCGATGCAAGTTTCCGCGTTGCTTCGGTCAACATCTGTGATGTCACGACTACTGGGAGTCGGCGACGCTACCCTTGTCGGTTCGTGACGGGAATGTCGAGCGCGTGCTCGCGGAATAACTGTGGTGTCCGCTCCATTCTGTGCGAATGAGGCACCTGAAGCTGGTACTGTCCCCGTTGGTGCTTGTTCTTTGATCAAGTGGGGCCAAGTTTGGCGCGATGACCGTTTCCGGCCGAAGAAACGCTCGAACAGCGAGGCTTTCCAGGAGCGAGAGCGCGAGCGCGGGAGCGCACGCTTTACCGGATGCGGGGAATGCCTCTGAACAAGAATCCGTGAAGCTCCATGGATCGGATAGAGAACAGGAGCGCTGAAGGAACTCTCCTGGATGCCTATGCACGGGTGTTTGCCGTGCACTTTGGTCAAAGCACAGGGCTCAGTAAACCAGACGAAGCTGGTACGCGCTGAAAAACTTCGCGGGTGGGTTCCACGGTTGACCACTGCAGCATTACCATATCCCGAGAAAGCGACCTCGCTCTCAGTGTCAAACTGTCCTAATTGGGCAGGAGCAATGTGCCTCTTTTCCGTGGTTCGCTGCCGAGTTCCCTTATGAAGGCCCTGGTGTGGTGCGCAGGCGTGCCCCAGCTGCGGACTACCCATGGCGTGCGGGCAACTCCCTCGCTGTTCCCTGAGGGGCTCGTCCAAAACACAGCACAAAACAAAACAGCACTGTCTAGTGCACTGTTTTCCTGTTCTGTCTTGAGGCCAGGCTATCGTCCTGAGCAAGATATCCGAGTGCATCGCAGGCATTCGGCGGCGCCGCCGCCGTGCACTGCTGCTCGAAGCAGTACCGCTGATCTTTTTTCGATGAAGAAACGTCTTCATTGATAAGGGATACCAGATTGCGGGACGGGTATTAGGATTCATGTAATTGTCCATCATAAGGCAACTACCTCCAAGTTCCATTACTGGTGTATTCTTTCGGGTGCACCGGTCGTTTCGAATGTTCTATCATGCGCCGATTACCTGCTTTGAGCACTCGCCGTGGCGCTTCTACCGCTGGAACGGATGCAGCACGGAGACAGAAAGGCTTTACCATACCACAGAGGGTGCCGGATCGAGGCAGGGTTCATCTGATACGGGGTCGGGATTCGTTATCATTCTGGGAACCTGGAAACGGCGCGGACAGACCTACCGGCTGCGGCTGCGCGAAGCGATACGCTAGGAGTCCACTGGGACCAGCGCGACGACCAGACGCAGGCTACCCGTTCAGAGTCCAAGAATAAACTGCGTTTCGGACAAGCTGCTTATATCTCGCTACAGCGCTGGGCACTGGAGGGAGCATGAAGCATGAGACTGGGAAATTCGTCCCGCTCGCGCGCTTTTCCGCCTCTAAGGTGAACTTTCGAAAGCTTAGAAACTTTCCCCATCTAACGCCTACCGTAGAGGGGAAAGAAATTGTTATCGAGCTGCTACTTCATGACTCGTTTCTATTCTTTTATCCATGGCGCGGTCGATACGCGCACCTCGAGAACTGGCACTCACGAGGCACGACGTAAATGTCGCTGTGGAAGGGAAACGCGATCCTGATATATAGAGTTTTGCTCCACCGAAAAAGATGTGTTTGCGTTGTAGTCGTAGCAAAGCATCGTTTTCAGTTCGATTGCGTTTTAACCCTCAACAGACTGGGGTCAAGTTATTTTTGCTGGTTTGTAGAAGAAGCGTTCAAAAATGCGCTCTTTTTCAAGAAAAAAAAAACAAATACAAAAAGGAAACGTATAGAAAAGGAAGTAGAGGATCCTGGAGGCGCAGTGTCGCCAGCTGCCAGAAAAAGACGACAATCAGTACAGAGTCCAGAGGTACAAGAGAAGACGAACAAGCTGTACGAAAGGCAACAGTACGACGAGATGGTGGCGAAAGCCTGTCTTCTTAAACGTGTGAAGGATTCGTACAAGGAAAAGTTGCGAGACGCCATCCGCAACCGTGTCGACTCGTGCTCCAAGAGCATTGTTAAGGCGTCGTCAGGACTGATGCATTTGGCGAGGGAGATGTATCGCAACGTGACGCACATGGAAACAGTCGAGATTCCAGACGAGTTTTTCGACAAGACCTCTACTCGCCAGCTGATGTTTGGCACAGGGGAAACGCGCAGGGAAAATGAGCGGGTTCACGCTCTTCACGAAAAACGTCCGTTTTACAGCCTCGAGGGTACTCGATACAAGGGTGACTCGCGTATTTGCACATACGGGGCGATGAAGTACATCACGAACCTGAAGAACCATTCGACGATGAACCTCGAACGTTTCATGATACGCGCCGTGTTTGCGCTGTACCCGGTCTTCTCTCGCAAAGCAATATGGGCGATTATCAATGGTATCAAAAACAATGGCCAGCATGAAGATGAGATCGAATTTGTCGACAAGAAAGTGTCAAACGAGAATACGAGTGAAGCTTCTGTAATCCGTGCGCTTTTTCAAGAGGATCGTCTTGTACTTGGGCTGGCTAATCCAGCAGAAAAGATATCAGAGTTGAAAAAATATAAGGAAAGATACTTTCGCCTCATCCTGCCGTATTTCGTGTTTTTGGACCGAGAACTCAAACGCAAGGCGGAGATGATGCGGGATGAGGAAGAAAATGAGGAGTGGGAGAGACGGAAGGCTGCCCTAATGGGGAAGCGCTTCAATGTCGTTCCGTTATGCAACGTCAAGTCACATTTTGTGACTATCAACTCCAGCGTCCTTCATGGCCCATTGAAAGAAATCAGCCCGGAGTTCGATATCCGTGAGGAGTTCAGCAAAGTGACAAACCGCGGGGCGGTTTTTCGAGCCTTTCGGGAATTCATGGAAACCCAGGCTGCTCATGACGAGGAGATGTGGAAAGAATATTCAAAGCCCCGCTGGGCTCGTCTGCGTATGAATCTATACAGTGGGAAGCAGCGTGCATTCGCCAAGTTCTTTAATGAGTTGAGCGCCTTGGAGGACGACAAGAGTCACAGGCTGGTAGTAGCGTACGGAGCAGGGCGCTGGGTGACCCAAAAAGGGTGTACCCCAGCCCCAACGACAAGAACGTACAAGGAGTGGGCACGACGTTTCGTTACGATACCAAAAGATAAGTTTCGAACATTCTATAAACACCATGAGTTGGGATATACACTTCAGAGAGTGGAGATGGAAAAGTGCCAGCGGATCCCTGAGGATATGAAAACGTACGGGGCGCTGACGGTAGAGCGAATGGAAAGGGGAGCGAAAGTTCGAGGAATACTTGCATTAGTAAGTACAACCAATGATGGCAAGAAACGTATGGAATTCGTGAACAGAGACTTTAATGCCGCTGTCAATATAAGGAGATGTGCGGTGTTGGAGACGAGACCTCCAGAGCTGAACACGAGAGAATTTTGTGGGAGAACCTCTCAAAGTGGACTAATATGAGAAAAAAATGGAATCAGTAGTTGGTGGCCGGTCCAAAAAGTCTGGGAGGCGTCTGCACGTCACTTGGAGAGGTCTTGTCTAGGGCGCGTTTCTCGCCACTACTGTACACTTCTGGCCGCAGCAGCGTTTATCTTGTAAGACGTTCGTGTACCCGATTTGTCCGAGGTTATTCTTGCTCTTGATAAGCTCAGAGTCGCGTTTTCAAGCAGACATCGGCCAAGAATGGGTGCTATGCAAGTGAAGAAGAATCCTTACGTGGAAGCCTGGGTTGCTGGACGGGAGACTCTAGAGGAGCGGTTCCGTTTCACCCCGCGGAACATTCGTACCGCGTTGCTCTTTGGAGTCTTGGTTCCGTACGGCATCTATCTGCTCGTTGCGCACGATATGGCGGAGTCGAAAAGCACGGATCGGCCCGAATGGAAACATCTCAAGCGAGAGTTTCCTGGCGTTCCCGTCAGATCCGCTGACTCTGCGCAGCACTCGTAGGGAACCCGTGGCTAAAATAGAGCAAGTCGAGATGGTCCTCTGCTGTACTGAAGCTGCGACCACACGCTTACAGGGCTCCTCAAGGCCCCACTTGCTGCTTGGGGGCGAAATGTCGGAAGTCTGTTGCAGCGCACTAGACTAAAGCTGGTCATACGTGTATGGCTATGTCTGGGTGAGGCACGGGAGCAGTTGCTGCGTCGACCAGCGCCCTGCACACGCTGAGTATTCGAGTTGCCCCGAGTACCGCTAAAGCCCCATGAGAAGCGCTTGCATACGATCAACGCTCCTTGACAGGTGGATAGAGGGACCTCCGCACACACCAACGGACCCAGAAGGAGCGAATATGCCAACGAAGCGTACTAGAGAGCACAAACCGCAAATGGAGGCCTCCATGAGGTAATATGGATATGTTCTGCCTTTCTCAGTGCTGGAACGGGTGGACTACTGGAAATCGTTTCACGAGGTGGGATGTTGTTATTTGTGGCTGCGGCGTCTGGGTTTTGTGGATCTTTGCGTCGTTTCAGTCTCACATGCAAGGCAGGAGCGACCAGCGGAGTGCGGCAGGAAAGGGGCATACCACCGGATTCCGTGTCTTGGAAAGGCGAGACTTGAGGGCTACGGTTGCATTGCAGTAGGCTATCGATGACCACTGACGACACGAGGCGTCATGCCGCTCTGGCTGGCAGTCGGGAGAGTCGAAAACCGCGCGAGCGACGCCTAGTACGGCATTGTACTGAGCCTGTTGACTAATGTTGAGCGTGAGAGCGAAGCGTTCCCCTCTCCTGGACCAAGACACAGAATCCGTAATGGCTTCACGAGCGGTCTGCATTTACGGGAAGTGCGCACCTCTATGGATGCGGATCACCTGTGTTCACGACAACGAAGCGGGCCACAGCACGTTTTTCTCACAGCGATGCTTCGATGAGTCTAGCGACTTGTGCGCCTATGCAGAAGCACGAATATCCGAGATATTGGATAAACGAGTCTTTCCAACAGTGGACGATAGATCATCTGAGCTAGTGATGATTTGTTGTTCAGCAGCTGCCAGCCAGATGTATACAAATGCCGGGACTCCAGTTTAGCGTTCGTTTGCCCAGAGTCCTGCTCATCGCGCAACCCAACTCGCTTAGGAAGACGACCACGCAAGATGAGCGCCGACTGACTGGCTTATTCAGATAACTGTACTTCAGCGCCTGGACAGGACTGCAGACCTAAGATTTTGGCGTGCGATGCTGTTTGGTTCCAGACGGAAACCTGTGTCACCATCCGAATAGGGTGGTCCGATCAAGGCTCAACGATGCTCTGACGATGCCACCTGCCCGCACGCACCGACGGAGAACTGCAGCGACACCAATAAGCGGGGCAATACCACTATCGGATACTAGTCGATTGCGAGTCAGGCGCTCATCGTCTGCCGTTTCCATTGCTCCAGCCCGGCGCTGCATAGCGCTATGATCGGTTGTAGCATAGTGCTGGAACGCCAGCGAGTTCACATTAGGAACGGTTGAGACGGAAAGGTGCTATTGAGAGGATGACTGGTCTGGAACGGGTGCTGAACATTAGCTCCATGCGGAAAACTGTACCGCCACCGCCGAGGTCGCTGATCCAGGACGCTGCATGCTGACCGATCTTTTGCATGGAACGATAGGCGTGCACCAGAAGGTACCGTCTCGAGCTTGCATCCTAGCCGAGCAGCAGGATCAGTTCAGCTTCTGGAACGTAGCAGTGCCGCAGGTGTGTTCAAGGAAGCGTCTTGCCCCACTAGTAGACGGCACAATCTACAAAAATGCGTCCGGCTGCGATCGCGATACGTACTAGTTCGGCGACAGGGATAGCGAAACGCACGATTCGATTCGCGCCGCCTCTGTTCCCGGACTCGGCGACGTTGGAGTACCACCGCCCGACACGGATCGCGCGTCGAAAGACGGCGCGCCTGTGCCTGAACGCCAACCGAAAACACGGATTTAAGTGTACGAAGTGGACATAGGTACTCGAGCATCATTCGGTGCGGCGTCGCGCAAGCATTTATATACTGCTTTCTGTACAGAATCGTCTGACTATACTCGCGCAGGATCGATGTGCAGTATCAGTCACTCGTCCGTGATGAATCTTCATCCGGCACATGCTCAGCGATGATGATGGAAATTTATCACCGCGCGCCTCGGTACAAGTGATCCACTCTCACGGGCGTCCAGGCAGGGGTCCCTGCCGAGATCTGCGAGATCTGCGCCTGTGCCGGAGGGCATGAGCCGTCATCAGTGGCGGCGGTGACGTCCGAATCGCTGACTCTTTTGGGGCGCACGACATCCGGTACCTCTGGACATTCAGCTCAATAGTACAGGATCTTCGCTGCATGGAATTGAATGCTGTTTCCACAGTGAGGAACAAGCGATCGACGTCACTATGCGTTGTACAGCAGAGATCGTCGGGGAATTGCCTTTTGAATCTATATCCTCTACTGAACAGTGCAAGGATGACTGCATTCCTCCTTCAGATCAGTCATACCACAGTACTCTGCTGACTGGCGAGCACTGAAAGAAAGAAAAAGTTGTACGCGCCCCGCGCCAAAAACCGATATACCCAAAGATTCATTGCTGTCATTAGTAGGAAAACAATGCGTCGATCGCAGTCGCCAAGTGCGTCTCTGATTCGTATCAGCTTGCTCGTATGGTTATGAAAACACTGGGATACCGCCGCGAAAAAAGTCATAGTTCACGTGCATCCATCTTCCACCGAAATCGCAAGTACAACAACGTTCCCGGAACTCAGCGATCGGTATGAAGCAGATGGACGTGGGTTTGTTTTTCCCGTCGATGAGAATTCCTTCGGACGAAACGGTCGGAGCGGAAATGTGTACTCGCGGAGCAGGGAGCACGATGTACGTACAATCGAACTCGAAAAAGGGACGACATCATCTATTCTAACTGCAGTGGATTTATTTGGCGGCCTAAGTTTCTCTCGTAGAGAAGGCTCACACAACAACCCCACTTTATCGAGTCCTAGAAGACTTTTCCCTGACGTCTGACGATGTCCTTCTATTGGACTGCGTGGTATTTCACTATTACCCCTACGTTCGAGCATTTGCTGGTTCGATCCAACATGGACCTGCTTTTCATTCCTCCGTACACTCTGTGGTACAATGCCATCGAACGAATGTTTTCTATCGTGAAACATAATGATCGCTCCACTGGGCGAATCGCGCAAGCGTTCACCATACGATGACTCCGACGCCCATGTCGGCTTTCTTCTGCAAGTTCTTCTCGTCCCGGAAAGGTTCTCACCTAAGGGTCTAAAGAATGTATTCAATTGAAGAGATAAAAAATCCAAGGGAAAATTATGGACATAAAAGTAAGTGATCCTGGAGGCCCTGTGCGGCCGGCTGCAGGAAAAATCGAAAATAATATTCTTCTGGGCGACCGTCGAGCCAAGAAGAGCAAGTGACGGGAAAGAAGAAGAAGAGGGGAGGAGATTGCCGAGAAAATGTGTTTGTCTGACGGAGCGACAATGAGACTGTAGTGGCACAGAGAGGGTACGAGTTCGAGGAATCCTTGGTTTCAAATGGACAACTTCGGGAATCGAAAAACATCAATAAAGACGAACGGATACATGCGTGGTTTCAGCATTCTCGGTCGTATTTTCGGGGAGGCTTCTTCGACGCCTTGCCGCTAGAACTCGTACCGTCGTACGAATCGAGATAACCTGCATCGCTCGTGAACAAGGACTCGCAAAATAACTTGCCTCATTATTTTACCAGAACGCGTTATCCTCCACGCGTCTCCGTCCTCACAGGTGACATGCGCAAATCAAATAGGCTTCAAGTTTTTCATCGCTAAGATCTGGGCAAGTCGCAGGCGCAGCGATTCACGCTCCTATACTGACGAAAAGAAACCTCGACGTGGTCGCTTGACGACTGCTCCAGAAACTCACATCGAATGTCCGCTGAAATCATCACGTCATATAATAATCGATTCCGTTCGAAAAACGAATCCTTCGTTTTTCTTCGCTATCGATCAAACCGGATTCCACATGAGCATGGTACCGTTTACAGGATACGCCATCCGAGGCTTTTCGGCGCTTCTGCTTCCATGGAAAGGAGTGTCGCACTCAGAATTCAGTCATCGCAGGGATCATGTCCATTGGAAGTCGCGTATCGCCGCTGAAAGCTCGAAGCGCAGCCGGATCGAATGATCTCGTCACGTTGTCTGACCTCGACTTTCTACCTCGGTCTCGTTCTCGCACGGACGAAATCGCCTTCCGAAACTCTTCTACCGAATCGTACAGCGTGCGCGTGGCTGTGTTGCGAACAAAGTACTCGCCACCGGAACGCCCAGAGGAAGCCCGTGATCGTCGCATGCGGCATATGGCGGGAAAAGCCAGGGAGGTATCAAGGAGGGCCTTCTGGACCCGTCAACGACATGTGCCAAGCGATGAAGTAAGCGTTCACGCGCCACATGCGGCCCGCTGAGCAAGAGGATGTGCAGTGGAAATACGGCAACACCTGACGATTGTCAAGTGTAGCGGCTGCGAACGGCGCACCGAGGCTTTATACGGTGGAGATGAAAAATCGTACGTACTGCATCGATCGCAACTTTTGCCCGTGCATGAAATGCGTCGACAACAGCTGGCAATAGCGTCATCGAGACTCCAACGCCAGGATCCAGAACCTTGAACTGCTGACAACGGTGCTGGCAGCACATGAGAGACCGATGCACTTTAAGCTGGAAATAAAGGAATCGGGAAGAAAGCAGTCGCAGGAAAGAGCCCGCGCAGGCTTATGCTGATCATAGTGGAACTGAACCGAAACTTTAGCATGTTCGCTGGTGTTCGCAAGAAGAACTCCTTCTCTTTTCGTTCTAAGATGGGCATATCCAGCGATGGCCTCGACGCATTCTGGAGCTCCCGGTGTGCCGAGAGCGTACCTACCTGCCTGAATCGTATAGCGTGCTGTCCTTCTCTTTTCGTTCTAAGATGGGCATATCCAGCAATGGCCTCGACGCATTCTGGATCTCCCGGTGTGCCGAGAGCGTACCTACCTACCTGAATAGTATAGCGTGCTGTCTCCGCAACCACCACCACCTCCTCCTCCTGCACGCGAACGGCGACTGCATCTCGCCCAGGTACACGTTGCGGGATACCGAGCGGCGTGCGTCAGGTCGCAGCAAAGATGCCATTTGGGTTCGTATAGGCGATACGCTTTCCTCTATGTTGTGCGGCCTGGTGCCTACAAAAGCTGAAACGTATTTTCTATGCTTGTAGGACCTGCTCCGACGACTGATGGCTCTGCAGAGAACACCCTGAACGAAAAACGCCTCGTCCACGGCAGTATAGCGTTTTGGCTAGGACCGCGAGCGCCCCAGACAAAAACCCACCGCTGGACGGTCTACGTGCGTGGTGCGCGTGACCCGCTCGAGGATCTCTCGCTCTACATCCAAAAAGTGGAGTTCGTGCTGCACGAGTCCTTCGCGGACCCGGTGCGCGTGGTGAAGGAGCCACCGTTCTGCCTCACGGAACACGGCTGGGGTGAGTTTGAGGTTATTATACGGCTCTTTCCTATTTCTGATCCGGATAAACCGGTGGAAATGTATCATCCGCTTCGGCTTTTTCCATCAGTGGGGCAGGAATTAACTGAGAAACCCGTCGTGAGTGAGCATCTCGATGTGCTCGTTTTCTCACAGCCAGCGCCTGAAGTCGAACGCGCACTCCACCGCTCTGATGTAGCGCGGATGCCGTCGGATTGTTGGGGTGATCTTATGCCGCTCTTTGGTGGTGACCTGCATCAGGTCGAGGAAGAGGATCTGCGAAAAGTCCAGCAGGCCCGCGAACGCGTTCGACAACAAATCCAGGCGACAAGACTGCAGTACGAAGCTCTGACAGCGGAGCTGGCGCGTGCTCGAACACATGCCCTGCATAGAGAGCTGTCGTGACCGGCATTTTGGCGGTCGCGGGTGACACGGCAGCGAAGTGAACGCGCGCCGAATGCTCCCTAGTGCTGATGGTGCACACTGCGCTCGTGAGCCAAGGAACCACTCCGCATGATAGCGCTCGTATGTCAGGAAAAATGCAGTGCCTCTTGTGCCCATTGTTCACTGCACACGATTCGAGCTTTGCGTGCGCACCTCCACATGACTGGCCACAGAGCAACATTCGGTTACCCGATAAGCAAGGTGTCTGCATTAGAGTCGACGCACTTCATTCTGTAGATGAACACCAACGCTGCGTACATGCGACGATTTTTGACCACAGTACACACGCGCATGCCCCCGAGATGGGAGGCACAACGCTAGGCTGAAAGAGTGTGAACAACGTTGCAGCGAATCGTCGAAATCGATTGCAATGATCCCAACGGAGCGCTGAAAAGGGATGCATGAATCCAGCCCTTCTCGATATGCAGTGGTGCCGCTTCGGGTGCGGTATTCATGAACGCACCAAAGTTTAATGGGCGCACGGCAAGGCGGCTGTGAACGCTTCGACGCACGTAAAGTATCTAGCACTAAGAGCTGGCTATGTGCCGTCGCAAAGCTTGTCGTCTCGCTGGCGACGTTACACACACCCGCACGACGTTATTTCGTTGCACCAATTCATGAACGCTTGCACATACAGGAAACGAAACTTCGCGCAAGAAGCTGCTGCTGCATCTGGCGCCTCAGGGACGGCACAAGATCCCACCGAAAGTCTCCAGGGGGCAGTTCATCGAGAATCAGACCCTTCATTGCACCTTGGGACAGGATGTTTGAAGCGGGGGTATTCCATAGACCTTGTTTGGCTTGGAAAAAGGCGAACATTCGGAGATCGCGGATGACCCGCTACACGAACAGTGAAATACCGTGTCGAGAACAACGGGAACCGTGAACAATGCAGATTCCGTCGTACTGGAGTCAGAAGCACATGGATTCCGAGCAAAGCACATCTGGAACCTCCCGTGCCGTCATCCGCGTATACGCTGAAGAGATACGAGCGCTCTGCTGGCGCAACCAGGAGAAACACGCGCAGCGACCGAGACTCGAGCTGAAGGCTCCTATCGATGTCGGTAAACTTGTCGGCAGCGATAAGGCGCCGATCACACTGGGTCCCTTTCGAAAGACCAATTCCATCCAGAGACGCATCCGAATCACGCATCCTTTATGGACTATGCTCGAAAACATCCCAGCTTTATGATCGTATCCTGAGGCGAAAGAACATGCACTTGGCTGAGCCCTTCGCAGAGCAGGCCTCCAGGGGTTGATTTCCAACTCAGTCTCCACGAGCGATCGTGCGAGACTCGATCACCGGGACACAAGTCGCAGATGGATAACTTCCCGCGAACAGTTCTAAAAGTGCGAAGCAGACCCTCGGTTGCACCGATTTGGCGCTCTACGCAGTGAGCGTCTCATATCCTGTGCAGAGAAACAGAGCATCTGGGAAACGCGTAATCGTTGTCCAGTACACGAGACACGACTTCAACCGAACAGCCCTAGAACCGCGAAGCAGAACATTGGTAGCACCAGATTATCGTTCTGTGCGGTAAGTGCCTCAAATACTGTGCAGAGAAACACAGCACCGGAGAAACGCGCAAGTGCTGTCCAGTTGACATGAAATACATTCGGTGCGTGCCACTGCTGCAGCAACAACTGACATAGCCAGGTAGCTATAAAGCCACCCAAGCTGCCTTCGATTGTCTTGCGACTATGAGGCCAGTGGTGTCTCCCAAAGCGACTGCCCAGAATGCACGCGGCAGTATCGAAGACACCCAGCGAAAGCAGACCACTGCTCCAGTCTGTCAGTAAACTCGTCCAGGAGCCATTCGATGCCGAAAATCGTTCGAGGAGCCCCAGGAGAAGCCATCCAGGTGCAGCACATCCCAGAAGCAGATAGAGGTGGCTGACGATGACGCTCCCCTGGTCACGTTCGTCGACCAGTGTCGTCATGAATTGATGAACAGATTCGTAAAAGGAGCGGCCTCGAGTTACGTCGCAACTGGGGCGACTCTGCGTGCCACCAGACGCACCCAGAGATGCATCCATGGAGGGAGTTGTTCGATCACCGCTGGCTGCAGCAGAAACACCATCATCATGACCACCGTCGAATACCTGGTGCATTGAAGTTCCAGCGACCAAATAAGCAGCTTTTGACGGCGAGTGCCTCTCCAAGGGAAACGCAGCGTTCGTACCCGATATTCGGGCTAGCTCCAGGGCAATGAGCACCGCCAAGGCTACTGTCTGAGCAAAGGAAAGAAACTGCCATAATAGCGGATCCTGCCGCAAGATAACCGGCATAAAAAGCAAGAGCGCCAGCAAATGGTAGTACTTGCGGGCAACGATGCGTCGCCATTTCCAACGATGCGGACCTAGAGCGAAGATGCCTACCGCAAGCGTCACAGCCCAGTAGAGAACGAGCACCATAATCGACACGTCTCGGGTCATCCAGCTGCATAGCAAGCGGAACGGCTCCGCAGCATCTGCGTCTGTGCAGTCGCTAAAAGAGCCCGAGTTCATGCTCGATAAACGCTTCAATGTCCGACGCGCCATCAAGTAGTTCAAGGGCAGGATCAGTGCCAGAGGCAAGGCCAGACCAAGCGGACGAGCGAACCGCCGAAGCAGGTTGCGAACAGCGCTCACTTGCTGGCTCCTTAAAGCAATGCCCACTGCACCGCAACTTGATGCGCGTGCGCGATGACCCTGGTTCCAGCCCGCTAACCATCGGTGCCAGTGATTCACAAACAAAATACCTGCGGTGGCAAGCTCTACCGAGGTCTTCAACAGATACCTTTGCATGAGGCGACGATACGGACAAGCATGCGATATGTGACGCGACTGTTGCAGCGTGCCGGGGCTCCCGTGCTGCCTTGGTGGCTGTGCGTCGCAACCGCAAGCCTCAGTACATGACGCTGCCGAGATGCGCCTCGCTTTGAACAAGTGAAACAGCGGGATCGCTTCAACGCCGCTGCGCTTGACATCGGCGGCTAACTCGGAGTGCATTGCCGGCACAAGGCGCTTCTCAACTGAAAAGCAGCTGTGCTCCTGCCACACCGCTGGGTGTGATTGATGTACTCCTACTACATGCCAAGACCCGAGTGCCGTCGGGAACATGTGAAAAGGCGAAAACCAAGCCACTGTCACCAGGAACGATACCAGGAGTGCTTCGCCGTACGTAAACGTGCCAGCAAAGGCATCGCTTGCGAGCGTCTTGCGGACGATCAGCGTCGCTACGGTCGCTGTACAGATGGGCATCCAAGACGTACCGCTGAGCCGTCTCAGAATGACCAGAGGTACCAAATGCAGCCAGAGTAGCTCCAGCAGGAAAGCCCAGCAGAGCCCGGCGCCTTCTTTATCCGAGTTCAGCTCCAGAGGCGGCACTTTTGACAAGAGCGCGGTACCAACAGGGCGGCGTTTTCGACAAAAAGCGCGGTCTCCCGAGGCAGCTGGTGCCGGTGTTTCCTCTGGAACCAGGTGCCAGGTCCAGGCTGCGCACCACGCCTGACAGAAAGCCAGGCTCAGCGAGTGCACCGCTTGGGCTGGAGTCAGCAGGTTAGCGCGCAACGCACCAAGGATACAGAGAAAAGGCAAGAAAAGTCCAACTAGGAGCCCTTGGTCTCGTGCTCGACGAAAGCGCTGCCGTGCTCGCACCGCAGTCTGTCCAGTACCGCTGGTCTTATGCTCGCTAGCCGTTGCGTCCAGAGAACTTGATGCGCTGTCCAATATACGTCGTGTAGCGGCCTTGCGGTGGCAGGGCTCACAAGCAGCGCGCCTGAATGCGGAAACGAGCACCGCACCAGCAGTGACGAGGCTCAGTAGCTCGACTTGTTTCGCAAACTCGTCCTTGGACCGGTCTGCTTCGCAACGCAGAATGAACTGGACCACAAGTGTACCGATTACGATAAAACCGTCCCACGAGCTCCCCAGGTCGAGTGCATAGGTCATCAGCCCAGCGCGGAGTTCGCAAGCCGCTCAGCGCAGCGGAAGAACAGCAGCGCATCGGATCGCACTGGATCGCTGCGCACCTACTAGCGCGAGCACGCGCTGGCTAGTCGGAAACGCCTGCGACTCGACGACTGCGAGGCCTCAAACAGGTCCGGGATGGGACTCTGCGTCGAAGGGTGTCTGACTCACGGAAACTCTGAGTAGGGCCATGTAAGCAGCCGAGCGTGTGGTCCTTTCGTATGCAGAGAAACGTGAGTTGCATGGCCTGGTACCGAACGTTGTTCGGCTCGGTGGAGAGCGTACCGACGACAGCTCTTTTCTTATAAAAAACGATACCGACGCAAAGAATTTCCGAAAGGTGCTTGCTATGCGAAAGAACGTTTTACCGGTGGTAGCATCCGACCAGACTGGGGGAAAGTTGTGGCTCCGTTCTGCTCAACTCGTTTCTCGTCTGCCGAGTTCGGATCCGTTCATGGAGAGGCGCACCAATGCCCTCATCTGGAAAAGACGCTGGCACGTTCTCAGACAAGCCACATGAGTGTTCGTTTTCGACGTCTTGACGCCGCATAGCGTTCTCGGGTGGCTCCTTGCGAGGCGGATGGATACTGTCGTATCTGCTCTCGTCGATGAGCATGTCCCGCCTTGCATATCAGTGTTTGTGAAATCGAGAATGCCTCACGCATCGTTTGCAGTAAAAAGAAATGCGCACATCTTCACCTGAACACCATGATAATGCCGCTTGCCGCAGCGTTTGTGGCACCGAAAACCTCGATGCTCGGCACAGACCTGCACAACTGCATGGCATGCAGTGCACGCGTCAGGTGCGGATACTGCGCGCCAACGGCGATACCACTGCTCCAGTAGCGTTTGTTCGAATACGGAGCAGGTGTCGACGTATCCAGCACCCTTGGGTGCTACCGCTGTTTCTCATGTCCGGCGATCTTGTTCAAGAGCTGAAACGTGCCGGTGGAGAGCGCTTTCCTGAAGTAACCTTTGAGTGGGACTCTCAATGGCCCCTCTACGCCGTCGGCTGGTGTGCGTCGTCGTCGGCTCAGGGCGTCGCACGACTCGCCGTAGGAAGCTTCATCGAAGAAGGACCCAACAACTACATTGAGATCCTTGACTTTGTTCCAGGCAGTAGGGGTACGATCCGACGCTTCCAATCGCGACATAAGTGCTCAATCGTCTTTCCCTGCACGAAGCTTCTCTGGGAGCCTGCGTATGAACACTCGCTAGCACGCACCCAGAACGTTGTACTCGCCTCTGCAAGTGATATGCTTCGCCTCTGGGCTGTAACAGAGGAGCATATGCTTCTTCTGCGAACCCTGGCCCCCAACGAGCGTGCCGAGCAGATTGCACCCTTGACCTCCATGGACTGGAACGAAGTTGATCGGAGCGCGCTGGCGACAGCCTCGGTGGACACCACCGTAGCTGTATGGGACCCCGAGCTCGGTCGTATGCGTACGCGACTCATAGCCCACGACAATGCAGTCTACGATGTCTCTTTCGACCAGAATACTGCCCATCATTTCGTTACCTGTGGCGCGGATGGTTCCGTTCGTCTGTTCGATTTACGCTCGCTGGACCATTCGACGGTGCTGTATGAGTCGCCAACGGGTAACCCACTCTTACGAGTCACGTGGAGCAAACAGAACAGTCACTACTTGCTGACGCTGCCCAGCCGAAGCCGGTACGCCGTCGCTATTGATATCCGCATGCCAGCAGTGCCTATGGCGTATGTTGGTGGCAACACTGGCTCTGTCAACGCCATCAGCTGGTCACCGAGTTCAGCGAACTACCTGGCAACCGCCGATATGGATGGGCGGTTAGCGTTATGGGAGCTTGCTCAGGCAGTGCCAAAGACCGAGGTGCGCGCCTTCGCAGCGTGTAAGTTACGAGGGCCCATAGACAACGTGGCTTGGTCCACTGCGCTTCCGCAGTGGATCGCGGCAGTAACAGCGCCTTCCTCGTTGACGGTTCTTCAGATTTGAGCTGGAAGCATGGCGTTGCAGCTACCAGTGAGCAGCATATGGCGACGTTCATCATGGCTGTAGATACCGAATGGCGACATAGTGCGTGGCTTGTGCAACGGAACGCTATCCGATTGCCTTCCTGGTGCGGAACGAGAGATTTTCGATGAATGCTTCAAATGTAGCGTTGAACATGATACAGCGCCAATGCAGCAGTTGCTTCTGGATGACTCGGAAGGATTGCAGGCAGATCGTTGCCCACAGGGCGACAGGCAGCTATCCGCAACCGGCTACATCCCCAGAACCCGTGAAATCATAGCGAGCAACTCAATTGTTTGAGCTGGGCGGCACTGGTGCACACTGAGCACCCTCTCGAAGATGTGACTCGTGCTGGTGAGCCCAGCAGAAGCATTGCGAAGCAGACCGTGCTCCTCTGCGTCCACAGCATCCTGATGAAGAAAATTCAGTGGGAACATCGCCCGTTCCCTCTGAGGCAGGCTCCCAGGTCGCATACACCTTTTCACCAGAGCCACGCATGATCAGCGTCGAGAGTGCATTGTCCAGCGACCTACCGCTCCTGGAAGAGAAGCTAGACTCGCTGTAGACTCGGATCGATACGCCTATGCGGAAACGAATTCAGGCCCTCGTAGGATGCGCCGCATTTCAGTCGAAAGCGTCCACTGCGAGCACCGACGATAGGCATTGCGCTGCTCGAGAGCGTCATACCCCGCGGAGGTATTGTATGCGTTGCGGCATGCGCACACTGGCGACGGCGGCGGTGCCTAGCACGTAGAACATAATAGTTCCTAAACATACACGATTGTACAGTTGTGCGACTCATGCACGGGTGTTGCGCCCAGCGCCCTCTATGCAACCTGTTCACGTCTTTCACCTCGAATGTGTTTTACTTCCTGGTGTTTGACATTCAATGCTCTTTCGTGGTTCATAGCAGATGCGTTCGACGTGCGCTCATTCGAAGAAGAAAAAATGTAAGGGAAAAATTTCAATACGCAAATTGGGGATCCTAGAGAGCTGGCATCGCCGGCTGCCGGAAAAAAAACGGAAAAACTCCTCGCCGATTCTTCGCGCGAAGAAGAGCAAGTGATACGAGGAACAAGAAGAGGCGAGATGGTCAGGAAAAGATGTTTGCCCGACGGGCGATACCGAGACTGTAGTGGCACACAGGGCACGCCGTCGAGGAATCCTTGCACTGATGAATTCAACCAGCGGTGATGTATGCATGGAGTTTGTGCATCGAGGCCTTCACGTTGCTATCAATAGAAGGAGATATGCGGTGATGCAGAAGAGACCCGCAGAGCTGACGCGAACTTACCCTGTGAAGGAACCTCTCAAGGTCGAATAATACCGGAAGAAGTTGAACCCATTCATAGGTGGCCGGTCTAGAAAGACTAGGAGGCGTCTGCACGTTGTTGGGCAGACGCAGAGTCAGTTGCGGGCGGCGCACCGCTCGCCACTCCTAAACACCGCCTATACAGCGTTTGGCGCTTGGAAGGCATTCGCTGTGTCGGTGTAGTGAGTTCTGTTTGTGTGTCACTAGTACGCTGTCGAAAAAGGACGCTGCTCCAGTACAGCCAACCGCACGCTAACTGGCCCATGGGATCACTGTATACCAGCGAGCTCTCTCGAGCGGTTTCTGAAAGTGTCGCTGCAGCGTTGCAGCGAAGCTTCCAGGGCGAACTTCGCAGCGCAAGTGCACTGGGTAGCGGCTGGTCGACGAGCGCGGAGCTTTTGAATCGGAACGACTCTACCGAGCGCTACTTTGTGAAACTTAGTGAGCCACAGGCGGTATCCATGTTCAGTGCTGAGTTTGAAGGCATTCAGGCTATGGCGGAGTCCGAGACGGTTCGGGTACCAGCGCCGATCTGCTATGGAAACACCGCAGAACGGTCGTTCATCGTTCTCGAATACCTCGAGCTAGGCGGAATCGGTAACGAGGCTGTCTATCGAGACTTTGGCGAGAAGCTTGCGGCGATGCATCGTTGCTCTTCCGGTGGCCGCGGGTACGGGTGGCACCGCGGAAACACTATTGGTTCGACGCCCCAGCTCAATACCTGGATGCACAGCTGGGCCGACTTTTTCGTGGAGAATCGCCTTCGCTATCAGCTCAAGCTGGCACGGTCTCGCCAAGGCGGACGTTTGCGTAACGAAGATGCGCTTCTGCAACGAGTGCACTCGGTCCTACAGGAGCATGAAATTCAGCACCAGGTGACGCCTTCCCTGGTGCATGGCGATCTGTGGACCGGCAACGTAGCGACGTTGCGGAACCAGAATGAGGTCGTCATCTTTGATCCCGCAACTTACTATGGGGACCGCGAAGTGGATCTCGCCATGACTGAGCTCTTTGGCCGCCTGCCTCGTGCATTTTACCAGGCCTATGACGCTAGCTGGCCCTTGCCAAAAGGTTACCGCGAGAAACGTCGTGTGATTTATAACCTTTACCATATTCTGAATCATGGCGCCCTGTTTGGTGGCGGATACTATGACCAAGCGCAGTCCATGATCGAAACGATCCTACGGTGATGCTGGAGACACACCAGCGGACCTGTTTCCTGGCTCGAATCTGGAGTGTGTAGCGTTCATCGGCACTGGAGTGCGTCGCCGTGGCGCTCGCTGGTCCACCAGACACTTGCTCAATGCCACAGATGACTCGAGACGCCTCGAGCTGGGCATTCGTGGATGAAGAAGGCCTTGCTCGTTTGTATAGGCAGCGCAACACGATGAGGGCGATGCAGGCCTCGCACGCTGCATCGTACGGGTGTTCACGAATGGCTTTACGACTTGCGAGTTGGTCACTGTTGAGACTGGCTCGAATGTCGACCGCAGCAGACGCCCTGCTGATCAGCAAACCCCTACCCAGGATAGCTCGCGTGCCAGCTCGATCGCTCTGTAGCAGCGGGACCTGAGCGTGCACTGTGATGCATTTCGCGTTCAGCGATTGGGCTCGTTACCTCTAAGGTGCCGGGGGCGCGGGGGGTATCATCACGGGCTACCGCCACGTCCGCCACTGCCACGGGCACCGCCGAACCGTGTTCTGGATGCCAGGTGCTTCCGCGTGCACCAGCATCCGTCGAGTGGCAGTGCTTTCCACCGAAGGGCCTCGATTAACAGCGACCGGCCGCAGCGCTGCGCAAATTCCAGCTGGACGCATGCGTCTAGCGAAATCAGCGGCGAGTAGATGCGCCCGTGAAGCGCAGAGCCTGCAGAATCTTGACTCTTGCGGCTACTGGTTAGTGCTCTGATAGCCACCAGCAGACTGAATACACCTGCCTTGTGCGAGAATGTCGCAAGTGTTCGCCCTTTGGCCAAAGGTAAGGGAACACGGCACGCAAGTCATTGCAAAGTTGGGCGCATCAGCTCGGGTCTCTTAGAACAAAACCTGCGATGCTATCTCATAGCGTCGGCGAGGCGCGTCTGCTTCGATGCCAAGCGACGAGCTGATCATCCCAGCAGCGTGCTTGGGTTCAGGACGCACGCCAACAGCCACCCTGCAGTGCGCTTGCGTAGCAGGCTTCCTCGCTACCCAAGAAGACACGTAACATCGCAGTTCTGTCACAGGAAAGGCTACCGGTCTGCCAGCGTCACGAACAGTTCAGCAAAGACGCGCTGCGTGCATTTGCCATGTCCTTCACAACGTATGCGCGGTTGCTTTTGGTCGCCAGCTTCATCGAGCTATCCTATTGGACGATCATCGGTGAAACGTCGGTAACGGACATGAGCACATACACACGCGCTCGAGCTCCACCACTGGACCCAAGCGATCGAAGCGGTCATCGCAAACCTGGATTTCGAAACTAGTCGTACGTCCGAGGGATTCTGGTTCAAGGCGTAGATCTCAGGTCGGACGAAAGATCGGGCCGGGGACTGCCCAGACGGTGCGAGCGGCACCGCATGCTGAAGCCGCCACACCGCCCGACAGCGCAGCCTTTCTTCCGCGTTAAAGATAGCCACGGGGTACATCTGAAGCCAAAGCTTCGTCTTGAACGAGGCGGCGGTGCGTCCATGGGCCGTCACGCGTCTCCGGAAGGTTTGTCTGCTCACGCCGTCGCAGTCGGGGCTGAAGACGAATTCCGGCTTCGCAGCACGACTTGCACGCCTCTAGCTGGTGCTTGTCCAGGCAACGAAGAGCCGATCATTGCCTGAACTTTCCCCAAAAGACTAGGAATTGCTGCTCCTCTTCTACAAGTAAACACTACTCTACACGGATCACTATAGTGCAGCGTCTGCGTAGGCACCATTCCTTGAGCCCAGATAAGCGACAGCTCTCGTGCATCCGAAGCGTCTGCTTCAACGTCTCAGGCGTTCAGCGATCCCGAGGCATCCCAATGAGAAACTGTATCCAGCGAAGCGCGCTCCCGTATGGCTGCCCAGGTTGCTGCCCCAGTTGAATTTTGAATCGCAGCGCACCACACGGTGGCGCTCGCTACGCACGAACGTCCGTTCGAGCCTCGCGTGCAGTTCGTTTACAGACGGCGGTACGTACCGTGCGCGTCGCGCGCTTCACTCAAGAGCTTCACACCCTCCGGAATGGCGAAAACTCCAGGAAAATCTATCATGTCTCGGTCTGCAAGAGCAGGGTTACAGTTCCCTGTTGGTCGTGTGCACCGCTACTTAAAGGAGCGCGTTCATAAACAGGAACGCGTCGGGGCTACTGCTTCCGTGTACCTAGCCGCCGTCATGGAGTACCTAACAGCAGAAATTCTGGAACTCAGCGGAAACGCGTCGAAGGACTTGAAGCAAAAGCGGATTGCGCCAAGGCACTTGCAGCTGGCTATTCGGGGCGACGAAGAGCTGGACCAACTGGTGAAGGCAACAATCGCTGGCGGTGGCGTGATTCCCCATATTCACAAGGCCTTACTGAAGAAGGGTACCAAAAAGTTTCAGCAGGAATAAATTCTCTGTATCTTTCGATAAACTTTTCGAGGAAATGAAACCAACAAGAGTCTGGCACTTGTGCTGCTCGCGGATGATAGCGTCGCCGCGGACCCTCGACGTGACTTGGCGTTGCTCAGACAGCCTCGGATGATGTTTGCTCCAGGAGGCGGCGTCTTTTCTCCCGGGCTTGGGCCATTTGTTCGTGAGAGGGCGCATCCCAAACCTTGGCCCGCTCTTTCCGACGCTCTAGTGCTACCGCTTCCGACTTTCGTTCCCGCTCCGTTTTCCGCTTTTGGTCTCTCTGTTGCTCTGTCAAAAAGTATTCACCGCTTTCGATCATGAGGTCAATCTTGCGCGGTCGTTGCGGAGGCGGGAACGGCTCATAAGCCTTACTCCCGCCCTCTTGTTGATCAGTTTGATGCTTTCCTCTGCGCCGTTTCTGGTTTCGTTTCTTGAACTGCGGCAAAAAGCGTTCCCAGTTTTCTTTCGCAAGCTCTGGGTCCTTCGCAAGCTCGCGTTTGATCATCAGTCTCTTAATATTATATATGGGATGGACGTTCTGCATGCATTCTTCGACGATGCGGCGCACCTGTTTCAGACCCTTGTGGTCGCCCATCGCTGCAACCGTGTTCCCCTGAACGAGCACGTAACAGTTCGTTAACAGCTCGATCGCTTTCAGCGTGCTGCCGTTCGGACCGATTAGTCGCTCTCGACGTCTAAGAAAACGATCCCGACTTCGAACGTAGCCACTGATTTTGATGATATCGCAGTACAGCTTTTCGTCGTACAGGATGCGCGCTGCTTGCTGTACTGGCACAGAGCGCGCAAGCAGCTTGATAAAGTCTCGCGCTCTGAAAACTGCAAAAGGATCGTAGGTCTTGCGCGTTGTTCGGACGGTCATAGTGCCTTCGATGAGGTTCAGTTCACAGGCGATACCTGTTTTCTGCAGATGCTGTGTCACGAGTGGCCATATTTGACGCAGATACTGCTCCCGGTATGCCGGGAAAAGCGTCGCGAAAGAAGATTCTTCAAGAAAAGGCCCTGAGGAATCCTTTTCACTAAAAGGATCTTCTTTCCAGTGATCTATATCGTCCGAGTCCCATGGCTTTGGTTTCCGATAACGATTCTTCTTCGAGGGTACCTGCTCCTCGGATAGTTGCGCGGTGCCAGTAGTCTGCTCTTCTCGCATGTGACCCGACGGCTTCCGACAGTGCGAACTCGCCGTTCACACTTTGGTCAGTCTTCTGCGCAGCGGTGCTTCCTATGACGGATAGAACGAGTTCGCTGCCAAACGCTCTTCCAACTGAAAACAGACCGCACAAGGCTTGCAAAGATAAGCGCTCTAGCGAAATGGGTCGGCGCTTGCGTCGCTTGCGATTCCGAATCAGCGACGGCAAGACGACCTCAATTGTTTTGTTTGACAAAACGTTTCCGTTGATACGGGATTCCAGTTTGCGGGATGGATAATGGTAAACGAGAAAGCGTCAGTGATGTTGCACCTTACCTTCAAGTTTATTTTCCTAGACTTGATCTCGGATTTACTGGTCGTGTTGTATGTTCTATAGTGCGCCGCATACCCGCCTTGCTGCACCTGCCATAGTCCTTGCAGCGACGTTGCAGATGTGAGATGAAGACAGAGCATATTTACCATACAACAGAGAGCGTCGGATCGAGGTGTGGTTCACTAGTCACAGGACTGGGATTCATGATCATACTGGGAGCCAGCAATCTGCGCAGCCGGACCTGATTCCTGCGGCAGCGCGAAGCGATATTCTAGCAGACTATCGCAATCAGGGCAGCGCCCAGACACATTCTACCAGCTCCGAAATCCGGAAAGAACTGCGTTGCGGACGAGTTGCTCAGGTCTCGACACCGCACCTGTCCCAGCAGAGGCACATGAAGCACTGGCCTGGCAGACCCGTCCAGCTCGCTGGATCTTCTGCCTAAAAAATGTAAACTTTCGAAAATACGGAAAACCATTCCCCCTTTCAATGCCAACCGTAGAGACGGAAAGAAATTCTGATCTCGTTGCTAGGTAGCATTTCGTTTCTGTGCTCTCGACGCAGAATGCTTCATGGCGTTTGAATCTGTTCAGGGCCGGTACACAGCGCTTCTCTCTGTGATGGTGTGACGATAGTGACGCTTCGATCCAGGATCTCCTGGAATCGAGGTTGGCGTACCAGGGCATGTGGTTGAACGCACCGATCATGAGTCATGAAAAACGTGGGCTGGCAAGAACTTGCGCCCGAAAGGATAGCTAGGTGAATACTTCGATGGTCCACCAAGTACAGAGATGCTCGTACCTGTTCACGGGATAAATTGTGCGCGCATGGCGGGAAACCTGCAGCTTTAAATTCACGGATACATCGAAAGCAAAACAAGCAAGGAGAGTCTCTTCGGAAACTCTTCTCGAAACACAGGCGCGGTCTCGGAGAGATGCAGGAACGCCTTTTTGTGCAGTGGGAACCTGGCTGCGTGAACGAGTGCTCATTCGTGGCTTTGTGAATGCAAAGCGTCCCCGCTGTGCATCGAAGAATGCGTCGATGGCAGCCCGCTTAGGACCAGAGCCGCGCGCATCCGTTTACGAAGTTTCGAATGCAGTGCTCCAGCAAACTCACGTGCGGCGCTTGCTCCGAATCAACCATGAGACGATGCAGCCTATCACTGGGGCAGTGTTCATTCAGGCTTCCTCATTCGGCATATTCGTGGCAAGTTGACGGACTCCGTGCATGCCAATTCGCAGTGCACACCAGACGGCGACGAACAGCGTGCCCTCTGGGAAAGAGGTCGTTAGGGTCAAACGATGCCTCTGGTAGACCTGATGTCTCGCGCTGCACTGCGTATCGAATCCGGGGAGGTGAGAACGCTGCAACTTGCGTCCAGGGAATCGATAAACGGCGTCCGATTGGAGAAGTTGTGGCTCCTCGTGAAGTAGACGCGGGCAAGATACCCATTTTCCTCGAGAATGCATGCAGCGCAGTCGCCTTGCCCGAGGACAATGGCACCTGTTTCAGGCGTGTATCCAGAACACGACGATCATGATGTTTTCCGGAGACCGCCTGTTGCGACAGGAAATCACGCTGTGAAGAAGATCCAAAGCCATGAATCCATGGAGGACGGCATAACGCACCAGAATCGTCATCGATTGACGAATCTTGCATCCGCTCGGTCTTTCGAAAGCATCGTTTGCATTCGTTATAAATCTTGTTGCTCTGCTGAAGGAACAGCAACCATAGTGCGTGTAGCTGGTCTGCTATGACGTGAAGCAAACTGCCGTTGAGAATCTGTTCATCGCTCGCGAGTAGCGGTGTTCAACACGCCACGCCCAGCGGACAGCGCTATTGGCATGTAGTCTACGCCCATGTCAGAGTAGAAATGAAGCCGGCCCTGCGATTCGGGCGTGGATCCTAAACTCTCGGTAAATGTTCACCAGCAGATCGCAGCCTTTGCCTCTCGCTTATCTCCACTTGTGAACACGCCGTTGTCCTCTGTCCTTCTAGTTCCATTCTCAGCAGTCGAAGGATGTTGATGGCAGCGTTCATGTCCCTATCTCAGTGCATCCAGCTCTTGTCGATACATTTCATGCACAAGCAATGGTTGCAATCGAAGCCTCGCAGATCATGTTGATCTTCTCTAAATACAGCCTCGATGGGGTCTGTCACAGCAATGAAAGTCGATTGTGGTCGTGTGTTTCGTATACGTCAACAGCACCTCCTCATCCTGCTCCTGTGGCCGCCGCCCGCCGTGAGGCCCGAACGCTTGCTTCCTCGCTCCGTAAATACCGTTGTCGGGTGCAGAAGACTCTCCTCGATGCTCCTTTCCGTTTCCACGCTCGGTGCTGTACCCTTAGACCAAGGGCTTCTTCTGGGTGATCCGCACTATGTGTCTGCTGTCCGCTATGTGCGAAAGCGAAATCTGCTGCATTCAATAAAGGATTTACCGAACAGGATGATGCGCCGGATAGGACAAGTACCGGAAATACAATCCAGATACGTAGAAGACGAGAACTTTCGATCCATTTACGCTCTCAGCTGTGGAAAAAGAGAAATCGAACGGTCCACTGCAAGCAATCGTTGCGATGACGAAACCTCGAGTCCAAGACCAGTATCTACGCAAACAAAAGAAACACGATCCACCGGAGGCGTGTGTCACGAAAGGTATGCTGGCGTTGTGGAGCCCCGTTTCGTCAACGGCTCCAGATACAGCAGCATCTGCATTTGGAACGAAATCGCATATTTAAGATGGTAGGTACAGTGAACATTCGGCATGAGCTTGCGAACAAGTCATCAAGGATCGAAACCGAGTTGTTTCGCATCAATCCATTATTGCGAAGTATTCTGCCTATGATATGGGTTGAATCAGAGAGAGATCGATCACATGAAGAACGCAGGATATGGGCATGCCACAAGGAAGGAAATTCGAGGAGCGGACGCTCGTACACTTGCATCGAATAATGATATCGTTTATTGGACGAAGAACAGTTCGAGGTTGTCGCGAATCATCTGCATTCCAGTGACGTATCGAATTCCAGCGGCAGCAGGTCAAAGCAGCCAATCGGAAACGACGACCGAGCATCCTGGCGTTCTGTGAGAATCCACAAGCCCGTATGACAGCACTTTCAGTGTCGAAGCTTAGCATCCGAATAAAATTTCCAAAAGAAAATCGACAAACACGAACCGAGTAAACAGTTTATTTTTCCATTTTCATTGGACACAAGTCTAGAGAACGAGGTCTCGACGCTGCTGCTGCTGCTGCTGCTGCCGCCGTATGCCACGCATCTGAGCAATCACGAGAGTATCATCTTCAGCAGGGAAAATCGAAAACGAATGACCTACTTCGTTTCATTCATGAGTCAGCAGACTCGCTCGGCTGCGCATCTGAACGCGCACCCAGAACATATGCGCAACCTCTATCAGGTATGTTTGGAAGCATCTCGAGGTGCAGCGATCCCGAGGAGGCTGTAGCCGTTCCGAGGCTCGTTGACCGAACCGGTGGTAGTTTCCGGAAGCGTCCAATACGGTGTCGAATTCCGAGGCATGTCATCATCGTTCAAATCCATGCACCAAGAGTTCCCGCGCACTGAACTGAAAACTAGGCAGCGTCGATCAGCAGTCAAGCGTCAGATGCGACAGCGGGAACACTGCTTGCGGTTTGCCTGCGGAGAGCGCCGGGCGTCGCACTAAGGCGCTGGCGCCACCGCGTCCGCTTTCGAACGGAAACAAATGCACTCACCGGCATATCGACTGCGACATTACCGGATGCGAATGGCATCGCGTTTTCGCGAACAGCGCATCATTCGAATGCTGCAGCACTCACAACGACACCAGGGGCAACAACAAGGTCCATTCACGGTAGTCTATTGTGTCATTGAGAACGCATGCTAGGCCGAGGTTATCCACCCTCTCTTTGCCCATGTGCGAACAGCGACGTGCACCGCAGTGTCGACACGGTTCCACCGCAGCCGAGACACACGTCAGCGTCGCTTGCCAGACGCTCATACGCATCTCGGAACGCAGTGTGCATTCCTCAAGCATGGTTCAAAGCTATTCGGGGCCAGCAGCGAGCTGCCTCTGCAGGAACTCCACGACCAACAGACGTCGCGAAAGCACTCTGCTCAGGCTCTATCCATACTACCATGAATGCAGCGTGCTGAGTCTGCATTCGAATCGCAGAGCGGACGTAGACACCCGAGAGCCGCACCTGCTTGCTCATCCATTTGCAAGGTTAGCGCACGAACGTTTCGCCTTGATCATGGTGCAACCGAATCGGTCGTTTCGCAGAAGCGCCTTGCGGCATCTGCAACCACACAACATGTTCTCCAGGTTCCTCCGATCCAAGCGTCATCAAGCACGCTACATCGCTGACCAGGAATCCCCAGATGCACCTGTGACCTTTGCAAGTTCCATGAGCATACTTGGCGTGATCATATTCCCGCCACAAACAACAACAACAATATTGCCTGTTTGACCGATATGCTCATGCAAAAAAGCGCGTCCCCGCGGGGAGGTCACAAGCGTCAGTGCGGCGCCACAGGCCGGCTCGACGAGCATGCGGTGCAGGGTCGCGAAAGCAAGCATCGCCTCAACCGCCTCCTGGTCTGTACACACATATGAATAGAGCGGGTGCGCTCGGCTGCGGATGAGCTCCGCACAGGCCTCGGATACTTGCAATGCACCGAGACTTTTCGCGACAGTATCGATCGTGGGAATGCGCTGCAAAACACCGTTTGCGTTGAAGGTGGCCGCGAAGCTTGCCGCTCCCACGGTTTCAGCAGCTACGACCGGCACATCCGTCCAGCCGCGACGTTGCAGACCTTGGACGACTCCAAGCAGGAGACCACCGCCACCAACGCTCAAGACGATGGCGGCTGGACGCTGGTCGAGTTCATCGACGAGTGTGCTGTGCCCCGTCCAGATCAGCGGATGATCAAAAGGGTGCACATAAAGTGCACCACTTGATCGCTCAACTACTTCGAGGGCCTTTCTGTTGGTCTCGTCCCATACTTTGCCGTGAACGTGCACCGTTGCACCTTCCGAGCGAAGACGTGCTCGCATGTACGCCGGCGTTGTCTCCGGCACATAGACTTGAACAGGAAGACCTAAAGCTGAAGCCGCTGCTGCTGCTGCGAGACCAGCGTTCCCACCAGATGAACAAATAATCTCAGTGCAGTGCTGGAGGCGAAGCGACTCGGAGCAGAGCAATCCGATGCCGCGGATCTTGAACGATCCACTCCGTTGCAGGTTTTCGAGCTTCAACCACACATGCTGACTCCCGATGAACCGCGAAAACTCTCTCGATTCAATACAAGGCGTTGCAATGTGCAGTCGGTTTACACCCATTCAGGTGATATGGACTCGCAGCTTGTTAAGGAAGCGCTTTCGGTTTCGTTGAAAGCACCCGAGCGCTGCTGCTGTTGCTGCCACGTTTCCTTATCCAACTGGCTGTTCATCAGATGGCTCGCCAAGGCCGATGCGATCTGGGGCAGGCGACGACAGACGCCCTCAAGCAGACGCACTCATATGGACATGCTCAAGGCAGTCTGTCTCCATATGGTGTCCGAAGTGGAGCTTTAGGCTCGACACAGGGAGAATCTTGCGAACGAATCATGATCCTAAAAGGCAAGCTTGGTTGATGATGTTTGGCGGAATTTCATGCTGTGCTGCGGCACGAAAGATGCTTCAAGGGGCGCTGATACCCATCACACACTCGCAGTGTCCTGGTTAGGTAGGACGATCATAACCCAACAAGGGTGGTAGCCGCTGCTGCGCCTCGGTGGCGATCACCGGGGCGATAGCACCGCCAGCGTACAGCGATATCCTGCAGTTGCGCGGTGCCTGCAGAGTCGTCGAGCTTTCATCTTGAGCTGAAACCCATACAGAGGTGCTACAGAGCGGTGCGGTGTCTACCTTGTGCAGCAGCAGCAGCAGCAGCTGCTGCTGCGATGGCGAATCTAACATCGCATCAGACACCTGTCGTAGGCTCAGGATACACATTGTATACTCATTTTCGTTGCAAGGATCGAACCATTATCCCATTCGGAATTCCGGTACTAGACTGGTGAGATATTGAGGCGAGTGGGCAAATACGGTAGCCACTTTCCTGAAATGCCGATCGTCATTGGGTGTGTGGGTGATTCCGGTTCGAGGCATCGATCTGACACCAGCGAACAGAAAGCGATGAAATCGTTCCTTTCTAGGCATTTGCTGCTCATTTCGTCACAAGGAGCTTGGCACGCACGTAAACATCACAGCTATCGTCGCACGAGTCTCGAGATTTGTCAGGGTAAAATGTACATGAGTCTAACCAGGTATCCCGGATGGACGTATGCGGCCAATGATCATCTTTGAGACCTCAGTTCGTTCGCAGTCGCCTTTTCCTTCTAACATGCCGAACAGCGGTCTCATACAGAGAAGAGCCTTCATCGATCCAGAAACCGACTGGATACAAAGTTCAGTGCCTGCGCCATAAGGCTACAAGGCGGCCCTGCGATGCCTTCACGAGCATCGACTCAAGAGTCGACGCGAAGCAATCGGTCAACCGGTGAACTCGCCTCGCCCAGCGAGGGTATTCAGCATCGCTGCATCCGGGAGGGCAGGCATTCGTGTCGAGCGCAATACCTGCATCAACGCGCTGAGCTCGAGTCTCGCATCGGAGGCAACGCAGGCGCTACGGAGCGTCTGCTCGAGCCGGTGTCGCACAGCGTGTCGTTCAGCGTATTGATCGAATGCTCGCAAGAAAAGCGTCGACACGGATTCGTCTCCCGACCGAGACGAGATGCACAACAAGTAGCGTATGAATGTGATGGAGCGACGAACGAAGCGGTTCATATCTGCTCGTTCATGGACTGCAGCCGTGCACAACTTCGAGCAGATTTCCAACGCTTCTTCAAAGATCCGCAGGGCGGAATCCGTGGTACTTTCGCCGTAGTCATGGCGGTAATTTTCAACCATAGCCAGCGCAGCATGTAGGCAAGCACTTCGAACAGGCAACCATTCAGTGGAGTCAGCGGCATGTCGCAGCAGCTCCGGTGCCGTTGGCCGCACGAACTGCTGGAACTCGTAGTGGTTCTGAGATGCTGATGCGAGCACATAGGCTGCCTCGCGGCGTATAAGCGCATTCGGATCCTCAAGTGCTTGTGTGATCAGGGGTATTGCCCCCAGATTCCCGAGACGGAGTGCGTGCTGCCATGCGTGACAGAGTTCCCGCAGCGTTCGTAAAGCGTGCAGACGTTGTCCGAGTCTCTCCGCTTGCGAAAAACGCAACAGGTACAGGGAGGCGTAGAGTAGCGCGCGATCAAGATGCTCTTGCTGTTCCGCTTCAAGGCGTTGTAGGACGCGTTCGTACTCGAGGCTGCCCGAGTCTAACGCGGGCGCCCTGGTTCCCCAAAGACCGCAGGTGCTCTCCCCGACGGAGCTTCGGTCGATACGTGCTTTCTCAAAAACTCGCTTTACCACAGTTTCACAACGCTCTGTGTTCCCCCAAGCCGAGACCACATCGTTCGGGTTGGCAGGTGCCTCGACGGGGCCCTCCGAAGCTCGCGCAAGCGTGCTCACGGAGACGCGTACCGGCAGCGGCAACCGTGACGCCCGCGGTACTGCAGAGAGCGCTGCAGAGCTCGCAATAGCCGGTGCTAACGCTAACGTGGTTTGCTTCTCACGTACATATCCCAGTAACAAGCAAATGACGCCGATGAAAACGACCACCGACGGAAGAAGGACTCGTACGCGATTCCATGCGTTCATGATCCGTTTCTAGCCAAAATAAAAACGACACCTAGTACCGCTGCATCTGGAGATATCTGGAACGATGGCGCACTGGACACGTTGCGCAGGGCACAGCACGCGAGCCTCGCTTCGAGGGCGCCTCGGCAGATTCTTTTGCTTTTGTTCGACAAAACGTTTCCATTGAGCAGGGATTCCAGTTTGGGGGATGGATTATGGCAATCGAGCAAGTGTCCATCATGATGAACCCTAACTTCATGTTTCATGACCCATACTTCCTTTAGGATATACTGGTCGTTCCATATATTCTATCGTGCACCGAGTGCCTGCCGCGCCTACTCCCGATAGCGCTCACACCGCTGGTGCAGATGCAACACGGAGAAAGAACGGCTTTGACGTACCGCTGAGGGCGTCGGCTAGAGCGCCTCGGCGGATGTCCCGCGTGAGCGTTTTCACTCAAGTCGTTCACCTCAATGGTGTTCCGCATCCGGGTGCGTGTTATCAAATGCATGTTCGCGGCTTGTAGCAGATGTGTTCGAAATGTGTCCGTTTGAAGAAATGAAGAATCCAAGGGAAAAGTATGGACATGAATGTCGGGGATCCAGGAGGGGTCAACGTCGCCGAATGCCGGTAAAAATAAGGAAAAACGCTCTTCTCGCCGAGCATCGAGCGATGAAGAGCTAGTGCCGAAGACGAAGAAGAAGCGGGCGGACAGGCAAGAAATGGTGTTTGCCCCACTGGGCGATAACGAGACTGTAGTCGCACAGAGCGCGCGAGTTCTAGCAATCCTCGCATTGATGCGTTCAACCAGCGGCAATGCGCACAAGGAGTTCGTGATCCGAGACTCCGACATTGCCATCAATATCACACGATTTTTCGGTGCTGAAGACGAGTGCTGAAGGAATTAGGCAATCTAATGTTATGGGGCAGCCTCTGATGCTCGTATGGTGCCTGGATAAACCAAAACTGACCACTGGCTTCCGGTCGAAAAAAGCTGGGAGGCGTCTGCACATAGGTTAATACTCAAACCTCCACGGTTTAAGTACGTTTCCGTTTCACTCACCGTACCAATACTTGCACGATCTTTGGGGCTGAGGCTTTATCCAGATTCGGGGTTGGGTCGTGCGAGAGCATGTACGGCGTCGTGGCGCTCTTGACTTTTTCTGCTTTAAAACATACGGTTGGAAATCTGCTAGTGCTTGATTACTGCTCTAAAAAGATCGCTCTTATCTGTTCTTGTCTTGCGTTGGCTTCCATGCTTGGAAATCTGCTAGTGCTTGATTACTGCTCTAAAAAGATCGCTCTTATCTGTTCTTGTCTTGCGTTGGCTTCCATGCTTGGAAATCTGCTAGTGCTTGATTACTGCTCTAAAAAGATCGCTCTTATCTGTTCTTGTCTTGCGTTGGCTTCCATGCTTGGAAATCTGCTAGTGCTTGATTACTGCTCTAAAAAGATCGCTCTTATCTGTTCTTGTCTTGCGTTGGCTTCCATGCTTGGAAATCTGCTCGAATTCTTTTTTTGCTCGCATATGATGATCGGCTGAGCGCTGCGCCTCTATCCATATCATTGAGGTAGCTCGCGCGTGTCTCATATACCTTCGGGCGAGTCTATGCATAGTCGAGCATATCCCGTCCGACACAGACAGAAATTGCCTCTGGTGTTCGAATCGGGAAGATCTGCTTTCATCCGGGCGTCCAGCGGAGCGATTAGGATCCCTGTGATCAGTTGATGAGCAGATACTCACACGCCGTATGCGGGTGTCCAGCAACGAGCTGGCGTACCCTCATGGTGTACAAAACCTGAGTCCGACAGACGCCCGCGGGTGAACGAATGGTTCCAACAATCGGCGAATGGAGGTCCTCTGCTCGTATGGAGTTTCCAAGCGCTACCACCTGCACAACAGTACTCACCATGGGAAGCGTTGCTCGGCAGATCCAGCGTAGCCTCCTATAGCGGACATACAGCACAGCTTGTGAGTGGAAGCGAGACCAGTTTGGGACTCCTTGGCGCGCAGGTGCTCTGGAGCCAGCAGCTTTGAGCGGCAATCGCATGGACATGAACATAAATACGCACATTTAGGTGAATTTTCGAGGACTCCTGGCGAGTCCGTTCACACGCTTGGATTCAGTCCCAAGGGCATCGAAGGATATGTAGGCATCGATTGGAATGACTGCTGTGCAGTGCAAGATACCAACTGGGATCTTCAAAACGGTCAGGGCGTGGTCTAAAGACATTGGCCGAAAACGTCGGAGCCAGCGCAGCGCGAGCACGTGAAAAGAAGTCTGAACGTTTCGAGCATTTGAGCAGCATCAGCAGCATCTGTGTGCTCCAGAGCGCCAAGATTGCTCCATCGCATAGGTGCACAGCGGTTGCCCAAAAATGTCTCTTCTACGAAAATGATTGCTTGGAACCTCCCGTAACTATGGACGTCGAACCGAGCGCCACTGTTGATTCATGTACTGCAGAGCAATCTTGCAGCTGCTTGATAATATTCCGCGCTTCGTTCTCAACACGTTGATGGATCTTTTTCTGAGGCATCCGATCTCTCACTTTGACTGGCGTTCCCCGAGCTCGCCATTGCTACCGACGTCGATTTCAGTACCCACGATTCCGCTCCCAGCTCCAGTGTTCCGGAAGCCACAACCAGGCTTACCATCGAGGAACTTGGCATCTTATGCAAATCCTCCGGATGAAGATCCACCAGTTTGCATTTATGACGGTGCCGAAAGCGCCGCTGCGGACATCGTCCAGAGAGAGAGAGAGCCCACCACCTGCTCTGTTCTTGCTGGCGCCGACTAGAGATGTCGCTGCCCGCAGCCACGAAACAACCCGTTTTCCATCGTTTGCATTTCAGCGGGCATGAGTCACGTGGCGCTACGCAGTGTCCTTAGCTTGAGACTTAAGTCATAGAGCCTACGCTCATACGGCTTCCTTGCAGTTGTTGCAGGTCAGGAGCACGCTGCATACCCCGTATGGCGAAACGCTGATGACTTCCGCACGCAACCGAAGCGGAAACGTTTCTGCCAGAGGTCGCGAACGCTTCGCAACAGCGAGCACCTGCCAGCGTCACAGCCACCGAGTTTTGGCTCCACTGACCCAACGCGCGGACTGGGATTGCGGCATCACATGTGTAGAAAACGTTTTCCGATACTTTTGTCGTCCTGTCCCAGAGCGATCCAGACTCGAGGAGCTCGCCGGCTCGAGGTCTACGTGGACGATCGACCTCGTTCTCCTGCTGCACAAGACTGGCTTCCTCAACGTAGCCTTCTGGACTACTTTCGCAGGCATTAATCCGACCTTTAAAGACTGGCCTTTCTATCGTAAAGCGATTGAGTCGGATGCGGCTCGTGTTCAAAGCCGTTTTGTGCTCGCACAGCGACTCGGGATACCGGTTTTCTCGACGCTGTTGCCGACAATGGCGCTCATCCCTGCTGCGTATCGGGCACCACATCCAGACTGCGGCTATAAAGCCCCATCTTTGACCGTCTCGAAGGCTAGCGTCAGGCCCGGTAGCAGTCCTGTGTGGATTGTTCTCGTCGACAGGCGGCACTTGAGGTACAGCTGTTCGTTACCGGTTCGATGGTCATCCAAGGTGCTCACATGGATTCGGGAGCAACTATTTCATGCGTTTCGGAGTTTAGATGATTCCAATTTCCAAGGTCACTATGTCTTAGTCCTGGAATACTGTCCGGAAATCGATGCGTTCCTCGTTATGGATCCAGCGGAGCCGCGTGCAGGCCTGCACGTGGAGCGCTGCGTCCTCGACAAGGCGCGACTGGCGCCGGGCACCGACGCAGACATCATCAGGGTGATGCCCGAGTTCTCCGCGAACCTCCAAGCATTCGGAACGTTTGGGGCGTGCCATGAACGCGAAGAAAGCGAGCATACGTTGTCGTCAAGTAGACACAGTGGTAGAGGTCCGTTTTCGTAAACCAGGGAGCGACATGAATCTCATGGGTCTCCAGAAAGTTAGATATATTTTCGAGGTCGAAGGAATGCTCGCTGATCTTGCTGTCCACTAAACTTTTGCATACCTTGACATGATTTCAAGCGACGAGCCCCGATGCGCATGTTCAGTTGGCTGCTGCACAGCCTCCGTCGAGCGATACCCGTCAAAACCGAGCATCACAGCGTTGCAAACGCCAGAGCGAGACAACCAGCTGCTTCAGTGCTGCGTACGTGTGTGTGCGCCCTGCTTTCGTGGGGAATGTCGGCGCGCGTCGACCCGGGTAGTGCCTGGAGAGACTTCCCACCGGTTCCTATGAGCGCCTTTTGTTCTTGGCTGCTGAAGTGATATCGAATTATCCTTACGATAAAGGCAGGGCACGACGAGGGCAGGCAACCTCGTTACCCCGTGGCAGTTTGCAGCCTGAAAGCAAGCGGCAGTTGCGCTCGCCGAGGTAGCAGTGCGAGAGGCGTACGCCCCCTGGGTAGGCTTCTTCCGCATTAGAAGGCGTTCAGGCCGTAGCGCACCTGATTAAAGCCCAAGCCCGGCAAACTCTAGGGAAGATGCTGCTGCATAGGAAAGGTAGCTCGGCGAGGCGTCGTGTGCGTGTGCGCAACGTTTAGACCAGGAGACGTTGAATACTCGTCCAAGTCGCAGCGTCCTGATCCTTGGGAAAACGCACGTCAACCTGACAAAGCTGCCTCCTGGCTTTCACACGGGGAATTCTAGTACTCAACACCGCCATCACCGACAACAAACGCCTTTCAAAAGACAAACGTTGCGACCAGAAGTGTAGAGTAGTGGCGAGAAACCCGCCCTAGACAAGACGTCTCTTAGTAACGTGCAGACGCCTTGCAGTCTTTTTGGACCGGCCGCATACTACTGATTCCAATTTTTTCTCATATAATTCCACTTTGAGAGGTTGCCCCACAAAATTCTCCCATGTCAACTCTGGAGGTCTCGTCTCCAGCACCGCACATTTCCTTATATTGATAGCGGCATTAAAGTCACAGTTCACGAATTCCATACGTTTCTTGCCATCATTGGTTGTACTTACTAATGCAAGTAGTCCTCGAAGTCTCGCCCTCCTCTCCATTTGCTCTACCGTCAGCGCTCCGTACGTTTTTATATCCTCATGGCTCCGCTGGAACTTTTCCATCTCCACTCTCTGGAGTGTACACCCCAGTTCATGGTGTGTATAAAATGTTCGAAACTCATCTATTGGTATCGTAACGAAACGCCTTGCACACTCCTTGTACGTTCTCATCGTTGGTGCTAGCATAGTCACTTTTTGGTCTTCCAGCGCCCTGCTCCGTACGCTGCACCGAGCCTCTGAATTTCATCCTCATTCGAGGCGCTCAACTGATTGAAAAAGTTTGCGAACGCCCGCTGCCTCCCACCGTATAGATTCATACGCAAACGAGCCCACCAGGGCTTTGCATACTCATTCCACAGCGCATCCCAATGAGCAACGCGAACTTCCATGAATTCCTGAAAGCTTGAAAGTCTGCTCCGCGGCTCGTCATCTGGTTCATAGCTTCAAGGTGCTCTTGCATTCCTGCATTTCATGTCTCATTTTTCCCTCGCATTAAGTACTCCCGACTCTCGGTGATATCTCGCTCGTGAGAGGTTTAACTGATGTATGTCTTTCTGGCATAAATTGCGATCGTTACCATCCTCCGCACGCTTGGGTACTGCGATGGTTATGATATTCGTATTCCCAGGGTCCGCGCCAACGACAAAGTCAGTATCCTCTACCTCCTGCGTGGCTGGGTCCGCCTCCTACTCATCGTCGTAATTCGTCACGGACGAAGCGGAGGACGGAACTGGACGATCTGCCTTCAATCGCCGACAGTGTACACACATGGCTACCCCATCTGTTTCGATCATCCGAGCGAATTTCTTCCCCTTGTTTGTTTTGAGACGCTTGAAATCGAAGATATTCTTCCAGTGCGTTGTCCGGTTTTCACTGGTGAACGCTGTCTTCCTTACATTGAACTCCGGACAGATCTCCTTCATGATGCCGTAGCGAACGCCGGAATCGATAGTCACAAAATGTGGCTTGATGGTGCACAACGGTACAGCGTTGAAGCGCTTCTCCAGCAGCACAGCCTTCTGTCTCTCCCACTCTCCATTTTTCCCACACCCAGCTCCATCTCCGCCTTGCGTTCGGGTTCTCGGTTCAGGAACACGAAATAGCGTAGGATGAGGAGATGACATCTTTCTTCATCTTTTCTTATATCTGATACCTTTTCTGCTTGATTGATCAGCCCCAAGACCGCACGGCGCTCTTGAATAGCCGCACGCATTACAGAAGCTTCATTCGTACTCCTGTGCTATGTCCTTTCGTCGACGAATTCGATCTCCTGTTCATGCTGGCGATCGTTTGTCATCCCATTGATGATGCTCTCTATTCATTTGCGAGATAGGCCCGGGTAGAGCGTAAAGATGGAGCGTATCATGAAACGTTTGAGGTTCACGATCATACGATTCTTTAGGTTCGGGAGGTACTCTATCGCTCTGTATTCGTAAATACGCATGTCAACCCTGTATCGAGTACCGTTGAAGCGGTATTCAGCGTGATTCTCGTGGAGGTCATACACTCGCTCATTCCTCCTCGACGCTTCCCTTGCGCCATTCATCACGTGCCGAATAAAGGTCCTGTTGAATAATTCTTCCGGAACCTCGAATGTTTTGATATCCTTCGCGTCGCGATACGTCTTCCTTACTAAATGCATCAGTCCTAGGAAAACGTAGCGAAAACTGCTCGAACACGAATCGGCACGCTTTCTGATAGCCTCTCGCATTTTGGGCTCGTACGCGTCCCAAATATGGCCTCGAAGATATGATTTCATTACAATCTGGTATTAGTGTCGTTTCTCCCGAAGCTCTTGACGTTTGACCTGCCCCCTTCGCTTCTTCGTCACCTTTCGTTCCTCTGGGCTCGAAACTGTTTATTCATATTTTTCCGGAACCCGGAGATGAAGGCCCTCCAGGATCCCCAAAGTCCATGTTCACACCTTTCTCATAGTGTATTTCTTCCTTCAAATGAACCTACTTCGAAAGCATCCGTAATAAACCGCGAAAACGCTTTTGATTACATGCACCTCGCAGTGGAATACATGTAAGTTAAAACGCTAGGATAATCAACCCAGGAGACTCCAGAACGCGCGCCTCCGCAGCAATCGATCGTTTTCGCGGCAAGCGCAAACGCGCCAGCAACGCGCGAAACGCATCGCATGCAGATGCATGCTTCGTGACGCCCTGCACGCAAAGCACGCATAGCGCTTCAGACGCAAGGCGTCAAAGAGTCTCCTATTGATTAATGCCGTCATCGACAACTCTGGACAATATCCAGGAATTGATGCAACAGGGACCAGAAGGCTTCTGTCCCGAAAAGTACAGGCAGGTGCTTGTAGAAGCAGCGCAGACGCTCTGTAACTGCGCCCAGGTTGCGTCTGCGGGCCTGCGTGGGAACGTTGCTGCGAGTGAAGGAGGCGTTACGCTGCAATCTCTTTTTGAAGCAGCGGAGTTGCTTCTGCAGCGTTTGGCGCGGTGGGTCAAGGAAGGTCTACTTCAGAGTCACGAGTGTTTGCCGCTGTTGCAGCGGCTGCGGGGGTTTGTCGCAAGCAGTCTCGCTGACGACCCTGCATGCCAAGCTCCCGCTTCTAGTTCACAACTGAAGCTTCCAGACGGCAGTGAGCGTTGTCACCCAAAGCTCACCTCCAAGCTGAACTCTGAGGCACACCGTCTGAGAATATGCCTGTACGCCTGCTGCCTGCGCACCATGTGCTTGGCGAGCGCAGAGTGGATAAACCGAATCCTGAGTGACTCACCACGCTACTTGTTGTGTTTCCCGTGGATCGGTGACACCGCCCTGCCGATGCTGCAGATATACATGGAGCTACGGGAGCGATGGCTTCTCTGCAACGATCCAACTTCGATTCGGGAGCAGGTCACTACGACCGAGCGACAAGTCCAGAGCAAGCTCATGCAGGACGCCGTGTGGTCATGTGACGGCGCTACGCTGACAGCACTCTCGCAGCTGTTGGTACGCATTCTGCAGCAAGTGCTCCGCATTGACTGGTGGTGGCAATCAGCTGGCTACGATCTGGAGACGGCACGGGACTGGTCTTGCGTCCTTCGTTTCGTTCTGGCAGCGGCACCAGAGCAAGCGCTCCCAGATATCCTCTGTATTGTCGAGATGGAGGCTCATGCTGAGCCTGCGCTCGGCGAGGCGCTGCTCGCTTCGATTGCCACGGAGGTGAATGCCCTGATACCGGGAACGTTATCACGAGCGGCTCGCTTGAGCATTGATCTTCATCTCTGTTTCCATTTGGCAGAAATCGAAGCCATCGCAGATCTCGCCCGGGAGCAGGCAGCTGCACTGCTCTGGAGACATGAAGAGGAAACTGCGATCGCGGAAGCTCCCGAAAATGCTCCACCGAGCACATCCGCGTGCTCGGCGGAGGCGATTCTCTCTCGGATCATCAGGCTTCCGGGGCTCGAGCACGCTGCGCCAGTGATCGCAGAGCTCGCGTTCCAGTGGATGCAACTGACCCCAGCTCAGAAGATTCGCAACTTTTCCGAGCGCCTGAGGAGCGGCAACAGCTGCCCCCAGACGGGACGCCCGGATCGACCTTTGGCCATTCGTCGACGTGGACGCCGTCGTACGCACGAGCAAATCTCGTCGCGGTCATTCTTCCTGCAGCGGTGCGCGGTCCACGTGCTCACGGAGCTCTTTGGACACCACAGCAGTGCACGGAAGGAGATTCTTTCAGCATGTCTGTCGGCCATCGCAGAATCGCAGCATCTGCTCGCCACCAGAGCAGCATACTGTACTGTAATCGAACGCATCGCGAGCTCACCCGCATACCGCGTGCATCTTCGAGATCTGAGCGAAAGCGTTCTCGTCTGGTTACGTGAGCTCATGATCGAGTTTCCGATATCTCTCGCAAAGCGCATTCTAGCGGCATTGGCACCGCTGGGAGCGCTCTGGCAGCCTATGGGTGACGGATTGCTCATCTTTCTCCGTAAGCTGGCTTGTTCGCGGGCCATTCGTGCACGACGCATCGCTGCGCATGGACTCGCCTGTTTTCTTGTGTCTCCGTATCTGACAGAGTCTGCGGAAATCGAGACCAGCCAGCTCCTCCTGAGGACGTTGAATATGGCGCCGGAGCCGCTGCGAGCTGAAATATTGTTAGCCATTGGCAGCGCCCTGCGAGGTCGGGTGCTTCGCCACGCTACCATCAGTGTCTGGAGGGAATCTCTTGCCCGATGCATCGAGGCAGTGTCCACGGAAACGCCCCGGGGATCAACTTTGGTCTCGACACCGCATCTGGATCTTCATCGATGCTTCCACGCAGCTGGTGTCGCAACGGAGGCGCTGCCTGAACTCCTGCGTTGCATCCATGCAGTGCCATTGACCGGATATGCTTCGGAAGCCGGTGATGCGGCATGTACACCCGCCATGACATCGCAACAGGCCGCGACTTCATTCCAGGCCGACGTTTCCACAAATTTCCTGCGTTCCTTTCTGAGCACCCTCGTCAGTGATCTATCAAATGCGCCGACAGTTTTGCGGATGCTGGCTCTCGACCTCCTCTTGGAACGGAAGGCATCTACCGAGCAATGGCTCGCTCCACTGACACGAATTCAAGTCGCGGATAGTCGCTTGAAAATGCTCGCCACATGCTACGAAACCTTGCTGGACGTCGGCCGCTCATCGCAGACAGAACAGCAGACTCTGCTCGAGACTTATGGTCAGCTGATGCACTTGTGTGAGGCCATATTGCCCATTCTCGCGAACGCTGTCACGCGTCAACGTCAGCAGCATGTCGTTCCAGAAACCGATCATGAACCAACCGCGGGAGAGGATTACGTCACTGGTGCTCGTTCGGTCGCTCGAGAGGTTCTTCAAGATCCCCGTCGGATCGTGCTGTGGACACCGGCCACGGTGAGTGCAGCCGAGGCAGCCTCTGACCTAGCCTATGCCTCTTCCCGACAAGACGGTGAAGCTGGAGGTTTTATGCATGATATGCTCGCTTGGGTACGTATTGTGCCGGCGCTGAGCGCAGCTCGAGCGATTCAGTTGCTTCAGGTATGCAGGTCTGCGCACGGCGCTGCATCGCTCTTTCGAATCCTTCGGCGTCATCTGGACATTGAAACATACTTCTGGGATCTTCGCGGTACAGGTGACTACTTTGTGAACAATCGTGTCTGGCCTAGCTGGTTATACCAGGGAATCGTGGAGGCATTGCGCAGGCTCGTTATCGCTCCCGCCAATGCGTCCGATGAAGTGCCAGCAGGAAAAACCTCCCTGCAGTGCGCGTTCCTGTCGCTCGATCTCGCGTGCTCCTCAGTAGTTCGCGATTCGATTGAACTTCAGTGTCGTCCGGCGTCTGCAGAGCTCTGGCTCAAAACGCACGCCTTGGACTTTATCGCTGCGATTTTGCCCAAATGGCCTGTCCATCAGGTCGCCGCGTTCCTGGCGGTACCGCAGGTACAAAGTCAATTGCGGCTGATGCTCACGAACAACTTCTCCGAACTGTACGCGATCCAGGACAGCACCAAGTTGACGCAGGCGCCAGGCCTGGAATGGCTTGCCGCCTACCTGACGCGTCGCCTCCGGGCAGACTTTCATCGCGGTCTCACGGTGAAACTCGTTTCCATCTATGCGGACTTGATCGCCCATCTGATTTGTCAGTCGCGAGAATGGTCCCAGGCATCCGCGAGCAGCGGTGTCGAAGACAACTCGCAGTCGCAGGCGCTCCAGTACATCGAGAACGAGCTCCTTGGTATTTTATTCGATTTCGATATTCCACAGGTTAGCGTTCATCGGCTGCTTTTGCGACCGTTGCTGCTGGTGCTAGGCTCGAAGCGCGCGCTCCATCTGTGCACCAACCTGATCCTGCAGTGTCGTTCGTCGGCCGATCCGTCAAGTGAAGCGCCCAACGAAGACACGCCCGCATTGCTGCGACTGCTGGCTCAGGCGTCAAAGGAAACCAGAATGGCTGCACTCTGGGCTGTGGTTGAGTTTGGTGCCGATCATTTACCTCGCGTTCGCGTCAAAACGCAAGTTGCTCGCGCATCCACGATTAACGACCAGGAGCTGCGGTCTGTGCAACAACTTGTAACGCTTTTGGAGTCGTTTTTCGCGCCAGGCACGGTAGCGGTACCGCTGGCGCTTTTCATGCGCCTTGCATCTGTTTCGCAACAGGCGCTTCACTATCTCCAGGGCGTGAGCGAAATGATCCGCAGACAACTCGATCGTATCGTGAAGCAGCGCGGCAAGCGGCCTCGCGGAGACGAGACCCCCGAAATGGAGTCGTTCACGGACGCTGACCAAGCGCCCCCACTTGTGCAGTGGGCGTCGGCTCTGGAGTTCCTCCAGCGAACCCGAGCATCTGCACAACGAGTTGCCCGCCTGATACGCCCTGACGCCATACGCGAGGCACTGCCGGCCCGTTGCGCCTCGGCGCGATCCGTGAACCAGGCCTGTGCCCGCTTCGTCTACTGCTTGGAGAAATTTGAATCCGAGTGTCGCCAGCTAGACGCCAGTCTCGCGAGGTTGCAGCAGAAACTTCAAGACGTGCCCAAGGCGCTCCAGGACGCGGTTTGTGGCTGGCTCGCAAACCACGCACCGACGCAAAAATCGACACCACCGCCAGCTCCTGGGCTAGTTACCGGCGAGCTGAAGATCATCTTTACCGACTGGGAGCAGGCACCTGTAGCATGCACCAAAGCCAGAGCGTCGACCCGTCGCGTATGTTATCTGCGCAGTCGCAACGCGTACATTGATCAAGTGCTCCGACAAGAGGGTGCTGATGAACCATATGCAGATCTAGAGGACTTCATTGCAGCGGACGATGCACTGAGTTTTACGGAGCGTCGACACGCACCGGCAACTACCTAACAGCAAGGCTAGTGGTGTTCGTCCCGTGTCCGAGGACGGCAACGTTTGGTGAACGGTGCACCCAGCGCACCCGCTCCGCGCATACGAAAAGCACTCGGGCGTCAGACACGAGTGCGCGATCAGTTCCCATGTCTATTGCGTCTGGGTTTTCACACTGTGCGTCCTTGTGTGTGTGTGCATGGTTGAACGTAACCTCGCGACGACATCAACGATTCTGTCGTCGTCACGCAGCGCATCGAACGCTGGTGAACCGATTTGCACGCGAGTCCCAATACAACAGACTCGAGCTGACTCTGCATCTTGTCGATACCTCTCCTTCGACCGCGCTCCCGTTTCAATACTCAGGCCTGGAAGCAACACGCGCTACGCACGGGTCAGGCACGGCGAGCATCACTGATGATTCAGTGCCGCTTCTGCTGCAACGATGACGATCAGTGTGTATATTGACTGGTGAACCCGAGGGCGTCTGCCGTGTAAGACCCATCCTCGTCAACATCATGGCGGCATGGAGTCGAACAGGTGCATGCAGCGGACTCGGGTGTATGCGCATCATAGTTTGCGTTCGGTGTCCAGGACGTCAACATAGACCATTGCGGGCATTCTTTTCTGCGAATCCGTCTTTGTGCCCTCTGTTATTTCGGGCTTTCAAGGCACAGGTGTCTGGTGTCACCGCAGATCCCTGCCAGCAGTCGAAGGGTACCGACGGATACGTCCAAGTCACGATTTCGCTGCTTCCGCATGTTGTCCATACATTTTCTAAAAAAGAGACGAACGTTGCGATCGACGCTTCATTTGCCATTTGCATGATCTTGACGCACAGCCACGGGGCGTCCGTCTTTTGCACAAATAACATATCACGGTAGGCTGGAGTTGCGATAAATCCACCATATATCTCGTCATTCACGAGACGTCCTGTGGCTCGTGAACGCTTGCTTCAGTCACCCGATCGATGCTGTTGAGCGGCGTTGAAGTTTCTCCTCGATGCCGTGCTTCGTTGTGGGCGCCCGATGTCGTATCTGAGGATCACGGGCTTGTTCCAGACACGCTCATATTCAACGGGCTCGACTGCTGCAAAGGCAAGCATAGGCGGTTCCATGCGACGAATAACTTTTTGACGGCGATGTTGCTCATCATGAAACAGGGTTCGGAACGAGAATCCAGACCGAAGATGCAGTCGAGAAACTTGTCTTTTTACGTCCACGATCCCTTGGTACATACGATTGACGCACGCTCCACTGTTCGTGGTCGTTGCGATGACTCAAGTCCGAGTCCAAGAACGTTTTCGTTTTTCCATGGAAACCAGAAGAGAGGGCGAGCCTCTGGGCATCTATCTCCTCTGAGAGGTATCATGCTGCTGTTGAATGCTTTTCCGTGGATGGCAACACAGAAATTAGGATTTATATTTCGATCAGGATCAATGATTAGTTTTCGTGAGAGAAATTCAGAGGAGTAGCGGCATGAGTACGTGATTGAGTCGCCAAGGGACAAGGTCGATTTTCTTTTTTTCATTCATCATCAATCCAGCGGCACCAATGGATGCGTCCACGAGTTGCCCACGAGGACAGCGACCGAAAACCTGAAGCATGCGTCATACAAGACGTAACTCTCCGTCGACCAGTGACAACGGGCAACAACAAGCGTGCATGTTCTGCGAGCACATCGCCTCGGAACCGACAACCCGGAGGACAAGTTGTTTTCTGTTTTCGTGATTACAGGTCGCGAGTATTCGGATGCCCCTCAGGCGGACTCACCAGCAAAACGACGCAAAGTCTCGGTGAATACTTTTAGACTCGAGTTTCCGTTTTCTAGCTCGGTACTACCGCCAACGGTGACTCCTGCCGCCCACTCGGAAGCTCCAGAGCATAACGGCCGCGCAGCTGGTGATCCCAAGAACCCCGCGACGAGCGATCACGTTCGTCCCTGGGTACCGAGATGCACGAAATCTCGGAAAGTTCGCACTGGACTTGTTGTCGGTCGGCGAGTTGCAACATCCATTGCGAGCACGCAACCACAACAGGGCAGAAGTGTGCGGACGTCTAAACAGGATTTTAGGTGTGCCTAGCTGAGGGTGGCGGTGGTGGCACCACGCCCTGTCCATCGATCCGCAAGAGCTGCTTCAGGTACAGGGACATCTCCTCAGCCACTTGTGCACGATGTGGCGACGAAGCGCTCTGACCGACGACAGCTCCATGCACTTGGCTGTCAGCCGACACCGGAATAGAGAGCGTTGCGGTACTGGCACCGGCACCTGACATGTGTGTATGCCCTGCGGGTGTTGCGCGGTGTGCGTCCTGCCTACTTGGAGGAGATCCTTGCGGTCGCGTTCGGAAGCGTCCGGCGTCAGCGGCTCGCTTACCGTCACCCTGGTGCGACGATCGCACTTCGTGGGGCTCGCGTCGACCAGCACGACGCCGAGTTGTATCTTTCGAGCTACCCGTCGATGTATTCAGTGACTGCCGGTGATGCGCATCGACCGTAGCACGTGACGTACCCGGTAACAAGTCGGCAGTGCGCACTCCAGCATTACCACGAACTTGGACGCGTTCGTGGCGCTTCTCTGAGTGTGTGCGCTCCGAAGGAGGCGCTCGTGGCATCTTCCGCAACGGAGCATCACGCTGTCGCGCTACGGGCACCGGGTGTGCGCTCTTTGTAGGTTGACTTGAGCGATGCTCGCTTGGTAGGCGCGAGAGGTTCAGCAGCGTAGTCTCCGCATCGAGTGTCTTACCCGCACATCCTCTACATCTTCCCTGCAGATCGCTTCCGCCTATAAAATCCTGATCGAAAACAACATCCACTTCTCTGCTTGGTGGATGAATACCAACAACGACACCTCGAGCGCCAAACGGAACAGCACCACTACGTCCTACATACAGAACGCGATCGCCGAGCTCGTAAGCTGAAAAGGGTGTCACCAAGCCGGACGTGGACGTCGCCACTGCCGGAAAACCCGGCAACACCTCCGAACGCAGACACACGAGCGTTGGAGCAGTGGGTGGCGTTGCGGCTTCCACCGGTGGGGTTTCGGCGGGAAACGATGCAGAGCGTTCGCAGGCAATACGCTGGATCTGCGTCTGAATATCGGTGACAATGTCCTGAGTGAGCACTCGCGACGTCACGCGCACTAGGGGCAAACGCGCGCTCTCCAGCGACCGCAGGAAGGTCTGGATGCGAGCAACCATATCGGGCCATTGGGCTGTACCAAAGAGCTCCACTGCCTTCAGCACCAGGTCGCCGTCACCTCGCTTTGTAACAATCTCGTCCATTCTTTCCAACAGTCCCGGGAACGTTTCGTGGTACGAACGCAAGAGTCGCGCAGTCGGCTCGGGTGCAAAGAGAAAGGTGCCCTCGCTGGCCTGTGGGGCGTTTCCGGCGGTGGTACCGCCCGCGGGCCTCTCCTGCACTGGGCGATACACGACATAGCCGGGCACAACAAGCTTTTCCCGCTTGAAACGGAGACCTAGTCCCAGATTGACTTCGAGCAAATCACCGAATCGTTCGTGTTTGGGAATCCGACAGCGCACCTTGCCCGTGAGCATGCCGGCAAAACGCAGAGAAATGACGCCTTCCAATCCAGCACGTCGCAATGCGACAGGCAACGGTGCGTACTGTACGGCATCGTTCCGAGCCACGATTTCTTTCAGGGCCGGAATCGGCACTAAAGGAGGCTCCAACACGCGAATCACCACCTGCGTATCCACTTGGTCGTCTGAGGCCTGTTTGCGCTTGCGAGCGAGTTTTGCAGCGCGTATCGCGACAACCTGAGCCCGGCAACCAAAGTAGCGAGCATTCTCTCCATGTCGCCTGCCGACGTATATGACAGTGTCTCCGGGCTTGAGCTCCGTTGACGAACTCGCTTCGTTTCCTTCCTTCGAATCGATAGCTTCGATCAGCTCCAGCGGGAATGACTCCGCGGTAGCGGCATCGGTGACACCGCCACCCGCAGCGATCTCAACAATGCGTCGAACTCGACCGTGCAGGCTATTCTTATCCAGGCAGATACCTCGTCGCTGCAGTAGTTCGGCCAATAAAGTTGTATCCGTCTGACGGAAACGCTGCGGGTCATTTCTCTCGATGATCAGCGCTTTGTTGGCGTCCCAGGTCACTCGTTCGGTGGCGCTTTCCACCGCTTCCAGCAGTGCTGGACTCTGCCAGGGGAAACCCATATGCACCGGTACCATGAGGCCGGTTCGGCTCTGGTCAAGACTACTAACAGCAGCACCAGCATCAGCTACCCCGGATAAGAAAGCGTTCGCACAGGCTTGCGCAGCGTGTGCCTCATGCCACGCCTGCGGGGTCTCCATGCATATGATGCAGCTTTCCAGTCTGCTCGGTACGCCGAACACGTCAATCGCAACATTCTCGAAACAATGCGTAACGTCGCGCCGCAGTAACGACGGATGACCAACTGCCTTGTCTGCTGCTGGCCTGGTGCCCGGCGGTAACCGCGGAACGAATCCTCGCTCGTGTTGCAGAGAAAGCGACTCCATTTGGACGCAGGCGCTCAGAGAACGGGCCATGCGACTCGGGAACGGGGAACTCCCTATACCTGATGCGGCAGACAGCACAGCGTCCATGTGCTCGTTACTGGTGCCTTCCTGCGGCCGATATCGAAGAAGAATACAGGATCCCAGATGGTTCCGTTCCTGTTCCGTAGGCGTTAGCGCGTCAGGCGGTACACTGGCCAATGCCGCGAACAGTCGATTTTCGTCCATAAATGGAAGCAGTACGATCCCTTCCCATTCGTTTCGCTTGCCCTGCATGTCAATGGCCACCTGCGACGGGTACAGATCCGCCAGCGGTGACGAAGTGTCGGTCATGAGCTTCGCGTAGGCGGGGGGCAAGCACCAAGCACTCCGCGGCGGCAGGACTGCCAACAATTGTTGCAGAGGAAGAAACGGTGTCCCTTGCTCCAAACGAATTTCTTGAGCAAGCGCTTGTAGACCAACCATGTCGCTGCAGAATGGTGCATAATGATAGGGATAGAACCATCGCCACGACGCCACACCGTTCAAGTAGTATTCCAGGGTCCAGACAATCGCCTCCAGGTACGAACGGCAAATGCGGCGTACAGCAGCGGCGTCGTGATCGTAATCGATACCAAGCTTTTCGTGATAATAGCGGCGCTTGTACGAAAGCATGCGTTGCAGCTTCTGAGCGTCAGCTGCGTCCTCCAGCGCAACCGCCAGTGCCTCCTCATCCCAGAGAGGTATCTCGGGCTCCAGCTCTGCTGCATCGCCGTTACCCGGGGAGCGCTCGGGTGCAACGGATGCTGCAGCGTCTGCTGGCGAACTGCTAGGTGCTTCCGAATCCGGATCCGGGTTGTTTGCATGGGCAAGACTTGCTCGCGTAGGATCTGTGGTACATGACGGGCTTCGCTGCTTCTTCGATGCCGTCGCTGCTGCAGTCGGCTCACTGGAAAACCCCCAGATCGCCGTATGATCGTTCGGACTGTCGGTGCCCCAGATAAAGGCGGTGCCGCGGGTGCCAACTGTCGCCCGCTTCTCGAGAATGTACGACTCAAGCAGGCCCAGTTTCGACAACAGAATCTCAACGCGATCAAAGTTGATCAACTTTGGGTTCCTAGCCTTGCCGGTTGCCTCCGTCAGATAGCCTCCAAAGCGCGGCAACAATTCCTTATAAAGAAAAAGAATCGAGTTCAGTGCACCTTCGCGAATCTCCAGTGTAGGCGAATGCGGCATAAAATCATTGCCCACTAGAAAGGCCACAAACACAAAGTCATCGATGATGCGCTCCAGATTGTAAACGCCGGCCGGTAGTCTCTTTTCGAGATACGCGAACTCGAGACTGAGGTACTCGCGCAGGATCCCCAAACTCAGCAGTTCGAAATCGCCACGAATATCGCGATCCATTTTCGTTGCCGTGACCTTCTCAAACCGCACCTTACGAAAAGCAGCTTGAAAGTCTATTTTCTCTCTGAGGAGGAAAAAATGAGGCTCATGGGTCACCAGTCCCAGGAAGATGAGATCAGCGTCGAGCCCATAGATGCAGTGACGCGTGTTCGGCGGCATGCGCTTCTGCTCCTTGAGTTGGCGTATGTATTCCATGATCTTATGTTCACCTTCACCGGGGACCTCAGCACCACTAACGATCACTTCAAGATCCTGCCAGGAGCGGTCGCTCTCCAGTTTAACTGCTACGTAGTACAGGAGCGCCCGCGACAAGCCGTGCATAAAAGTGGTACCCGGCGTGATGCAGTTGGAGTCGAACACTCGATCAGGCCCGGCCTCTGACTCTGTACGCAGCCGCTGGGTCGTGTTGCCGCGTTGGTGGCTCGTCTCAGCCACTTTCTCTAGCGCGGTTGCTGCCCGGTAGCGGCGTGCGCGCTGTTGGTTCATCTTAGCCCGCGGAGCAACACCGTCAACTGCAAGAAACAGAAGACGCTTGGGTTGAATGAGCGTGACCAGCATATCAATGTAGTTGCAAGACTCCCAGTAGATGTCCTCGTCCGAGCGTCCACCGAGCGGGTTCTCTGCAGAGCGAGCGCAGTTATGCAGGATGCCGTTCATGTCCAGGTAGAAGTTGTCGACTGGCGGCGCGTTTGACCGTGAGACGGGGCCGTTAATCAGCGGGTAGCGCTCTGAAAGCCATCTGTAGAAACGCGGTACACCCATGTTGCGCCTTAACTAGAAGCAACCCTGGAACAAGTATCCCGACTAAGCAAAAACGACGTTCGGCACTCGTCGAGAGAGCAGTATTGTACTCGGCGTCAGCGAAACGGGAACAGGCATCGACAGGTTGCTGTCTCAACAGGTGGTGCAGACTGCGCCTGAACTTGGTTTTTCACAGGTTCGGATCACGCGGACGACGAGTAGTTGGACGTGAAACCGAGCTAATATGGAGATCCTGATAGGTTTCAGAAAGTGAACGAACGTGGTACCTGCGGCCTCACGGAAACGCCACCCAGAGGCACACAGTTCGAGCTGCCGCAGTGCCTCGGTGTCGGCTTTTGTGTACGTGTGTGGCGATGTAGATGCAGGCGGTGAAAAAATTCCGGTCTGTGAGAACCAATTTGGGTGTTAGGATACGTGTTCAAGTGCGTGGCAAAACAGTTGCGTAAGCGCGTTGATAGTGCACGGAGCTGTGCTCGACACACCTTGCAGCGTCGTGCGGAGTCTGGTGTAACGTACCACCGCTTAGGTCAACAAAAAAAATTGCAGGCCGCTTCGAGTTCAATTGCTATGTAACGAAAATAGTCTCTGAGTTCTAAACAATTTACACGGATACAAGTGTGCCAGATACGGCACCTGGCGGACCCTCGGCGCCAACCGATTCCTGCTTTGTTTCTCGTCAAGAACCCGAGCAGGTCACTCGCCTGCACCAGAGCACTTGCTCCAGATGCTGTGCACTGACCACCAGCTACCGCAGGCCAGGTGCACGCTTCACGCATTGGCTTGTGTCAACGGCATACGGAAAACGATTTTCAGCAGTGTGCAACGCGGCGAGCGCTCCAAGCCTCATGTATACTGCTGCGCTAGAGCTGAGCAATCCTGCATAAGCGCAAGCGGCTTCTGTACAAACGAATTCGGCATGTAGAGTCTCACATATACGTTGATACTACTGGAGAAATGAGTGCAGGTATGTACGCATTTCCATGGAGATGCGGATGCTGCGCGCGTACCCTGTCGGTACGATTAGAATCCGGAGGGATACACAAGTTGGAAGGAAACACCGACTCTTCCGAGCTACCGAAGACGCTATTGCTGGGAGACAGGCGCGCGCTCAGGACTAGCTCAGTGCGCACCATCTCCGTTGCCTACTGCATTGCGCTCCAGAATGCAGTCTCTTAGCACCTGGCGGTGATGATGTGGTTGCGGCATACACTGGCGGGCGATCGTCCTTGCGAGTCTGCAGCTTGAGCACTGGCACAAGTCTCTGAGCGCCTCATGGTCACACGAGTGCAGAATATGCTGGGGTATAACCGTTACGAGTTTGGGGCTTGAGCTCTGGTTGAGGAGGTTTCGTATAGGAGCACCGGCTTCAACGCGTCCTCGTTGCAGCCAGCAATGTTGCCGTTTGGTCGTGCAGGCGAGCGATCCTGGAAGCCTTCCAGCGCTACAAGCAACTCCAAGACAATATGTGAAAGAATAAGCCAGCCGTCTGGATCCGTCGCATACAACGATATGCCGTGCGCGTCATCACGAAAGGCCAAGTGTCTGCTTCTGCAAAAAGGTTCCGCAGCGATCCGCAGACGGTCGACGGTTTGTGCTCCAAAGCGCTCCTGCAATGCATCCAACGAGAGGCCCTCTTGTGTGCGAAGACGCAGCATGAGCCATTCATCGAGTGTGTCGCCGGCGACCTCGTCAAACGGTAAACATCCGGAATAAACCCATTCCAGATACTCCTTAAGCTGCCGATGCCGGTCGAAGCGTTTGCCATGCACATACGAACTTGCACTTAATCCAAATCCAAAGTACTCGCCTCCACGCCAGTAGATTTGGTTATGCCGCGAGCGCAGCGCTGGTTCCCTTGCATAGTTGCTGACCTCGTAGTGATCGAAGCCGTACGTTTCCCGCAACGTTATCATGGCTTCCCTGAGCATCTCTGCAGCTTCATCTTCCAAGGGTAATTGGAGCAGCCCGTCTCGCAACCACGCCGCAAATCGAGTCCCTGACTCAATGCTGAGATCATAGATCGAAACATGCGGAGGCTTCCAGGTTCCAATCCTTGCTAGGGTTTCGCTCCAAGCGCCTGGGCTCAGGTTTGGTAAGCCGCAGATCAGGTCGAGAGAGTAGGCATCACCAAAGCCACAGCGATGAAGATCATCGAGTGCGCGCTCAATATCTCTCACCGTGTGGCTGCGGCCGCAGGCTCGCAGCACCTCATCCGACAGGGCTTGCACACCGACCGAGACTCGTGTGATACCCAGGTCACGGTACTGATGCAAACGCACCGCATCAAATGTGCCCGGGTCCAGTTCCATGGTGACTTCAGTGTGTCCGCTACGAGGCAAGACACTCAGGAGCCGCGCCAACTCGTCTACATGTAGAAGCGACGGCGTCCCGCCTCCGATATAAATCGTATCGAGCTCCGGCAGCGAGCTCGGCCGATCAGGAAGCCGCTCAAGAGTCTGCGAGACTTCACTTATGACGGCATCGACATAAATTCGGTCTAGCGTGCGGTCCGAGGACGTCGACGGTGCAGTGAGCGCGTGCTGCGAACGTCCCTGTGCGCTCAGCTCCTGGAGCTGCTCCCAAAGTCGCTGCGATACTTCGCGCGTCGAGTGCCCAACCGGCAAAACGGCAAAGTCACAATAGTAACAACGTCGTCGGCAAAACGGTATATGAATATAGACGGAGCGAGGTAACGAGGTCACAGCGCGCAACCACATGTCAGCGGCAGCGCTCGTATACCTTCAGTGCCGCTCGCTGTGGACAAGGTGACGCTGGCGCTGGTAGGGCACCCTGAACCAGCTACCGTCGAACGCAGCACCGAGGTGACGAGTCAACTGACCCTTGCGCCGGTACGATGTATCAGAAACCTCAACTGAGGCCTCGCGGTATTCAGTACAGTGCGGTATCCGGGGACCCCAGGTCTCTTTTGTCTCTATAGACGCGTTTACCGGTACGCGTGGTACCCGACTGTGTTCGGCAGCCGCTCAGCGGCCGCCTACGACGCCAAGGCAGTATTCCGCTGAGAAGGCACTGGAATGGATGCTTCAGAAAAGTGTAGAGGCAGGTGCTAGCATTTGCGATTCACATAGGAGGCCTAGGTAAACCGAGCTGTGCGAGAATTGTTGCGTTTACGCGGGATGGATGCACGACGTTGCTTGTTGGAATGAATGCTTCAGAAAAGTGTAGAGGCAGGTGCTAGCATTTGCGATTCACATAGGAGGCCTAGGTAAACCGAGCTGTGCGAGCAGTGTTGCGTTTACGCGGGATGGATGCACGAAATTCCCTCCTCACAGAGGTTCCGGCGGTGTTACCTCCAGGTTAAGGTCCAGTCCAGAGGTTCGTCGGTGCCTTCGCCAGAGCACTTCCGCCAGTGCGTTGGGTCCCCGCTCCCTCGGCAGAGTTGCCGGCTGCATCGACGACCACTGCGAGAGCAGTGCCTGCCGTTGCTGCGTAGTTCGCCACGCAGGCGACGCCCAAATGGCTCGACTCGAGCTGTTGTCTGCGTTCGTTCCCACGCCTGTTGCTGGGTTATCACCCCGAGAGCCTATCTCTTCAGCGCCTGGAGGTACATCCGGTCCGGTTTCAGGCTGCAAACCACGCCAGTCACCGGCGAGCGCTGCAAGCTCCTCTGTTTCTGCGGCGTCCCAGGTATACTCGGCATCTTCCGAAATGATCGGTGCCAGATCCTCGAAGAGCTGGTCATCGTCAGCGAGTATAGTGCCAACCGGCAGCGGGACCGGTTCCAGCGGGAGCGCGTCGCGGCGCCAACGGTCATCGACGAGGTCGGCTAGTACGCCAGCCTTGTGAACTGGGGCCAAGTAGACGCCGTCCCGCAACACGTGGTAAGTGGGCATACGTCTGGTGTCGAGCTTAGCGGCTGCGGTTGATTGAACCCTTTCCAGCAAGTCCAAACACTACGCAACGTAAACCAGACCTCAGGGTTGACGCCTTACCAAGGCGAGCGAAAAAATACGAGGATACCGGGAGGAACACGGATAGATAGTACGCCTTGGGATGCGCATTTGGAGCAGTGAAGTCGAGAAGTATTACGTATTTAGAGGTTTCTACATGGTATCCATGAAACAACACACTGATTCCGTTCGGAGCAGTGAAGTCCAAAAATATAACTTATTCCGAGGTGTCTAGATGGTATCCATGATACAACATACTGATTCCGTTCGGAGCAGTGAAGTCCAAAAATATAACTTATTCCGAGGTGTCTAGATGGTATCCATGATACAACACACTGATTCCGTTCGGAGCAGTGAAGTCCAAAAATATAACTTATTCCGAGGTGTCTAGATGGTATCCATGATACAACACACTGATTCCGTTCGGAGCAGTGAAGTCCAAAAATATAACTTATTCCGAGGTGTCTACATCGTGTCCATAACACTATAAACTGATTCCGTTTGGGAGCGACATTCCTATTAGTGATGGTGAAGGCGGCTACGCCGGGCTCAGCGCAACGCTCCGAGAATGTCTTCCACAGAAATCCTGGCATTGTTCGTTACATGACCCTCTACGTGGACCAGTCAAAACTGGATAACATCTCAAAAGGCGTCTTTGCCGCTCGCACCGCACAAGTTCGAACACGAGCGTCTCCAGCGCGGCGTGCGACGCCTGCAGTCTTGCGATGCTCGTCCAGCGGGTACCCGAGTCGCTTCGCTGCGATCGTTGCACGGTACCTCGATTTGCTTTCAGCGACAACATTATCCACGCTCTAAAGACAACGCTGCTGTAGACTTCCACTGTCCATAAAGAAAGAAAGCCATCTCGTATCCGGGACAACACACCGTTCCGGAGCATCGCGTCCGACTACGCTAATTCGGGATTCCGCTCCACCGTTCCATCACCGACGGTACCAGATGTTATCCGACTGATGTCCAACGACACCCAGGACCATGTCGCTACTCGACAGCGAGCCGTTTCGTGGAATCGCTCCAGCAGCATTCTTTGGAAGCGATACGAAGCACATGACTGGCGAACGCTGAGCCCGCATCCAACGCAACACTACGCTGCGAGGCTGTGCCCGGGCCCCATGAACCCGAGCGCGGTATGCAGCGTCATTTGCAGACACGACACACCCATGAAACTCTGAAGCCACGAAGGCAGCTATATTGCAGTGCAGGCGTCACCGCTGCGCATAAGCGAACCCCGCCAAGCACCTCATCCCAGCAGCAGGCGATGTTATTCTGATGCGAATATCACAATAATGTATGCGATGCCCAGTGAGCATCCTGCACGTCGCACGTGAACTAGTGCAGATGCGATCTGCGTCCGGGAGCACAGGCCTCTGCACTCCGTTAACACCGGTGGACTTGTTCGGCTCGTAGCCGTTTGATTGTTGCACCAGAAATGGATCAAAGGATTGCGGCTTCGAGAACGAGCGCTTTTGCTCTACAGACACTTCGTTACACTCGTGGACGTTTCGCGCTGGGAGGAGCAGCAACCTGCTGTGCACCGTTTGGACGACGGCAACGTGCTGCTGCTGCTGCCGTTCGGGTGAGACCTCGTTCGGCGCGCCTTCGGTGCGCTCAGAACGAAGGAGAACGTGACGACGAACGGCTTATCGAGTCTGGGAAGCGTACTGAAAACACAAACGGCGCCCGAAGAACGAACGAGCACGCTGAAACTGCCCGGGAGACGCGGGCGTCGACGAGCGCAGCCGTTGCAAACCCGGGTGAAGGTGAAGCGCTGTTTCCCTGGATCTCGAACCACGTTGACAAGGTCGTCGATCAAGTGCCAAAACAAACTCCTAATGAGCAGTGGGACGCACGAATCGAGCGAGAAGTGGCTTTCATGCGGCGAGTGAAGTTGCGGGAGACGTCGGGTCTGCCGGCGTGGATAGTGTTCCTGTTGGACCTTGCCGACGAGTTCCGGATGATCGAGTGGCCCTCGCCGAAACGAACACTGCGGATTCTTGTGATATCTGTCATCTTCTTAGTCTTGTCTGTTAGTTACATATACGTGCTCGATAGCGTTTTCGGCTGGCTGTCGAGCATTTTCTTCGAAAGTTAGACAGTTTACAGGGGGGCGAATGCGAAGCACGGTACCCCGGTAGCGTACTCGGGTGGATTGGTTGAGCGTCGTGCTTGGATTCAGCAGTCCTGGCTCCTGTGTCGGAGAGGATGATGGTCATTCCGGAAGCCATGGCCGAAAGTTTGTCCGCTATGGGCAGTGCAGTGCATCATGGTACAGGTCGCTACTTTGAAAAGCGCGGCGGTGCTGATTCATCGAAAAAGTATCGGCATGCCGCCCCGCAAGTAACTCGATCGGAGCCGATTACTCGACAATGAACGTATCGAGTATGCGCTGCTTCGCAACCGCAGAATCATGGTGCCTTTCATAGTCGAGTTTACCCTCAACAGCTTCGACTCCCGAGGCACACAGGAGAGCATACAAACGATGCATGTCTAGCGGAAGCGTTCCACAGAAGCTATGCAGACCTTGGTACACGCCAGCCGCCCCGGATCGCATGGAGCTTCGGTCGCTGTGGAGAAATCAGGAGGAGAATCTGGAACAGTGGGACAGCGACTAGGCGGGAATCGAGGTCAGCAGTGAGCACCGATGAACGGGCATCGAAATCTAATGGTCATGTTCGCAGATTTTGAACCCCGATTGGAGTTCGTATTGACGGCTTCACGAGTTGCTATCTGGGCTCCAGGTATGTAGCTGGACACTCGACAGCTATGGAGTTGTTCCACGCGCGTTTTACGGCGAGCAGAAAGCGTGCGTTTCGGTCGTGGGTCATCACACCCCGGTTTGATAAACGACGGAAGGCTCTAGTCCTTGGGTGTTTTCGATACGAAGCGGTCGGTGCATGTTTGCGTACATGTACCCGAAATTCTGGACGGTCCCGCGTCTGTATGTGCATATCCGTCTCTCGCTGGTTACGTGGTCACTGCGTGAATGCAGCGTCCATGAGCGTGCAGCTTGTGCTGCCAGGCGCTGCTTTTTTCTCAGTTCATCTGAATGCTTGCGTTTCTGTGGACCCTAGTAGCGCCAAACCAGATGAATACGATCGGACGCTTTGAGGCGCTTGACCGCATAGCGCTAGCTGTGGTTTGGAGAAGCGTCCAGGGCATGGATAGAAAGAAGCGTGCATGACTCGAGGAGCAGGACACCGCATAACGCATTCGAACGCCGACCGCAACATTGACGCGGAACCTTGTCAAGCTGCATATTGTGCGACCATTCTAAAATGCATCGCCTTCCCAGCGACCCTGGAATGTCGTCAGGGCAATTGCTTCAATGTACGAACACTGCATGTTCTTAGCCAGCGCTCCGAGAAGCGGTAATCCGACGCCGTACTCGAGCAATCGAACCAGGCGGCATGACAGAGTTGTACACTGTAATTTGGCCTGATAAGGCAACGGAAAGCGTCTGCTCCATAGCCGGCCAAGTGTATCGGTCAATCGGGTTCCGGACTGCGTCCGTGTTTCTCGAGAGGCTGATAAGACTTGCGCCTGAGATACCCAGTGACATGGAAAACTGGAGTGCCATGGTCATACGCTAATGACGACGAAAAAGCGTTCCGAGATGTTGTATACGGCGCCATAGCCTATCTACATTGCTGAACCGTACGATATTCTAGTGGTATGCTCCAGCCGGGATTCCAATGCGCTCGCTTCTGGCCTCTGAGTCTTTCATGGAAAGTATCCTGCATTTCAGCAACATATCTGCACGACGTACGCAACGATTCCTTCGAGCGTGCGTTCGATACAGAACCAGTAGACGCTTTGGAAACAGACGATATTTCCGAAGGTTGATTGAGGCGTTCAGATCTCGGTAAGGAAAGTGCTTGTGCGCTCGGTTGCTGCTGGTGGCAGCAGACGCTAGCGAGCCGCTCACTTTCGATTTTTCGCGCCATTCGACTTTCGGTTAACGGTTCGTGCACCAATCTCGGACATCTGTCTCTGTTTCACGCACTGCTTACCGAGTTGTTTCAAGGTGGAAACCTGCCCATGATTCGTGGACGGCACCCTCAACGCATCGACGGGAATCGTGTAAAATCGATGACTGCACTTGTTGGATACGCGCTTATCATAGAATCAGGAGTGCTGGCTCTGCGCGCTCCAGCATGTCCAGCGCCATCAGCTACGATGGGAGAACGCGAGTTATCAGCGATCTCCGTTTCCAACTCGAAGAATCATTTCGTGAGCACGCGCTCCTTGACGCGATGCTACCGAAAATCGTCGACGACCGCAGCGCGGTCTCATGGACGCACCCTGAATACAGCGCAGAAAGACTCGCTTCTCTTAGATACTGTGCTGAGAGCGTCGATATGGATGTGGAAGTCGGTATTCCATACACTGGCATGCCGCCGGACGCCCGAAGATAACGAGCCCCGGAAGAATTGAGCAGATCCGATTACTCTCCATCCAGGCGTTGGATCTCTCCTCCGGATGAAGAGGTACAGCGTTGGCCACGGGGAACCGGCCGTACCTGGAATCGACGATCACCACTGGTCGAAGCACGATTTGCGGAATACCGGTGTTCGGGATGCGAAGTGCTCGTGCATTGATCCGTGAACGCAAACATGACATTTGATCACCACGAAGACGCCTCTGACTTGACCGACGCAGGGAGCATAGGCAGGCACGAGGAGCGGCTCAACGCCAGTCTCAGCTGCGTAGTTCGTGACCGCTTTTGAATGAGAGAAGCCGACGTTGTCAAAGAGCACGGCTGACGAATGCGTTGCGGACAAGCCGCAAACGTGCCTCGACCAAGGATGTCGTATCGAATGATCCTGTTCGTTTTTTTTCGGATTCGTCAGCGAGCACACCACTGACCCACTGATTCCGGCTCGAGTCGTCGTCACGCGTTCTTGTCTCCTGTTTACCGACAGAACGCGGGCTTCTCTTTGTGTGCCCCCGTATAACGCTACCGCTTCTCTCTCGAGTCAGACGACTACCCGTGGATCCTGTACCAACTGCTCGCATTCCAGGTCGACCCCGATCGCGTACTGATCAACGCGAGACGGTCTCCCGTGGACGCATGCGTTTCACTTCTTCCGGCCGAGTCTCTGCTTTAACGCTCGCATCAACGGTACGGAAACTTTACATTCTGTGGCGTTTTCGTGGTGACCTGCCTTTGGACTCGTATAAAGTTGAATCGATTGACGACGAGATCTTCATGTAGATGGAGCTGGATATGTTCTCTTTCGGGTGCATGACGTTCAGGATACGGACGACGAGATGGACCATTCGTGTGCCTGCTGACGGTAATCCATCTGACTTGCATAAATAATGCCGTTTTTCGCAAACGATCAGCGAAATCATGCAGCCTTTCTGATCGAATTTTCTCAACACTACGGTATAAAATGCTCTTCTAGAATACCAGCGAGAAACGAGAAGCGCGCACCTGTACAATTACCCCACTATTCACTGGTGCGCTTGATCACCTGACCGAAAACGTCGAACTTCAAACCTCGGATGGCGTTAGCGACTTCGGGCGGCAGTTCCTGCGTCGGAAACCGGATATTCGCGAACAAGTTCCAGCTCGACACACCCGGAGGCGGTTTCCGTCGATACTTGGGCGGCTTGCACCAGTACCGGCCGTCAGGAGTCACGACGAACTTACCGTTGCCTTCACAGTTGCCACACGTCACCTCTGGGTTTCCGAAGCACAGCAAACACGGCGTATCCATATTCACAAACAACACAAGCGAGAGACACTTGCCCCGCCCGTGGCAGCACGGACAAATAATCAAACCCTTGCCGTTGCACGTTGGACACGTTTCGAGGCGCCACTCGTCACCCTCAGGCACGTTCCAGAGCTTGGCCCGGCGGAGCAAGTTCTCCATCTCCAAAATACTTAAGCTTTCGAGCTAGCACACCCTATCTTTCGACACGCCAACTGCATCACGCTCTGGTATAGTTCCAAAGTTTGATTCCGCGGCACAGCGACCCGAACACGAATGCACGCATCAGAACGTGCGCTTACCCGTACCCCGGATTGCTTCTGTATAAATCTGTACAAAAATGCCATCGCGGAGTGACAGCGGCCTTTGCTGAAACATCCACGGCGACGGCGGCGGCGGCGGCAGTGGCGGCGGTACGCACAATCGACAGAGCACGCTCCCTTCTCCATCATTCGGGCAAGACGCTTCCTGAACCACGCAGCGTCCGTGGAAGCGTTCACGATGCCGAGTAAAGAACTGGCTTCCCGATCGCACCTCCTTGAGTTTTATGGGATCGAATGCGATCACTGTGTGGATATGGAGCCGTTGATGGAGCGACTGCAGAAGGAACTGGGGGTTCCGATCCGTCGCTTCGAGGTTTGGTACTCGGACGATAACCTGCGGCTCCTGCAGAAGCTCGACAAGAATGGGTCCTGTGGAGGAGTTCCCTTTTTCTACAATAAGAGGACCAAAGGATGGATATGTGGTGCGACGACCTATGAGAACTTGAAGAACTGGGCACTGGGAAGGCCGCACCAGCGTTTCTTGCCACCACCGAAAGACTCCAAAGGTGAAAACGTAATCCTTAAGTTTCTCGAGCGCGTCCAAAAACAGGCCATGGAAAAAATGCAGCAGCGAATGAATGAAAAGAATCTACCTGAGAAAGGGAGCAAGGTCAAGGACGGGAAGACGGGTCAGGGCAAGCGCTCTGGGCCGAACGCTGGCGATTCCAAGAACAAGTCTCGTGATCAGGATATTACGGATCGCAAGTCTTCGACTAGCCTACAGTTGCGGGGCAAAAAAGATTCGAACTAGAAAGGTCGTATTCGCAGCTAATAGATGTTTTATGGGAGCAAGCGAACGTGGCGCACACCGAGCGACTAGTCCTTGCTGAACTAGAATCGTGAGCAGCTAGGTGTGTCTGCGCGATGCGAGCGCGGCCAGGACCTTCCTGGAGGTTTCGGGCAGGGCGCCTTCAACGTCACCAAGTGGAATATTGCTGCTATTGGTGCAGACCTGTATCGATGGTGGTGATGCAGGCGGCTGCATCCGTGTGTATGCAAGGGCTAGTGTTGCCTGGACGACGTGGCATCACTGTGGCAAGGTCGCTGCTCAAGAGCGTCCGACTCCAGAATCATGTCTCAGAGCGTGCGTCCAGTGTCGAGAAGATCGCCGACTCGAGGTTGCGGCATGAAGAGACGTCCCGTAGCCGTTTTCATGAATCATGTGGCATATGGCAGATACGCGGTTACGAATAAGTTTGTGTTTTGCTCGAGGCCTGTGGTTGTTTCCCTCTACACCAGTTCGCGCGGCTATTGTACCACTCTGTTCTCGTTTCTGATGACGGGTATCCTGTGGAAGGCAAAACCGGGTTGCGGGCAAAATTCAGAGCGGCATGTGCTTGCCGTGTGTCACCGAAAAGCTGTTCGCGTATCGGTCGCGAATGCACAACAGATGCTGGACCCAGGAACCTCGTTAGCGTTTGCGTGTGCAAGTTCGCAAGTATGGTCGTGCTTCGGAAAGAGCCGCCACAAATATGGTCGCGGCGAGAGAGATGCGCACAGCAAGCACAGCGACATGCACGTCGTCATCCGCTGCTTGGCACCCGTAGCTGGGCACTCGCGTGACCCGCCTGTGCTCGCGTCGATACGCACTGCATGGAGCGATGCAATGTGCCAGAAATCTGATCCATGTGCGAGCACACGCTTCTCGTTATCAGCTTGCAACAGCAACAGCAACACCTAGACCAGATCATCTTTATAGAACAACACGGTGACGGGGAGCATGTCCGTCGTCGGGGTCTAGTACTTGCACCTGTCACTGGAAGCGCGGTTCTCGCAGCCTCGCTGCACTTGCGATGCCCTCTAAATAATCTACTAACGTACTCGTATTCCTGGGAATTGGAATCCAACACCGTGCAGCGAACTCCTTCCGGGAACGCACTGGCGTCGAGACGCCGGTCCGACTCGGACGCGCTTTGCCTTCACCACGGTTTCTTGGCTTACTCCACCCAGACGTCCCGCTGGTAGCGTTGCTCGCGTTCCAGTTTTTGCATGAATGCGTCGACCTGATCAGTGCTGAGTGATCCTTCGGTGGCCAATATCTTACGTATGGCGTGGTCGACATCACGCGCCATCTGTGCGGCATCTCCACACACATAAATATAGGCGCCGTGCCGCCAAATCAAGTCGAACAGATCACGAGCCCGTTCCACCAAGCGGTGTTGTACGTATATTTTTTCGGACTGGTCTCGCGAAAACGCGGTGTACAGCTCGATTTGACCGGTCTGAGCCAACGCTTCGAACTCGTCTCCGTAGAGGAAATCGCGATCACGATGGCGACTGCCGAAGAACAACAGCGTTCGCCCCGTGCAACCTCTGCGTTCGGCAGTGAATGCGCGGAAAGGCGCCACACCGGTACCAGGTCCGATCATCACGACGGGGCGCTGGGGATCAGAGACCAGGCGGAAGTTCGGGTTGCGCGAAAGGAACACAGGCACTAGATCTCCGGGCTGGACCTGATCTGCGAGGTAGCACGTTGCGACTCCTTTGTGGTTGCGCCCATGACATGCATACCGTACGACGGCCACAGTGAGCGCGATTTTCTGCGGATCGTGTGCTGTCGGGGAGGACGCAATGGAATAGAAGCGAGGTTGCAGCGAGCGGACGACTTGGGTGAGTTCACACGGCGCCAAACGCGCCGATGGGAACGCAAGCAACACATCTGCGAGCTCGCGTCCGTAGAGAAACGCTTGCATCGTTTGGTCGTCGTGAAGGAGCGTATCCGCAAGCTCGCACTCGTCCGCAGCGGTACTCTTGTCGAGAGATTTCCGAAGCAGAGCAATCAGCGCTGAACCGCGTACATGTTTGAGATCAGCGCGCTCCTCGAGCCACTGACGCACCGAAGTTTGGTCGTCCAGGGGCTCGGAGCCCTGCATACGCAACGCCGCCAGCGTCTCTCGAACGATATCGGGAGCGTTCCGTGGAATCACACCGAGCGCATCCCCTGGAAGATAGTTCAGATCTGACCCAGTAATGTCTAGTTCAATGTGATAGGTTTCTTTGTCACCGGGCTCCACCAGGCGCGTGAGCAGGCGTTTCACCACCATCCGGGCGAGAAACGGTGCCTCTTTCGAATATCGCCGACTCATATCGTTTGCTAATTCGGCAAGCAGGGCTCCTCCTTGCATAATACTGGCTCGAAGATAGTCGGATTCCGGGACAGGCAGGGAGCGCTTCGACAGTTCCTTCTCCAGTGCCGAAACCACTGCGTGAATCCACGCATTGATGGCTGTCCAGTCTTCCTGATCCACATCCATCCTTTCGGCGAGCGCTGCACCTGGTCCCGGACACAGCGTTTGGAACCACTCGGAGAGGAGCTTTCCGGCGCGGCAAAAGTGAGGATAGGCGCGGTCGCCTAAAGCAAGCACACCATAGCGCGTATCCGCTGACACCGGGAGCGAGCGTGCTTCCAGGCGGTCTGCGAACGCACGAGCGTCACTCGGAACGACCCCGTCACCGGTGGTGGAGCAGACCACCAACAGTATCGGTTCACGCCGAAAATCAACCACATCGTGGTGGAGCATGTTTAGCACTCGCGGCGAGACGCGACCCTGGAGACGTTGCGATAGCTCGGTTGCCACGTGCTTCGCCACCTGACGGGAAAAGCCGTATTCCGTTCCGTAGAGAACAAGCACAGGTAAGCCGCCTGTGGTAGCGTTCTCAAACGCCTCTTGAATAATGCTAGCTGCAGCGTCGGATGCGGTAACTGGGGCAGCGGAAACGCCATTCGATAAGCCACTCGATCCAGCACGCACCTTATCGTCGAGGAGAAAGTCCTCAAAGCGATTCCTCTTCGCGGCTTTTAGTTTCTTCTTTGTCGCTGCACTCGAACCTGAGAAACCTGTCCACACAGAGCGCAGCGAACGCAGCAACACCCAAAAAGCCGCAATTAGAAGAATTGCACCTAGCATTATCCGTGGCTCTGGTAGCGTGAGCGTAAACCGTTAGAAATGTAACGCCGTTGACGAGGCAGTAGGCGCCGCGCTGTGAGGCCGCGCGCCCCAGACGAATGCCACCGTCGATTTGTGGACGATCGGCCGTCGATCGCTGCCGCCATTGGACAACGTATCCACGTGGCGGCCTGGCAGCTAGATCGGCAGGTACAAACGGAAGTAGATAGGTGAGTAGATACGTAAGAAGGTAGGTAAGTAGGTAAATAGGTATGTTGGTAAGTAAATATGTAGGTAAGAACGTAGGTAGCGAGGTAACTAGGTGGGCAGGCGGTGCACTAGAGGCAAGACGTAACGTTACAGGGCATGAGTGTCATTGATCCATGGACAACAGATCGATATGTGACCGCTGGGAAGGTTTGTTGGCGCCCGTTTTATGTACAAAGAATAGATTCTCACCGAATAATGCTGCAATGCTCTGTGATTCGCGGAAGAAACGGAAAGGAGTAGCGAACGCTAGTGCAGGTTGCTGCTCGCGAATACCGCAGCGAGCGTTGGTGCACCAGGTTTCAGAGAAGCACGCCGCTGCCCTGACACGTACTTGCAAACATGCGCAACTTGTCACTGGGTGATCCGCATTGTGTGCAGGCGAAACAACGGAGTTGTGACTCTTGTCGGCAAGCGAAGACAGCACTCGCACGGAGGTGAGGCATCGCATGCAGGTGAGAGGATCTCGCCCTCTTTCGCTGCAGCAGCGTTGCATACAAGTATCCTGCCCTAGATGAACCGGATGCTGTTGGCAACGGTGGAATCGATCTCAGCTCCTCTGACGGGGCAATATGGCTCGACGAATCCCAGCCTGGCATACGCTGCTCCGCTTCCATGTTTATCGAGCGCGCCATGGAGCAGTGTTCTTTTCGCACGCGTGACGCCAGGCGCAGATATTTCCAACGCCTGCCTGCCTGCCTGCCTGAAGTTACTTGGTGCGTTGTAAACTCATTCAGAGGGTGGTTTGCACATCTTCGCAATGCAAACATCTCGCAACTTCATATACCGATTTCGCAACGAGCAGACGCGCCAACGGTATGTTTGCAGAAACGTCCAGGGCATCGCAGCCGATCCAGTACCGTACCTGTTGCCTAAGTGGCGACTTCAGCATCGTCATCTTTGCCTGATTCAGGATCAGTACGTTGGACATCCGTGCCTCGGACCTGGATCACCCTCTAGTTCCTCGGAAGATCCTATAGAGCTTTCACAGCGAGAATATCCGCGTTCGCTCACGCTCTCTTTCAAAAAGTTCCAATCCACTTCGTTTCCCTTCGTCGTTCGAAAAAAGTTCTCAGGTTTGGCACCAGCAGCATCTCCCAGAGAGAGAATGACTCGTGCTAATCGCGTGCGCCCTCTTCCGTGCTTCGGCAAGACGTCTCCTGCGCTGGTCGGGTTTGGCTCGATGAACGTTTGTAAGCGGTTGCGCGATTCGCTGTTCTCATGAGTGACGCTCTTTCTCAAACAGATCTTTCATGTTTCATTTGGACACGTATAGAAAATACAAACTGCTTTTGCAGAGCCTCAATTCTCGTTTCCCCAAAACAACGATTCTGCGACTGTAGTGGTCCCTGCACCAACACCATAACCGCGTCCCGAAACCGCAACGCGTCTCCACTGCGCAGTCGAGGTGTTCGAACTGCTCGTACAGGCGCTCGGCGTTTTCCTGCTTGTGCCCCGGTTGCGTTTCAGCGTCGTCGACCTGAAGCTACCAATGAAATTACAACGAAACGAATAGGCGATGCGTGCGTGACGCACGACGTTCCATAACCCTAGCTGTTATCGACCGTTGAAAAGCTCGCGGCTTCATGCGACCTCCTCGGGAACGATCTGAGCGTAAACGTGCCCTGCGTCTGGCGCTCCGTCTCGTTAGAGTTCTTTTAGCTGCTGCGCCTCTCGGTCAACGATTTCATGAGGCTGATCTCGCGGCACTCGAGCACGCTGCAACCGCAGCAGAGGCTTGCCAGTGCATCGAGGCCGTTCGTGTCCTGGGCAAGCACCACTGGGTTTTTGAAGTCCTCGACGTCCCGGGCACAGCTTCTCCTGTGACGGTCTCGGGTCAGTCTGGGACGGCCTTCGACAAAGTGCAAGAAAGGGAAACGTCGCGTATAGAGGAGGCACTACAAGGTATCGCTGAAAATCTGACTCGGATGCAGGAGGCAGTCCACGAGGGCGATCGTCTCGTGCTCGAACTCAATGAGCAGCTTGTGACGTCCTTCGACGGACCGGTGCGGTCGAACCTGACAACGCTTCTTCACGAGATGCACTGGAGCGAGCATGTCTTTTGGGATTGTGTGGGCTCTTTAGAGAAATTCGTTCGCCAGCTGGCCATGGAAGTGACTCGAAGGCGATACCTCGGGGAAGGCCTCTGCCGAGCCTGCTACGGCTATCGCGTGCCACTCGAATGGGTGCAGGCAATGGGCGTGCAACCTCCGCAAGACGCGTCAAAGAACGCAGAACCAGCACCAACAGCTGAAGGACTAGCTAGCGCCCATTGGCGTACGATGCCGCTGAGCCCACAACAGGTTCTACAAGCCTGGGCGTATCCGGATGCCAGTGTCAGTGACGGCGTTCGGAGAGGCTGGCGCCTCCAGTATCGCTACTGGAACAACATCGGCTGGTTGGAGTGGATCGATGAGCTTCGTGTTCTTGACAATGCGCTCCAGCAAACGCACGCTAAGCTGACTTGCAACCAGACCCAACAAACGCATCGTAATCTTATTTGAGTCCGCTGGTCGACGATCAAGCCCCGGGATATGGCGTCATTCGTCGCTCGCGCAATGCACACATCACCATTGGGGCACACACACACACACACACACGTACGAGCACAAACACATACATAGACAATGAATTCCGTACGCGAAGCTTTCGGGGCATACGCACAGGCGCCATCGCGTAGGTCGCCAAATTCGGCTGGCTGGGCGCTCAGCCGATAAGCCACGGAGCGCTCCGGCACTGAACACCCGGAAAACACCCATATCACCTGAGTACGCCGATGGTACAAGACCACGCGATGAAAGCATCTAGAATCATATACCCCAGGCACTGGCCTCAGCGATAACCTGGGATGCTGCAAATCGCGTCGCTTGTCGCACAGTACAGCGTTCATGCAGGCCGCTGCTACGCACCCATTGATCTCGTGCTGGGATGCTCAGCGAACTCGCTTCCTTTCCAATCATACTATTGACGGCCGTTAACCTATTTTCTGCATGCCTTTCACGAATGCAGCCTGTGCAGGCATGCTGCAGGACATGCATCTTCGGTAAAGAGACCCCTCGTATTGGCGGTATTTCCTCAGATATGCACGTCTGTAAGGCGGCGCTGCGTATCGATCCTTTGGTGGCAGGACGTCGCGCCTTGTGCGCTGGTGTCGTCGTCGTCGCCAAGCGCGTTGCGTGCACCCGAGCGACTCAGGTAGAGCCCTTGTATCCCGAATGTGATCATGGTATTTCGACCCATGGTCTTCAGTCAAGGCCCTGATGGCTGCATCTAATGACGTGTCGCACGGTGCACTTGCGCTGGCGGCACGAAACTCGGCATTCCCGCTCCCTTTCCGACAGGCTTGTGCAGCTCGCCTCCGATGAGGCGAAAACCACTCCACTCAGAAGCCAGAGTCCGTTCTTATTCAAGTCGACGTACGCATTTGTTCATGGTATACGATCGACATTTGGCACCAGAACTCCCACGGGTACATGTTTGCTGCCGGCAACAGGCCAAAGTAGCGCAACCGTTGCCAAGAGACGCGAGGCGAGCTCGGTCGCGAACGCGATCGTGCTGGTGAAGCGCTCGCCTCTCTCTCCAGCCTGCAAGCGATGCCAGGGCGGGGCTCCTCCTACTCCCAAACCCTTGAAAGCTATTGGTCAGACTCGTCTCGTCCCTTTTCCAAAGCGAGCCAGAAGGTGGCCAGAAACCCGGGCAGGCTCAGAGCCAACACGCTCGCGGTGAACACGACCCCGTACTGCGGCTTCCCGGAGCTGAGCTCGAACACAGAACCTATTGCCGCAATCGCCAGTACGCTCGAAATGCCGAGATAACCATACGCGGGTATCGGGAACCGCAAGTACGCTGGCTTTTCATCACCCTTACACATCAGGAACTGGACGGTGCTCGTGGGGCTCGGTTGTGCTCGGCGTGTACACGAAGCAGTCGCTGGGTACGTGCTTCTCTTCAGGAACGTCCTCGCGTGCGCGTCAGCTCCTGAGTTGAGACTAGAGCGCTGCCAGTTGGCAGCAGTAAAGGTACGAGCCAGCACTGGCTGAAACGACAGCATGGCAAGTTCCCTTAACCGCTACGGACAGCACCCGACTGCTACCGTGTGTCTCCCGTAGAGCGGAGGCACCGGCGCTCGCTACCCGGAGCGCACATTCAGACGCCGCTACCTTGGGCAGTCGTCTCCGCATGCACGGTAAGGTCGGAGGCGTTGCCCCGCACAGACGACGGTATCAGCACATCCAGCATCGTCAAGTACAGTTGCATCATTGCCGACGACACACTTATCACGTCGCAGGATCTATTCGAGACGGAAGAAAACGGGTAGGGAGTCAGTCGAAGAAAGAGGTATCTACGAAGGCGCTGTTGGCAGTTCTCCGGGTGCCAGCGGTAGCACGAAAAGCATCCCAAGGGGATTCAGGTTCCGCCCAGTGCAGTGGATTCTGGAATATCTGAGGCTGTACGGAATTATTGATGCAAGTCAGATGGATTACCGTCAGCAGGCACACGAATGGTCCATCTCGTCGTCCGTATCCTGGACGTCATGCACCCGAAAGAGAACATATCCAGCTCCATCTACATGAAGATCTCGTCGTCAATCGATTCAACTTTATACGATTCCAAAGGCAGGTCACCACGAAAACGCCACAGAATGTAAAGTTTCCGTACCGTTGATGCGAGCGTTAAAGCAGAGACTCGGCCGGAAGAAGTGAAACGCATGCGTCCACGGGAGACCGTCTCGCGTTGATCAGTACGCGATCGGGGTCGACCTGGAATGCGAGCAGTTGGTACAGGATCCACGGGTAGTCGTCTGACTCGAGAGAGAAGCGGTAGCGTTATACGGGGGCACACAAAGAGAAGCCCGCGTTCTGTCGGTAAACAGGAGACAAGAACGCGTGACGACGACTCGAGCCGGAATCAGTGGGTCAGTGGTGTGCTCGCTGACGAATCCGAAAAAAAACGAACAGGATCATTCGATACGACATCCTTGGTCGAGGCACGTTTGCGGCTTCTCCGCAACGCATTCGTCAGCCGTGCTCTTTGACAACGTCGGCTTCTCTCATTCAAAAGCGGTCACGAACTACGCAGCTGAGACTGGCGTTGAGCCGCTCCTCGTGCCTGCCTATGCTCCCTGCGTCGGTCAAGTCAGAGGCGTCTTCGTGGTGATCAAATGTCATGTTTGCGTTCACGGATCAATGCACGAGCACTTCGCATCCCGAACACCGGTCTTCCGCAAATCGTGCTTCGACCAGTGGTGATCGTCGATTCCAGGTACGGCCGGTTCCCCGTGGCCAACGCTGTACCTCTTCATCCGGAGGAGAGATCCAACGCCTGGATGGAGAGTAATCGGATCTGCTCAATTCTTCCGGGGCTCGTTATCTTCGGGCGTCCGGCGGCATGCCAGTGAATGGAATACCGACTTCCGCATCCATATCGACGCTCTCAGCACAGTATCTAAGAGAAGCGAGTCTTTCTGCGCTGTATTCAGGGTGCGTCCATGAGACCGCGCTGCGGTCGTCGACGATTTTCGGTAGCATCGCGTCAAGGAGCGCGTGCTCACGAAATGATTCTTCGAGTTGGAAACGGAGATCGCTGATAACTCGCGTTCTCCCATCGTAGCTGATGGCGCTGGACATGCTGGAGCGCGCAGAGCCAGCACTCCTGATTCTATGATAAGCGCGTATCCAACAAGTGCAGTCATCGATTTTACACGATTCCCGTCGATGCGTTGAGGGTGCCGTCCACGAATCATGGGCAGGTTTGCACCTTGAAACAACTCGGTAAGCAGTGCGTGAAACAGAGACAGATGTCCGAGATTGGTGCACGAACCGTTAACCGAAAGTCGAATGGCGCGAAAAATCGAAAGTGAGCGGCTCGCTAGCGTCTGCTGCCACCAGCAGCAACCGAGCGCACAAGCACTTTCCTTACCGAGATCTGAACGCCTCAATCAACCTTCGGAAATATCGTCTGTTTCCAAAGCGTCTACTGGTTCTGTATCGAACGCACGCTCGAAGGAATCGTTGCGTACGTCGTGCTGATATGTTGCTGAAATGCAGGATACTTTCCATGAAAAATAAATCCGTGGCTCCGCGAGATGCATCGCCACCTTGTGCGAGACATTCATATGGTACGATCAATAATCCAGGAAGACCAGCTCGCTGTATGGATATACAGCGAACGGTCTCCGGGCGTCACCGCAGACCCATAAAATGTTCCATGATTCGTGATGACTGCGTACGGGCGTCACGCAACGAATCGACAGGCGATTCATGCGGCCGCTCAGCCTCGAAGAACAAAAATATCTAGTCACGACAATTGCGTACAAAACGGTCATGGCTTGCGCATCGCCCGCATGGCGTCGAAGCCAAAGCCAAAGCCGCCGCCGTCGCCAACGGACTTCCGGGGGGGGCGCGCGCGCGCTCCGCCCACAGCTCCGAGGCCGGCAATCTCGCAGCACCACCAGCACCAGCACCAGCACCAGCAGCAGCAGCTCTACTACTGGATGCCGTGACAAACAGCTCCGCGGCGAGACGAGTACCTCTGGAACACGTTGTTTTGGCTCTTCGTAGAGAGCGTTGTGGTGCATTGTGTCATGGGCATCACAGTCAGCATTTTTCGTCCGGATGATCGGACCGACAACGTCGCTTCTCCTGTGGAACGTGGGAATGCCTCGGCGCGCACTGACGCAGAGCGTTCGCTGCGCTCCTGGGCCGAGTACCACCCGACTGTTGCGCGGCAGGCAAGTGTGCATGTACAGGCGCCGCACATAGACCTACAGGGTCCAATGCTGGACAGCTACGAAGAATCTCCATCGTTGTCGTTGTCCGGTCCGTGGAGTGCCGTATTGGAACCAGGGACGCGTTTTACGGTCTCCGGGGAGCTTCCCGAGGGTGCCGACACCTCGCGACGCACCAGCTGGCTGGGCCAGCGCGGCGATGCTGCGCGTCAGCGTACGAGCGCCGTCGTTGTGCCGGAACTGACGACAATATCGAACACACCTTGCGGAAAACTGAATGATGGCTTCAAACAGGTACAGTTTTTGGACTTACTGGAGGCGTCCTATTCGGTCTCGGAGCAGACGCCTACCACAGCCGCCTCCGCTGCGAATAAGCGCTCCTGTGAACTACACCCGCTTGATACCTGCATCACACACGAAGAGGCACTCTTGTCCTTCTTGTTACACTTGATCTGGACACCCTCGGATACAAATGCGAATCATGATCCTCTGGCGAACGAGGCCGTTTGGTCCGCTCTAGATGCGCGGTGGTCAACGACAGGAGTCTCAGCGCTGACGCGTCGAGAGGTGTGGCAGCTCTGCTTAGCCGTTTTGTGCGCATCAGCGTACGCGCCCTGCATCCACATGGCTTGCGGGGATGCTGATGCCTCATCGCCGTGCGAGGTTGGCGTACAACCGCCCGCCTCGTCAACGACATCGTCGACACGCGGGTATGCGTCCCGTCGGCTGGGCGCAAGCGTCATGGACACCGTGACTCGCGCGTCAGCAGCAGCAGCAGCAGCAACAACAACAACAACAACAGCAACAGAAGGCCCACCGCGCATCCAGCGTCATTGCGCAAGCGCGCCCAGACCTGAGCCAGAGGACGCGGAGTATCTGTCGAATCGTTGTTGCGCACTATGTTCATGGTTGCAGAAGCGATTCATTCTGCGTATGCGACGCGATATGGCGTTAATTCGGTTGTGTCTGTGGAGTTTGTGCGCTGAGTACCAGGATAAGGATCAACAGATGCCGCAGCGCATGTCAGTTTGGTCGGCGAGTTTGCCGCTACATATTGGCAGGGACTCGCTGCGACTCGTTGACGACATCCTTCGTTCTCTGATTCCGAATTCCAGCGACAAACCGTTCCCTGTACTGGTTGGCGAACGACAGCATGGCGCTTCGCTGCACGAGCTGAAACGCGGCGGTCGCCAGCATGCACCAAACGCGACGACGCTGTCGACGCTTCCAGCACCGAAACCCTGCAGAGCACTCGACAGCACCCCAAAACAGCCTTTGGTGGCAGCAGCTGATGCTCCTGAGCTACCAGCTTGCGTAGATGCCAGTGCTGCGGCCTCCATGGCAGCGCCTGTCGCGAATGAGCTGCCCCTTCCTGAACAGCGATCCCAGAGCAGCGACGAAGCGCTCTGGCATCGTTGGCAACAGCGTCGCACCGGATGCCTCGAAGGCCTGTCCTATGATCCTTTCCAGCACGATCTGTTCGCTGACGGGTCGATCTCGGTGCCTTTCGAGACGCTCTTTGATATTGATGCATTGCTGGAGTCGCTGGCAGCGCTCGTTGCTCGACATACGGGCCCCGCGCTGCCGACGGACCTGGTAAGCGGAGACCTCAATGCGTCTGGCGGTTGTAGTTTGCGCACACATACTGCCCGCCAGCGACAGACCCAGGAAACCCAGCAACTCGATACCCAGGCACTCGAACGGAAAACAAACATTCAAGGCTCACTGCAGGAGTGTCCGACGAACGCTGCTGCAGTGCCCAACAAATTCAGTCGCAGCATATCCTGCATACACGGGTGCAGCTCGAGCCGAACGACATGCCTGGAGGCGCGGTCACCACCACCACCACCACCACCATTACCACCTCGCGATGAAGATATGCAGCGGTCAAGGTCCAGCCTCCAGACCGATACCTCTCTGGACGGACGGCGACTGTTTATCAACGGCGGCTTTCGTCATGCAACTGGGGCTGGTGCGTTTTCCTCGTGCTCCTCGTCGGGCTCGTTGCAGTCGCCAAACGCATCGTTCACAGCCAGCGGCTCTGAAAGGACAAATCGATCGACTTTGGCTCGGGAAAGTGCACTGTCGCTCCAGGATTTCATCAATAACGAACGCAGGTGCCGCTTGCGGGCGAGCTCGTTCACTGATCACAAACGGTATCGTCAAGACGCTGGCTCAGCGTCACTCGGCGGCACAGTCCGGCGTCAACAATCCCCACGAGGTGACCGTTCGTCGCCTTCGACTGGAATCGAGGCAGGCGAGAGCGCCCGAACGTTATGCGATGGCTCCACTGGAGTAGCACCGCTTGCCAGGTATCCAGATGAGGGCGAGGACCCGCTTACCACCGACCTCGATCTCATGGAACGGTATGTGGAAGCGCTGGAGGAGGTCCTCGAATCGCTTGAGGCTAGCGCAAGTAGTGTTTCTGCCACTGGACGTGCAGCCAGCACGAGTGTATTGCCGTATAGGCGATCCGTTCGCTATCCACGCTGTGCGTCGTACCCGAGCTTTGGCCAAAATCCACGTGCCCACTATCATCAGCACCACGATCATCATCATCATCATCATCATGACCGTGGCTATGATGAATACGACGGCAACGAGCAGCTGCAATGCTGGGCTCTCCATGCCATGCAGATGCCTTCCAAGCCGCAACCTGGGCGACGCTTCACGCTTCTGCACCAACGCCAGCAGGCGCTCAGTCGAGCGGGGGCGCGGCATCCGTTGTTAAGCGAACTCCTGCAGGTACTCAGTGGCAGTTCCACGGGCAACCAAGGAATCTGCGCTAGCCCCAAGGACGGGAACTTGCTCCAAAGAGAGGCATCTGCTGCTGCTGGTGCTGCTGCTACTACTGCGTCACCCACTGGTGCACGCGTTCTTGACGCTGCGTCACCAGAGCGCAGTGTTTCGAGGCCCCAGCGACGTGCATCGCTTCGAGCGTCGCTGTGGCTGGCGAGTTCCGCTACGACGGCCCTGCACTCATATTGGATGTCGCTAGCGAGCTCAGCTGGAATGGATGCCGAACGCTTCCATCAAAACGACGGGTCGAGGTCGCGTCATTCACGCCCGGATGCAGCAACGCAGAGCAGCGTCTCCGAGGGCGGCTTTTGGACTCGGCGCTCGGGTGTCATCCCCGAGCGTTACCCGAGTCATCGCATCCAGTCGGTGTGTGCTGCTGGTTCTCCTGAAATCGTTCTGGTGAACGCCCATGCGTATCGCTGTGTACCTGGGCAAACGACGCGCTCTCCGGTAGCGTGTCGCGGCTATACCCTGCTGTATCGCTGGCGCGGAACAGACCCGCTGCCTTGTATGTTTGCTGCCGACGCGGACCTGCATCCCAGTGCCTCGCTGAGCAGGGACGGTGAGCGCCCCATGCCAGCAGCAGCAGTACCGCTGGTGTCGTCCCTGGAGCGCGAGCCCGGAATGTCGCCGACCTCACTGGGGGAAAGGTTTGCCACATACAGCCCGTGTACTGCTTCCGATGAGCGCCAGCTACAGTCTGTACCAGCTGGGATGCTGGAGGCATCACCATTGCTGCAGCGCTATGGCGACGTCGTTGGTGCCTCAGCGTCAAGTGTCTGCGCGCTTCCCGCTGGTCACGTGCCCGAACGCAGACCAAGCAGCACAGAAGCGACTGATGAGCGATTCGAAACACCGCGTCGCACGAGCTCGCCGTCGTCAGCGGGTTTCTCATCACCAGTGACGCCCGCTGTGGACGTTCACACCTATCGAGGAAGGATCGATCATGCAGCGTTTATCGCAGCGGATTCCGCATCAGTCCGTCTTTCGGTGGACGCTGCTGCCTCCATTGAGCGCTGCAGCGATGCAAACTCACCGCCAGCAGAGCTTGCCTCTGAGGCGTTTCCAAGACGTCATGCGATGGACGCGCTGCTGTCCACAGCGACGCACCAGCCGGATGCACACAACTCTGGTTTCGCCAAACGGACACTCCATGCAGCGACCTCAGCGCTGCATCAGCTGCTCGGAGCCGCAAGTCCGCTATCAGAGCGCGCGAGAAACGACGCAGAGCAGGATGCGGTTGCTGGAAACAGCTGTCGAGGGCGCCAGTGTATGAGCGGTCCGCGTTCCATGCGTACTGGGTCTGGTGAGGACGCCGGCGTTGCCCGTGCGGGACAACAGCAGGCGCAGTGCGCTCTGCTGCGTCTCGACAACAGCGCGTCTCCGAACGACGGCCCCAAGGCAGGTATCTGGCAGGATCCGCTGCCTCGCAACAGCACCTGGGTGCGCGTCCAGCGGCTCGTATCGAGTCCAGCGTCTGGTGCTGCTGACAGCGGGAGCGAGGCATTTTGTGAAGCGCTGCTCGCTGTGAACGCATCGAGTCATCCACGAGTCCGTGAACTCGTTCGACGGACGTTGCCACCGGACATTGGTGATAGCGTCACGATCCTCGGTTTCGGTGCAGTGCCTGCGTCGTTGCAGACGCTCTGCGCCCAGTGCTTCGTCCAGTACACCGTTGATGGCCAGCATGCGGATTCGCACCTGGACAGGTATCCACAATGCCAGTCGATGGATGCCGCCGACGCAGTGAACACGTTCATGGCATCGTCGTGGACAGCGGAAGCACACCTGCGGCAACAGGCTCGGGCTCTTGTGCGGCTCGGCGTCGACGCCTCTGGTATGTCTGCTTCGCTGCTGGACGGTGTCCAGCGGGCTGCTGCAGCACCTGCTGCCGCTGCCGCCTGGGATTCCTTACCTGAACCGCTGCTCGCACTGTGTTGGGAGGCAGCTGTCGCCAGCGGCATTGCAACACCCGCTCTGCTGCGATTCTATGCCCAGCGGGTGGCGCCGCAGGTGACCCTGACAGCAGCGGACTCCGGCCTCTGGCCCAACATCGGACCGGGACTGCAGATTCGACCTGCCCCTGTGTCGCTGGGGCATCGCTTTCGAGTAGCGGCACCGTACCGGACTCGCATACGGGATACGTGGTTGTTGGCACTCGCCCCAGCAGCAGCAGGAGCCGCAACGTTGGAAACGCTCGACCTCAGTGGCTGCAGTCATATCACGGATCGCGGTCTGATAGGCCTGGCACCCCATCTGAGGCAACTCAAGGAGTGCATTCTGGATGGCTGTCTTGGCATCTGGGGTCCGGGAGTGCGCGCTCTGCTTCGATTGTGCTCGAAACTGGAGCGCTTGAGTCTAGCGGGATGCCGCTCGCTCACCGACGAGGCATTTCAGGGGCTGGCGTCGGGAGTCGCTCGTGGACCGTGCCAGAGAACGTCTGCTGGACGCTTCGCGCTGAAACACTTGGATCTGAGCTCGTGCATCCATCTGACGGATGAAGGCCTGGGTGCGCTGGTCGCTGCACTGTCGACACCAGAGGCAAAGGCTGGCGACTCGGAAGACACCGCAATTGAATCCGTTGCCACCACCGAAGCATCTGCGGGCCTCGTTGCACCGCTGACGACTGAAGCGCTACTGTACAGCAGCAGCAGCAACAGCAGCAGCAGCGGTACCCTGGAGACACTCTCGGTGGCGCATTGTTTCCGTCTCGGTGATCGTTCGTTGAGGCCGCTGCTTCGTCAGCATCGACAGAGCCTGCGCGTTGTCGACCTCTCGTATACGCGGATCACCGGGGCAGTGCTGCAGGAACTGGGCGCTCTGCCACAGTTGCAGTCACTGTCGTTGTGCGGATGCGGAGAAACGCTGTCCGTTGAGTCCGATGCAGCGACGCGATTCGGAGAAGAGCTCGCGCTCCCTGGTAAGCAACTCGTGCACCTGGACCTGGGCAAGTGTGCTCAACTGGTAACGGACGGCTTTCTGGCAGCTCTGGCAGGGCTAGCGAGCGGACGCCGCACGCACCACCAATACAACCGCCAGCAGTACCAGCAGAACCCTGCTGCCGTCGAGCGCCTCGTGCACGCGACACACGGCGTCTATTCGAGCCGCGACACGCTGCGCTCACTGAGTGTGCATGGCTGCCGTCTCACGGATCGCTCGCTCAGTCATTACGTACGCTTGTTTCAGGGCCTGGAGCGACTCGATCTATCGCAGTGCCGGTTGATCACGGATGCTGGTCTGGAGCATCTGCAGTCGCTCAAGTCATTACGTGAACTAGACCTGGCGGATACCAACGTCACGAGTGCCGTCGGAGCCAGTCTGCTCGCGCGTTTACGTCAGTTACGGCGGCTTGATCTCTCATACACAGCCGTTCAGAGCAACATCACAAAGAGTTTATCCACGCTGGAGCAGTTAGAATGGCTGGGACTGGACGCTCGACTCATCAGCGATGATGCGCTCCAGGTAGAAGAGAACGAAGCCAGTCCAGAGCCTGTCAGCAGTAGGGATGTGGCGGCTCCAGCGCTGTCCTCAGCGACGGTAGCAGTGCACCTGCATCGACGCATCGGGTTACCGCGGCACCTGCGGCACCTGGACCTGTTCGGTGCGCACATTACGGATCGCGGAATGTCCTATCTTGTACAAGCGTGTCCATATGTGGAAAGCTTGGAAGTTTGCAGCGGTGCGCTCACCGATGCCGCGCTGCGCCTGATCGCGCAACACTTGCCGTATCTGCGAGCGCTGAATATCAGCCAGAATATGCGTATTTCTGATGCTGGTCTACGGGAATATGCACGGCTTGCGCAGGTACAACAGGATCTCGGGCAGCCGCATTTGTTGGAAACGTTGAACTTGGCGTTCACAGCGGTGACGTGGCGCGGGCTCGCGGTATTGTTGCCGACGTTGCCGTATTTACGGTTGCTGTGTGTGCGCGGCTGCAATAAGGACTCGTTTTCGGCGGTATCGGTACAATCGTTGGAACGGATGCGGCCGGGTCTGGTGATTCTCGGAGCGGAAACGGACCAACCGGGAAGCTAGCTGTACGTGTGTACGTGTGTGTGTGTGTGTATGTGGATACATGGTTACCGTCTTGCCGGTTGCGTGCAGCGCGAGGCGCTCGGATAGACGAGTTTTTGCAGGGATGTTATCGAGCTTGTGAAAGATGGCGAATGACGGTGACGTGGACGACGACGACGACGACGACGACGACGGGTTACTGCTAGTTGCCGTGGAAAGTGCACCGCGCTCTGTCCGCATTGTAGAGTTGAGCACGCGCCTTTGTGTCGTGCATGAATGGAATGGAAAGCGGGAGTTGGTTCATGGGCGTTTGCGCATGCCTTTCAGCAGAGGCAGCATCTTGTCGAAAGCATCCCATCAAGCAGCGATACGAGCTACCATGTGGCGCTTGGTGCAGCTGTGGATCGCCAGGAGCATGGTGCACCACGCGTTCACCCATGAACCACGAGCACGAGGCCCGTAAAGTACGCATTCACGTTCTGGTCTGCTGATTCTGGAACTGGGGATCGGTTTTTTGATGGTATGTGTCCTGCTGCTGCTGCTGCTGCTGCTGCCCAGTCTTCTGTAGCAGTTGCTGATGATCTTCGCACACCCGTGGTCCAGGCTGCGGTTCAGCGGCAATTGTGTCCAATATCGCATCGTCTAGGAACGGAGGCGAGTTCGTGCGTCCTCGAACCGCTTCAGCACGTATCCAGACGCTGAACGGAACACGAAAGATGCGAAGATGCAGCCGCTGAGGACGCTTCGAAACGCGTATCCACTAGGGTTCTTTGCCGCACAACTCGAATGCTGGAAACCACGGCAGCTACGAAACGCTCATAGCCACTCTAGGATAAGCTGCTCTCGTCGGGTTGCAGAGAGACAAAGGATCGACCGCGTGCCCGCGCGCGCGCTCTCTCCCCCCGGGATCCCAGTGGTACGCAACGAGCAAGTTCGCTGGGTTCAGAGCGCTAGACACCCGTCTACGGCAGGCGAGTTGCCGCGACCAGCCGGGATCCAGCTTACTACCAAACGTTCGGTCCAGTCGGGAAACGCGTCACGATTCATTCCATACCAGGTACTCTGGTTGTCTGGGGTCTGCTCCCCAGTCACCCACGACAAGTTCTCTGTCGTGATGGCGTTCACAGATCGCTCATTGCGAAGACGCTGGACCCCGTACGAGCATGCACCAGCCTCGAGCCACTGTAGCACATACCGTCGATAATATCTGCAGACAGGGCATCGTATAAAGCTTCGTGACCCTCGCAGACAAGTCTGATTGGTGATTTTCGGAACTTGGCGTCTCGAGAGCCAAGCCCTGGTCGCTTTCCTTGGCTGTCTACAACGATCGCACGTTCGGTGGACCACGAGCGATCAGGCTCACGTGTCCCATATACAAAAAGACCACCCCTGATCATTGCAGACATTCCGTCGATCGAAAAGCGTTCGACATCTATCGAAGTATCCCGGATCCCTTCTCAGAAGACACCATGAAGTTCATCGACTGTCGAGCAACGCACGTGAACGACGCGACTGCTCGCGCACTCAAGCACCCTCAACAATGACCATTGGCATCTCCAGCGTTGGATACAGACGTGAGCTGCTGTACGTTTAGGAACAAGCCCAGGACGGAATGGAGCAACTGGGAACTGCTACGGACTCACTGGACGCGTTCATGGCCACGCTCAGTGGACCAGTTGCTGGGAACAGGCACGAGTGTTTGAGTTTTTCTGTCCCGTATTCGCGAAACGGTAGCGCTTGCGAACTGGACCCTGTTGCCCAAAGCCACGACATCCAGCAACAACCACGTCGTTCTCCGTGTCCAAAGGCGGAGCCAGGATCCCCAACGAAAACCGGTTTGGTCTCCGACGGGCATGAAATCGAGCACCTGTGCGCTTCAGAGAAGAACGGGCTTCACCGGAGTGCTGGAAGCTGGCCCTCGGCCGCTGAGCCGTCATTCTCTGGAACGGGGAACGGCACACCGGGGACCTCGCCTCGACACGAGCCCGCCAAACGACAACGCCATTGGGGCGCTGCTTCCCGAACCGCACACCTTGCCGATCGCACTCGACAAGTGCAAGCACTCCAGCCTCGCTCGGAACCGTGCTTGAGCTCACTGCCGGCTAGCAGTCGTCCAGACAACGCCGATACCGTTTCCGTACCAGCGTCCTCGGATACCGAAGATAACGATGCCGCTTCTGGCAGTATGCAGGTCGAGGGCGTTACCGCAGATCGTCGTCATCGAACGGTATCCGAAGCGCCGGGTGTTCTCGTTCGCGACCTCGAACAGCCGCATCGTCTGCTCGGCGTATCGCTATTGCACAACTGGGAACAGACCGGACTCCCTACCACGATCCTTGACTGGTTGAAAGACGGTCTGGGCATGGGGCACCCCACGCTGGTGCAACGTGCTTGCATTCCGGTGCTGGTGCGTGGTCACCATTGTGTGGGCGTCGCCGAAACCGGCTCCGGTAAGACGCTGGCGTACCTGGTGCCGCTTGTGCGGTACCTCATTCGCTCATGGCGTGATAGAGGACGCCGACGAACGTGTCCGGTTGCGGTCGTCATCACACCAACCCGTGAACTAGCCATGCAGGTACACAAGTTGCTGGTGACGCTGCTGCAGCACCTCAGTTGGCCATCGTGCAGTGCGCTGGAACCCGAGCGATACGCTGCTGATGCTAGTTTTCGTGCTAGCGTTGCTGACCCTGATATCGCGGTGCCTGCGATGCCCGAGTCTTGGTGTTTATGTGCCTACGGCGGTGCAGACTTGGCGGCCAATGTGGCGACGCTCTGCCGCGGCGTTCGGGTCCTCATCGGAACACCCGGGCGCTTGATATCCCTTCTCCAGTTGAACCGAGGGAGATTCCTGCATCTACGTGGTACGGCGCTTCTGGTTTTGGATGAGGTCGACAGGCTTCTGGATCTGGGATTCGCGCCACAGATCCAACGCATTCTCGCTGCGACTTCAACGCAGGTCCAAATGGCGTTCTTCTCGGCAACATTGCCGCCAATTATGGAAAAGCTCATTCGCAAACTCATATCGCAGCAGAGACAGGCAGCGATCGCCAGTGATGGATCGCATCATCAGCGCTATCGGGCACGTCGTCGACTGGTGCTTATCCGGTGTACGACACGGCCGTTAACCATGCCGCAGTCGCCAGGATCAGCGTATGAACCGGGCATTCCGTTAACCATTCAACAACGTGTACACGTGTTACCGGAAACGGACCCACCGCAAGCGGTGGAGCAGGGTGAAGCGGCTCGGTTTGCGGCGCTATTGGATCTTCTGGACAGGCATACAACAGCTCGAATGCTGGTGTTCGTTTCCCGTCAAGAACAGGTGGACCTGCTCTTTCAACGACTCGTAGAATGGCATCGACAGGAGAAGCAGCAGGCGTCGAAGCGTGCTCCGGCGTTGCGACGCGCCGCAAACGAGGCAATAGAGCACATGTTGGCGCTCCATGGTGGTATTGATCAAGGCGATCGCGACGACACCTGGGATCTCTTTCGACATCCACTGAAACGATCGGCGGACGCAGGCTCACACGCAAGTTGTCGTTTGCTCCTGGCGACATCGTTGGCTGCCCGTGGCCTCGACGTTCCAGACCTGGATGTGGTCGTCAATTTCCACGCTCCTCGATCACTCGAGGACTACGTGCATCGTGTTGGACGGACAGGTCGAGCAAATCGTCTCGGGGTAGCGTATACGCTTTTCGTGCCGCATCAGGATGATTTTGCGGCGCCGTTCCTGGTCCAGTGTCTGGAAGCAGCGGGTCAAGAGGTGCCGTCTGCGTTGGCGACGGCCCGGGAACGTTGGATGGGTACCAAGCGGCCCCGCTTCGCCCGGCAAGGAGCACAGATGCCTATGATCGAATGCGGCGCGACTCGTTCACATGTCGCTGCGCCGGCTGCAACCCGAAGAACGATCGAGAAATCGAGGGAAACCAGGAGCGTCTCTGGAGACGTGGCAAGTTATCCGCCAATGTCGCCAGTTGAAGCGAGTCGCCCTGCAACGCGGCATGTGGGGCGATCCCCGAAGACCGATGACCCACCAGCTGCATCATTCGACGGTGACGGTGCCCGGACGGTTTCGCATGCCTCGAGCAGCATGCACGGTTGTGGTTATTCGACGGGACTAGCTTCAGCGGCACCTCAGCAACAGCAACAACAACAACAACAACAGTCGATTCCGAGTGCCTCGGGGCATCGCTGTCGACGGGTGGAGTGGCGTCCACCAGAGTACCGAGGCCGCGGCTTCACTTTCGACACGCGTGATCTGGAGCGCCTTCGGCGTCGTCTCGTGCCGGCAGCGACTACGGATAGCATTCTACTCGGTGCTGGGGCGGATTCATCTCTGGTGGAGCAGCACCAGCTCGACGCGTGCAGCGCCAAAGACGCGGTATTATGGGCGGACGAATGTACCGCTATCCTTGTGATCAATGGTTATCCAGGAACAGTTCGCCAACGCGTGACCAGCTCAGCGTTTCTGCGACATATTTTCGAGAAACACGGTTGTCGGGTGTTGGTCAAGGGTGCGTATCAGCGCAACCTGCCAGAGCGACGCTCTCGAGCAACGTTTCACGCGATGCCCGAGATCCAAAGGCCTTTGTACCTGTGGTTTGAGGCACCGACAACAGCTGCGTTGCAGGGTGCACTGCAACACGCGCAGCATGAGCTCGCCTCGGATAAATCGATCGAAGAGACGATGTTCTAGGCCTTCAACTCGTGGAGTAGCGTGTGCAATGGTCAACGCTGCGTTGATTTCGGTTGGAATTTCGTGGAATCGCTTTATGAACCTCTCCAGGGGGGATGGGGATCCATGCCCGCTGAACTTGTTCTGAAGCAACTGTTGGATGCTTGCCTTTCTGTTGCAGTCTGGCGCGAAAAACAACGTTTCAGAAACGCTGACTTGTCGATATACCCGACGACAGCTTAAAATGGGACATGGACCTACGCGATCTGTTCCTGAATTGATGATGTTTTTTTTTCTTGAAATTTCGTCACATGTACTGCCTCGACATCTGAAGTGCGGCAAGCAGCGCTTACGAATTCATCAATAGATACAGGATTCTCGGTCGTTTTTCTTTCAGAGTGACTGCGTCGAAGCTGTGCACTGGGCATTCGTAACGTCGCCTGTATCAAGACGCTTTGCCAGGCACGCGAATTCTGCTCCGTACTACCATCGACAGCAACGCCCACTGCCTGCGTAGTGGCCTCAAGGTTTCTCCTTTTCATACGGCTTGCGTACTCGAATCACAAATTCTTCATGATATCCATTTTACTGGTTCAAGGCGACACAAGGATTCAGCTATTCACGCTGCCACATTGACGTAGAAACACTCGACGTCATCCGAAGACGACTCGACCACCAATTCATACTGAACGTTCACTGAACGTGCCATGTTCCATCATCGATGCCGTTCGACAAACAAGCACTCCGCTCTTTGTTTGCGTAGAAGAGACCGCATTCGATAGCAGCATGATGAGCATTCTCGCCATAAACGCCCATAAGCTCGCGTATCCGCTGGCTCCATGGAACAGGGTTTTGGATTTCAGTCATCCTCGCAATCGCGTCTAGTCTAGGGTACGTTACCGCTTTACCCGAAGGTTGCATAGAGGGATCCAAGTATCTCGACGTCCGACGTCCGACCTGGGTTTTCGTTCCAGTTCGTGCATCATCGCGGATAACATATCGTTCCATAACTCGCCGATCGAATAGAACATCGTCCTCTTGTACGTGCGGCATTCTGGGTACTCGCCGCAGAAACAGCCCAGAGGCAGCCCGTGATCGTCGGGTATTGCACCGGGAGCAGAAACGTAGTATGCATTCGAAGAAAGCGCTCTCTCTGCTAGTTATGGGGAAGCGTCGCCCGATGAAACAGACCTCCTGACGCCGCAGGGCAATCGTCGGTGCAGCAGATATTGTGGATTCTCTCTCGTTCTCCGACAACAGACAAAAGTCGAACGCCTTTGCTGCCAAGCGCAACCCGAGACTGCGAACAAACAAGACAGGATTGTCAAGCGAAGCTTTGACCGCAACTTCCGTGCCACCGTGGAATCGGTTTACAACATTCGAAAGCGCCGACTCGAGAATTGAGTACGCTCACCGATATCCTTCGACAACTGGCAACGGAACTAGAGGTCGAGCGTCACCACGAGAGCAATCCTTGCCCGGTTGGAATGCATCCGCGTTTGTGAGCGCAACCTGCAAGTCCACCAGATATATGTGCTGCTTTGTGATGCGGAATCTCGAATATCGAGCATTCGGTCACCTCGACTTGCATATCCTTGTGCTAGGTCTCTGTTCATGTAGACAACAATGCTGCGCTTTTATGCATGCACGCGTACATTTCAAACATTGCCAGGAACGCATTCGTTCACGACACGAACGAGTCCTATTCAATGTTGTCTGTTGCAGCGGTGATCGAAACCGTTCGACGACGTTGCCTCCAGGGCACCTGTCTAATACTCTTCGACAGACACCCTTACACGTCCGTGTTCGTACCAATTCAGAACAGCCTCCACCAGAAGCGTCGCCAGACCGTTCAAAGCGATAAGGACCCATAGCCATCTTCGCATGCTCGTGGAGAGCGGTGCCAAGGCCAGCATCCGTTGCAAGAGCGGAACGACAGGCTCGATCACGCTCAAACAGAGCAACGAGAGCAGGGCCAGGGTGGTGCGGAACCACGGATTCTGTTCCCATGACTGTCGAAACGGAGACTTCATATTGAACGCGATCGCTGACCAGATATACTGCGCGTTGACGACGTGAAAGAGCACCGTGGCAGCCGGACAGGGCGCATTCCAGCGACACGTCATCCCGAAGACGCTTCCAGGTACGGTATCCGCTTGTGTCAGCGCATAGACGGCAGCGGCTTGGAAGCTGGCCTGCACCAGACTCTGGAGCACCATCGACCAGCAGACGGGAGCACTAGCTAGTCGCACCGGTGGACGATGTCGACTGAGGCGCGTCTGGGAGGCGGTTCGACCCATGGTCAACGCCAGCGGCATGATGAGCACCAGATCCTGGAAAAGAAACTGTCCATCGGAATACACCGTACCGATGCGATAGAGGAATAGCGTGCTGATCGATTGGGTTAGCGAGTAGATGCCCATGTACTTGAAACAAGCCAGAGAAGCAGCTGCTGCACCGCGGCCTTCGGTGAGTACCTTGACCACCGCCCGAATACTCGTCACCTGACTGGTAAAATGCGCTGCAAGCGATGCCACTGCGTCCTCGTCGTCACCCGCAACCGCCGAAGAGCTGGACTTTGGTCGGAGACGCTGCAGCAGCAGCAAGTCCCGCTTCGTACCGGTGGCTTTTGGAGCGCGCGAGTCGCCATACTCCCGCGCCAGAGCATCAGGTTTCTCGATCCGGATGCGCTCTAGGGGTGCCTCGCCAGAGGCCTGCGACTCGCTGGTACTCCAAACGCGTCGTTCCACGAGACCGACACCAACGTCAGCTTCCCGCAGCGCGCCCGCATCGTTCGCACCGTCTCCACACATACCGACACAGAGGCCGAAACGGCTTCGTAGCAAATGCACGAGGGCGGTTTTGTCGGCTGCCGACATACGCGCGTACACTGTACAACGCAAAAACACCTGTCGTAGGAAATGGTAGCGACGTGATGACGTTCGAGATCCACCACAACTACCACCAACACCACCAACACCAACACCACTGCTAGCACCTGGCGTGCGACTGCGTGCGAGACTCCCCGACAAACGATGAAACTCTCGAAGCAGGAGACGAAACGCAGCTCCGGTCATCGCCAAGGCAACGGGCTCATCCTGGGGCAACGCCACCCTTGCCGTCGCAACCGAGGATAGAGCGCTGGTGCCAGCACGTTCTCCAGTCCAAAGAGAATGACGTCGATTCGGGAGTGGCGGCACAGCGGCTTCATCAGCGACCGCAGCGTGCTGTTCCAAAGGTGCCGCTTCTGCCGCCTCCGCCTCTCTGAGCAACAACGCTGGATGTGTCTTCGCTTCTGAAAGGCGACCACGCGCCAAGGTCGTGACCTCAGCGCCGCTTGTTCCCGCAGAGACACCCGTGGCACCGACGAGCCCTTCATCGCTCTGCTCAGCGGCTGCCGCTGTACTACCCGCAGTTCGCCGTCCGTATCCGGGTTGAGCGCTTCTGGTATCGCGCAGCATTGCTTCGCTCCGTAACGAGCGCGTGCGTGAGCGAAATACACCTGCCTCTGTGGTAGCTTCCGTAGAATGCGTCGTGCCCTGGAAACTCGTCATCGGTGCATCTTCGGGCACCGCTCCTGGAAAGCCAGCAGGCTGTTCTGCTTCCCAGGCAACGAGCGGAGCACGCTCCATGATCCGCACCCCCAGTGCACTACTCCGGTTCAGGAGGCGATTCAGACGCGCAGAGCAGGGTGATGCAGCCAACAAGCTGAACACCTCCATCCGGCTGAAGCGTTTCTGCACATGCATGCTGTCGGAGAAGACTACCTGACTCGTGGTGGTGTCCACCGGCACCACAACGTTACCGCCACCAGCATTTCCCGGTACTGCTGATTGTGCATTCGCGGAAGCGAACGAGGACAAGCGTGTGCATTGACGCCTCCGCTGAACGAGCTGAGCGTTCAGCTCGTCAGCGATAATGACTCGGGCGTCGCGGTCCATCATGCCCGACTGGCGAGCGACACTCACTGCTGTGCGAATATGATCACCAGTCACCATGAGGCAGTGGAGGTCGGCGCGATGCCGCAGCTCATGCAAGGCCGCTGCTGTATCGGGTTTGAGGCGATTCTCAAGCACCGCCAATCCGTACAGGGTGAGTGAGCGCTCTAAGCGTTGCCTGCTCCAGGTCAGGGGCGTGGCATTGCGGGCTGTTTGCGCACGCCCCGGTGGCTCTGCTGCTGGTGCTGTTGGTGCTCCTTCTCGTGTACCAAGGCTGCGGTTGCGCTTCGTGAGTGCCTGCGCAGCGGCATCCAGGCGAACTCGACGTGCACGCGCGTCCGTTGTCAGCAGACGTCGCCCGGCAAGTGCAAGTACCCGCAGGCCCTGTGATGTGTACAGCTGCACCTGGTGACTGAAATCGCTCGGTACGGAGCGTCGATCGCAAAAGTTCACCACCACCTCGGGGGCACCCTTGACTAAAAATAACCACTCCACCTGCGGTGGTTGCTCGCTCTCCGGAGTCACCAGTCGCTGCACAATGACACCCATGCGCGCATACTCACTGCTAAAAGCGAAGATCTTCACGACTCGCCCAAAAGAGCTCTCCGCGTGACGTTCAGCGACATAAAACAGTGTCTGAGCTGGATGAATGCCCTGCCAACGACGGCTATCAGCGGGGCTCGCAGTTGGCCTCAGTTCACATCCGGTGAGCTCGAAGAGACGCGAATCCACCTCGTCGCCCAGCACCTGGCCGTGCACCACTGTAAGCGTATGACAGCAACTCATGACCAGGGCTAGGCCCGCTGGTAGCCGCGCTGCATACCCGCTGGGCGCCGGCTGGTGCTCCGGTGCTGCTCCCTCCTCTGTCAAGTCGTGACGTCGGATGACGTGCTCCGTATCGAAGAGGGCAATGGTGCCCTCTGTTGCAGCCGTGGTTATGCCGCCAGGCGGGTCGCTCGAGACCTGAATCCCGGGCAATGTTTCCAGTGCGAGCGGCATCGACGCTACCGGGAGGATTTCGTGAATGTCCAGGCCCAGGTCCGTCAAGGTTCCCGTCTTGTCGAAGCAGAGCGCTTCGATCCCAGATGCAATAAGAACCGCCGGCGGACGAATGCAGTATATCTGGGCCGCAAGCAGCCTCTCCAGTGCGAACACAATCCCAAAGGTAACCGCCGCTGGCAGTGCCGGTGGTACCACAATCGTCAACACATCGAGTGCGCTGAGTAGGGCTTCTCGAAACGAGAGCAGCGGACGCAACAGGGTGAAAGAATAGACCGTAGCGAGGACGCCACCGAACAGCAGCACAACCATGGCCTTGTACGCGTCCAGATACATTTGCGAGAGTCGCTTGTCACTGCTCTCGGGGTCATCGAGTTCGCCATCGCCCAAGTGGGCGTCGCCAGGCGGTGACCTGGAGCGCAAGCGCCTCCAAAGCGCCGCCCACACCGAGAGTTTGGTGTCGCGAGTGTCACGCGGCCCCGGATTTCCGCGTTCGTAGCTCGAGGTCTGGTCATCTGCGAGCAAAATCTGATGCAGGAGCGTCCCCTTGGCGGTATCGAGTCGCGTTCGAATGACAAGTGCAAGGACGGCGCTGTCCAGCGACTGCATCTGATCATCTGTTGCGGGCGTAGCGGAGGCTCCGTTGTCGGCACCAGTGATCCCAGTACCCTGCCAAGTTCCCGCTGAGGAAAACCCAGCATCCGTTGCTGCCGCCGTGCTCTGCTGGGTGCTCGGCACGCTCCGTTCGGGACGAGCCTCGATGACTCTCGTTCCAGCGTATAGCACATGATTGACCTGATCCCAGGCTAAATGATGCGCAGCCGGCGCCTGGTGCTGGCGCCCTGCAGTCATCATCCTTGGTACGCTCCGGGCACCGCGCTCGCGTCTATAGCGTTCTCCGTCTCGAGATACCTGCCGCACATTTACGTCTGCATCAGCGCCAGCAGCAGCAGGAGCAGTAGCAGCAGCAGTGGTGGCGGCGGCGGTGGTGTACGAGTGTTCCACGGAAGCGTCCAGCGCGCTCCCGACGGCGGACGCTTCTGCGGCCGATGCGGGTTGCAGCCAGGCGCTGAGGCCACCTACCGACATGTGGTGAAATGCCGGTGTAGGAAGCAGATCCTCCGCTTCATTCGATGCCGAATAGGCGCCCATAAAATAGCCCTCACTTTCGCCAGATGACTGTTCATCCTCTTCGTTGCCTTCGCTTTCTTCCATGTTGATGAAATGGGCAGAAGACTCGGCGCCCTGGTGTGCAGAAGCTTCCTGCGTGGTCACCTCGGATACCGCTGCAAGTCCCGAACTGTGCTGGTAAGACTCGATGGGAATTCGCGGGGGTACCCTGGAGCTGGGCTCCTCGTATGCACTGTGCCAGGAGGACTTGAAAAGCGGCGCCGCTTCGCCCGTGAGATTCGCTTCCGTGACGACCGCTGAGCCTTGCAGCAGCGTACAATCGCACGGCATAACCATGCCACTCTCGACGATGATCACATCTCCTGGAACAAGCTCCCGGGAAGAAATGCGCTCGCAACAGTCACAAGAGCGATTCGTAGGCGACCGACGGATCACTAGCACATCTCCTTCGCTGGCGGCGATACGAGCAAGTCGCTCCGCATTGCTTCGCATCTCCATGGCTTCCAGGAGGGCGCTCATAAACGAGGCGAATGCAATTGTCGCTGAATAGTAGTAGTACGCTTCGAGAATCCACAACGCAATCGAAAAGAATTGGAAGAGGAAGAATGGATGTGTGACAGACTGCAGGAACAGCCTGAGTAAGGGTGCCATCTCTACCTCGATACTGTTGTCGCCTACGATCGCCCGGATGACATCTGCCTCTAGCAGGTCGATGCCCAGCGGTCGGTGAAGCACCAGCGACGCCGGTTGTACTTCAGCCTCGGGGGCAGCGGGATCCTCGACGTCCGCCACGGCAGACTCTTGGTTTCCACGGGGATCGCTCGGTCGATCCCAAGCTGCTTCGTCCTCTTCGTGGAAGCCGGCAACCGGTAGTGCGACTTCATGCTCAGGAATAGGATGCATGCTGGGTGTTATCAAAGAGCTCTCGTCTGTGGGTAATCGATAGTACTCCTCAAATGCCGGAATAAACGCACTGTGGATGCGCAAGCAGATAAAACGCTGGTGCATGCCGCGTTGACCGGCGTGTCGCCACCCTGATAACTGGATGAGGAGATACCGACGCTGGCGAGCCTCGATCACAAGCACCGTTTCAACGGGTTCGCTCAAAAGCCGCAACGTTTCTCGACCACGCGCACTTTGTCCCAAAATCGTGCGCGTAGAGAGTCGACCCAGGTACGCGCTGAGGACGCTGCTCGGCACACGAGCACGCGGCTCGGACGGGATCACAAAGTAATGGCCCTTATTCTGGCGACTTTTCCTTCGAAACGTCACGAGCAACATAGTAGCTTCAGCCAGATTCGTTGCACGTCTGTAGAGCAGACGCACTTTGGTGCTGGGGAAACTCTGCAACGCGGCGTAGACAAGACCGCACGTCAACAGGTTGAGCAGGATGTACACCACGATCCGCCAGTACTGGTCAGCAAAGGCCTCAAAACCCTCCAGTCGCTCTTCTATGTTTTGTTGTTCAAACTCCAGTGCGTCCTCATCGTCGTCTGCTGCAGCTTGCGAGGTGTCCATCGGGGAAGCCTGCGTTCCATCAGACGCACCGCTTCGAGTCGACACAGACCACGTGCTCTGCTCTGTGCCATAGGTTCGCTCGCTGGGGGTAAAGTTCTCAGATGTTCGTGTCTCCGAAGACAAGTCGTCATCAAGTATCCACAACTGAGGACGAAAAGCTCCACAGTAGTGTTGTCCCATGCGGCGCCCTGCACAACGACCACAACAGCAGCACAGCAGTTGAAGCGACTGGGCGTACAGCCGACGCCTCCCTGCAGGCCATCATCGTCGCCCCCGAGGAGAGACGCCTCCTTGTGGCCTGGCTCTGGGTACGCAAGATGCCAATATGAGGGCGTTTTGTCATTTCGCCTTGGATAAAAGCTCCCGGAACCTCGGTGCATACGATTGCTGGGTGTGTCTCATCGTTGACACGGAGCAAATAGCGAATGATCGATTGTATCCGAAACTCGGTGCATACGATTGCTGGGTGTGTCTCATCGTTGACACGGAGCAAATAGCGAATGATCGATTGTATCCGCTGGCATTCCAGAGCTTATCCATGCGATTGGCAACGCGATGCTTGCGAGATGCCCAGAGCGTCTCGGTTACTAGTGCTCTGTAGCCAGCGGCGTCGAAGGGGGCCAATCGGCCACGCTAGTGCCGGTAATATGGCTGGGTATTGCGCGGAGACGTTCGAGTTTTCCCGATAAGAATGCATTTTGAAAAGCATCCTCTGACGCGAATGGTCTAAGCGTCCGAACGTACAGGTTTCCGTTCGAGTGCAAAATGTTCTCGAGACTCGCAGAAGACAGGTCCACTGCGTACTACTGCAACACAGTAGCAGCGTCATCAGCAATGAATTCGACAATTTTCGTGCATATTCGACAAGTCAGTGGAGCATGCCCCGCGGAACGCCGAGCCCCGGTTTCACCGTTGCTGAAGCTACGATTGTTTTCATGGACAAAACGTTTACTTAGGCCAGCGTTCTCCGATCATGCGCATTCTTCTTTTCCTACTTTTATTGTGTGTTTGTTTTTTCAGTGCGAGGTGAGGTATTCATCAACCCCCTACTCCCATGTTACATTAGCTATACTTCGTCTCGGATATTCTGGTCGTTTCATACGTCCTATCGTGTGTGCCTAGTACCTGCCGTTCCGTATTCGCCTTTGCACTTGAACGCTGGAGCAGATAGCTCATAGAGCTAGAACAGCTTTTCTATACCACAAAGGGCGTCGGCTCGAGGTGTGGTTCACCCGACGTAGAATCGGGTCTCGTCGTCAGTTTGTGCTCGGATAGTCTGCAAATGCAGGCTTGCCTTCGCCGCAATACACGCTGTAGAAACTTGGCTGTTAGGTTGAATCCTGGGAGCCGCCTCTCTCCTTCGTGATCATGCATTGAATGTGTTGTAGGTTGGCAATGCGGGTTTGTGCTTGACACCCACCACAGTGGGTAGGCGCAGAAAGTGCACTAAACCCGTGTGCGCATCCGATACGCTGGACCTCATGCCTAGAAGGTAGCATGTGAGTTTGTTCGCCACTGATGAGCGCTGAGGCTCGGTTATCGGACCATCAGTTGCCGGTGCTATACTCAGAGTGAGTGTCCGGCCTTCGACTATCACGGTGATGCCCAGCTGCTGGTGTCCTCCAAGGAGCTCGCTGCGCTCCTGCTTCGAGCGCGGGCACTGTAAGCCCAAATATGTCAGCGTCTCGAGGGGTCTCTTCTCGATAGCAGGGACAGTGTGACTCCCAGTGCGGTTCCAGTGTTCCCGTACGGCTTAGAGCCGGTGCTGGTAGCCAGATGCCACTAACACGGATTTTGGCAAGCCACAGGGTACCGCGAGCAAGTCCCGGGAATTCCAGCGCCTCCCACCAGTACTTGCATGTGTATGCTAGGTTGTAGTTCCGATATAGAGTCAAGCCGGCGTTACTAGCGCGACTGGTACCATGTCTACCTTCCCATATTGGCGTTTGGACCGTTCGCTTCAGGCGACGGGAGAATTCTATATTTCTGGGGAACGATTGGGGAGCGTGTTTTCGCCCAAGAGGCGCTTCTGCCAAATCTGCGTCGATTTCATCCAAGTTTTCTTGCGGTGCGTTGGGGTCTGCATGAAACTCCGACTCAAAGAGGTGCGCATGGCGGGCCCTTTGGCCCATATACGTACCCGGCAACCTGCTGCTATCGCTTCTATCGAGGGTATTTGGAGTTCAAGTCCGAGTGTCAACGGGTTGGTTGCTCTGCTCTGCATTGAGCATCCAACAACAACAACGAGTCGCATTGCCCTGTTGGCGGCTGTCTGCAGACGCGAGGCATTTGCGTGCTTCATGCCGCACCATTCAGTACCCCAGGTCGCAGGCTGGATGATACACATCCTTAGTGCCCTCGTACGGATTGCTAAGCGGATAGAGGGGTCGGATGGGAATGGGCGTGCGATCGCTGTACGTCTATGCATCTTGGCGATCATCTCGTTAACGTGTGCCTTTTCGTCGAGCGTCGGCGTGCGACAGACCCTCCAGGTAGCGATATGTTTCCACGATCGGAATTTCCTGATTCTGCAACCGCCACGAGCGATTGCGAATGCTCTGCGAGTCTCCATGGATGAGCATGACGCCGCACTTCGATGCTCCTATGCTCATACCCCAGCGATCGGCCCAGGCGCTGACTTGTTCCATGCTAGCAGCAAGCGTTTCCGGGGCGTTTGCCAACAGCACGGCATCGTCCGCAACTAAACGGCCTGCGAGGCGGTTCCCAAATGGGCGCTCCTCATCGGGCATCTCCACAGTCTATCCACGGCACCTCAAGCCCGTATTGTCTGCAGTTGTTAAGCAGATCGTTGATGAAGATGTTGAAAAGGAGCGGGGATGCGCGGTCGCCCTGTCGCAGTCCACGGTGGATTCGTATACAAGGGGTTCTTGAGCTGTCGCCCAGTCGGATGCGCATCCATGAGTCTGCATAGAGCGCACGGAAGAACGCCAAGCACTTTCCGGAGACTTCGGATCGTCCCATCTTCAGAAATGGAGCCTCATGCGGGAACGTGTCACAAGCCTTTTGAAAGTCGACGAAGCATACGTAAGTTGGTTGTTGGTCGCTAATGAAGCGACGTTGCGCCACTCCAATGAGGGTCAGGACATGGCTCATGCACTCCTTGCGGCTCCGGAATCCAGCCTGTTCTGAGGCGAAGAACTTGCGCTCCTCGAAGCGCGTCTGGATCCGGTTCGTGAGGATGGCGCAAAGTAGCTTCATGATTGACGGGATGAGGCGCATAGTCCAGTAGTTGTTCATGTCTGTGTGGGAGTCCTTTTTGAGGATCGGTACGACCTCGGCAGTCCTCCATACATCCGGGATGTACGCCTCTTCGAACATGCGTTGGATGAGCTCCACAAGGCGTTTGCCTAAGATTGTGTCAGGTTCATCTGGTATCGATGGTGTCCCTGTTGTCCCGTCTTTTGGAATCGCCAGTCTCATCCACTCCGCAGGGATACCGTTAAAGCCAGGTGTTTTGCGGTTGCTTGAGCATAGCAGGGTCCGAACAGATTCAGTCCAGAAGATTGGGTCGTTCCATTCCGGTACCGGGTCGAGGCGTAGTAGTTCTGATGCATACTGTTGCCAATAGTTTCGGTTTCGGCAGTGCCCAGTTGCGTCTTCATGCAGCTCTATCCCGTGGTTTATCCAGGCCTCATTCCCTGAGGCACGCTCCGTCCTCAGCGCTTCCTCATAAACGATTGGTGTGAGCCCCAAGCACTTTTTTGGTGGGTCCAGTCTCGATCGAATGGAGCGCTAGGTCTCATCTTCGTTGGTGCTCTCGAGCATAAATTCCGTCAGGGAGGCCATTTTGCGGTTTCGATCCTCTCGTTTGTCTTCTCTGGAAAGTTTCTTCTTTCTTTTGATAGCTTCTTCATGTTGCGCCTGTAGCGCCGGTAGCGCTGCTTTCGCTTCCTTGTCTCCGGCGTTGGCGCGTATGGCGGTGCGGTTGACGATCTTATGGAGTCGGTGGCATTCATCAATCCGAGTTTTGGTACGTCGTTTGAGGTACTGCGGCTTGCTACTGTTGTGTTCAGGTGCAAGCAGTCCCAGTTCTCTGGCAATCTTCTGATTCCCATCTACAAACTCGCGTGCCAATTGGTCTGAAGATTTGTATTCACGGCTTTTCGGATCTTCAGCGCTGTGAGCAGGTGCCTGGGTTTGGTGACAGCTTTCTTGAGATCCCGCTGGGGTGCCCTTTCGGGGGATGACTTGTGATGGGCTCGTTTGGGAGTTCTTCTTTCTATTCATCTATTTTTTCTTGCTGGTCTTCTTCTTCTTCGGGCTCTTTCCTGAGCTGCTTTCTCTGGATATTTTGCATCTAGGTGGATCATGAGGTTTCTGTGTCTCCTTCTCCGTATCTGGTTGGGTCTCTTTACCCATTGTACAGTCAACGACTTGTATCAGTTCTTCATTACTGTACTGGTAATTCGATATCTCGTCGTCTAGTATCGAGGCTATCCCACAAATATTCCATGATGCGAAACCTATCGAGTCGTAGCGCATAAGGGAATAGGAGTAACGCTGCGGTACTCCAGAGATACGTCGTCGATTTAGATGCACCCTCCCCAGGGTGTGAGAACGCACACGCCACCATTGCCTCCTGCATTCCAGTCGTTCACTGAGTGCTTGCCGCAGTGCTAGCGTAAAATCAGAAGTACATTAGTCAAGGTCGATTCGAATGCGACCTTTATCTTGCCGGACGCGTGAAGCTACCCGCAACCACAGCGGATACTCTACGAACTACCCTTTCAGCGGCTTCGTATCCGCTCCCCAAACACATAGGCGGATAAGTCGCTTATTCCAGCTTCGACCGCGAACATACTGCCAGCCGTCTTCCAAAGTATCCGCCGAGACTGTTTCCAGAGTTGAGGTAGAAACCAATGTAGGAGGTAATCCTGAGCCCGAGTTCAAGAATGAATCCAGGATTTGCGCCGGAGCCTGCAGCGTTGTTTCGAGAGCAGCGGATGACTGCTCAGAACCCTCGTCAATATTTTCTGCTGCCACTGTCTGCGCCCCTCTGTTCGTTGCGGTCAACGTCCCTGTCGTGGGCTTCCTTCGCCGTCGCCCAAGCACCCCGCGTTCGCCCACTTTCAGAGCTTCTCCGGAAAAACTAGACCTCTTATGCGGGCGTGGTGTGTTGGGCTTAAAGATAGTTGTTCTTTGATAAATAGTTTGTGACTAGTTTGCATCGCGCTCAGTGAGCGCACCTCGGAGATCAGGCAGGCATGAGACACGACGCACATGCCGTTTTTGAAGGGGAACGTGATCCTGATCTCTAGCATGTAGATCTATTGTAAACGTTGTATTTTCGTTCAGGTCATAGCAACGTACAGTCTTTCAGTTCGATTGTGCTTCAAACCTCAAGTAAAAATATTCGATTAATTTTTCGCAGTATATAACAGAAGGGTTCAAAGAGCGTTCTTTCTCAAAAAAACTAAAAAAGGAAAGCTATGAAAAAGCAAGTCCACGATCCTGGAGGCCCAGTGTCGCCGGCTGCCAGAAAAAAAACAAATACAGTGCCGAGTCCAGAAGAAAAGGAAGTGAAGGAGAATCGAAAGGTGGACGCCCTACGTCGAAGGCGGCAAGAAAGACGACTGTACGACGAGATGGTGGTGAAAGCCTTCCTTCTTGGACATATCAAGGATCCCTACAGGGAAAAGTTGCGAGACGCTATCGAAAAACGTGTCGACTCGCACTCCAAGAGTATTGTCAAGGCGTCTTCAGGGCTGATGCATTTGGCGAGGGAGATGTATCGCGACGTGACGCACATGGAAACGGTCGAGATTCCAGACGAGTTTTTCCACAAGACCTTTATTCGTCACCTGATGCTTGGTACAGGGGAAGCGCGGAAGGAAAATGTGCTAGTGCACGCTCTCCACGAAAACTACGCCGAATACCGCTTCGAGCGTACCCGATACAAGGGTGACGGAAATATTTACACATACGGGGTAATGAAGTACATTACGAACCTGAAGAAGCATTTGACAGAGAACCTCGAACGTTTCATGAAACGCGCCGTGTTTGCACTCTACCCGGGCATCTCTCGCAAAGGAATATGGGCGATGATCAACGGCATCACGAACGATCGAAAGTATGAAGATGAGATCGAATTTGTCGATATGAAGACATCACGCAGGAGCACGAATGAAGCTTCTGTGATCCGTGCGGCTATACAAGAGCACCGTGCGGCACTGGGTTGGTGAATCCAACAGACAAGATATCACCGTTGAAAAAAGATAAGGAAAGATACTACCGCCTCATCCTGCGCTATTTCGTGTTTTTGGACCGAGAGCTCGCACGCAAAGCGGAGGTGAAGCTGAGTGAAGAGACAAATGAACAGTGGGAGAGACGGAAGAATTTCCTAATGGGGAAGCGCTTCAACGTGGTTCCAATGTGGAAAGTCAAGTCACATTTTGTAACTATCGACTCCGGCGTCCTTTACGGCATCATGAGGGAGATCTGTCCGGAGTTCGATGTTAGCAGGGAGGAGTTCTCCGGCGAACACCGGGAGACGTACTGGAAGAGTATCTTCGATTTCAAACGTCTAAAAGTCAGCAAAAAAAGGTATTTACTGGGTTGATCGAAACCGATGGAGTACCCTTGTGTGTACACTATCGGCGGTTGAAGGAAGGTCGGCCAGTTCCGCCCTCGGCTGCGCTCGTCGCGAAGGATGGAGAAAACAAAGAGGAGGATCCTGTGATGCAGGAGGTGGAGGATAACGAGTTTGTCGTTGACGTGGCGAAGGATGAATATGAGAAGGAGGCGGATCCTGCGACACAGGAGGTGCAAGAGAACGACTTTGTCGTTGACGTGACGAACGATGAAGATGAGAAGGAGGCAGAACCTGCGATGCAGGAGGTGGAGGATAACGACCTTGTCGTTGACGTGACGAAGGATGAAGATGGGAAGGAAGCGGATCCTCTGGTGCAGGAGGTGCAGGATAACGACTTTGTCGTTGACGCGACGAACCATGAAGAAAACAAGAAGCCCGGTTCTGAGAAGCAGAAAGTGCAAGATAACGACTTTGTCGTTGGCGCGGACACCGGAAACTCAAATATCATCACCATCGCAGCACCGAAGCGGGCGGAAGATTGTACTGACGGCAACTTACGTCAGAAAGACATGCGTCTCTTGACGTTCTCGAGAGCGAGATACTATCGAGAATCGGGAATCATGAATGCAAGGAAGAAAATCGAGACTTGGAATTCAGGGATGAAGGATCACCTGGAAGCTTTGAGCAAGGTGACTAGCCGAAGCGCGAAATTTGAAGCTTTTCGGAAATTCATGGAAGTTCGCATGGCGCATTGGGATGCGCTGTGGGAGGAGTATACGAAGCCCCGGTGGGCTCGTTTGCGAATGAATCTATACGGTGGGAAGCAGCGGGCGTTTGCCAACTTTTTCAATCAGTTGAGCGCCTTGAAGGAGGATGAAAGTCAAAGGCTCGTAGTAGCGTATGGGGCAGGGCGCTGGGCGCCCAAGAAAGGCACTACTCCAGCTCCAACGACGAGGGTGCACAAACAGTGCGCAAGGCGTTTTGTTACGATACCTGTAGATGAGTTCCGAACATCGTATATATACCACGAACTGGGTTGTACACTTCAGAGCGTGGAGATAGAAAAGTGCCAGAGGAGCCCTGAGGAAATAGCAAAGTACGGACCGCTGACGGAGGAGCAAATGGAAAGGAGGGCGAAAGTTCGAGGGCTACTCGCAATAGTGAGTACAACTCGCAACGGGAAGAAACGTATGGAGTTTGTGAACCGAGACTTTAATGCCGCTATCAATGTACGGAGATGTGCGGTCCTGGAGACGAGACCTCCAGAGCTGACAAGAGAGAACTTTATTGGACAACCTATCAAAGTCGAACTAGATGAGAAAAAGTTGGAAGCAGTAGTGGGTGGCCGGTCCAAAAAGGCGGGGAGGTGTCTGCACGTCAGTTGGAGACATCTTCTCTAAGACGGTTTTCCCGCCACTACTGTACACCGTTGGCGTCGTTCGACTTTCGAACGGCGTTGTTGGTGCGACGGAATCTATGGAACTGCGTCTCGTGCAGTTTCGGAGCCTCAAGCCCTACACCTGCAACGCTGAGCATCCATTTCGTCTACGAGGGCGAGTCCTTCGAACATTAGTTGAAAATCGTTCAGGTAGAGCGATCCTTGCTTTACTTGAGCCCTGGCCGAGTGTTCCTGCTCCACAGCAGACCGTGGTTGTGCTTGTTTGCACCGGCGACTGGACGGCCGCGGGCACCGCCCTAGCACACTGGGACGTTGTGGAGGTTCAGAACGCACAGGTCGTACCGCTGGGCGACATTTGTGAGGCCAGGGACCATGGACTGTTGGACTCGTGTCTGGAACTACACGAGTACGCGGTGGTACTGGGTCCTGACCAGCGAGAGGCCTGCTGTGCTGGTGCCGCAGACGCAACAGCCTGCAAACCCGCGCTCACCATATTCAAAGACGCCGGCAAGTGCAACGATCTATCCCAACTTGCAAACGCACGTATCATGAAGCTGTCTCCGGAGTCTATAGGGCAAACTCTGGTCGTCACAGAGCATGGTGCAGGGACGGACACCAGTGGACGCCCCGTCGCACAGCACGAAAGTTGCGAACCAGTTCCGAGGCCTGTAGTGCCCCTGGACTCAAAACATCACTACTTAACGCTTGAGCAGTTGCGACACCCCGGCCAGATGTCCGGTCGCACGTATGACGTTTACGGGGTGATCGTCGACGTCCGGGCGCCTCGCCTGGTACGTACCGGAGAACTGCTCACTGAGCTGCAGATCATCGATCCAAGCATCGTCGTAACAGACTCTGATGGGCGGCTGGTGAGCTTCGCACCTCCCCAATTCATGCTTACCTCGTTCAGTAGCCGTCTTAGCGATTGCGTTCCGTACATCGGGGTAGGAGACGTCGTCCGGGTACATCGCGCCGAGCTGCGGTGGTTTCCCCAACAGAGTCCGAGTGGTTCGAAGACGGAGACGTTGGAGCTGAAGACAAATTCGCTCTCTTCTATGTGCCTCTGGCCTGCACTTGCTCAGCATGATGAGGGAGCTGGTTTGGGACGCTCGTCGGCTTCCGCTTCCGGAGACTTGTCCGGTCTGCGAGCCGCGACCGCCACTCATCTCGAAGAAATGAATCATTTACCCGATCCGCTCATATATGCTTACCCGTCAAACACGAAATCGATCGTGATCACCAATAGTGAAAAATGTTACGCCATGGAGTTGCTACGTTGGGCGCGTGCACTCCTGTCGCAAAGCGGCTTTCTCGGCTCGAAGGCGTTCTCCGCCACCCTGCGAGACATTCTGCAAAGTTCGCTTGTGGTCGACTCAGCAAACGGCAGCGCCATGCAACGGCTACGATACGATCTGGTGGTGCTCATTCGGGACTTGGAGAAAACCCCGTACGAATTCCTGCTCAAAGTCACCGACGGAAGCATCTCCGATTTGGTGACGGTCTCCATTGCCGCAGAGTGCTGGACGCGGCTCACACATCGACTGGAGCCGCACCTTCGCGGTAACTGGTTCCGGCTTCGCGATGTACGCCTCGATCGACGCCCGGGTCTGCCTTTGCGCCTGACCATGAATGAGGGTTCATCGATTTACAAGTTCCCGCAATGGATGCCCGAGGTGCAAAGTCGCATGCAGCACTTGGGAGCAGCATTGACTGATCCCACGTGTCGGACCGATTCGCAAAGCGCATACGAAGCAGCGCCCGTTGCTCACCAGCGTGCGCTTGGCACCCGAAATACACCGGAACAAATGAGCGCTGCTGCCTATCCCATACTCAGCGCCCCGTGCACCGAACTGAATCGCGAACGCGTTGCCTACACCACCACCTCCCATACAACGACTAATATCGAGTCCGCAGAGACAGGAATTGTCAAACGGGGTCCTGTACAGCACCCCAGCTGCCTGCATTGTAGTGGTCCACCGCTGCTACAGACAAGTTCAACGATGAGCATACCCTGGCAAGCGCTACGCCCTCAGTCGCTTGCGCATATGTTGGATGACATGCGTGCACTGCGCTCGATGCGTGCAGCGGGTAATGCGTGCGCGCGCGCCGACACTCCAATGCATCGGCTCTACCGCGTGTACGCCTGCGTCTGCGACGTGCACTGGATCGTTGACGCTGACTCGCGGCACATGCTGCAGCTGCTTTTGACAGATCTGCCATTCCAGTGCCCGAGTGGATCGAAAGAAGCGGTGGAAAATCAGCCGTTTCTAAATGACGACCTGCGTTTCGAAAATCGGAAAATAATCGCTTCTGCGCCGACGGTGATTTCGGCTTGGGTACTTGACGAGGATCTGACAACGCTCTGCACTGGGACGAACATGAGCTGGTCAACGGCTGAACCAGAGCGAGTGGAGGCGTTCTCCCAGTCGCTTCGATATGTGCTCACCATGCCTTTTGTGTGGATCGATGTGCTGCTGGTTGCATCCTGGGGTGATGATCTGCGAGCGGAGCGGCCTGCCAGCGATATCATCAAAGAGCAGTCGGGGCTACAGCCCTGGGTTGTTTTGATAGAGCCGGTGTTGCGTGTACCGCTCTGGGACGAGACAGATAACCAAGCATCCGTTTGACTCGGATCGCCGCGTTCACGCCGACTCGTATGTGAATGGGTGTGACGGGCCGCATCGATGTAAAACGCGAATTTTTACCCATACGCTAGCTTGAAATGGAACCAGGGCGCTTGTTCACTTCGGGGACGGATTCTCAGACTCGAATCCAAGTCTGGGTCCAGCGTACGGCGCTTGAGAAGCGAGCCGAAGCACGCTTCCCCGTCGCGATGGCGAAATCGCTGTATCCCAGAGCCTGGGTGTCGGTTGACAGGTGTCCGGTATATGATCGGAAAATGCAACATTGAAATCGTTTATCAATGAACAGGAAAAGCATTTCCGTTGATTGCACGTCTGGTGTTCCGACCTTGCCCGATCCCTGAACCACACCATACCAATGCGTTGATCCAGTCGAGCATGGACTACGCGTTCTACCCTGACTGCATGTATTTTTTCATCCAGAGTCTTCAGCGGTTCAGCGAAATACCCGTGCTGAATACGAAACGACTCCTTTGAAAGGTCGCTCTACACAAATCCGCTGGACGCTCCGGATACGCGAGACATTGTCGAATGTTGACGGTGACGCTCAAGTCTCGATGCAGAGACTGCCTGCCCGCAGGGTTACCGGTGGAATCCGACCCAGGCGACGCCGCTCATCTCCGGTTGCCTCGCCATTTGGCATTCGCTCAGCGTACCGCACACTATCCCGTGCATCCGTCTCTGTTCTACGCGCTTCTCCGTTGGCAGTTTCAGCAAGCACCCGTGCTCGTGATGCCTCTATGCCGTCCTGAAGGTGTCCTCGGAAATCGCGCAGAATCGTTTCCTGGACTCATTGTACGCAATCGCCAAAAAGCGGGCGTGTAGCCCATGCTCGCTGCCATACGTCGAGCGCGATGGGCGGCCACAAAATAAGGCGACTTGGCGGTCATTCCATTTGCCACCTCATTCAATAGCTCGGTGTGTACACGCTCATTGCTTTCGTGTAAATGAAATCGTTCGCGGGCCTAGTGCAGTCTCATGCAGCCTAGTCACAGATCGTCCGCATGAGCCACTTGGACGCTTGTAAACTCCACGAAGCGTAGAATCGGTTCCTTGAGTCCCGGTTTTCTGGTCCATTAGGGAGAGACTTCGACGACGCCCACAGGGTGCGCTTCATGAGACGCTGGACATCGACACCCATACGCTCCGGGAGCTTATGTCGATGCCCTTTGGCACATGCGCTCTAGGTGTCCCGATGACCGATATGGCATAGCGATGCGTCGAGGTATGCTGCGAAGCGTGTGTGCAAAACCTGGGACCCACGATCAGGCCGTGTTGCAGCTCCTGTCCTGTAAAGCACTAGTCCCATCGAGTTTTGACCCAGGGCTTCCCGATGAATGACGACAGCTGGGAACCCTGTGTCCGCAACTCCTACAGGCAGTTGTTTAACGAGGTTCTTCAAGGCGAGAAAAGCCAGACGTGTCTCGTTCAAATTTGGAGCAACATGATCCGTGATAACGCCCTGTGCCTCACTTTTTAAAAGGGTCTATCCTTTGATATGTTCCCATGAAGAATGCCATGGCAGCGGTCTTAGACTGATCCATCCGCCCCGACAGTTTTTCCTTCATGCCTCTCGGGGGTTTCTTTTCGAGAAGATCCGTCTGCTAATCGTCGCCTTCGGGATTCTTCGCCTTCTCCTTGGCTTTGGAACCGAAACCCGCCTTTTCTTTCTATGTACCTGGTATGCCATAGGTTCATTTTCGTTACTACCGTCACGAGCACGCCTATGGACTAGCGCGCGGATTTTACGCTCCAGCCTACGTATGAGCAGAGATGCTACACAGCAGTCCAGGACTGGTGAGCGCAGAGAACGACTTGTCGAAAAGCGGCATTGCTGTGCTTACACGCATCATAGCCATCTGATCTCCAGTGATGCATGAGCGACGGTAACGACGATAAAAGTGCAGGTGCTGGGTTCGGCTTCGGCCCGTGCCAACAACCGACACACAGCGTATGCTCTGGTGCAGGGCTACCAATCAGGCCATCGCACTCCGTTTACAAGCCCACCGGCAGGTACAACGTGTTTCCAGAACCGTACCATTTTCAATCCTAGAAACACTGAGTGCTACGCCCTACGCTTCTCGGGGCGTTGCAGCTCGCATACAAGCAGAACGCACCGTTACCGTGCACCGAAAAAGCGCCGAGAACTGTGTCCGGAAACACGTTATCGTTGACCAACTCCGTGCCTGTGCAGAGTTTACACGCGATCAACCTGCACCAAAATTGCAGACGCTTTGACGCTCGAGCGCTTTCTGGACAAGCCTTGAGCCGCAGCCACCGCTACGCGAATGTCAGACGCAGCAACACATGCTTCTTGTCGCCTCAGTATCAGTCGTGTGTCGTTCACTGGGGGCATCGGGACACCTGCAGGCGACTAGGCATCGCAAATCTGGTCGTTCGGAAACATGTGACACACATGAATATGGTCGCACTTTTAACGAGCTGATGCCGAGTCTGTGTTGAGCAAACGCAATCGTTCCGGTCTCGCTAAGGTGACACCACGTCGGTAGCGCTCGTCTCCAGCGAACGCAATCTTTGCAGCAAACGCAGCAGGGCTTCATGGAGACCGGCTTCGGGATCCGTCGACGAGCCCGCAGCCGCATCCACTATTTCCATCAGCTGCACGAACTTGTCCAGAATATTAGTCAAAACAGGTAAAGAGAGCTCAGGTATCTCACGACTTGCGAACGCCGTCAAGTTGCTATCTTGGACCACGGCGCAGGCCACTGCGAGCGCACTGTATGCAGCAGTTATCGCGCTTTCAGGTAACGTTGCCGCCTCAGGCAATGAAGCCTCCGCTGGTGCGCCGGCGTGCTCCAGCCCGGTACCAGATGCAGCCACCAGCAGCCACAGATACGTAAGAACGGGTACTCGAGCCCCGTGGAGCGTTTCGAGCCCTGGTCTAGACTGCGACTGACCAAACAGCATATGACGAGCCTCGGAACTCTGCTCTACAAGGTTCACCAACAGCGCAAGAGATAGAATGCGCAAGTCATAGGGCAAGCCCAGCGCCTGCACACTGCTAGCCGGTGATTCGACCCTACTGATCATGGAACAGAGGTCGAGGCCCCAGAGCGTGCGCAGCGTATCACAGATGCCAGCGCGACACAGATCGCTGGAGGCCCCGGGCTCCGCATGACTCCAGTCGATGAGCATACGGAGCGTGCTCGCAAGCATGTCCACGGCGATCGGCGAGGGCGATGCTGTTCGCGATCTCCCGCCAACTGCAGTGACACGTGTAGCCGCTGCACTGGAGGTCATGCAGTGCACGGCGACACGTGTCACTTGCATGCATGCAGGCAGCAGCGCACGCAGGATGCGTGATCGCTGACGAGATCTCAATGCCGCTGACGGGTGCTTGTCCAGGTACCTGGCGAGCCAGTGCATATAGGCATGTGCGAGTGGCATTGCGACGCCAAACAAGACGGCGGACTGGGTGGCGAGTGCATTCGCGGCGATTCGCTGGGCGCTCCGGGAGATCCGTGGACCGCTTTTCAATAGGCGTGTGCGATGTTTTTCCAAGGAGTACCACAGCTCGCTCAGGAAGTGGCTGTGGTGCATCATCTGTTTGCTGATGCATGTGTCATACTCCGGAGATAAGAGCTGCGCTCCCGGCGGTGTCGTTGGTGCCCCTGCTTCTGTGATGCGGGCATTCGCTTGCGGGCATGGGCGTGCTCCGCTGACGAGCTCGGATAGAGCGAACCCGTTGTCGTCGTGGTTGTCGTCCGTGAGATTCAAGTCAACGTGCAGGAGTAAGAGTCGAAGCAGCATGCATCGACACTTGGGGTGGTCGAACGGAAGGCTTCGCGTCAGGCGCTCGAGCATCGCAGTCGCTAAAATCGGATACATGTCGCGCACGAGTTGCTTGTACATGACAGCGAGGAGCTCGACTGCCTCACGGAACAGATTAGCGAATGCCAGTCGCTGAGGACGCGCTGAACTGAACGCATCATTAGAACAAGCATCCACGAGTGGAGCGCTGCTCCTCATTGGCAGGAAGCGCGGTTCATCGCATGCCGCATCGCAAGGCTGCAACAAGCCGTCCAGTTTGGCTGGTGCTTGTCGAGGGAGCGTTGCGGACTCGGGCGCTTCTGGTATATCCTGTTCATGCGGCTCGGACACGCGCTTCTCCAAAGGCGTGCATGTCGCGTGTGCTCCAGTTACCGCCGCATCCGCGCGTTCCGCGTCGACTATGCTGCCGGTAAGTACATCTCTATCTGCTACAAGCTTCCTGGTCAGAAACTGGGGCATACTCGTCTCGCCATGGTGTCCCAGCCTCGCGAGCAGCGCTCCAGTTCGCCCGCGGCGTCGCAAGCTCGACTCCCCGTGATCCCTCGCGGTGCCAAGGTCCAGTCTCCTAAACCGAGGATCATGTTGAGGCTCATCTGCTGAGTCAAGACTGCTGATGCGCGCTGCCAGCAGTGTCTCTCGGCCATACGTTGCACGGGTTTGCTTGTCCGCAAGGGGGCGACGCTCGACCACATGATGATCCTCACAAGGCTTACTTGACACCGGACTCCCCACACGTGCACTGCCGTAGACTAAACAACTGGTGTCGGGAAGACTTCGTGCTTCAATATCCACACCAGAATCCCCGGCACTGCCGATCTCCTGAAACCATAAGCTATGAATCTTTCGCGTCACGGACCTGAACATCGCATGGAATGGCTGGTCAAGCATCAGACCCTCGGTTCGAACCAGGAGCCCCACTGCTATGAACAGGATGCAGACAAGCGAGTCGTCAACAGGAGATGCATCCCATGCATTCCGCGTACTGTTCGAGGATGCTTCGGCACTGGTATTGTGTCGATAGATATCGAAGATGCTTCGTAGCGTCTCCTGAACAAGCTCAGTTTTGGGATCAGCACTCTTGCTATGCGTTCCGCGCTCTCGTGACGCCAGAGTTTGTAAAAGAGCAATCTTCAGCGCACGACAGTTTTCTCTGCACGACGCAAGCAATTCAGCACCAACATCCTGCTCCGTAGCCATGGGGGAAGACGAGAAGGTGAACCTCTTCCAGACTGCTTGGCTGCAGTCCAATGAGAAAGAGGTTCCTCGATCCCGATGCGTTCCCCGTCCTCCTGCACAAACGAATACCTGCACCGTAAATCGAAGCGAGATCACGTACGGGTTTCACCCAAAGGCCTCAGCAAGTCTCCGTTGGCGGTACACGGGGCACTACAGCGAGTACGGGCACCGGTTGACGCCAGTGAGCGACACCTGCGTTTTTCGTCACCAAGGCGCTCAGCGAAACAACACTGTGCAGACGCGCTCCCGCAACAGGGCGCCAGTGAACCGAATCTCTCCCACGGCGACTATCGAAACCAGCTGTCCTTAGAGCACAGCCCCGGTAGCAGCAGCGGCAGCGGCAGCGCTAAAAACCGCCTTGTCCATGGCATGCTCGCACGTTCGCGCGAACAGCTGGCACATCGGGGACGGCTGCTTGAGCGCGGGCATGTTCGTGCCGCCAGTCCTTGACTAGAGAACGGCTCGCTCTGTTGCCTGCGAGCGGGTTGTGTACCAGGAAAATCGCCTGAGGCTCGTATGCTAACAAAATTCATTGAAGAGGAGTAGTGGTCGCTTCTTTTGCCGCTGAAAGATATGGTGTGCGCTCGGGTAATTCTGGGTCAATGCATAGACTTTATATGGCGCAGAAAAACGCGATGAGGCGAACGTGCGGGTGGTTGCGCTCCAGAGGCATCGCAGCCGGCGGTGCTCAGCATGTCGAGCGTCTCCCAGTGTGCTGGTGTGACCGGGATGAGCCGTCGCTGTTTCCATGGTCGTTTCGGTTCACAGCATATGGATATAACGATTTCGGGATCATCGTTTTGTAAAGCGCACGCTTGAGACAAGCCACGTTTCATGACGAGCGACTCCGGCGAAAGACAAACCGCGAAGCGGGTACATGCAGGTATCGGCGGTACTGGGTGTGCATGATACTTGCATGCGCTTGTGTGCGAGCACCGAATACACCTTGGCAGCAGCGCGGGTGCTGACCACCACTGACCTTCACGTAGGTGTAATCGGAAATCAAATCGGTGATCATCAACATCGGCATCTCTCAGAGCGTATTCGGAGCTTTGCATAAAATCCTCGATCATTTTGTACTTGGTAAAGAAGCAGCGACGACAACCAGCACTGCCCGGGTGGTGGCAGCACATGCAGCAGGCATCAATGTCGACGAGGAGCACTCGCCAGCGCGTCGGTGCCCAATGCGGTGGCAACGAATCGATAGGCAATCGCCCATAAAGGCTTCAGAGGCTTTGCTGGTCACCAATGCAAACCAAACCTTCGCAAACCTTCCGAGTGGCGCTCGACATGCGCTCCGCATACGAACCTCTACACTCACCGCCGAGTCAAGTGGAGCGGCCTCACAGGCGTCCTGTGTGGACTCACCCTAGCACGAGTTTGGCTCCTGGCGTCTCGGTCGACAACAGAGCGAGTGCTGGATTCTAGACATTGCGTCCGGAACGTCGCAGTGTGCTCAGGTGGCATCGTGACCAGCATGGGATCCGTTTCGGATCCGAAAACGAGCAAACTTCGCTGCAGCCGTTGACGAGCTGCAGGTACACCAGATTGCGGCATAAGTCCAAGTCTCTGGAGGCAGTCCAGCAGACGAGCAACGCTCAGCTACCTCGACTGCGCCATATCGCTTATGTCCGCAGCACCGCATGCCTTTGCTTCCGCATATAAGACTCGGACGATAGTCGAGCAAGCAGGACGCATGCACAAGACAAGCATGGCGGTACGGAAGGCTAGTGTGTAAGTTGCCGTCACGCAAACGATGCGTGGGCAGCAGCGCAAACACCGCCAGTGGTAGGGAATAGCCTTTTTCTCGTTGTTGCGCTCGTATCGAAGCTATAGGCACGATTGTGGACGCTCATGGCAGACTCGGCGCACTGCGGAACGCACGAAATGACCACTACCTGCGACGGGGAATATGGGTCTCAGAAGTTGGAGGAAAGGCGTGGATACATGCACGCTCTCCCATTGCTGGTATCAAGTCAGCAATGATGACGATTCCCTGTTCGAGGAAACGTGCTCTCAAAGAACCACAAAGAAATGCACTCGCCGCAGGGCGAACACCCCAGTATTCCTCATATTGCGCGCTCTGTATGGACACAGGAACCTGGTACCGACGCCAGGCGCTTATGCGCGCACTCGAGTTCGTTTTTGTTACCGAGTGGTCACCAGAACTGCCCTGTTTCGCAGGCGTCAGTAGAGCATCTCGACAGTGCATCTCGAGAAGCAAGTGCGTACGCGCGAGCTATGGCCCAGGCGTTGTGAGCGCGCCACTGCGTCACACGGGCACAGGCGAGCCCCTACTGAACGTTGTTTTCTACGCACCCTCTATTCACTGGAATACCGGGAATACCGCCAGAACTACAGTAGGTTTTCAAGCACGGCTTCATATCATTGAACCGCTGGGTTTTTCTCTGAGTGATCGCCACCTGAAACGGGCTGGCCTTGACTATTGGCCTTTCGTTGATCTGCGTGTATGGTCGAGTTGGCAGGCCTTTCGCGACGAGGGTTTGCCCCAGTTGGGTAACGTTTTTTACTTCACCAAGTTCGCACAGAGCTCGTTGCTGGACGCGGACCTTGTCTCATCAAAGAAAGGAAGTGAGGTTCTTGCAACGAAGATCACGCTAATATTTGGGAACGAGCTAGATGGTTTCGAACGCATTCCGCCCGAGGATATTCCTCGGGAGCGGACGATTGCGATTCCAATGGTGTGTCCCGGTGATGCCGGTATCAGATCGTACAATCTATCGACCAGCGCCGCCATTGCCCTCTGGGAAGCCTACCGGCAAGTGCAGGTCGCGCTGCGAAGCGACGGTGGCCCCGCCACAGTGAACCGATGCGCTGTTGAGTCGCCACGAGCGACTGTCAGGCCCCAGTGAATGGCACATGGAGCTGAGCAGCTTCTTCCGAAGCCCTGCTGGATTTTGTAGAGCCCATGAGGATGCTCTGGTCGTCCGTGAACCTTGGGACGACGTCGACCATGACGACAATGTCGCCCGGCACATGCGCCACGAAGACGCCCTTGACTGCAACCTCGCCGGTAACCGCGATGCAGGTCGTTAGAGCGCATCGTCTCCGATATCGGGTTCAGCAGGATCAGCACCGCGTAGCTGCCGAACGAAGCAACGGAAGCAGGGTGGATGAACTGAATTGTTCGGATGCGATAGAGCATCACTAGTTCCGTGATTCGGCACTCTTCTGCCCAGACAATGCCTTTACATTTCAAGAGCTATTTCTTCGACGTGGCTACCTGATTCATCTGCATCTGTGATCGCTTCCAGCATGACCCAAACGATCGAAGATACATTCCATGAAATGTGCGGCGTGCAATATCTGTGGCCCGGCACGGCAGCCGGTTGCACGGACAAGGCCGGCACTCGTCATCTAGCTTCCGGATACCTCTCCTGTGCTACGTGCGCATCGAGCAGACACTACACGTCAACGAACCGAACCGACACGAAACGCCCTAGTTACGCTGAAACGCCCGACCAATCTTGTTCAGCGGGAAGCGACGTGGTGCCTCCGACGTGCTCAGCCAGCCTCCATGAAATGCCTGTCACCGAGACAAGTGCACCGGATCCGGTTGCGCAAGAAACGACCCCGATGCCTTGCTAATGCACGACATACAACGCGACTTTCAAAGTCCGGGAGAGCGCACGTCCAGAGTCGATGTGGAAACGTCCATCAGATTCCGGGTACCAGCGGTATCGCGAGACGCGAGCGCACAGACGCTCTTCACCAGCGACGCTACACCAGGCTGACAACGCGCTATGTTTGCCAGCAGGTTTGCAGATAGGTTCCAATCCTTGTCATACCTGCTTCGCCACTATCGGATGTTACCAGAGGCACGCTCAGTCGTGCAGGATGCGCGTTATTCTCCTTTCCCTTGTCGTGAACAGAGACACAGCAAGATGCGTGTTTCCACGATGGCATTGCAAGGAAACAAACGGCATAAGGACATCGTGTGCCGCAATGCCACCACGATGCCATGTAACTTGTGGCGACATACGAGGATCACACACATACCCTCGAGAACCTGACCGGGAAACACCGATGCCCTCAATCGATAGCTGGTGTGTCGATGTTCACCGCAACGCTTCCGGTAGCGTACGCGGCACCACGTGGATCCCTGTCGAGTAGCGTGCGCGTTACACGTTGCAGGTAAGCGTGCGTACGCCTTGGACTCCTCCGGACTGCCCTCGTCTCGTCGGTCACCAGCACATGCGCATAAGCCTTCCGTTACGTCGCCCAGTATCCACGTCACTGCATGCTGGAGCGTCAGTTGGGGCTTCGTCAAGGCTGCTGCTACTACTACTACTACTACCTCTAAAGTAGGCTACGCATGCGCGATTCCACCGAGCAGCAGTACATTGCACCCTGCCCCTGGACCCTTGCCCAGTTTCCCCGATGCATTGACTCTAAGCGACCCGAATGCAACCGCCCTTGCGAGTAGGTCCTTGATACGACACCGCGCGGTTCGTTTTGATCGCTCCTTCTCGCATAACGCAAGCGGTACGCAGTACCACCACGAGCACAGATGCCTGCTCATGCAGCCTTGGCATGACCTGCCGCCAGCGACACATTCGCACTCGATGTCTCTGGCTCTCTGGGGGATTCCGTGCCGCTCCCTGCACGCGCCTTGGAAGACGCTCGACAGGGCGCCATCGGCAGGTGGCACGACTCGCAGAAGAACAAGACGTAGAGGACCTCGACGACGACCACAACAGCACTGTTCAGGTAAAGTATATCTCTACTGAGGTGCGTCATAAACTTCCCTACAACGTCAAAGTCTCCAAATACCCAAAGCAACCCAATGCGAGATAGAGAGACGGTGAGCGGGGTATACTCGGGTGCATTCAGGTTGAAGATGAACGCCACAAAGTACGGTAACGCTAACAACAATACCACGTACTCTAAATAGTAGAACCAGAAAGTCCTCGTTTTCGCTGAAGCAACCAAGCAAGGCCAAAAGTGTTTCCGCATGTACGGGAGAGGTGCGACGAGGTTCCGCAGAAACGGAAACGGGTTGTGGAGCGTGGACAAGCCCGCAGTTGCCGCAAAACTTGGTCCGCCCGCAGGTGTTACCAACATGAGCGCGACATTCACCGCCTCAAACCCAGCGATAAAGAACATGAGATACTTCCTCAACCAAAGAAAGACTTTACGACCGACCGACATGAGGTGAGCGAGTGAACGAGCAAACCAGCGCACTAGCACTTGTTGCGGAAGAACGACGCCAGCTGCTGTATTGCGTCGCCGAAAGTTCGCGGCTCGAGAACGCGACCGCGCAACCAACGCGGTAACTTGAACCGCAGTCGCTCCTGCGCTGCATACCGCTGGTCAACGAAGACAACAGCAGCATAGTCACGGGCGTGTCGAATAGCTCGACCTACGGACTGGTTGACGGCGATCATGCAGGCGTTTTCGAGGTACTCGCGGCTTAGGTCGGAACTCGGGTAGCGTTCCTGGAGAAAGTGCAGGACGAGGCGCGTCTCGGTTTGGCGTGCGTTTGGGAACGGCAAGCCGACGACTACCACGCAACGCCCGAGATCGTCGGCAAAGTTGATGCCTTCGGATAACTTGCCACCAATGACTGCACTGAGCAGGGCGCCGTCTCGTTCTTGGGGAGACGCAAGTTCCGCTCGCTCAGTGGCGGCGGGTAGCGCGGTAACTGCGCTACGATAGTCGTTGAAGAGCTTGTCCACGTCACAGCCGCGTTGTTCGCGGAAGACCTCCTTGCGTCGGGCGATCCGCTCGCTTATATTCGTTTCAGCGAAGCGCGTCCATACCAGACGCTCCAGAGCATAGGACGGAAAGAAAACTACGAGTCCTTTGGGAACGAGAGCGCAGAGGTTCACAATACAATGACCAAGCTCATCTATCTGCGCCATGCATTGCCGCTGGGAGAAGGAAAACTCCAGCGGCAGTCCGGTAGGTCCTTTGCCTAGGATCAGGGCGAGCACATTCTCCTGTGGTACAACATGCTGAAACGCGCTAAAGTATACTTGCTTGCAGGTTTCCTCGTCGAAGAGTCTTGGCAAAAGCGCTTCGCGTGGCTCGAGCGTGCCACCAGCGAGAATCGTTGCCCGAGCTGTGCGATAGATCGGGGAAAAGTAGGGTATCGGATCCAGCAGAACGTATCGTATGTGGCGATTCGGAGCCGTTAGGACCTTGCCACAAGCGCGTGGCTCACAAAGCGCTGCCAAAAAGGAGGCCAGTTCATAAAAGCCCGTTCCATACAAAGTCGGAGATTCGTTCGAGTGAACCGACGCCACCTCGCTCAGCACTGAGTGCGCGGACGATTCTATCGAGCGCTCCGTTCGCCGCCGCGACTCGTGAAGGCTCTGTAACATATGCATGCATTTCGTGCTGAATAAATAACGAATTAACTGGGAAAAATTCATTTGCTCAATTTTCATTTGAAAGCAAAAATCGCTCGGCGTCTGGCAAAACTCGGACAAGATGACGTCATCCTGGAGGTCTCTTCCAGGCTCTGGTATTTCACTACGGACTACAGGTGAGTGCTCGTCGCTCGCCTTGTCCAGTGGGCGCGTTCGCGTCGGGTCAGACGGCCTCCGAGACAGGTCCTCCGGCTGCATGCCCTGCCGCAGCGCCGCAAGCAGCCGTCGCAGCTGCTCGAGATGGAAACTCCGATCCGGGTCCGGCTTCCATGTCTTCTGCTTTTCGATAAACTCACTCACGGTGGCTTCCATTGCGGTAACTTCAGCTATGGAAAGCTTCGTTGTATGCATTTCATTCAGTGCATCCACCAAGTTATGCGCCTCATCTAAAATCACAATCGTGCGCTGGTCTACGGGCACATTCGCCGACTGGCGCGTTGTCTCGTGCAGCAGCGTCTGATACGGCATGACGATGAGCTCCGCACACGCAAGCGACGCTCGTGCTGCATAGTACGGGCATGCCTGGTGTTGCTGCCCTAGCGCCAGCAGATCTTCGAGGTCGCAAACCTGCTGGTGCATGACATTCGCGAGATTGCGAATACGCTCCTTCTGATAAAACGGGCATTGTGATTGCTGCTCAGCGGCTGCCGTCTTGACTTGGTTGTTCCTCAGCTCGTGACAGCGTTCATTCACGGCTGCTGCTGAGCGCAGCATCCGCACCTTCGGATGGATGCACATCATTTTTCGGGATGCGAGTACGGTTGTCGTCAATGTCGGATCCTGCTTCGCATACTCGGTCCGTCGAACTTCACTGATAAACTGCGAAAGTTGCGAGTGCGTACGTGAAGCGTAAAGGATACGGTACGGCGGCGGCATCCGGCCGGGGTGCATTCCTTGACGCGGCATGTCGGGGGCAAACGCACTGTCGTCATCTCCGAAAAGCACCAAACCAGACGAGGCAGCACTGGCTCGTCCTAGCGATCCACTGGTGTTCGTATCGAGTGAGTGCACTGGTGAATAAATTACGGGGTCTTCGGTTCGCGTTCCCTGCGAATAACGCCCTATGCTGAACTGCATCACGCGCGTAGGCTCGCTTCGCGTTCCGCTGTTCACGAAAGAATTGTACTTCATCGGCGAGTTTGAACCTGAGCTGCTGGCGATCTCGTAGTCCCGTAACCAGTCTGGTTCACTTTGGGAACTAGGTTCCTCGTGCACGTCGTTGGTACGGTCCATTCGATGCCTGTCTTGTCGTATCCAGGTAAGCGCTGCACATAGAAGGGAGAGCGTTTTGCCTGTGCCTGTTGGCGACTCGAACACGCCGATTCCACCACGGTCGATGGTCTCATATACCGCTCGCATGAGCTCAAGCTGAGTCCCGTATGGCTGCGGATATGGGAAGCCAAAGTCAGCACCGCTCAGAGCGTTTGCACTCGACACTGGCGGCGTGGTACAGTGCAGTGCAAGCGTTTGCCCAGAGCTTCTTGGTCGCTTCGCCTGAAGGCTCTGTGACACTGCTGTTTCGGTGGCATCGTCTGTGAGCGCCCTCGGAGATTTGGTGTGCGCATCTATTGGCTTCATGAGCGCAGTGCATTTCAGTTGTGTATGGTGCTTCGAGAAAAGACTGTCGAAGCCTGCGCTCCAGTGCGAGCTCAGATGAAGGCGCCGCTTTGCACCAGTTACCCGTTCAATATGCTTCTGGAGAAACAGAAGCTTCACCAAGTAAACGCAGCACACACACCTCAAGGGGATTTCGAAGCTCACGTGCCTTGTCCTGAGCTGAAAGCACAGCCTTGCAGCTGCTACAAGGTCTCGCAGGATACCAGGACAAACAGGAGGCCGTCCTGGATCGTGCACCGACTGGGAACGTGGCATCGCGCATGGCGCTCTGCAGGCGCGTGGACGCTAACAGGGGCCACGCGGCTACACTAGCGTCTGGTTCCCGTGGAACACTGAACTGGTCGCTCTGTTCCTGTGTGTCGATTGTTAGGGGCTTTCTCTTACAGTGACAGCCTCGACAATACATGTGCAGCGATAAGGCATTGCCGAGTCATATGTATTTTGATGTGTTTCGTCGCATTTTTGGAAGGGCTCATTTGGCGCTTTGCCGCTGGCATGTATACCAGAACTAGAATCAAGCTAAATCGCAATACACTCGAAATAGGGTTTTATGAATAACCGATATCATTATCTAAATCATAGGTATAAGCATCCATTCGTTTCGTTTCCTTAGGTGAAGCATTGCTCGAATCACGCAAACTCATCAAGTTTTCGTTCTTTCGGTTACCGGGCAAGTTGGGGGTGCAGCAAGTCGCTCCGCTGGACTGACGACGACGAAGAATAGAGCTCGTGCTTGAAGGATTTCCTCACAAGCTCATTCCTAAAGTTCATTGAATTTCTCCCACCGATAAAACAATTCAGGCCGAGAGGCAAAGCAACATATCTGTCTGGTCGTCGACGAAACAGTACTCCACAGCAGCATCATATCTCTCACACGTCATGCTCTTTGGGTGCTCCTGTCTCTTCCGTTTGCATAGAAAAGTGTATTGGGCTCGGTTGTGGGTCATCACAGCAGTCGCTCCCAGTGCAGACTGAGTCACCGTTTCCCCCGAAGAAAGCGAAAGAAAAATCGAAATTTCTCGACTTGCTCTTGATGCGTGGTTCTATTTCCCGCGCTTCCTTCATCATGGACAACATCATGTTACACAAGTACTTTATCGAATGGAAGAGCGTCCGCTCCTGTGTGCAGCGGACAGCGTGTTTGCCGACGGGATCTCCCGGAAGAAGCCCGTAATCGTACGATACAGCCCCGGTGTGCATAAACGCGGGACGGTATCGAGGAGCGCTCGCTGTGCCTGTCAAGTGCCCTTACCGAGCGGTGAATCAAGCGTTCAAGCGGCACAGGACAATGATCGAGCGAGGTATGTGACGTGCACATATGGCAACACCCAAAGAAACACTAGTGTTACTGCGTCCAAGAGCGCCTCGAAGCAGTCCACGAAGCAGATGAAAACGGGAAGCGAAGCGTCGAACGCTTTTTCCGTCTCTTCATGAAATGCTTCAACAACAGCCGCCAAAACTACCACATCTAACCACTATTACTTTTGGATATGCCGCTCTTGGACCAGCTGCACGAGAATACCTGTATGTAGAGGTTACGTTTGCAGCTGCGCACCGCCATGAAACTCGGGTTCGATTCATAGTCTCGGAGCGCGCGAGAATGCGTGGCGACCACAACAGCGCTGCCGCATAGACCGCAGAGCAGCCTTCGATGCGCATGATGCGCTTCTCTTCCGTCATTGTGGCACCAGAGCGTTGTCGTTGAGGTCGTCGTCTGCCACATCGCGGCAAGTAATTGGCCTTCTCATACGAAAGGACTTTGGTCGCTGCCACGTGCTTGCACAGTTCAGCCGCCTGTCTCGCATTTCAACGGTTCTGTTATGTCACAAGGAAGCGCTTTCGTCCAGAGTGTGCAGTGCGCACTCCGCAGTAAATTCACGGTGTTGCACACTTCTGCGACACATAGCGCCTATCCTAGGCACCTCAGTGACGCAAATTCGTGCCGAACTAGTCAAAACAAGTCTTTTGCCCTGAAAGCGCGGCGCCGTCCGCTATCTATCGCGTACGTCAACGCGCAGCTGACCATGAGCACAACGACAGGCAGCGCACAACCAACGACAGTCGCAGAAAACGGCACAGCGGTTTTTCGAAAGCTCCAGGATCCGGAGCAGGAGCTCCTGAACTCGACCTCAGTATTTCTCTTTGACTGTGATGGTGTTATTTGGCTTGGCGATAAGCTGATCGCAGGAGTGCCGGAAACCCTCGACTACTTGCGCAGCATTGGCAAGCGCTGCTTCTTCGTAACGAACAACTCCACCAAATCCCGGGCAGGCTATGTGAAGAAGTTTACCTCCTTGGGGCTTAAAATTAGTCCCGAAGAGATTTTCTCGTCATCCTTTGCTGCAGCGGCATACTTGGAATCGAAAAACTTCAAGGCCACCGGCAAGAAGGTGTATATCATCGGCGAAGTCGGGATTGAGGAGGAACTTGATTTACTGGGGATTCCACATATCGGAGGTCCTGCCGACAAGGACAAGCAGCCGCGTATGGGCCCCGGCGATAAACTCGAGGTTGACCCCATGGTCGGCGCCGTCGTGGTCGGGTTCGATCGCTACTTTAACTATTACAAAGCGCAGTACGCCAATGTATGCATTCGAGAGCTCAAAGCTGAATTTATAGCGACGAACACGGACGCTGTGACGCATCTCACAGATGCACAGGAGTGGGCAGGAAACGGCACCATGGTTGGCGCTATCCGTGGCTGCACGCAGGTGGAGCCGACCGTCGTCGGCAAACCGAGCCCACTTATGATTGACTATCTGGCAAACAAATTCCACATTCCAAAAAGTGAGATTTGCGTTGTTGGCGATCGCCTTGATACGGATGTGCTGTTCGGGAAGCGCAACGGTACCAGAGCAGTTCTGTGTTTGAGTGGTGTCACCACGAAGGAACGTCTCTTCAGCCAGGATGAGGTCATCCCAGACTTTTACTGTGAGAGTATCGCGGATTTCAGGCCGAGATAGAGTGTTTCAGACTAGGATGGATGCGAATCAGTGCGCACCTTGGCAGTAAACTCGAGTATGGACGCAAAGCGTGTTGCCTCTGTTTCTGGAGGTGCACAACGCATCCTCCGTCTGTTTATGGTATGCATCGACATCAGCGGGAATTCCGAGCTGACGGCTTCCGTGGTATAGCAAGGCCGCTCTGCATGCGTGCTGCATCCCGGACTGACGCAACAGGCACGATGGTGGACGCTTCTCAGAGACTCGACGCGCGAAGGAACGTGGAAAATGATCCGTCTCTCTGAAGATCATAGTGGATAGCGGAGCCAGCAGGTGGCTGGAACGATGGAAGCCTTCCCGATCGCCGATGGCAAGCGCACAATCAGACATCTCCGGTCTATGGTAGCAATCTCTAAAACAAAGAATCGGGACGATACGAATTCTGTCACCGACTGTGGACTGCGTTTACCTGACTCTGGTTCTATGAGGTACTTTATCGCTCGCGTCTCGCGTGCACGCGTGGAAAAGTCTACCACGAACGCGATGTTGAGCATCCACGGGACAGCGTTGCATCTGGATCATTAGCTGGGTCATGTGGATGCGTTTCTCGCAAAAGCGACTTGCTGGTGGATCCGCTGATCTAGCTCGCGTCAGCGATACGATATGGATGCGTCTTCGGCAAATTCTGGAGCGTTGCCCGTCGTCCAACGTGAACAAAGTCGCGTCTTTTTTGCAGTGGCAATGCTTCCACAAAAGTGGTTTAAAAAGCGCTTCCATTCTCATGACAGGCGAGGAGTACAGCGAACCTAGAGCAAACGCCAGCGAGAAACTGGCGAAGCAGTGCTGCGTCCAGATAGCGACCATGGCGGCGTATTTGGGCGCGGGAGCAAGCGCTGGCTTGAGGCTCTCTACCCCAAGGAATTGCGGTCTCCATTGGGCCTCTGCGCCGAATAGCGAGCCTCATCTGGATCCCGTGGAACCCAGAAGCGTCGCTGGGGCGGCACTGAAGTTCATTCCCTGGTCGCCGGCACCAGGTGCGCAAGCAGTGGAGCCCAACTGCCTTCTTCGATCGGATCGTGCGAAAACAAGGCCCGACGTCTCGTGCATCATATTCGGATCAGAGGACTCCACGGTATCGGCGGATTCTCATCGTGTCGAGACATGTGCACTAACAGAGATTCTGATGTGTCTGCTTCGGGACAAACAATTGTTCGTGTGCTCCTCAAGATTCGTTCTTCGGTAACGGACGCAGAAACATCCGGTAGGCGATATTCTGGGTCTCGTCCACGTACGCGTAGCCAAGGCGCTCCACAAACTCTAAGAAGGTGGAACGCTCCAATGGCGGCACCTGCAAGCCGACAAGCACCCGACCAACATCGCTACCGTGATTCCGATAATGAAACAGGGTAATATTCCAGCCACGAAGACCATTCAGGAATCGTGCTAGCGCCCCTGGGCGCTCCGGGAACTCAAAGCGGTAGACAATCTCGTGCGCTGGGGCGAAATGTGGTCCACCCATGCCCCCAACGCAGTGGCGCAAGTGCAACTTCGCCATCTCATTGTCGGTGAGATCTGTAGCCGCAAAACCTTGGGCGGCAAGCTTTGATATTGCTGCTGCAGCACCGCGTCGATCCGAGACCGAGAGTCCCACAAACACATGCGCAACTTCCGGTGATGCGTAGCGGTAGTTGAACTCGGTGATATTGGCACCCGGCCCGAGTGCGTTCATCATCGCCCGAAAGGCACCCGGCCGTTCCGGGATACGAACCGCTAGTACCGCCTCACGGTGCTCGCCGATCTCTGCTCGCTCACTGACGTGTCGAAGTCGATCGAAGTTGGTGTTCGCACCGCTCGCAATGGCAATGAGGGTACCACTGCTACTGCTATTGCTATTGCTGCTACTGCTACTACTAGTGCTAGTGCTAGTGTCCATGTTCCGCTGCGCGTAGCGCTTCAAGCCGGCAATAGCGAGTGCCCCAGCCGGCTCCAGGATCGAGCGTGTGTCCTCGAACATGTCCTTAATGGCTGCGCAGATTTCGTCGTTCTCGACGCGGATGACCTCATCGACGAGGTCTCGACACAGGCGAAACGTCTCGGTGCCGACCTCTTTCACTGCAACCCCATCAGCGAATACCCCGACCTGCGCCAAACGGACCCGTTGACTAGCCTGCAGGCTCTGGTACATGGCATCGGCATCGAACGGCTCGACACCGATAATCCGTATCTCGGGACGAAGGCGCTTCACAACCACAGCAATGCCAGCGATGAGACCGCCCCCACCAACTGGCACAAAAATTGCCTCAATGGGTCCAGGATGCTTGCGAAGTATCTCCAGAGCGATCGTTCCCTGACCCGCAATGATATCGGGATGGTCGAACGGGGGCACGAAAAGCGCCCCACGCTCCGCTGCCAGCGCCAGTGCATGTGCCTGTGCGTCATCGAACGTGTCGCCGTGGAGCACGGCTTCAGCGCCTCGTTGATGAACCGCATTCACTTTGATCGACGGTGTGGTGCAAGGCATCACGATGGTGGCACGCAACCCGAGCAGCTGCGCACTCAGTGCAACGCCCTGCGCGTGGTTACCAGCGGAGGCTGCAACGACTCCGCCTTCGTACTGGCTCATGTCTGTGAGTGCGATCATATTGTAGGCGCCACGGATCTTGAAACTGAAAACTGGCTGGAGATCCTCGCGTTTGAGCAGGACTCGTCGACCAAGGCGACGCGACAGCAGCGGAGCGTTGTCAAGCGGTGTCTCAACGGCCGCTTCGTAAACGCGGGCGTTAAGGACGCGCTCCAGGTAATCGTTCTTGAACGGTGAGCTGGTGATGTAGCAGTAAACTGGAGCATCACCATTACTCGCCACTGTCAGTTTCGCAGCAGTCTCTGTACGATCCTGCGTGGCACGTAGCGCTGGGAGTGCTCGGGAAGCGCACACCGGGCGGCACCTTTTCGATCGTCCCCGAGGGCAGTCCCTGGTGTGCCAGCTCGTTGAGCCGACGCCCTGTATACAATGACGAAAACAGTGTGCTGTTATGAACATTGGTAACCGTCAGACAGGCATTGGTGCAGCAGACAAGTAACGTCAGCGTTGTAGCTCCTATCACGAACGTCTACGGAACCTTGACGGGAGCCGTACGCAGAACGGCTTGCAAGGCGCCCGCTGCGTCGAGTTGCTTATCGATTGGTGAGGGTTGTCAGCGGCGAAGGCAGCATTGCCTGGGTATTCTAGAAGCAGGAGCAGCGGTATCCAGTGCTTAGGACAGGCAGCGACGATACCAGTGCCGCTACTGCTACTACACTGTCTACGGGGAAGCGCTTGGACTGGAAGGGTGCTCAGAGTCTGTCAAAGTATCGTGACGTGGAACAGGTTGCGCTGGTGACGGCGGCGACGTTTAAGAAAGCGCCTGCGTGCTTGTATGCCGCTTGAAGCGCAATGAGGTACCAATCGTCGATTGATCCGGATAGGCGACGCTATGTTGCTTCCTCTGGTCAACATGTTAACGAAACTTGGTGAATAACGTATTGAATCCAGAGTCGACTGCAGCGTACCCATAACGCAGTGTCGACATCAGGTGCAACTGTTCAGCCAGAGCGCAAACCCAGTGCCCTTGTCCATCTTGGTACACCAGGTTATCAGAGCACCACCATGGTGTGACTCCACTTCTACGCTATCGCACCTGCGCAATATGCCGTCCAGCTTCCCGTCACGTACCCACTCGATCGAGTCTACTAGTCTTGCCCCGCACTGACTCTGCTCACGAATTCAACTGGGGTTGCTCCGGGCCTTGTAAGACACGCGCTCGACAGGCGAACACTGGGCCATGGAAAGTGCCAGTCTCTCGCAGTTTCAGCGTCATTCCCCGCATTCAACGATGCAAGCAGAGGCCTAGCATACCGCGTAGACGCGCTTGCCGTGGCGTCTGTCGCTGCATCAAACGCTTGTCCATGAGGCACCTGCATTCGCCATCGCCAGGAAGCAGCTTGCGTCGGTATCCATAAAACTTCAGAGAGGTGCTGCGTATCGTCGATGTTTCTGCAACGCTACATCCATGCTTGTTTACAGGCCAGCGAATGGTACGCAGCCAGCTGCCTTGATGTCAAAAAGTGATCTGGTGCGGCTGCTTGTCGGGTGCTCCAGTCTAGACGTCGCTGGCAGGTACGTGCGCTCGTTTGGGACCTGCTCTCCATCCAAGAGAGCACTGAGCACTGCCTGCGAAGTATCCATGCATGTTCGAATGAGCTCTACGCAATCCATACGATACGCGTCAGGCTGCAGATGTTCCATTTCGTAGCTGCTGCTCGATATCGACAGCAACAGTGGTATCCGCGAACGCACAGTACCTGCGATGGTGACCTGCGGCTGCGGTCGAGTCGAGGCTACGCTCGATCTCGCTCTGAGCCATGAAACGCGGTGTCCCGCAGAACATACAGGAAAAAAGCAGTCGCTCCTGCCGCGTTTGGCATACCCAACCATGACTGGCTAGCTTGCGAAATGCAACACGCTCAGTAACAGAGGCATTTGGAGACGCGGAGCGTTCCAGTGCGTCGCGCAAGTAGCGGACTGCGTCAGCGAGGTGCAGTGCCCAGCATGCTTCCGTCCGACTTGTGGACGAGTCCGCACGAAACGACGCAAAAGTCGTCGGAGAGCGCTCGCTGAGCCAGCGACACCCAGGCTGGTGTCTGCATCCCTGTGCACTGGATTCCGACTCGTTCACGAGTTCACTGACAGCTGATGTGGCCCCGCAGCGCCCACAGTGCAACGCCCCAGACAAGAGATACGTCCATCCGCCAAGTGCGAGCTCAATAACAAGCGGATATCCCGTGCCCTGTGCCCCTTTCTCTTCTAAGCGCATCTGCTTGAAGCAGCTTGGTCGAAACGAGCATAAGCGCGCGCAGAAACCAAGAAAGTCGGCAGGATCTGCATACGCGGATGCCTCCACTGCACGCCTCTCTACCGACGTGATCATCAGGTCATTGTTGGAAAGCGCTTTCGCAGGATCCGATGTCAGCGGTGCGGGCGA